AAGAGTGCGACATGAAGTCCTTTCCACAGGCCCTGGAGCCGACGCCAGCCGTGACTCCATGCCCGCGTCTGCGCAAACTGGCGCTGCGATATGAGCCGAACGAAGAGGACGGTGGTCGGAAGCTGCTCACCAGTCTGTACAGCGTGCTGCAGAAGCGCGACGCGGCTCAGACTCCCCTGGAGTCGCTCAGTCTTCAGGTTAAGCCTGTGGCCGACGAGACGGTCTTCACGCCTTCCGGAGTCATCGGCCGCTTGCCGTCAGATTTTGATGACATACAGGCGAGTTTGGAGTGCATGGTCGACTCGCTGGAGGTCATGTTGTTAATTGATGGTGACTGAACTACGGGTGTCGTGGGCTGAAACGGGTGAGTGCTTCAATCATTGCATGCGAGGACTGCTGAATGATGACACCCAGTTCGCGAAGGGGCTTGTTCAAGAATGTTATACACGTAACGCATTGAATGCAAGTCAAGTATGTATGCTGCACCAACAGGTTGAGCGACCAGCTTCGGACGATATAACATAGTCGCAGTTAGCCTGTAGCGACCGATCTCGGAGTCCGAGTCGGTGATTTCGACAACAGCATTCCAAAATCTCGGCGCACCCAAAACAAGTGGAGCTGTAATTTGTACAGCCAGGACTCAGCAGTGGATGAGACCGTTCGGAAGGTCGACGGACGAGAAGGGAGAGCTCGTCGGTGACAGCATTCTGCTGAGCCTTTTAAGGCAGGATCCGACTCCGTACATGGTCTAGGTCATACCTCCGCTAAATGTCAATGAGACGACTTCGCGACCAGGCGAGGTATTCGCGGACTCTTGCGAGCGATGTGGGCTCCTCGCCGACCGAGATGACTAAGCGTGCCCGGAAGATGGACTCGCTTGACATGACCTCTCGCTATAACGCATGTAGAGTTCTGGGAAGAGACCTAATTAGATGTCACCCCAACCTACCGGGTCCATAGTTCGGAGCAACTTGAATGTGCAGCGCCGAACACGTAGTGCAAGACAATGGGATCATCTGGTGAGAGATGCGACGGCCTCGGGGGAGATCATGGCTACGGAGCTAGATACATTAAGTAGCCAGGGTAAAGTTCCTGTCAAACCGCAAGATATCGGCGATGTTACTAGGTCGCATCCATTGATGACAGCGAAGCATTGATAGACGTACGTGAGTTCTATGGCTCTACTTGCTCGACAATGCCGAGTCCAACTTTGCAACCGGTGACAATGAAGTATCCCAAGAACAAGGCTAGCCCGTACGCTGCGTCACGAGACAATGATGGGTTGCGAACTCAGAGAACATACTCCCGAGCAATAGCACAAAGATTCCACCGTGCATCTGGATGTCCACGCCTCGGACCTGTAGACGGGGATTTACCGATTCAAGATGGGTTGTTGTATCCTCCCCTCCAGTCGTCCCAACGAACCGTGGCCACGTAGCGATGAAACCACTCCTTGTCTTCCGGCGCAAGCTCGCAGCAATCGCGCACGTGCAGGAAGTTCACTGTCGACACCAGGTGTCCAGGCTCGTCATCTTCCACGAAGCCGGTTGCTGCGTGTGCGTCGCGGCGCGCCTCGAAGAGAAACCGCAGGTCCGAGCTGCGAAACTGCGCATCAGGAAACCTACCCCACACGAATTTGTGGCAATTCGCACAAATTCGCACAAATCTCCTGGAGACCCCATTTACTTGACCCCCCAATTCCCTCGCTCGAATTTGCGTGAATTCACATCCAATGGCTGCGAATTGCAAGGAAATACTAGCTCAACCATACACTTTGGGTACTTCAATTCACATTGTTTCGCATGTATTTACATGCATAACCACTACGTACACCCTACTCAACTCATACCTACAGCTTGATGCACATTCCAGCCATCCGCTCGGAAGGCCTGTCGAGAGACTGCCCGCAGATTTGTAGTGCGCGCACATCCACCGAGGGCGTGGAGGCGTGCGCAGAGGCAAGGAGGCTGATCACATTTGTGGCCAGACAGCCAAGGGGGCGCACGAGAGGGGCGCACACGAGAAGAGCTGCAGGCGAGATCAACGGTGAGTGCGCAGAGTCCTAGCAATGGACACGGGTAGCACCGCGCGTACACAGGATGCATACTGCACCCGCGACGCGCGTACCCGTACCCATGTATGGTGCTACCCGTATCCTACCTGGGGTCAGCGTCAGTGTTGGCGGTGGACCGCGGGTCAGCCACCCTCTGTGGTACCTCCGAGTGTGTTGCCTGCACCCGCCGTACTCGTCTTCCTCCCTGCCCTCCCTACTCGTTCGTGCTCGCGCGTCCCGCTCCTCATGCGCACCGTCCCGCGTACTCGCCACTGTGCCCATACCCACAGTCCGCTCGTCGGCTGCGTGTTGCACACGCCCCGACCCTGCGCACCGTCGGTCTCCCATCCTTTATTCATGCGCGCGTGGTCCGTTCGTCGGCCGTGTGCTTGCATGCTGGGCAATCGCCCAGTGCGCTCGCGGTTGGCGTGTGTACCGTCGCCTGCCCGCCCGTTCATCGGTCGGCTGTGTCTGCGCGGTGGGCATTCGCCCAGAGCGCTCGCCGTTGCTGTGCCCGCCCCCTGCTCCGCTCGTCTGGTTGCTTGCTTGCCCATCTGTCCGCTCGTCCGCTCGTCTGCTCGTCCGTCCGTCCACCCGTCCGCATGCCCGCTCGGGCGCGTGTTCGTCGGCCGTGTCTGCGTGCTGGGCACTTGCCCAGCGCGCTCGCGGTCACCGTGCGCGTGGTGGTTGTCTGCGCCCTGTGTCAGTGTGCCTGCCCTCTCGCCCTCTCGTCCTCTCACCCTCTCGTCCTCTCACCCTCTCGTCCTCTCACCCTCTCGTCCTCTCGTCCTCTCATCCTCTCTCCTCTTGTCCTCTTGTCCTCTTGTCCTCCCGCCTGCGCACTCGTGGCCACACGCCCGCTAGTGCACTCGTCAACCGGGAGCCCGTTAACCCGCTCACCCACTTACTCACCCACTCGCCCGTTTGACTTCCCGCCTGCCCGCTCACTCTCCCGCCCCTCGTCCACTCGTCCGCCCGCCGTCTGTCTGTCGGCTGTGCCTGCACGCAGGGCATTGGCCCTGAGTGCTCGCGGTCGTCGCGCTGCACGTTGCCGTGTTCTGTGTCTACGTTAGTGGGCTCGTTCGGGTGCGTCTGCACTCACCGGTGGACTCTCGCCCTCGCCCGCCTCGCCAGCCACACCCTTCCCTGTCATCCGATCGTCACCCGCTCGTCGTCCCCGCTCGTCTTCCGCGCCTGACGTCTGCTCATTGTCTCTGCTTGTTGTCCGTGCCCGCCGTCGCAACAGTGCAAGCGGATGGGTGGTCGAGCGGACGAAAAAGCAGTCGGGTGGACGGACAAGTGGGCGGATGAGCGGCGGATGAGCAGGCGGACGAGCGGTCGAGCACACGGACGGCCGGTACCTAGATATGCGAGGGGCAAGTCCGGCGCGAGAGAGCGAGTGAGCGGATGTGCCATAGAGCTGGCAGTGCCAGAGGTGGCAGACGGCTCGGCGGGCGCACGCGCGGGTGAAAACGCAGGCATGTAAAACGGTAGTCAGGTAACTGAGGTAAGCACGGACAGCGAACTCACCTGCGAGCCTTTCTGCCCTCGTTGAAGTTGCTTGCCCCTTCGTCTTGTCTTTTCGTCGAGTTTCTGCGACACCCCAACGCGAGCGCTTTGAATAAAATTCGCTCGACACCAGGTGTGCAACGTGGCGAGGTAAGTCATGTGACAGATCTCACTCAGGGCAGGCACACTTGCGACTTGTCTGACTTCTTCGTCTCGCGCTGCTCAGGCTGCTCAGTGTTCTGTGCTGCCACAACACTGGTACGCTCACGACCAATAAGCTCACCGTCGAGCGAAACCAGTCTCACCCAGCCACCGTTCTCGCCCGCCGTCTCGCTTGCCCACCGTCATGCTATATCCATTGCATGCCCCACCGTCTCGCAGGCCCGCCGTCTCACTGACATGGGCCCGTCATCTCGCAGGCCCGCCGTCTCGCAGGCCCGCCACCTCGCAGGCCCGGGCATGCCTGCCGTCCGTCTCGCCCACCATCTCGTACTCGTCTTGTCTGCCCGCCGTCTCGCTCGCCCACCGTGTCGTTCGCCCGCCGTCTCGTCCACCATCTCGCCCGTCATCTCGCCCGCGTGCCGTCTCGCCCGTGTTCGTCATTCTTCTCGACGAACAAGTGGCGGGCGGAAGAGCGGGCAGGCGGCAACACGTCAACCGCGAGCGCGCTGGGCAACTGCCCAGCACGCAAATACGACCGACGAACACGCGGAAAGCGAGCGGGCAGGCGAGCGAGTCGGGAGACAGGTAAGCGGGCTGCGGGCGTGGACGGACAGTCGGACGGGCATGTGAGGGGGTGGGAGAGCGGGCAGGACCGTCGACCGCGCGCGTGTTGCGTGCGAGCGAGCGGGCGAACGGGAGGACGGGCGGGCGGGCGGGCAAGCAGGACGGCGAGCGAGCAAGCAGGACGGCGAGCGAGTGAGTCGGCGGGCGGACGAGCGTTAGCAACAGCGTGCGAGCACTAGCGCGGACCAACGGCACAAGCACGTCAACCACGAGCGTGCTGGGCGAATGCCCAGCACGCAGACACGGCCCACGAGCAGGTACGAGCGAACAAAAAGACGAGACTTCGCGGGTGTGTGGACTACCGGACGCGCGAGCGGGAGGACGAGCAGGGGAGCTGGGAGGTCAGCATACGGGCGGGTGAGCGGGCGAAGGATGCGCATGAACAAACTTGGACGGGCGGGTGAAGGTGAGTGGAGGCCGTGTGAGCCTCGGAGCGAGCGAGCTGACCGTACGGACAGCACACACGTCAATAAGCACGGTCGACACATGCGCCGACCATGGGCACGCTGGGCGAATGCCCCGCATGAAAATGCAGCCGACGGGTGGATCACGGGCACGTACACGGACGAATGGGAAAGTGGAAGGTGAGGCAGGCAGACAGGATAATTCAAGGGTTGGCAGGCAGGAAATCTGGTGGGCACGCGGGCACGGCAACCGGGAGCACTCAGACACGGCCACCGAACGTGTGCGCGGCTGCTGAACGTATGTAAATGACCGATAACAATGGAACAGAGCCAGACGAGTTGTCTGGACTTGTACATTTGTACATATGGACTGTGTATTGTAATCAAAACTGAACAAAACATCTGATGTACATACCAATTCTCGACGTGTATGTACATGAACGTATTTCAGTTTGTTTGGGAGGCATTCGCACCGATTTACAAGCCGTTCGCAACGACAGGCGCGCCGTGGCGATTTGGCGCCGATTCGCGCCACATTCGCGCAGGGGGGGTTTCCTGATGGCGTGCATCCGACGATCGTGAGCCCCTTGAGGTACCGGCAGACCCAGAACTCTCCCAAAGGTGTCGGTATTGGCATGGCAAGCGCACGTATGATCTCCGAGCACAAGCCGTCGCATGAAATGAACCAGGCCCGGCGGCACGAGTCCTGGCCCTGCGCACCCGCGAGGAGGCTGAACAGTGTCATCGCATTTACAATTCCTTCCATGCTGATTACGTACGAGTCTCCAAGTTGAGCGGGTGTATCCATCGAGCACCGCGTGTACGACGCCATCTCGGCGTACGAATAATCGAGGAGTCGGTTGTACTCCGAGATGATGTTGCCCGTCATATCGATGAAGTCGATGACATCCCAAGTCATAGTCGATTCCAAAATGGGTGGTCCGGTATATGAGCAGTCCAGTTTCAGATTGGCGAGCTGGACTTTATAGAGACCGTTGCAGCTGGCGAGACAGCTCAAGAGGTCGACGAGCGGGAAAGGCGGGTGATGCGAGTCGTACTCCAGCAGATAAACACCGTCGAGGCGAGGTGGCAGTGGTAACCGAGGAAACGGCTTCACGTACACCTCGCGGAAGGGGAAACCGCCCATGTAGAGCCACAAGAGCTTGGGGGCGTGGAACTCGCCAACCAGGGATGGCGCCGCTTCAATGCTTGCGACGGTGTCGTCGATCACGGAGCTGAGCCTGAGCAATATCAGCTCGTCCGCGCACCCAACAAGATCGACGCGAGGGAGTGGAAGTGAGCTGGAATGGAGAAGTCGCACGCGAAGAGTTTGCCATCTCTTCACATGCGGGGAAAGCACGTCCATGACGGCTTTTACGTGAGCTTTCTCTGTAGGATCCCTCTTTGTATGCGGTCGCGGGCCGGGGGCATCTCTTCGTAGGATGTAAATGTCGATGAGGCGGTCTCGCGACCAGGTAACATAGTCACGGATTCTTGCAAGCTGTGGAGGGTCCTCGTCGATCCAGATAACGAGACATGTCCAGAAGGTGGAAACGCTTGCCATCAGCTCTCGCCATAGACAACAGACGGAGGTAAGGGACTCCTGAAACGGCCACCTGGAATTTGGGTTGCTATGAGGTAGACAGGGATCTGGTTCATCCCAATTCGCTGCGAATGAGGCTAGAATTGTCGGGTCCGACCCAGCATCGAGCACGGCACGGAAAATCATCAGGAGAACATCTGGTGGGAGGACGCTGATGGGGGCAGAAGACTTGCAGATAGATGAAGAGGGTTCGAGATAGCTCGTGCACTGCGCGGGCATATTCAGTGGCCTGTGCCGTCCGCTCGTATTATCAGTACCAATAAGTGGCGAGAAGCTAGCAACCATACTGACGAGCGAGTTTGTTCGATGCTGAATTCAACTCTTCAGGCCACCGATACCATGAGCTTGGCCGACCATGTGCGATGAATGATGATTATGGGGCCCCTGATTTTTGTCACTTGAAGCCTGTGTTTGCGTATCCAGTCGAGCAGGAATTGGTCTCCCCTGACAGGCAGACCCTAAGCCGTAGGACTCTTTTCACCGCGGATAATACGTGCGCGGACACCGAATGTGAACAGAAAAAGCAGAGAGTGGAAAACAAGTGCAGAACCTCTTCGGCACATGTTTGAAGTCCGAGCCAAAAGTAGGAAAGAAAGCTAAAGAAAGTCATCGAGCATAATTAGCGGTCATTACCAAATATAGAAATACGCTTTGGTCAAAACCTTGAAAACCTTGCTGGCAATGAACTGATGGCAGGAACATGCGGCGAAGCGGTTCTCCCTAAGCGGATCCCTCCTCCTCCTCCTCCTCCTCCTCCTCCCTATACTTGGCGACATTCCGCACTTGCTCATACTTCCTTCTAAGGCCAGCCTGCCAGCCTCAACAGTGACAGCAGCGTAATCTTGTATGACCAGATCTAGTACTAACCGGGCAAACGTTCTAATTCGGACTGTGCAGGTGTGCAGCTTCTACACAGATTGTAGGACTTGGATCACTGTCGTGCTGCGAGTTCAAGATCAACCAAGGTGTGTCGCATACGACATGATCAGTCCGCGCAAATAGGTGAAATACTGACAGCAAACCTCTGGTTGCGTTTTTTCACGGCCTTTCGTGATAATTAGGTTCGGTACTAGTAGCGGCAGTTGCTGATGGCCAAACACTACTTGCCTCAAAACGCACTGCTGATATCACAAGATGACGACCGCATTCGCCTACAAAGCTGCTCCAGTCAAGAGGTGCGCGTATGGTTCACCGCTAGGACGCATCAGCTCGAAATGGAATTACTGAGCGTCAAGAATCTGTACAACTCGACGCTCTTCATCACCCGAATCCCCACCGAGCTGTTCGTCGAAATCCTCCGACTCGCTTCCCCGCCTCACGACGTAACATGGATCGCCACAGCGATGGGTGTGTGCAGATATTGGCGAGACATCATTGCGGCCACGCCTCTCCTCTGGTGCGCATTCACACTGTTGCAAAACGTGCGGTTCATGGAGCTGTGCCTGGCACGCTCGAACAACACGCCCATCTCCATGGACTTTCGGACGGACGAACGGTTTCGTCGAGGACCTGAAAATAATCTTAGTCAGGTTGTTGAGCTGATGGGCTCGCATATTTCACGGCTCATACGCGTGGACCTCCGCATTGACCACCTGACCTCGGCGAAAGAACCAGCCATTGGCCGTCTGTTGCGCTCGCTGGAGTCCTCCTTACCTCGACTGACGTTCATGAGCCTGGCGGTCAAAGCCGGCTTCGGGCTCCGAGTCACTGCCGGCAGATCCCTCAGCTTCCACGGGGAGTCCCTCCCGGCCATCCGTACAATCATACTCTCTGGCGTTCATATATCCTTGAACAGTGTGCATATCCCTCACTTGACAAAACTGGAACTTCATGATATCAGGCATACCGACCCCGACCGCGAGGACGAGTTCCTGTCCTCACTACTGGACCTCCTCGAGAGATGCGTCCAGTTAAACGAATTTAAGTTCACTTTCGAGAGGCGAATCCGGCGGAGAGCACTGGTTGAACAAGTGGTCGAGGCAAGTCGCATCGTGTCGCTACCGCAGATGGGCCTATTCGCTTTGTCCGGATTGTGTACGGATATCGCATCCGTCATGATGCACCTGTCGCTACCGCGTCGCGCCGCGCTTTTGTTGGACGCCACGGACGGCATCGTTGGTACTGCTGGCTCCGGCTCTCGTACACCAATACTCGAGGCCGTGCTGCCACTCCATTCCACACATTCGGTGGCTCTCGAGAAGGTGCATCTCGCGAGAATTTTCCAACGTTGTGATAGCCTTCATATCTCCGCAAAAGCGGTTGGAACATACGGCGGAGAACCAACTCTGCGGGCCACATATCCGTTGGACCGCCAATCCCGGCTCTTGCGCGACGCCATGCTAGAGCTCAGTTCTTTCCTTCCGTCATCCTTGCGGACTCTCATTATCCACGGTACCGCCGTGCTCATCACCTCGCAGGACTGGCGCCTTTCGTTGTCAGCTTTCCCGCAACTCAAGCACCTGAAAATTTACGACTGGTCAGCAAGCAGGGATAATTTTCACTTCGCTTCCGCGCTCGAGCCAAGGCCAAGCCGAACTGCGGTCCCATGCAAACGTCTGCGAAGAGTCGTCCTGAACTACGCGCCGAAGACGGTAGACGGCACTCTGTCCGTGTTCATGAACATTCAAGGGGCACTGCAAAAGCGTGCCGAGGTTGGCTCGCGTTTGCCGGAACTACACGTCGAATTACGGGCACGCGTAGGTAACACTGGCATATCTCAATCGTCAGTGAACGACGCGCTACGGTCATCAGAGGCATTCAATGAGCTACAGCGGAGCCTTGCATCCGTGGTAGGCACGGTGACTATCATCTGGAAAGACTTGGCCCAAATGTACGCAACCATTGTAGCAGGACAAGTCGAGTGACTGACAACATTACCGTACAGCGCATGATAGCACTCCGAGGACTATGTAGTAGCGGATAAACGATCACGGGTATTCTTGTGATACACAACCATGATGATTCCACTTGCTGGTCCCTGTCTCCGTTTTCGCTGTTCTCGCGTCTCACCCACCCGAGTCCATGCGAGTGATTTCCACCGTTGTATTCAATCTCACCCTTGTACGTGTAGCAAGTCGCGCCGCCCGCGGAGGTATATTACAGTTGTGGTACAAGTATCTTCCAACTACTAAAAGAATTTCATCTTGGACGGTCTTGCAATACATTTCAGTACCGGAGATTCTGAATCATCTTGACGACATACCTCACTCGCACGTAAACAGCGACCAGAAGCACCAGCGGCGCTACGCCAAACAACACGATACGCACAGCGAGCACCGTGTTCCCGGTAGAGAAGTGTGACCAGAGGCCTCCCAAAAACACCGTGAGCAACAGCAAGGGAAACAGCAGGTATCCAGAAAGACTGTACGTTAGAATGACCGGTAAGCATATGCACAACAGGATGTACAGAGCCCAGCACGTACCGATGATACTTCCAGACAAGCTTGGCTTTGGGGTTGCCCCCGAAGAGACGCCCGTCAAACCAGACACTGCCAATGCCGATGAAGACTTGGACGACTACTACCCAGAACACACTGATGTAGCCCAGAATCTGTTCGCGCAGTCAGCGGTGAACATCACTCCGGTCAAACACAACACTGACGCCGTGCCATGTCGTCGCATGACGCGACCCGTGCAGAGTCTTGTTCCACCAGATGGCCAGCGTGCCGAGTAATAGTGCAGGAAAGCTGCCCCAGAGTATGGCATATTGATGGCGAGCAAGGCCTGCCGCCTTTGTTCTTGGCTGCGAAGTCGGTTGAAGTGTTACGATGCCTAAAACTCATCCCATCAACCACCATCCGCGTCAAACGCGACTCGGGAAAAGATGATTCGAATCGGCATTCACACCACACAGAGTATAGTGGCATCGTGCCGGCACTCACACGCACAAATCCTATCATGTCGTTCGGAGGCGGGAGACCAGCCAGACACTGGCACGTTCCGAGGAAACGATGCGTTTCCGCCGCCGTGAGTCCATCACCGACCTTGGCCTGGCGCGCTCTCACCATCGCTGGCGATGATATGGTCATTCTGGGCCATGTCCGACCCAGCAAGACCGACAGACTAGTGACGACTGTGGGTGAGACCAGGTGCGAAGACCTGACAATATGGAAATAGCTGTCAAGATTATCGGGCGCCGATTCGAGTGGTGTATACCGTATCCCCGATGTGATTAGACGCCAATGCGATGTTACTCACCATACGCCAACAGGCAGATGGATAGACTTTGGAGTATGGGATGCCAAAAGAACCACCCGAGCTTGACGGGGTTGCTCACGAAGACGATCAACCAAGTTCCCAGAAGGAAGGCCTATGACTGCCTGGGTAAATCGACCTCCTCATGTGAGAGCGCGATCTCTCACCCCTGCAGCGACCTTCCCCGGACCAGAGTGTGAGCTACGCTTCTCGTTGGACTAAGTTTAGCACTCACGTATGCAGCGATTTGTGCGAAATTGTCCCCCATGCGATCTTCAGGCCGAATGTTGTCGGAATCTAGCACAGCGTATTGGGAATCTTCAGCGACATCTTCTACGATCAAAGGGTCGTTTTCTTCGCCCTCATTTGGCTCGTCGTGTGGGAAGGTTTCCGTTTTCGGCGTTGGTGCGAGGGCAATTGCACCGCTCATGCTTGTGTAACTATGGGAGACTCTGCAGAGATGCACGGTGATAGATAGAGGCTAGCAAAGTCATTGCAGCGCTGGGTTGAGTAAATTACTGCATGCGCTGCGCAAGGCCGCAACAAGTCAGCTTCCGGCCATTGAGCATAGGGACCGGCATTCTCCGCGCCTCGGCATGGTCCGGACATTCGATGGCGAGGCATGCTCCGGAACCTTCCGGGGACCCGGCACGTTCGATGTCGATCTAGATCGGTTTGTTTAGACGCTGGATCGGGGGCGCCTATTCCCGTGGGGAAGGCCCGGAGCCTAAAGGCGTCCGTGCCGTCTGGTCCGCTGACCGCGACCATGGACGCGAAGTCGAGGTCGGGCAGACTGGGAGACTCCGACTCAGAGACCCATTACCCTCATCACTGCCGGCGCCGTCGACGAGCGCCTTGACCTCGACCACCACCTTCTCATCATGAGGCCCTCCGCTCGCTGTCTTGCCCAGGCATTGGCCTCCACACGCTCGCACTCAGTCAGTTTCATCGGACTAGGACGGATGGGCTCTCCCATGGCCTACAACCTCTTCTCGAAAACCCTGGTAGAGAACGAAGGCAGCGCACGCTTTGTGGTCTGCGATGCGCGGACGGCTGTATCTGAGGCGTTCGCGGCGGACTTCGCGAAGCAGTTCCCCGGTACGCAGGTCGATATCGCGAACTCGCCCGAAGAGTAAGCCTTGCATCCCTCCTCACAACTAGACCCACCAGCTGGACGATCATCGGTTGACAGAGCCCTGATGGCCTCGCAGACCATCATCACCATGCTCCCTTCGACCCCCCATGTGAGAGCCGTCTACGTCGAGTCCGGCGGTATCCTCCCCGCGCTGCACAAGCTGCCAAAGGAGGCCGTCCATGCGACGCTCTGCATCGACTCGACGACGCTCGACGTAGAGACAGCGCGGGTCGTCTCATCCGACATCAGCAAGATCGGCGCGCGACTGGTCGACGCACCCGTGTCCGGCGGCGTCGCCGGTGCCAAAGCGGGCACGCTCAGCTTCCTCGTCGGCGGCACGAAGACCGCGTTCGAGCTCGCGACGCCGACGCTCGAGCGGATGGGGAAGAACATCATATACTGCGGGGGCTCGGGCGCGGGGCTCGCGGCGAAGATATGCAACAACCTTGTGCTCGGGGTGCAGCAGATCGTCGTGTCCGAGGCGATGCTGCTCGGCCAGAAGCTTGGTCTGGAGCCGAAGGTGCTCGCGTCGGTGATTAACAGCTCGACGGGTGCGTGTTGGGCCAGCTCTGTGAACAACCCGGTTCCGGGTGCTGTCCCGGACAAGTCCCCACCTTGTGAACGGGACTATGACGGTGGATTCGCGACGCGGTTGATGCTCAAGGTGCGTCCGGGGCCCGTATGGAACTATAGAAGTCACTTTAATCCGGTTGCAGGATATGGGCCTAGCAATTAACATCGCGGAGACGACGAAGACGCCGTTGCCGTTGGGTACCGCTGCGAACGAGATCTACGCGGAAGTCATTGAGGACGACCCTGATGCTGCCGAGAAGGACTTCTCGGCTGTGCACAGGTATCTACGGTTGCTGAAGAACAAGGATGTATAAGGGACCCGATGGAGAAGTTCAACGTGTGTTTCCGGGCTGTAAGAGTAGTCTGTGTAGCAAGTATATCATGTCACGCTCTGCTTCTAGCCATGTCGCTAGGCCTTACCCTCCACGCTCTGCACTCTGCATTCTGCCAGTGAGCAATCTGGATGGCTCGCGGACTTGTTGCGTATGGAAGTATCTGCGCTGATTATTCAGCACATGAGGTTATGATGGAGCACCGGCCTCCCTCGACACTTACCCTAACAGCTAGCAGCCTGAGGAGAAAGATACAGTTGGCTGCTAGCTCCCGGAGGACTAGATACATCGTGCCATTGGCTACTATACAAACGTACAAAGGCTTTGATCGACCTATGAAGAGGTAGGTAGGATGTCACTAACTAGTCATCATCAACAGATAATGCAACACTTCTTCCAACACGTATCTACATTGTCACTGGATGCTCTGCGCGGTGTTTCGCCATTCCTTGCGCCTTGAGCCGAAGACGGAGTTCTCGACGGTGCGTCGCCATTCCCTATGCCCTGAGCCGAAGGCAGAATTCTCGACTGTTGTAAACATCTTGATACTACGTCTTTCGCTTGTTCCGCACTCTCGTAGAAGATGATGGGGTTGGTTCGGGTGTACTTCCGAAAGAGCTCCCGTTGGTACTCTTGTAGCCTTGCTTCCCGTATGTCTTCTCTGCCGACACGATCTTCTGGCCACATAGTGACCAGGAACACCAATCTTTGGAGTAGACTGCGCTGTTTGAGTTTCTCAAGAATCAGGTAGTTCCTGTTGCGAGAGAGATCCTCGCGATTTCGGCTGATGTCGACGACACAAATGACAGCGGCCCATGAACTAGAAAAAGTGCTTCTTAGATCTTGCTTCAAGTCAGCAAATTCGGTAATGGATACTCACGGTTGTGTAGTCTCGATGTCCGGAACGATGTAAGCACCCATCCCTGCTTCTCTTGATTCGGGTTCTTCAAGGTCGGGCACGTCGTATAGAACCGCCTGCAGTTCACCTCCTACGTGATACTGAGCTGTCTGTATCTCCTTCGTGCATGGCTCTCCGTGATTCTGGGGGGCAACTGGGAGGCTCGCATCGGCAGCGAGATTGATGAACTGCAGTATGGGATCAACATTATTGTCGGTGGTGATTCGGATGATCTCAACTAGCGTATACTGACAGTTGTTTTCCCCGAGCCGGTGTTGCCAATCACACTGAAAACAGTATGAGAACACTACTGAATGGTGATGAAGTAAGGACGTACAGGATGGACTGTGCAGAAGCTTGCTCGGACTTCCCCTCACGCCCATGAGGAGTATGTGGCGGAGGTGCAGGAACCGAGGTAGAAGGGACGTGAGTAGGAATGCGAGAAGTCGGAGATTGAGGAAAATTGGCCAAAGGGAGAGAATAGTTAAGACGGGAGGCAGTCGATGGCATCTTGTTGGCACCGTCGTCATCTAATGGGTACGGAACACTATCAATTGCGTAAGAGGTAAATAATATATTCCCAATTCATGAATGTCCTCATACTCACTACCGCAAGTCATCAGACATCCGGTCTTTCATCTTGTGTGCCTGTGAATGTTCGAACAACAGATTCGATATTATGGTGGTAGCGGATTGATGCGAGTCATCATGCCGTAGAACGCATGCCCCGTCTTCGAAGGCATCCTTGAACACGTCGTGAAGTTGTCGTAGTCTTACATTACCTCGCTCGGGAGAGACTTCGCTCCACATTGTAGTTACGATGGCGACGTTCCCGATGGCGTTATCTTGACAAAGTCGTCGGAAGAGTCTATAGTTCTGCAGGACGCGTTCGCTGACTCGTTTGTCGGCGATCGAATAGCAGAATATCACCCCAGCCAACGACTCGTGCCTCAAATTGCTGCGTCGCTTTTGTCAGGATGGAACCTTTTCTCAGGACACAAAACTCACATTCCCTCGAGATAGGCAATAATTTTCTCCGATACATCTGCTTGAGTGTCGACACCAGGTGTATCAACGAGCGTAACGAGTTCGCTCCCGAGCTGCATCTGTGCAATCTGTATGTCGATTGTGCAAGAGCTCAGGCCATTCGTGACAGCTAGGTTTGAATTTGCTGCGTGATTGATGAACTGACAAGCAGCGTGATGTATCACCGTTAACTCACGCTTAAGCACTGGTAGAATCGAGCCTCACCGTCGTTTTCCCGCTTCCTGAGGGGCCCATGAGTATGAAGTAAGAAGGCGCAGAGCGAGGAGTAGACGCGGGCAGGGGAGGGGGAGTCGTCGTTGGTGGTAGTGACGGCAGCTGATACGGCGAGACAGGAGCCAATGTAGGAGTGGACGATGGTGTGGGTGTGATCGAAGATGGAGCGGAAGGTACTATATGCGGAGGCGTAGGTTCCCGCACTGGCTGGGCTTGTGCTGATAGTGCTGATTCACGCAGAGCGTCGTCTACGAGCGTGGAATCTTCCGGCGGAGGAGTAGGGTCAATCAGAGTAGGCTTACGGAGAGAAGTCGGCGTGGGTGGAAGACCTGACGAGGGCGGAGGGAATATAAGTAGGCCAGGTGGCTCAGATTTCAGAGTCTCTGCCGGCAGGAAAGCTGGGATGAGCGGAGGCGTAGGTGCAGGCGAAGGCGTAGGTACGGTCGGCCCGGGGAAGGTAAGTGCGGGGATAGGAGTCGGTGCGGGCAAAGGGATGGGTAATATTGCGAGTTCGAGAGGAGCTGGTGCAGGCGGAGTAACAGATGGGGGAGCAGGAGGGGGTGTTCGCTCAGGAGTACGAGTGACGTGATCTGAGTAGTTGGGGACTCAGCGCCGTAGATGTTGCATCTCGCACAAAGCGAACACGACGCTGAAATGGCAACGCACCTCTTGCACCAAGCTGGCATCCTGCATTTACTTTATCATCCGGGGAACACTGACGAAGATTGATCCAAAACAGTGACAACGGATCACGATTACGACGAAACTTACGGGATTCGGGGCCGCTATATTGGGCATATGCACAGCCTGAGCAAATTCCAGCTTCGACATAAGTCTCTTGATATGGGCGGTGAGGTCTTGGCCTAGAGTCTGGCGTAGTTTGTCTCTCTCATCCTGAACTCTCCGCAGTTCTTGTCGTACTTGCTCGAGCGCAATACGGAGCTCTCGTACGTCCGCGCCCTCTTCTGTGCCTCCGCTCCCGTCTCTAAGGCCGTTCCTACTTGGAATCGGTTCAAGCGAGTCTTGAGCCGCCCTGAGCTGCTTGCCATGCGTATCCTCGAACTCATCGAACTGATGAAGAAGTTCTTTCCCAGCAGCGGTGTTTTCAACCGACTTGCCTTCATCAACCATCTCATATTGGATGTCACAGCGTGTGCCATCTTTCCCCAACAATCTGGATAAGATTCTGTGCGCTGATTGACGGGTATTATCATGTCGCATGATGGGCACCCCACGATCATAGGCATCTTTGAAGAAGTCGTCTTGTAGTTCTTGTAGTCTGTTGGCACCTAGTTGTTGATCCACATCGTCCCACATGGTCGTGGCGATGACAACGTTCGTCATGGCTGCATCTCCACAGAGCTTGCGGAACAGCCTGTAGCTACCTAGATCACTCTGCGCGATTCGGTTGCTGGAAATGTCGTGCAAATAGATGATCCCGGTGAGCAGCTTGTCTTCAGAATACCTGGGAAAATTGATCAGCGCAATGGTACGGGTCGGGAGGGTGCTCCTCACGTCCTCCGCAGAAACTCTGCTATCAGCTGCAATATCTCAGCTTGAGAGCGACTGGTGTCGTCAAACCCTGGCGTATCAATCAATACAACATCGTTGGCTCCGAGCTTCATGGAGACGGCCTGTATCTCGATGGTAGACGACTCGAGTTCGTGGCCGACCTTCAACTGGGATCCTGCTGCACAATTGGCGAACTGATGCGGAGGATCATCAACGTGATCCGACGACTTCAGCAACGAGCGTGTCTCACCGTCGTCTTCCCGCTTCCAGTGCAGCCCATAAGACTATAGGCACGTACAATGAAGTGATCGCCTTGAATGTGAGGGTCATGATCAACATCAACAGACAACTGAGACGCACGCAAATAGCTTCGGCCCAGTCATGGCGATTCTACGTTCAGCACGCAGTTATGACTACAGAGGACAGATATGAGACGATCACAGTCGGCCCATTCCATGTATTATACTCGCGCTGGAACCATGGTACCATGATGCAGCGCGTATGTTCTAGCCACAGGAAGCACCTGTGTCGGACACCGCTGAAAACGGCAGGTTCCATGCCTCCAGTCAAACCGCGGTCCCTAGATGGCACCCAAACCGCGTTGCTGCTTCGTCGAATGGGCAAGAGTCGTGCGTGGCGCATGTTTCGACAACAGACGACACAGGACACGCTTCTGGCGGAGGCAGTGGTGAAGTTTTGTTGGGCACTGCCGCTATCACATTTGACGCTGCTATTTATGTCAGTGCCGAAGAAATAGAAGGCAGACGGATGTTCACTGAAACTCACCCTGATAAGTACATACGAAAGACTCAGATTCCGTAGGACCGGTCAAACCTTAATCTTTCGGCGATATTTGTAACGACAGTATGGGGTATTAGACCGGGCTGCATACCGATGCCAAATAATGGCCTCTTCGTTTCGACGTTCCAGAATTCAGGAGGCACGATATTCGCCCATTGTTGCATCAGGTCCTGTTCAATCACTACACTTGACCTATGGTTGGCGAATTATGAGTAAATATGGTTTACGCAAGCTCATCAAGCGGTTCAGGCTTACCTCAAATAAGCCATGCATGATTAGCCGTCCATGACAAACGATCCATTGGTCGTGAACGATTAGAAGGGATCCGGGGTGCCATGCTATGATGTCGTAGTTTGGGAGGTCTGCTTGTCGTCGAAGCCAATTAAGCGGACTCAAGGCTGCCCAGGGAGGGCTGGCCATGGGATAGCTGCAGGGACTGGTCTGGGGTATGACTGAGATGATTGGACGAGCGCAGAAGTAACGCTGCAGGACAACTGCAGGACGTCTGTATTCAGGCCCGGGAAGCCCCGGGCCGGCCTCCGATCCGGACTCCGACTCACAGTGGCAGCCACGCTTGTCTTCAAGTTCGAATTCACCATGGATTCACCAAGCTCGGGATTAGCATTACACTGGCATATGTACTACTCTCGCCATCTGGTGTACATCATTCAGCAAGAAAGCATAAACTGAGATTAATGAAGTGCTAAAGCACGGTCGCATGTAGATTCTCGAACTATCATGGCGGGCACAAGATGCATCAGATAGTAGTACCTGAGTCATACAAACGTGAGTGGCGAGTGCAGTAGACTGGCGCGCCGTTCCTCATGACTCAAGGACGCGGTACACCTTCAAGCAGAAGAGGGTACGAAACTCCACTCGAAATCCCGCCTGCAAGAGTCTACGCACGCTGCCAACCTCCATCTTTTCAGCCTCCCTTTTGGTCCGCCGCAGTTCCTCTCTCGTCTTCTTCAGCTCCTCTCTCAGTTTCGTGACCTCCGCCCTGTTCGCGTCTTTCATCTCATCGGCGAGGTCCTGCAATTGCCGCTGGTACCTCTCCTCCTGTTCTCTGAGTAGCTGGTGCAAGTCAACACCGGCAGCGGTTTCGGGTACTTGCTTCTTCTGCTCCACGAGCTCGTATTGCATCTGGAGCTCCTGGGCTGAATTGTCCAGAAGTATCGAAATCGCTGTGCGAGCGGACTCTGCGTGGTTGTAGTGGCGGATCATTTTTGCCCCTGCCTCGATCGCCGGTTGGTAAAAGATGGGTTTGGAGGCCAGCTCCTGCTCTCGTGCGCGTCCGATCTCCTCCGAGACGTCCTCCCACATCGAGGTGACGATGAGGACATTCTTCATCGCGTTCGGTCCACATATCTTCCCAAAAAGCCGGAAATTCTCTCGAGCGATTCCTCCTACGCGCCGGTCGGAGATGCGGTGCATGTAGATGACTCCAGATAATAGCACGTCCCGTTCGTATCTGCGTGCGTGACTCAGCTACGAAGAGACTGTGCCATTGACGGACCGGTCACTCACGTCTTTTTTAAGAATTTACCTATGTCTTCTAGAACGTCCGCCTGCGACCTTGTCGTGTCGTCAAATCCGGGCGTATCAATAAGCACGACTTTGGTGTCGCCAATCATGCAGTGTGCGACATCGATATTGGTCGTGCACGATCGGAGGCCCGTTCCTACTTTCAGATCTGAACCGCATACGCGATTGATGAACTGGATAATGTGTCATATCTTCACTACGATCAAGCCGGACATGCGAAGCTATGCTCACTGTCGATTTTCCTGCCCCTGTAGGGCCGGTGACTCTAGAACCAGACGCGAATCAGCGCGGGTGCGGCAGTGATCAATGCGAGGGACTCACGCAATCAGCTTCAGGTTCCCGTTGTAGAGCGCCATTGTGTTCCCGGAGGTGTCAATGGTCAAGGGAATGGAATTCGCAAGCGGTAGTGCTGTGGTACGATGAAACTTGAAGGCGCATCCTGTCCGTTAGCATCATATATTTTTGCTACGCTACTCAGATAGCAAGTATGGAAGTGGCTTCGCGTCGCACCTGTAACACGCACTGGTGGCCACACGCGAAGGCGCATTGCATCTCGTCACACGTGTACCTTGTTGCCCCCGTGTTCAGTGATCCGCGATATACAGACCTGCAATGCGACGCCGGCGCTTCAGTGTGGCTCGTTCTGCATGTCCATCACATTGACTGAAATACCGAATTTCATCCAGCGACAGGTGGCACACCGTGACGGACCAGTATGCTCTGCAACTGCCAAAAGATATCCAATCGTAGCTATAAGCTATGCTGACTGGCGTGACCCCCAGTGTCCGATTTCAGCCAGGAGAATCCCCAACGATTTTAGCATCACAGGCATGGAGCATAGGCACCCGTTGACGGATGCAATACACCGCGGAAGCGGAATTAGGAGCAATTGCTATCGGCGATAACAACTATGTTGCAGCTCAACTGAAGGGGTGTCGGCGATCAAAGATCCTGATTATTTGAGTTACTCAGTACGCACCAACACTGAGGCCACTTCTCATACCAAGACCTTCCACACGGGAGGGGTTTGTGTCGAACCTAGCCATTTGCGGAGCAACACAAAATACGAATGAGTCGACATGTTGTCGCGGAATTTTCCGTGCCTTTGGTCAGCGGTCAGTAACTAGACCGTGACATTAAGTTCCTCGTTAAGGCGGCGAGGGCACGGCACTGTCCTAACACAGCTCAATGAAGCGGGACTCGAGAGGCACATACCTAGGACAGGATGAGGTGCACAGAGTGACGTGTAGGACAATAGCAGTCGCCGCTCGCTTCCGGGGAAACCTACAGAGGTCGGCATATGAGTCCGTGGACAACACGTGGCGTTGACAAGTCTCGGAACACAGGCAACGGGCAACGATGGATATAGATACTTGACGTAATGATCCCTTTGAATACGCAGGACGCCGCATAAGCGAGTCGGCCTTGGTCTACGGTCGCTTTGAGCAGTCAGTATTGGCGCACCGAGGAAACAGTGTATGCAGAGCACGAACAGCGTCATTGCCTACCAGTAGCACGAAGCCAGCCCGGGCCAGACAGTAGCCATGAGGTTTCCAGCTTGAACCCGTTAGCCTCATGGTCGCCTCCTCAGATTCATTTCCGACTTTGAGCACGGACCTTGAGGCTTAACGCAAGTTACGCGGTGAACGTTTGAACGCTGATATGTGCCGCCGCATGTCGTCGAAGGCTTACCGTACACGTTGAGCTAGCCGCACACCGTTCGGGTAAAGTTACACGCAACCTGGGTGTGTTGTCTTCACCATGCATGAGTGCAGGACGGCGGTTGATGGCAAATTGAGACCTCGCTCGCGGCTGCAGGTTGTTGAGATTGATAGACGCCTAGCAATATTGCATGAGCGTATAGTCTGGATACGAAGTTATCATGTGTACGAGACGCATTCCATCTACAAGTCTACACACGACCTCGACATGACCTTCAAGCCGCTGCCACGCAGAGCGCAATCGCTGCTTGCTGCTGTACAAAATCTACCTCTGGTCAGCGATGTCGTATGGCTAGCGAAAGGCTCACCACTATCGATTATTATGTAAGAGGATTTTCCATACGGTTCGCCGACACCCCAGCTGAGCTTGTCGCAGTGTAATGGGCCCGACCGGGACAGGCAAATCCACGGTCAGTGACATCCCCGAGTGAAGCGCCACTACCTCATTTCCAAGGCAGTTCATCAACCTGGTGAGCGGCTCGAGGTTAGGAGTAGGAACAAACCTTCAGTCCGAGACGGCGACTATGCAGGTATCTCAGCCTTTCAAGCTCGGCTCAGATCGTGTCGTCCTGGTCGATACACCTGGGTTTGATGACACGCTGAGACCCGACAGAGAGATACTCACTATGATCGCGAAATACATGGCTGAGCTGTGCGTGTACTATTTTGTCGTGCTGCAAGACCGCCTGCCGTGACTAATGACATATATCAGGCATTGGAGGGGCGTCAAGATCAAGGGCGTCATCTACCTGCATCGTATCACCGACAACAGGATGGGCGGCACTGCGTTGAGGAACTTCAGGATGTTTGAGGCCCTCTGCGGGAAAGACGCAATGCGAAACGCCGTCATCGTCCTAAACATGTGGAATGAACTAGGGAACGAGATGCGCGAAGCGCGCGAGAAGGAGTTGCGCGAAAGTGACATCTTCTTCAAGCATGCTGTAGACGCAGGTGCGGACGTCATGCGCCACGACGGCACACTATCGTCTGCGAGCACCATACTGGTGCATCTCCTAAAGCAGAAGCCAGCGTCTCTTCAGATACAAAGGGAGACGGTGAACGAGACCAAGGAGATATCACAGACGGCAGCTGGCATCATCCTGTTAGGGGAGCTTGCGACGAGGGAAGGCAAACAAGTCGAGCAGTTGCAACGCCTACGCAGAGAGCTCGAGGAGTTCAAAGACGAGAAGGAGAGGAAAGAATTAGAGGAGGCGAAAATGGACCTAGAAAGAGCCAGAGAGGAGCTGCAGGACGAGAAGGGAAGGCTGCGGGACGCTGGCGCACTTGTCAGACGGGATCCTGAGTCGGACGGAGCACAGTCCCTCGGACAGAGGTGGTGGGGTCGCGCACTACGAGTGGTAACTAGAAGACAGACAGCATGACTCTTTTCACTGTCATGTCTATTGCAGCGCGGGCCCGGAGATACGTACTTGACTCGGACGTGCTGACGAGCATCCCAATTTACATATATACCGTAATTTATTATGCTTCGCGATTCGACCACGCACCATGAAATTTTGAAATCCCATCCATGACTTGAAGCACCCGTCCAAGTCGATTGTCAAAAGCGCGCCCACGTCCGAGTCGATGAACGTTCGAACACGGTAGTACAAGCGACACCGATGTATGATTTCTTCATCCTTGGTCAAAGGAGCCCGTAGTTTCAGGATTATAGATAGCCTCAAATTTTCGAAGCTTTTGAGTATCTTTCCAGTTGATGAGGTAGTAAGTATGTATGATTGCAGTACTTGTGGTCGGCCTGAGCGCTTGAGCGCTTGCGCAAACTGGGGGCCGAGCGCCTATGTCGGCGAGTGCGACCGCCAACACTGCCAACAGCGGCGCGGCAGCCGGGCTGCGCAGGACCCCTATTTATTGGTGGGGAGGCCTGATCCGGCAACCCGAGATTTTGCTTTTTTTGTCCGGACGTAGCCTTTCGATTTTGTCCGGATTAAATCAGGCCTTACGAGGTTCTGGTCGGTGCTGTCCGGACTCTGCATCAGGCCTCGGGGCAGGCGGTTCGGTGTCCGGATTGCAGGATCAGGCCTCCTGAGCCATGCAACTCACCGCCTTCGCACCTTCAATATGCACAGATGCAATGGGAGTACTACAGTAGTACTGTGTGAACGCACATTCTTGCCCCGGCAAACCTGCGTGCATACACTACTGAGTTTTACTATCGTTGTGAGAACAGTTATGTTGTTTATGCAACCCAACTACGATGCGGACATATGAGCCTCAATAGGCCTCGTGTAATGTGTGTCGCTCATGGCCCACCGGTGCTCTGAGTTGTCCGGGCCCTTGTCCGGACTAGGATCAGGCCTCGCGCGACATGGACCACCATGTCCGGATACTTCCTCAGGCCTCCGTCCGCATAAGGGACGATTTTGTCCGGATAACATCAGGCATACCCCCCTCAATTGGCCGGATTTTGTCCGGATTAAGATCAGGCCTCTCCCCCAATTGATAGGGGTCCTGGCTGCGCTCCTCCTCAGCTTCATACTTGATGATTCTATAAAGCTTGAGGTGTGTTACCTTTGCCGCTTTTAGACCCTTTGATCTGGACCTTCAGTAGCTGCCATTGCGGCAGGGCGGAGCAGAGTGCATGCGCATTGCATTGGGCACCAATCAACTTGAACTCAGCGACGGTAGTGAGTGATACTTGCTGTATACCTTATGTCATGTGAGTATGTACGTCAACTTTGGAGCGACATTGGATCTAATACTCGGCAGCGGTGATTTGAACGGTATCAATCAAAATCTCATTGTTTACCTCGGACGATACAAACGATTTCAATACGCGCATCCTTCGCGGGCGATGAGATCGGTACTTACAGGAAGCTTTTGCAGTGAAGAAATGCAAATGTAGACGCCGGATATGTACAATGATTACACGAGACATTCGAAGCGACCTTGCCAGGATCTCACTACTATTACTGTGACTCTAGGATATGGTGAACCTTCCAGCAAAGCAGAACCCGATATTCGATGCGCCATCCTACTCGTAGGAAGCGAAAGAGGCCGTTGCCACCACGCAGTTTATCCTCTTCCCCCTTGACCCGCCTGAGCTCCTCCTTGACTTTCTTCAACTCCTCTTTGAGCCGGACAATCTCCATCTTTCCTGCCGACTTGATCTCCTCTCTGAGGTTCAGCATCTCTCGCTGGTGTCTTTCCTCTTGTTCTACGAGGATTGCGAGTAGGTCACAGCCCGCTGCGGTTTCCGGCACTTGCCTCCTCTCCTCCACGAGTTCGCGTTGCATCTGAAGACCCCGCGCGGCGTTGTTAATGAGTGAACATACGATCGATTGGGCCGACTCTGCTGTCTTCTGGTGTCGGACTAATTTCGCTCCCTCCGCAACGGCTGGCTGGAAGAAGATCGGCTTGGACACTAGCTCCTGCTCTCGTGCCTGTCCAACCTCCTCCGAAACGTCCTCCCACATCGTAGTCACGATGAACACATTCTTCATTGCCTCCGGACCGCAAATCTTCCCGAAGAGCCTGAAATTCTTTCGCGCGATGCCCCCAACGCGGCGGTCGGAGATGCGGTGCATGTATATGACGCCTGTCAACTTGATGTCTTTCTCATATCTACGTGCGTGCAGTAGTTGAGCCATGAGGCATCCGCATTGCTACAGTCAAGGGCATTACTTACGTTTGTTTCAGAAACCGGCCTATGTCCTCGAGGACATCCGCTTGCGACTTTGTCGTGTCATCGAAACCTGGCGTGTCGATGAGCACGACCTTGGCATCGCCCATCATGCAATATGCGACGCCGATATCCTTCGTACACGACCGAAGGCCTGTTCCTACTTCCAAGTTTGAACCGCACACATAATTGATGAACTGCAGCGTCTTTCAGCTGTCGATTCCCTGCAGCAGCGCATACGATGGCTCTGCTCACCGTCGTTTTTCCCGCCCCTGTAGGGCCAGTGACCCTAGAGTTATATGCGCGTAAATGCGACTGTGTCTGAAATAAACGGGTGGAAGCCACGCACGCAATCAACTTCAAGTTCCCGTTGTACAGAGCCATCTCGCGCCCGAAGGTTGCTGTGGAACTACGAGGAAAGCGCTGGCTGATGTTTCAGTATCAAAGCACATCCTGGTGAGTATGATATATTTACAACGGGTCTGCAGCGGACCTGGTGTCCCGCACCAACTCTACATCTTACCTCTAACACGTATTGTCACTAGGCGGCCGGGCCTGAATGTGCGCGGCGACCCAGGGCACATGTGTAACGTATCCAGTGATCGGCGATGCAGACCTTGAGGGGATACTGTGTCAGTGGCTCGTATGGCGTGTCCACGGCACCGACCATTGGACCGTCGCTGCTGAGTCGGTGGTCCGAGAATATCAACAGATAGCTCCTACAACTGGCGACAGACTCCGGCTCCGTAAGTTGTCGTATGGATCTTGATGTTAGGAGCTCCTTACCTCACTGTCAGAGTTTACTAGTACCGTTCAATGGACTCAGAAGAGACATCGTGTACTACTAACGGTACCAGGTTCTAAAACTGCGTGACAGAAATCGGCACAGGCTCTCTCGTAAAGCCGGTGACTCTAGAGTCAGACATGCGTCAACATGGGTGAGTCTGGAATGAATAACGAGTGGCAGGGCACTAACGCAATCAGCTTCAGATTCCCATTGTATAGAGACATGTTGGCCCAAAGTCTGTTGTAATAAAATATTACGACCGTGAGGCCGCTATTGTGGTATGAAGCCGCGACCTCGTATCATATATTTGCGACTGACACTCTTGAGGTAGACTTCCTCCGCTCCTGCGTCGAACATGCTTTTTTGGCACGTGTATGTAGTAGCATGCACAACGTCGCGTCAGACGGTCTACGATGCACCTGAGATACGGCGGCGTTATCTTTGCGCCTCGCTTCAAATTGAAATAGCCCAGGGTCCGATGGCTTTAGTTTCATTGATGGAAAGCTGGCCCACAAGATCCGTGACTCCCACTTCTCAACTGCATATCCCGCCGTCAAGCTACGCTATCAATGAAATCACCTACTTCTGAGGGCGCTCCTTTCTGCTGTAGGTTTTCTTATGCACATAAGGTAAGCGGAGTCCCTAGCATGCGTCTGCGATTCTCGCTGATCTGTGATATATCAGTGACGAGTCTATATAGCTGATGCGACAGCGCGCAACCCTAAACTGCCGCTTTCACTCGAAAATTTAATGCACCGAACCCTGCGGTGCGAGTACGAAGTGATGCCAGCGCTCTGAAACATCACACCGGATCCAATCGTACATCGCTGTTGGGCATACGTGGTCAGCTCGGCAGCATGAGCCACCAGGATGCATAGCTCTATGATTCACAAAGCGAAGTGTAAGGTGTTCGATATGGTGACCATGACAATTTCCTCTGACGCGTCTCGTTTGGGATGGAACTAGGGTGGAGCAACTAATGGGTACCGTTGTCGCACGGTGTTCATGAAAGGCAAGCTCCGTGACTAGCTCCGCGGATTACACACGAATGTGAAAGTAAGCTCATCGTCGCTTATGAAACTCGCTATTGAATTCAAATGACGACACAAATCTGTTCCAGTGTACTTCTAGCACCCCATGGTGTTCCCGAACTGGAGCCGGTTCCTCGTCCCAGAATGAGCGTAGGTTTCGAGACTTCATGCCGGACAACCATTCGCACGACTCTCGGAATATCTAAGTATATGTCACCAACGAGCAACATGTCACCCTTCAGCCGAATGACCTAGCACGGACAGTCGACTGTGAGGTCCGCACGTGCGCTCACAGATACTTTCTGACGTACTGTGTCTCTAGCAGTGCTCCAGTATATGCGTCCTTTACCATGGTCATCAAGTTAATCGAGACATTCCACGGGGTGTCATGTCCCGTCATATCCTCTTCCTCCTCCTGGAAATCAATCACATACAACGGTTTCAGCTCAGTTCATCAAACACACAAAGACTGAGCCCGTTTGATATGGGATCACGCCGGACGCATCGGTCTTCAACGACCAGGCTGAGCCAGACAGCCGCGACCCTGGCTACGGCAGCCCAGGCTGACTCGGAGCGGCACGGTATCCAGCCCACTGAATTCCAACGTCCGACGGCCTCCGCTCCTATGCGCACCTTTTGTGCGGGGCCCAACAATGTGGGCTTAGCTGTAATCCACGCCTTCAGCTGCATTTACAAGATCTCGAGTGCGTCCGTCAAGAACGCGCTTTTCGCTGGATTAGCCTACCGATATACATGCGGTTTCATATGGGGCCGAGCCGCGATTCACGTAAACAAGTAAGTACCGTGTACTCAAGATTGGGCCATCGCCCACCCGCCTCGTCGAATGCCGCATCAGACCGCAAAGTTGCCGTCCCCCACTCCTCAGCCCTCCACTCGATCTGACCGGAGGAAGGGCTATGTCTCGGAAACGTTGCGGACGCTCGATGACACTGCAGCAACAGCATACATACTGTGAGCTTGAACTGTTGCTAGACTCTCCGTGGGAACAGCACTTACAGATTCACCAGGATTATGGGTTCCACCGGAACAGGCAAATCTACGGTTGGTATTGTTCAGTATGCGGACTCCTGGTATCTGAGTACGCTGCAGTTCATCAACTTAGTGAGTGGCTCCAATTTGAGAGTGGGGACCGGACTCCACTCCCAGACAGCCACTGTCGAGCTATCCAAAATGTTCGAACACAAATCTCAGCGAATCGTCATGGTGGACACGCCTGGATTCGACGATACCATTGAATCCGACACAGACGTGCTCATTACAATCGCGAGTTATCTCGCACACTTGTGAGTCGACGCGTCTACTCACGGACTGAGAGTCGGCGATGACTAACGCGAGTCACCAAAGGTATCGCGAAGGCATCCAGATACGTGGCATAGCGTACATGCACCGCATCACGGACAACAGAATGGGCGGAACAGCACTCAGAAATTTCCGGATGTTTGAAGCCATCTGCGGGCAATCCGCTAGGCAAAATGCGATCATAGTCCTGAACATGTGGGACCAGGTGAAGAAGGACATTGCCGAAGCACGGGAGAAAGAGTTACGCGAGAGTGACCTCTTCTTCAAACCTGCGGTAACCGCTGGTACACGTACAATGCGTCATTGGGACAACAGGGAGTCGGCGATACCGATTCTGGAAAATCTCATCAATCAACCTTCAGTCGCTTTGGCGATTCAGCGAGAGATCGTTGAGGAGCGCAAAGCGATTCACCTGACGGCAGCCGGGCTGACGCTCCTCGGGGAGCTCGCTGCAAAGGAAGCCAACCATGTCGAGGAATTGCGTCGTATACGTGAGGAGAGAGAGGAAGCAAGGTCAAGGAGAGACGTGGACGGGGAACTTGAAAGAGACGCAGAAGAGGCGCAGAAGAGGCTAGAAGATCTGCGAAAAAAGCTGGTGGATGAGCAACGGAAATTGCGAAACGCGACGACTACAAGTCGGGAAGTGAGGGTGTCTCGACGTCGACGCGCACAGAGTAGCAGTAGTTGCTGTAATTGTTGTTGTTGTTGTTGTTGAACGTCGGGTGTTAAGCGTTAAGCGCTGGCTGCGAAGCCTGAGTGTACAGTACTTACAGTACTTGTACAGTTGTGTATCCAGCTCGAGCTCTTGTCGCCGCACATGAGCATGATCAATATCCGATAAGTATGCAGTACCAGAGTCAGAACCAGAGTTGTGCGCTCTCAAACACGCGCGGTGCACATTCGAATACCGCCGCTGCGACATGACGACAGTACAGCATCACTCACAGAGGCTTGAGGCCCTGTCCCAGATGTGCGTGCGTGAGTACATAAGGCTAGTCAGCGTTTTCTGCATACCTATAACTATGCGGTCATCATCATCCACTCGCATATCGTCCCGAGCCTCGGCTTGGACTCTGTGACATCTGGCCTACTAACGCCTTCTCCCGTCGCATACCTCCTCTATCTCCCGAGCTCCTCCCCGGACGCCCGTCCTCTGTCGTTGTTCCTGACGCGGCTTCTGCCCTAGTGAGATCTGCAGCTTGCGTTTCTACGTTAGGTTTTGACACCGGTCTACGCATGCTAGTGGGCACACCTGGCTCTTTCCCCAATATGGCGGATACAATTTGGTTCGCAGATTGCTGTGTATTGTAATGAGACATTACGCGAGCGCCGCGATCACAAGCCTCTTGGAAAAAATCACGAAGTTGGCGTAATCTTGCATCAGCCGCCTCTGGCCGCGAGTCCTTGACAATGTCCCACATCGTAGTGACGATGACGACCGTGCCAGTGAAGCTTTTGCAGAGTCTCCGGAATGATCTGTAGCCGTCTAGGGAGCTGCCAGACATGCGATTGTCGCAAATGCTATGCATATATATTACTCCTACGAGCTTGCCCGTAAGATACCTGTGGTTGAACAACTGAGCGCTCTCGCAACACACAACATCGATGAGCTGTTCATTCCTCACGGGTTTTGCAGAAACCTCTCGATCAATTCCACTATTTCTCGTTGAGGCCTTTGTGTGTCGTCGAACCCTGGTGTATCGGCGAACATGATGGGCTCTCCTCCAAACTGCGTCGAGATGCACTGTATCTCAGTTGTGCATGACTCGAGTCCAAGTCCGACTTTCATGTCGGAGCCTGCTACACAGTTGATGAACTGACGGTGAACAGCTTCAACTCACGATGCTCAAAGACGACACATAGGAGGTCTTACTGTTGTCTTCCCGCTTCCTGTGCAGCCCATAAGACTATCAAAGACAGTCAACCTTGATGTTGAGCAGGTGTGGAGTGATCGAGGTGAAAAGGACGTACACAATTAGCTTCGGCTTGGTCACCTCAGAATGGCTCCTTTCTGGACCCCGGAATCTCAGGATCTGCCTGAGCTCTTCGTCGGGCAGGGGCGGTCGCCGCTTACCGTTCGTCGACGCAATAGCCTGGGACGCCTCCGAGCCGAGATCCTCCCGACTTCTCTCCTCATCCCTCATATGCGGTACCTGCACGACTTGATCCTCCCGCATCTGTTCTAGGGGCCATGCGTCGTCAGTGTATCGCCTGACCGGCACCCCCGCACCCTGCAGCCTTTCCTTCTCCAGCTCCTCTCTGGGTCTGTCCAGGTCCATTTGCACCTCTGATTCTTTCCTCTCCTTCTCGTCCTTCCAGTCCTCGAGCTCTCTGCGTAGGCGCTGCACCTCCTCGAGCTCTCTGCATAGGCGCTGCAACTCCTCGATTTTTGTGCCTTCCCTCGTCGCAAGCTCCCTCAAAAGGATTATGCCAGCTGCCGTTTGTGGTATCTTTTTGTCCTCGTTCGTCGTCTCCCTTTGTATCTGTAGAGACACAGACTTCTGCTTCAGGAGATACGCCAGTATGCCGTCGGCGGATGATTGTTGACCGTCGTGGGCCACGACGTACGCACCCGCATCTACAGCGTGCTTGAAGAAGATGTCACTTTCGCGCAGCTCCTTCTCGCGTGCTTCGCGAATCTCGTTTCCCACTTGATCCCACATGTTTAGAACGATGACGGCGTTCCGCATCGCGTCTTTCCCGCAGAGGGCCTCAAACATTCTCATATTCCTCAATGCAGTGTCGTCCATCCTATTGTCGGTGACGCGATGCAGGAAGATAACGCCCTTAATTTCCATGCCCTTCCGATGCCTGGCATCTGACGTTAGTCACGGCAGGCGGTCTCCACGGCGCAACGAGATACACGCACAGGTCAGCCAAGTATTCGGCGATCATACTGAGTATTTCTCTGTCGGATTTCGATGTTTCGTTAAACCCCGGTGTATTGACCAGGACGACGCGTTGTGAGCCGACTTTGAAAGGCTCGGTTGGCTGTACGGTGGCTGCCTCAGGCTGGAGGCTCGTTCCTACTCCTAGCCTGGAGCCACTCGCCATGTTGATGAACTATTTGCAATGAGACACCAGCGCGTTGCTTGGGAGTAATACTTACCGTGGATTTGCCCGTCTTTTCCGCGCCCATGACACTGTGATGATTTCAGCTGGGGTGCCCGCGAGTCGTACAGTGAATGCTCTTACATAATAATCGAGGACGGCGAGCCTTTCAAGTTCGTTAACCGTACGAGATCTTCGATGACAAGCGGAACGTTGTGTATGGCGGAAAGCAGTGAATGCGCCCTACGTGGTTGGGCGCGAGGAGCAATTGCGCGCGGAATAGCCACGCGGGGAGAAGGGGTAGGTGCGCGCGGCGATGAAGATGCACGCGGAGAGTCATCACGATAAGCGAGCTGATGATCCAGAGTAGATGGTCTCTGAGGGTTTAGTGGAAACCAAGGAGTCGGTATGGCCGGCGTGGATCGAACATCTGAGTAGGACTAGGCAGTTCAGTTAGCAATGTTAGGCGAATGTTAACACGACAAAACGCACGGGCCTCTGACCCTGAGGCATTTCTGAATACACCATGCGACCCAGCTGCGACACGACATCCTGGAGACGCGTATGGAAGCGATCTCCCTGAGCCATTTGCAATTTGTCTCTCTCGATTTCGGTTTTCCGTAGCTTTTGACGGAGTTCCCCAAGCTCGTCTCTCAATTGCTGGAGCCCCTCTTCCGTATGCCTCCTAGTGGACCTGGCCTCTTCGGTGGAGACGTCCAATCTCCATTGTTGCTGCTGATACATTGCGTCCAACTGAGAAGCCAGTTCACGTCCCGCGTCAGTCTGTGGAACGGTCTTGTGCTCCTCGACCAACTGGCGCTGGATGTGGAAAGCGGCGGGGGGTTTCCCCAACAGCGTCGAGAGAATACCGACCGCAGATTTGTGCGTATTATCGTGACGCATGATGCGAGCTCCAACGTCGCAGGCATCCTTGAAATAATGACCTCTGAGTTCTCGAGCTCTGACGTTTGCGATCTCTGACGGCACTATATCCCACATTGTGGTGACAATGATGACGTTTGCCATCGCGGTATCCCCGCAGAGCTTGCGGAAGAGCTGGTAGGTCTTCAGGCTGATGTCGGACATTCGATTGTCAGAGATTGGATGCAGGTACAGGATCCCGGTGAGCCGCGTGCCATGAGCAAACCTTCATGGATATCAGCATCAACTTCCGATCAAGAACAAAACACCTCACGTCTGTTGTAAGAAAGCAGCAATCAAGCTCAGTATGTCGGCTTGAGGTATTTCGATATCATCAAATCCTGGTGTGTCGATCAATGTAATGCGGTCGCCTGCGAGCTGCATTGTCGCCATCTGTATTTCGCTTGTGCCTGACTGGAGTTCGTGGTCGACGACCAGGTTCGAGGCAGCAGCGCAGTTGATAAACTATTACAAAGTTTCTCAGCGTACTTCAGATAAGTATCTGGATGCTATCGCGTATTTACCGAGGACTTTCCACTTTCCGTGCAGCCCATAAGTCTGTTTTGAGCCGCATGAATTGACCGAATCAGGGCCCTGCATGATCGATCGCAGCAACAGCAGAACGTACGCGATAAACTTCGGTGCAGGTTCTGCCATGACGGTACAGCCAGCAATCAGAGCAGCAGAGGATCGCAGTGTCAATATCACCCAGCCGTCCAAAATATATGTACGCTGTGTGGACAGTGGTTCAACGTAGCATACAGTCGGATAGTGTCCGGATTACTAGAACCATCTGTGAAGAGACAAGACACACCTCTCGTCACGTACGCCGCTCGACTGGGCAAGCGAAAGCATTGCCTCCGCGCGTGGTCGAGCATGGCATGGACCACTGTGACATAGCAGGAAGGGAGGCGCATGACCTTCTTGACATGCCTTCGCAACGTTCGTCTCGTTGGCCATGCGCTCGGTTCGGGATCTCTTGGGCTTGAATAAGACATAGAAGTCCAATTGTAGCTTGTTACCAGGACACCAGAAAGATGAAGCCTCTCACCAGGCACCGCAGTGGCCCAAGCTCTGTGGTGGCCGACGGACCGGGAACTGGCCAAGAACTGGCCGAATCCCGTTTACTCGGGCGTTTCTGACACACAAGTCCACAGGGCATGTGCGCGCATTGGTATGTTATAGAAGCCATGCTGTTCAAAGACCACACACCGCCAGTATTCCACATTGTCCGGCTGCTTCTCTGGACACTGTGCCTTCGCCCTAAGCCCATCGTGAGTTGTAAGTGCGCGCCTGATCTGTCCTCCGCGAAATCAGGCCCATGCGAAGTTTCGGGCAGTAGGGCCACTGCAGAGCCTTGCGGTGCGGTGATCGTGGTAGTGAATAGAAAAAGGCGGTAGCGAATACACGGCTAGTAGGTGCTGTATTAGTGGCTGGGCGGTGTGGTGCACGTGAGGCGCTGTCGGACTCAAAGGCGGTCGGGACGATGGCGACGAGGGCAAACACGACTCTCATCTCGCTCGCAGCTCTCGTTCCCCCTCCCACTCGTTCACCACCCCGGCCCATTCTGCTCGCGCGCACATCCTACCAGAACCCCGACAAAACTTGCCTTTTGCGGCATAGCACGCCGCCTCGCCTCATCGCTCGCTGTTGCCCAGATATTATCAGTCCCAGATCAAATCTCCTCTGTCCTCGCTGTATCCGCACCAGCCATCTGTGCCATCCCACACGTCGTCATACCCTCCTTCAGACGCTGCTGAGAGCTTCTGGTCCCGCACGCACTGCTCCCGAGGCTATCCCGCTCTAGTTGATTGTATACCACCCGCAACACCACCCGATCGTCAGTCCCAGCAGCGCCGATGGCTAAACACAACGCGATCATTTTCGGTGCGTAGCCCCGTAAACCTACTGAGGTCGCCGACTGACCGATCTGCCACGTTCTGTGTCGTGTCGTTTCCTGTGAACAGGCGGTGTGAATACTTGCGCTCGCGCTCTGGCTGCCTACCTCGTACCATCTGATGGAGAGTCTCTTGTAGAGGTACGTCGACTTGCTTCATTCACGTCCACTTTCTCGGTGTCGTGCGAGCCGTGGGGGAGTAGACGAACCTTCTTGCCATGTCGGACAGCGCACCGATGACTGTCGATCCTCCACGCTGTGGGTGCGTGCTCGCGTGTTCCTCGGAGCCTAGCCACGCTTTCTGCCCGTGGATTTGGCGATCGACATGTGGACTCGTGGTGCTTCTGCCATGCGACGTGCGCGTTGCGAATGCCAGGATGGAAGAGTCGCGCGCACCTTGCACTCGCCCGTAGGCACTGAGAGCGAGGTCGTATCTACCTGTATGTGCCAAACTGACCTTGCTTCTGGCAGAACCTCCGGATAGTTGACAAGTACTCGGTCTCACCACCGACTACGTATGTATAGTCTGAGTCCAATCTTCGTCGCTGCACGTCCTCAATCGCTCTCTAGATATCTTGGCGCGGAGTTCAAGCAAGTGCTAGAAAAACCCAATGTAACTTACCGCCAGGCGAATTTGACCGTAGCCTGTGAGCATATTGTACTCCTGTACTGGCGCACGCTTCCTGACCCATCGTCCTCGCAGCCACCGTTGCGACATGTTTCGATCCTCCGGAGGGCCAGGAGCCTTACTCGTACGTGTTCGACTTGACAGGCGAGGTACAGTGGGATCGGCCGGAGGCGGTGCAGATCAACAATACGCTTCGGATGGCGCGACACGTCGGCCTGGAGGCGGCAAAACGCGGCGTGACGGCGTACGTGCGCATCATGCCCCCGTTCTACGAGTGCAAGGACAAGGGCGCGCACGACGAGAAGGATGACCCGAAGCCGGACGGTGTGATCGGTACGTGGTGGCATGAGACGATGAGGACGCTGGGGGCAATTGAGGGGTGCGTGATGCAAGCTATGTTGCTGGCGTATGCTAACGCGCTACAGGCTGAACCTCGTCATTCTGAGGAAGGCGCTGGTGTACGGACCGTACATTGATTATGGACGTGAGTAGCTGCTTGCTTGGGTCAGGGCTGGTTCTCATGGCGCGTCTTTCTCTCTAGCCATCATGTCTTCAATCTCTATGGCGGCGGTATACGGCTATCTGAAGCAGCCTGTCAAGGGCCTGTACGTGTCTTCGCTCGCTCGTCAGTCATGTACACTGTACTTATACCCCACACAGGTGGTCGCCGGGCAAGCACCCGATGCACACAGTCCATGCCGAGGACGTTGCGGGTGCGTTCTGGGCGTGCGCAGAGTGGATCGCAAGTGTTGGCGGGCGCGCGAAGGCCGACGAGCTCGCAGGCGAGGAGATCCCCTTCCACAATGACAAGAGCAAGGTGTCGGAGATCAGTGAGATGGTTCCGCCGGACCGCAAGGTCGTCGCTCCGTTCTTCAACGTGGAGGATGACGGGCAGCTCGCGATGGTCGACGTTGCGACGCGCGTTGCGAAGGCGTTCGGGACCTCGTTCGAGTTCTTTAACTTCATGGTGAACACGATGGCTAAGGTTCGTCCCACTTCCTTGTCGTTGATATCTGATATCTAAGTCTGACGGATGTATGCAGTTCAAGCTGGAGGACGTGGTAGAGGACATCAACGAAGCGCATGTATCCGCGTGGACGACGATGATCACGGAGGCCAACCCACCCGTGCCCAATACCCACTTCAGCGCGTACACGGACATTTACAACCTGAAGAAGCACGTCATCGCGTTCAAGGCGGATAAGCTGAAGCGCCTGACGGGCTGGAAACCCAAGCACCCGGAGCTCACGGAGGACGAAGTCCGCGACCTCATCGCAAAGCTCAAGGCGGAAGGCAGCTGGCCGAACAACGACTCATGATCGCGCTCCCCATGGCACGGATTCCGGAACTCTGCTCTCTCGCTCTCCTTACAAACTCGAGCTTCGACGCGCATCGTTATGATGGGCTCTCTGTGTGCTGGCGCGGGTGTTGATGACAACGACGATAATGATGTGGCATGAATTCATCTGGATGTGCTGTTTGGTTGATTCTACCGTTTTTCGACTATTCTGTGCTGACTCTCCCCCTATCTCTTTATCTCTCCGTCTCTTCGCAGTTCTCACATATACATATTTCTGTCAAAGGTATCTTACAGTCCGCGTCGATTTGTCCCGCTTTCGCTATCCACGCGTCTTAATGTAGTTGCTGTCGGCCATTAGGGCTGTAATACTAGCGTCGCTATTTGTATCGAAGCTAGATTTGGAATTGCAACTCGTACTCCAAAGCCGTTCGTGCGTGTCGATACAGGCTGGCGAGACGGCTGTCTGATTGTGAGTGCTGCTCACCTTGCCGCGTTCATACTTGCTGACACAAGGGTTCTGGCTTACAGCACATATGAGGATGTGTTCTGATCATACCACGTCCGATGTGCAAATTCATGGGCCGTACTGCATCGATTTGACTCCCATGTAGGACTTGCAGTATCAATTCCCATCGACGAGGAATATGTGCTCGGACCCGATTTCCAGCAAGGCGAGCAGTCCGAACCGTCGATGATGTCCGAACGTATGACCATGAGTATATTGTTGACCGTACGTGAACATAGGTATTCCATCTCCTGCATGAATCGTTGTCATCGTACTAAAGATTTCTGCCAAGCTTCGTGAACTCGTGTGGATGGTCGTAAAGAATTCGAGGAGGACCAGCCCCCATAGGAGCGTGTAGCGTCATGCAGCCGTCTCGTGTCTGCAAGCCAAATCAAAACCCTTCCCGTGCGTCGGGTCCTTATGCCACTCACCGTAAGAATGTCATTCTGAGGAACTTCTTGATTGCTTTAGTCACTCGTCGCATTCGTGGCCGGCAGCCTCGCCTGGCTGAACTTGGACTGGGAAGCCCGCTCTGAGCCAGTGGCCGATGTTTCTTCTCATCGTCAAATGGGAGCTCTAGCGGAGATATGACAGGACCGTCCTTGTCGTCGATGTCCGTGCGGGACGCCGCGTTCAGAGCAACCCTGATGACAGGCGCTTCCGATTGCCACGAGCACTGCGATGCTCGTGCAACTGACGTTCGCATTGAAGGTTTGATATCATATTCTGCTTGCTTGCGGATGTCTGGACTGAACTGTAGTGGCTGTGGCGCATTCGCGACGAGGTGTCTGACAATCTCGCGCGCGGACTTCGCCGTCCTGTCGTGGTGGAAGATGACGGCACCGGCGTCCATGATGGGCCTGAAATATGCCTTGCGAGTGCAAAGTGCGTACTTCCGCGTTTCTCGCACGCTGTGATTGACGTCTTCCCACATGCTGAGCACGATGGCGACGTTGGTCAGCGCCTCCTGGGCGCACAGCGTTCGAAAGGCAACGAGGCTCTCCAGCGCTACGTGGCCCATGCGACCGTCAGAGATCCTGTGGAGATAGATTGTGCCATGCAAGATGGTGCCCTTCCTGCGCCTGTCATGACTGTCAGCTAACGCTATTACAGTGGAGATCTACGAATTCACTGACATCTTTGTCAAAAACGCACCCACTAATTGCACGACCTCCTCAGTGGACTTGGTAGTCATGTCCAACCCGGGTGTGTCAATCAGAATTACACGCTTCGAGTCGATCTTGACTGGTCTTGACAGCTGGATGGAACGTGTCTGGGACGACAGCGAGGAACCAACGGCTAGGTGCGAACCAGTCGCGGTATTGACAAACTGGCACAGCTGAGCGATAACAATATTGTCCGCGTCAGGCATGGCTTACTGTAGTTTTCCCGGTTCCTGTGCGGCCCATGACACTGGCAATCAACCATGTCAGCGTCACTTGTACAACGGGCATGACAACGAGCTCTGGGACTTACAGGATATACACGTAGTCTCCTTTGTGGAACAGCGATTTCATGGTTGCGAAAATGCCGGCCAATGAGGGGATTTGCAACATAGTGGTGTGCTGGTGGTATAGCAGTGTGCTGCAATGGTTCGCCCAAGGTTTTGAGTGTGCTCGCTCTACACTAACACGTGCCTGGCTTACGCGTGTATTGCAGCAGTGTGTCTGGCTCGGACTAAGTACCTTTGCCGCTTCCAGTGCGTCCTTGGAACCTACTTAGTGTTCAAGGGCGCCGCCCTGACATTTTTGCACCGCTCTCTGATCCAGTCGCGCTGCACTGCCATTGGGGCGACAGGCTGCCTGCGCACTCGTAGCTTCCGTGCTACATGTAACTTACAATGTCTACCAGCATGCCAGCGCCTCGAAGACGTCCGCCATACGAGGCTCGCAGTTACCGAATACAACATTGCGGTGGCGCCCGTAGTGGATGAGGATCTGCGAAACGACGCCCAGCCACATTTCCCACATCCACACGAATACCGCCCGACACATTTTATGAAGCGCAACATGAGGGGTCGAACGGACATACCGCCCTCGCCCACAAGCATTATTCCAATCTACGACTCGGCATGACAAGTCTTACATTCGACAAGCCGAGGACCACAGTCAACGCACCTAGGAGTCCTACGGTCGTTGAGCCCACTCTTGTAGTCAATGGAGCGTCAGGCAACGAAGGCACGCCTTCGGCGAGCCGATCGAATCACCTCGCGGATGAAGCAAGTCCTGCCACTGATGGAAGCGCTCCGAGAGGTGCTGGGGTTCTATCTTCCGACGACCCTTCAAGATCCCCAGTTAATGAGACGCAGCTTGCCATTGAAGAAGGGAAGGTGCACATACTGTGAGTCGCGACCAGTACATGTAGAGGGTCGGTTCCTGATAACGGCCTGTAGTGTGATTGGCAAGACAGGATGCGGCAAAACGACGGTCAGTTGTACGACTGAATTGCGGAGCCTGCGTTGACATGCGGACTCCACGTTTTGCAGTTCATTAATGTCGCGGCGAAATCGAAGCTCGAAGTCGGACGCGGGCTGGAACAATGTACCACGACGATACAGTCAGCTGAGCTTGCGTTGTATGATGGTGCCACGTCGGTGGTGTTGCACGACGTACCAGATGGGGTGGAGAACGTTGATAGGGACATGCAGTCGTATGTACCTTTAGGCTGACAAGTCAGTAGAGACCGTCGCTGACGAGCCTTGAGCAGTACTATTAGTGCTATCATTTACGTGATCGACAGCACGGAGACACGCGCCAAGCTCTACACGGAACAGAGCTATCAGATCCTCAGCGGACTTGACAAGGAGTGCAAGCTGCACAAGTTGCTTTTTCTTGTCTCCAGATGGCCGACGCAAGAGGACGAGGCTCGCCGAAAAGACGCATCATCGAGGCTGCGCGAATACGAGCAAGACTACTTCGAACCGTATGTCAGAAGGGGCGCAATTGTGCGCACGTTCAACAAGGACATGGGTAATGAACAAGCGCGCGCCATAGTTCGAGCCCTTGTGGAGAGCACGTTGGCTGCCAAGGGTATGAACAGCCCAGATTTCGTCCATCCGACTCATGCAGTGAAACTGATTTTCTCGCATAGGCAGCAACACAGGGATTCGCAAACGCTGCAGCTGCATTCGGGGTCTCCGAAGTAGATTAACAGAATCATGTGTCATATGCTAGCGATAGGACAGGACGTGGTATGATAACGATGATAACACGATACTTATTATGCGTAAAGTACCTAGCCACAGTGGAGTCAGTCTCACAGTTACATAAATGGGAATTGTTTGTTTGGCAAGAGCCTCTGATCCAAACATCCACCTCATTGGTTGCCATTTTTGGCACCGACACGTTATACAGCGTTGTACGCGTCCTTCGGCAGACGACGCGCTCTACTGAACCTCCATCTGAGAGGGTTTTGACTGTTGCACCATGGACCTCTCGAGCCTGAACATAGGCAACTATGCTGTCTCGACGAAACACGTCGTCCTCTCGGAAATTCTCGCCGTGACATCGGTCATGCGAAAGAACTCGCGATGGGCACTGTCTACACGCTCGCTCAGCACCCGCGAATCAGCACTTGCAAGCAGCCTCGGACTCAGGCGCGTCAGACAAGAATCAGCAAACCAGTCGACGAAACGCGGAAGCACCGAACAGGAGCTCATGGCCGGCTTCCAGGATCTCAAACGGTTACTGAAGGACGTCGAAAGTCTGTCGTGACTCTGTTGATGTTGTGAAAACCTGCTGACCGTCAATGCCGCAGATGTTGCGGGCCTACCTCTTCCAACCATTCTCTCACCCTTCTGTGCTATCATCCGCTCGCCATTGTCGACAGGCCCCATTACGTCCACGGCGCTCACATCCTTGCACAATCTCTTCGTTTGTGGTCTCATTCACCCAAACGCCCTATCCCTATCTGCCGCGTTGTCCGAACTCAGCAATGCCATCTCGCGCTGTAAGTTCGAGACCAGCGACTCATCCGGGGATGAAGTCGTGCTACTCAAGATCATGACTACCATTCATGACACGCTCTGCGGGCCGGTCGGAGACCTACTGGGAGACGTGGAGGTATGCGAGATGCTGGAGACAGTATTGACAACGTGCTGTCAAGTGCGGTTGAGTGGTACGTGGCAGCGTCTGTGTATCGTGTCTGGCGTTCAACCTCGTGCCAAGAGATCCTGCGTCGGTCAGCCGAGGCGACGATGCATGCGCTTGTGCAGACCGTTTGCTCAAAGTTGCACATCTTGGATCCGGCCGTTGAGGAAGCGAAGCTCGCGGATATTGGCTACGACGCAGACGAGCAAGAGGGCAAGATGAGCATGAAGGCATCCACTGAAGATATACCGCCGAGTGTGGAAACCGGTGGAGACTCGGAGACCCTACGGACACCACATCCTGCAGATGGTCGACCAAGATGTATGTACGACGCTGGACTTCACATGTCATGTGTTAACCACGTTCTACAGACGGATTGGCCTCCATTGTGGAACTCCTCCGAGTAGTCATCAACGTCCTTGACCCCAACGATCCCCTGCACACAGACTCTATCCGCCTAACTGCCCTCCGTATCCTCAACGTTGCCTTCGAGGCCTCTGGCACACATCTTTGCGCGTTCCCTTCGCTGTCAGCGCTCATTGTCGACCAAGGATGCAAATTCCTCTTTCAGCTCGCGCGTTCGGACAACTTCGGCGTCTTGCAGGTCGCTTTGCGGTCGATTGCGACTATGTTCGAGATCACGCGTCCAAAGCTGAAGTTGCAGCAAGAGTTGTTTTTGGCATTCTCGATAGACAGACTAGCACCCCCACCACCGGCTAAGGGCCCGTCAACGTTTGGGAAGCCCTCCCCTAGGCCAGCGACGCCTATCCCGTCAAATCTAGAAGCCGATACGGAGAAGCCCCCGCAAACTCCTAGATTACTCGTCGCACCAGCCAAGGGCGACACTCGCGAGCTTCTCCTGGAAACAGTATGCTTGATATCGCGGCATCCGAGTTTCATGGTCGACCTGTACGTGAACTACGACTGCGACATGAACTGTGAGAATATGTTTGAGCGTATCATCGAGTTCGCGACGAAGGTTGGTGAAAGGTCTGGACTGCATTCTATCAAATATTCACCATCTGTAGGGCATCTACCCCGTAGAGGCACTGGGTGGTCGTGAAGTCAACCAACAAAACGTGCAAGATTTATGCCTAGACATTGTTCTGGGGTTCGTGAACCACATGGCTTCTCGAGCTGAAGGTGTCGGTACCCTTATTCGTCTGTCCGTGGACCACATAACTAATCCAATTCACGCTTCTAGCAAAGCGAGCCGTGGCCGTCGGTGAGATGACAGCATATGATATATGATGGGATGAACTTACTAATCGCATTTCCTTGTAGCACTTCGTCTTGCCTGAAGATCTCCAGCATACCAAGTCGCGGAAAAAATTGGTCCTCACAGGCACGGCACGCTTCAACACGAAGCCCAAGACAGGTATATCGTTCTTGGAAGAACACAAGCTGATCTACACGGATCCGAACGAGCCACGACCACTGAGCCTTGCCAAGTTCCTGAAGAACTCTGCGAGGATGGACAAGCGGCTTCTGGGCGACTTCCTCAGCAGGCCAGAGAACATTGACGTACTGAAAGCGTTCATGGGCTTGTTTGATTTCAAGGATGTATGTTATTCAATAGCACGCTCGAGTGTGAGCTAATTACTGCGCGCAGAAATCTGTAGCTGATGCCATGCGTGAGCTGCTTGAGACGTTCCGATTGCCGGGCGAGTCTCAGCAGATCAATCGAATCACGGAGACCTTTGCAGAGGTGTACATCGCTACTGAACCTGGTGCGTTCGTCACAGAATGCAGAATGTAGTGATATTGACACCGCATTAGCGGAGGTGAAGTCCCAGGATGCAGTATACGTCCTTGCATACTCGATCATTATGTTGAACACGGATCAACATAGTCCTCAGATCAGAGTAGGAGCTTCGAACACTTCACAAGCTCAAAGCTCACATAGCTGCAGAAAAGGATGACGATCGATGATTACAAGCGCAACCTGAAGGGCGTCAACGATGGATCAGATTTCTCGGCAGAGTACTTGGTACGCTCGACTTCGTTTTGACCGCACACTTGGCTATCGTTGACGACTAGGGAAGCAAAATATCTATGATTCCATTCGTAAACGCGAGATCATCATGCCCGAAGAGCATACTGGTCAAGCAGGCTTCGAGTATGCGTGGAAAGAGCTTTTGGCTCGTTCGCGGCAAACAGGCGAGCGCTGTAGCACTCACCATATGGACGCTGACACTGATACGTCCAATGCCAGGCGAACTCATGATGTGCAATGCCTCCACCTTCGACGTCGATATGTTCAAGACTGTTTGGAAGCCTGTCGTGTCGGCCATCGCATACGCGTTCATCACGTTCGATGACGACTACATCATCGAGCGTGCTATCACCGGTTTCCGACAATGTGCAACACTTGCTAGGCATTTTGGCATGGCAGACGTCTTCGACTATGTCGTCGTGCAACTGTCTCAGGCGACAGGTCTCGTTGCAGATTTGCCATCGTCGCAGGTGCCGAATTGGCCGGTGGTCGAGATTGATGGACAAAGCGTGACGGTGTCGTCGCTGTCGGTGAAATTCGGAACGAACCTTAAAGGGCAGCTTGCTGCAGTCGTTCTGTTCAACATCGTCAATGGAAATGGGAATGCTCTGCGAGAAGGGTGGACACAGGTCTGTCCGCATGCTTGCAGTCATGGACCACACTGACATTGGACATGTGGCAGATATTTGAGATGTTCCAGACACTCTTCATTCATTCCCTTCTGCCAACGCGTATGCTGCAGATGGAAGACTTCCTCGGAGGCGTGTCCATCATTCCCCTGCGTCGCTCACAGCCCGCACGCCAGCCCGCACGCTCTGACGGCCTGCTTTCTGCGTTGTCTTCATACCTGATGACACCTTACAGCTCGAGCGCGGAGGCCCTCGTCCCTGACGCGAATGACGCCGATGTGGAGAACACGTTGTCCACCATTGACTGTATCACGAGTTGCCGAGTGGATGAACTTTACAGCCAGATTCTGTGAGCGCCTCTGAGACCGTACGGCAGCTTCCCCACTGATTGAGCGTTGCAGGCAGCTGGACGTTGATGCACTGATCGCCGCGGTACGTGCCCTGGAAGCGCTCGCGCACGAACGTACTGTGGCTCGCTTGAAACAAGAAGCAGATGAAGTACCAGCAGGCAGCACATACCAGGAAGATCCATATGCGCTTCCGTATGATCCTGCGTCTGTGTTCCTTTTGGAGACAATGGTCAGCATCGCATGTCAAACCTCGCAACATATTGAGGAGTTGTGGTGAGTCGGGTACTACACCCGTGCTCGTTTACGTTCTGATGCACTGCAGGCCGGTCATATTCGAGCACCTGTCTGCGTTGTTATCCACACCGCTACAGTACAGCATTTTGCTCATCGAGCGCGCAGTAGTCGGACTACTCAGGCTTTGCTTCATACTGGCCGCCAAGGTAAGACTGCTCCCACTTGAAGAGCGACGTACTGATGATATCGGCAGCCATCCTTGCGTGACCAAGTCTTTGTGTCCTTTGATCTCCTTGCCGGTCTACCTGCGCATATATCGACTTCCGTCGCGGAACAAGTCATTGTGGGTCTTATCCGCATTGCCCGCACGCACCAGGACATGGTCCGATCTTCGACGGAATGGAACCTCGTCTTTGCACTTCTGCGCTCTACTTTGGGCAATCACGAAGCTGCGCGGCAAGCCTTCGAGCTAATCAGCGCACTCGCGGGTGATGGACCAGAGCAGTACGTTACGAGTGACAACTTCCCAGGTCTGATTGCGGTGCTCGATGAGTTCATGACGGCGGCGAGCATGGCAGTTGAGGCACAACAGCAGGGCAGGCGCAATCAAGCGCTCAATGCATCTAAGTAGGTGGCTCGCGCACGCACGGTGATGATTCGCTATCTGACAGTCACAAACTTTAGCTCACCGATCGTCGAGCGAGGCCGAAAAGCCATTGACATAGTGGCTGAGATGAAGAAGTTTTGGGCTCGTTTCGCGGAGACGGGCATCCCACAGGACCAGAGTAAGTCGTCAGTGTTCTTTTGCTTTCGTAAAGCCTATCTGATTTGCAAACTTCTCCTTCAGTTTGGAATCAGCATGCAATGCCGTTGGTTGCATGCCTGGGTCGGCACTCCATCAATGTGTCCCGCGAGATCCGACATGCAGCCTTGGTACACTTGCAACGTGTAGTCCTCGGACCATTCCTTCCCTTGGACGCATCAGACCACTCGCAGGTGGAAGAGCTCTTCCACCGGGTAGTTTTTCCGCTACTGGAAGAGCTACTCAAGCCTCAAGTGCTGATGCGTGACCCTATGAGCCTGCCTGAGACGCGGTTGAGGGCAAGTGCGCTGCTATGTAAAGCGTTTATGCATCTCGAGGCAAGGGAGGGTCAGACGGCAGATGTGAAGGCGTTGTGGATGCAAGTTTTGGATCTGCTTGATCGACTGATGCACACTGATCGGAGAGACCAACTGGTATGTTGACTGCATGAGTTGTTGTGTGAATGTACTGATTGCGTCTGGGATTAAATTTGACAGTACGAAGCCATCCCGGAGTCACTCAAGAACGTCGTTCTGGTGATGAACGCTACAGGATTATTGGTCCAGCCTACGATCCCAGACACGCGCGACGAGCGTCAGAGGCAACTGTGGGACGCTACCTTCGAGCGTATCCAACGATTCCTCCCAGGATTTCTTGGGGAGGTCCTTCCCGAGCCCATGCCAGCCCATATGGCACGGCCAAACCCCTCGATACAGGCACTGTCTGTACCATCGACACCGGTGCCGTCGTGAGCGCCAACTGACATGCGGCGAGCGGACATTTTTGCATTGTTATTGTATTTATCCATTCGTGTTATTTGGCTGCAACAGACCCACGGACCTGATGTTCGTCATTATATCGCTCTTACACGCTGGAACTCTTGACTATGTGTACATTCACCAGATACTGAGACAGCAGGCACGCGGCACTTCTCGAAGGATGGCACTCATCAAGTGCTCCCGTAACAGAGCGACGGGGAATCAATACCGCTCTTAACAGCACAGGGGCCTTACGCCCCGCGAATCGATCCACTGATGTATGCTCAGCCTACGTCCTTCACCTTCGTGGGCATTCTGAATTATGGGAGAATTGGGCGCATAATTACGCGTTACGTGGTGACTACTCTAGACGATAGCACAAACATGCCGCTATGGGAGGTAAGTAGCAATGTAGAAATTCATGCGAGACACGCTGTTCATTCACGATCCTGCGGGGTAGCTGTCATAATCAGCCGGCAGGTGGCATTTACCGCATTGTAATCAGCTTGTAGGTGGAATTTGCCGCATTGTACAGTCTTGATGAACGAGGGCGGGTGAGCTTAGGTTTATTAATCTGCATGTGGTGTATACGTACAGCTGCCACGTTGAACACACACTAGGGATCCGGAAATGCCTTACACATACGGGCTCTTCTTTCCCCAGCATGGCTAGGTCACTCGTCGAGTCCTTGGTTCTCAATGCCAACCGTACGGACTGCCGTTCCCCAGGTGATGTGGACAGATTGTTAGTTGGCCGCCTATATATACTTGCAGAGCTGCGTTGTGGTTCCCCAGATCCTGAAAGCTCCTTCCATCGTTGTCTCGCCAGCGGAATCCCTAAACAAGGTCTTTGATACAACTACGTTCTTGATCCCGAACGTCATAGCAGTGATCGTACGTCGTTTTGATAGCATCGCAGACCTCACAGCTGACGCCTCACGCACCACGGCCAGGAAGATGCGAAAAGCCAAATCGGGCCAGCCACAACGATTACTACCGGATTCGGAGGTACGTAGTGATCATGTATAACAGGCGACATCAGTTTTCTGACAAGCTTGCCAGTTTGACCTCAGTGACGAAACATGGCGGTTATACGAGGATTTGTTCAAAAATGGCGACAAAGCATTCATCAAAGGTTGGGACAAGGATCTCAACACGTTACTCCTCTTCGTAAGCATTTTCGATTCATAGTGCCAGATCTGCTCTTACGACGATATCCAGGCAACCCTGTTCTCCGCCATGGTGACGGCATTTGTGCTAGAATCGTACAAATCGCTCGGGTCGACCACGGATATGTGCTCCACCTCAGACGATATCCGGCAATCATCATCAACGCTGCTCAGTGCTCATCCCAGTGCTGTCGCTGTGCGGATCAACGTGTTATGGTTCTCCAGCCTTATCGCAAGCGTCTCCACTGCATTCCTAGCCGTTCTGACAAAAGAATGGCTCGCCGTCCTCCTTGAGGGTCGCGATGATCCTCATATCGGAACGAGAGGTCGACAGCTTCAACATCGTCATGACAACATCCGGAGCTGGAGACTGTCACAGGTCCTTCCCTTCCTCCCTTTCCTCCTGCACATATCCTTCCTGCTCTTCTTTGCCGGCCTGGTCAATTTCCTATGGTACATCAACAAGACGGTGGCCATTGTCGCAGCTGTCCTCGTCTGCGCAATGACTTCGGTATACTGCTGGACACACATTAGGTCCATCCTGAACCCAAGCTGCCCATACAAGACGTCATTAACCTCCCTTATCCTGTCATTGGCGAACTCTGTTCGGATAATCATAGTGTGGCATATCCCAGCCGCCTTGGCTAAACTGTGGGTCGTCGTGACCGTTTTCAGGAAGACGCTCGATCATGAAGACCACGAGCTGGCTCAGACCGCTTGGGATGTCCTAGTGATGTCATGGTTCCGAGGAACATGGAGAGGAACATTTCCCACCTTGCGAGATGTTTTCCCTGACACGGAAGGCGGCCTGCCGCCGGAGGTCACTGCTCTCGGACCCGCGAATATTCTCCGTTTGCGAGAGGACGTGTATTTGGCACAAAATGCGACTCACATGAACGCTCGCGCTCTGGCTCGGATAATCATCATGCTCAGGTTTTCGGCGCGCGCAGGAGAGGACGCACACATACGGCTGGTCCTCAAAGAACTCTGCGAGTTCCCAGCGCTAGTCGAACACAGATCCCTCTTCATCCACGCAGGCGCTGTCAGACTCTTGACACGCCAACTTTCACGACCTCTCCCTAATCAGCCAGAGCCACCGGTAGATACGGCGGCTCCATACGCACGGACCCTCGTGCGCCTTCTGACGGAGGCAGATCCTGAAGCCGATGATGCCCGGACGATTGCATTCCAGATCAGAGGGATCCCTGTACCTTGGGACATCCGACTACAACAACTTCCACCATACATCCTCTACAATTATCGTCCTGAAGACGCACTAGTCCAATTGGGCTTGTTCGAGGGCATGCAATTCATGGGTCGATCTTCAACTAGCAATATCGTACTGTTCTCGCACGCGCTGAGACTGCGACTTATTCGAGCGGTTTCCTCAGGGAGACACAGATCCTCCCGACTTGACACCGGCGAATACGTTGAACTGGGCAACCTCGTCGACCAGTTCTACAGGCAGCTACTGTCCCGTCGAACTCCAGAAATGTGGGCCGAGCTCTCTGAAGACGATCTGATATCCTTGGTCAACACCATCATCTACATTGGCATGAATCGTCGACACGTCGTATCATCCCTCTTCACGAGTGTCGCAGACCAACGCTGGCATGCAGCGTTTTTGTCGAAATCCCTTCATGCACTGGCCACTTTGATGACGAATCGGCCAAAAATGGGGTACCCCGTTCTGCGCCAAATCTGCTGGAGCATGTGGATGCTGTCCATGCCGACATCGAAATCTTTATCCGGGTTACTTGTCCCCGTGGTGAAGTCCACCACCGAACTCGCCTCCGAGCTGTCAGAGTTATTGGACATACAAGGGGATGCATCATTCTGCTACACAGCCGTGGTCCTCTTAGACCACACTCTTTGGTGGGAAGTTGCGCACCGCCCAGATTCCCTGTCGGATGCACCGTTACTTGATTCTCGGTCGACTGTTGAGGTACTAGAAGGGGAGGCCGTCGACCTGAGGAACAAGCTTTTGGAGAAGTTTGTTGTCTTTCTACAGGTGCTCGTGTCTTTGGGGAGCAGAGGACATCCGTCAGAGCCTGACACACAGTCACGGTCGGGGGCACGATGGAGCATACGGATAGTGCAGTACTTCGAGTCGCACTTCGCGGATTCGCCAGAAAGACAGACGCTGCAACACCACGACCGTGTGGACGCTATTGCCGGAGTTTCGCGCGGCGCGTTCACCCGCCTTACACGACATGTGCTCAGGATCTGCGGGACCGTCCTCGAGATGAAACGAAGGAACCTGGATCTACCGATGTCGTGTTGGGAAGACGTGCTATTGAACACGTGCTATTTTCTGGCGAGGATCACCTCCGACCTGAACCATCCCCTCAGGCTGCCATCACAGGGCGGGCAACAGGGGCTAAAATCCGGGTCGGACCGCGAGGTTATGTTCCTACGCCTTGCACTAGTGGAATTCACCGGTTGGGTGATTCGCGAATGTCTCCGTCGCGGTGGTGAACAGACGGCCCCAGAGCATGTCGATGCGGATACTAGCACCCTATCCTTCATCGACGACCTTATGTTGCGTCAAGACCAAAGCACGCCTCCAAAGCTGGACAAAGTAGTGGCTAACATCGTTTTGTCAATCGAAGAAGCGTGCGGGATTGTCTCAGAATCGCAGCAGAGTCACTCGTACTTGCTGTCGTTGAAACAATCGGCCGCGGTGTGGCGGCCCGCCATTGGCGCATTCTTGACATGCGTTGAGGGATTAGTAGGTGAAACACGCCTCGACCCAAAGATACAAAAAGCTTTGCGTTCCAACTTACAGAAATGTTTCAAAGACGGCGTGATGTCAATGGTCGGCGACTTGGAAGAAAACATTGGTAGTACCCTTGCAAACCAGGGCGGTTGGCCTGCTATCCGCGTAAAGGATGCCTGTTCCAAGGCAATTCAAGATGAGATGGACAACCCGAATGGGGGAGATGATGGCAATCCTCAGTAGCTTGGAGGAAGGCGACCCCACAGCTGGCGTGGAATGACTCCTATATTGTATACAGCGCGACAGTACGTTCAAATTCTGCGGTTTTGTCACTGGCACTGACCTGCGTCTAAGCTCATCGATCCAGGCTCCGAGTCACAACTTTCACCGGCGACTGAATCGACCAAGAGCTCCATCCTGTTTGACTCCCTCAACTTTCATACTGTACGAATTCCATCGACTCAACCACTAGGTCATGACCTCCCAGTTCGTAATGTTGTACCGTCTTCATTCGATGTAACCCATATTCCATGTCTCGTTCTAATTCTGGATCCCAAACGCTACTTTCCCGATGACAATGTCCTTGTCCTCACTAAACTCCGCATGCCATTCATGATGTGTCTCGTTTGTGCTGATAGTATATGCTATGTATATGCATCTTCTGGCTTGCAATCTTGATCTTGATCTATACTGTAGCTATACTCCCGTTGTCACTGTCAGGGGCGCCCGAGCGTGTCACGTAGTCACGGATTGCAATGTCTCAACTCGTTCAAGAGTGTTACGCGGGACTGGGATACAAGTATGTTCATCAGCGCTAGCCACCTGAAATTTTCGCTTCGACCGAGCATTAGCTGATAGGACTACGTACCAAATGGCTCACAGCGTCGAGACGCGGACAACATGTGAATACATCCTATCACGGCTCGACGCCCCGAAGCGGCCAGTCTACAATAGTCTGAGACTCACGTCAGGAAGGCCATGTCTCTAGCACTGCCATCTCTACATCTCCACTGGCACCCTCTTCATCTTTCCCCGAGGCCAACGCTGGGCTCGAGTCCGAGTTCGACGTCCCGTCATAGTCGGCGAAATCTCTCGGCATCCCAGCATTCTTCTCCTTCGTTGTCGTCGAGGCCGCTTGCTCCTCGTCCGTGAAGGCCAGCGAGCCTCCCAGCGAACCGAACGCCGTCGAATATGACCAAAACTGCAGCGCCGATGGGCCCTGGGAGACACCCGCACGCTCAGCGGGCTCCCAGGATAGAGTATGCATATCAGCGTCCCCGGAAGCTTGGTCCGCGCGGAGGGTGCTCTGCAGGAGAGAGACTTCGCGGAGATTGAAGAAGAGTCGCGAGAGAAGGAGTGTGGTGAACCTGCATGATGGGTCAACAACGATCAGACGGTGTCGCCTGATAGCAGGAAATGCATACGAGTATATAAAATTGTCAAAATCTTGGATTGCCTGTGGAATCGGTGGTCAGATTGAACACTGGGATGTCGGAATGGATGTAGAAGGAAGGGACTCACGGGTATCTTGGCCCAACAGACCGCGCTGAAGATGTTTAGGACGAGCAAAGAGCTAATGGACACAGAAGGGGAGGAGTTGAGCCACAAGGTTATAATCTCGGTATGATCGGCAGTCTCCTCGCCTGCGATCGACACACTCACCCAAAGTAAAGCGTTCCTGAGACGCGACCGACAATGATATACCGTCAGACAACGACGAGAAGCTACAGCGGCGCATCAGGCAGAATGCTCACCGTCTCGCAGGAGGAGCAGCGTGAGGGGAATGTCCGACTTGGTGAGGTGCGACATCCGCTTGACGCCGTACGTGACGCGCCAAGTTGCGAGCAGCACGAGCGCATCGCCGACGACAGTACTGACGCGCGTCGCGATCTCGACTGGCAGCAAGAGATTCAATTCAGGTCAGTAAGCAAAAGGATGGGACAGACGGGACAGTCGTCAGGCGTACATCTACGGGTGTGCGAGGTCAGCAACCGCGGACGAGAGGGCAAAACCCCGAGCATTGAGATGATACTGACATGCTTTGGACTCGCGCAGGGACATTGTTCGTGATTGTGCATGTGTAGGAAGGCGGAAGAACCTCCCAGATCATGAGAATGTTCCGGTGCTGGGAAGTATCATCAATGTCCACTTGCACGATCGGCGCAGACTCGAGTCTGATAAATTGGGCGCACCAGGTTCGTAGCCACTGGAACGAGGGACAGGGCGAAGACCATGATGGGTACTGACCAGTCTCGTGGATTGATCGCGTATACGCGCAGGGCGGAGATTGCTGAATGTCTCGAATGCGTTCTCAGTGATTGACATGAGGACGCACATAGTCTCACCTCCCCATGTCAAGTACATGACACAAGTGTCAGCACCGTAGGCTAGGTTCAGCGCATACACACTGCAATATGCACCGGTCAGATTTCCGGAAGCGGCGACTATATCGGCCGGTAAGTTCCACGAACCTCTGCAAATGTTGAGCGTTAGCAGCCATGTACGGCATACAGTACGTGCCATAGCGAAGGAGGACTTGCCTTACAATCGAGGTCCCACCAGGTAGCGATGTTAATCACGAAATACAGTGGAGTGGATACGTGCATCAGCACGTAGAGAATAGGCACGATGGGTATCCTTCGCTGGCTCGGACGTCCCCATATGAGATCCACCTCGCGATCAAACGTGATCAGCCGGTCATATGCGTAGAGCGCTGGTGCGCAGAGGGGTGTCACTTCGAAGGAGCACCAGGAATAGAGCATCGTAGTGCTTACCAAACGGAGCAGCGAGCAAGAAGTTCTGGATTAAACTGTACGTAAACACGTCAGACAATGTACGAGAGCGTGTAAGAAGAGACATCGCGTACGCGGAGTCCAGCTGGTATATCAATTGCGGGTTGCTCGACATGGCGGACGAAGGGCCTTTGGGGCCTCAAGAAAGGGGTTTCGCGGCACTGGCAGCGCATGCGTTGGCTTCGACGCGCCGAATTATGCTCGCACCAATAAGGTTTGACTGACAGTGAAGCAGAATCCGATGAGTGGTCGAGGGTAGGGATCCATATACAAGGTGTTGGGTGCATGGGGCAGTGGCCCGCCGCAGCTTCTCGGGAATCGAAGCACAACTCAACAAGAGATATCAGTTCACGCACATGCGAAAAGCGAGCGATAAGACGCACAGTAGGTGACCACTTTGCTACTTTGTAAGGGTCGCAGCCGCTTCCCTTCGCAGCGCCATGCGATTGTCCACACGAAGTAGATGGATGTCAATGTAGCCATAGTTCCCGTGTCATGGACGCCAGCGCGCAGTCAGAAGAAGTGTGGATATCTGGTGCATGTGTCCAAGGAATCATCGCCACGAGCGATATTGACCACTGGTGGCGCTGGTGACTGGACCTCGCTTGGCGATGTGATGTGAGGTAAGTAGAAGGAGAGGAACGTCCGACTTGAGCGCAGAACGTGCTCTGTGGCATTCTGAACAGTGGCGGTAGCTACCGCTTTGTTCTCTGAAACATGTATATTGCAGAGATGGTTAATGCAGAAAAAGCTTACACGACGCGCCCTGCAACGATGGCTAGTGCTACTGTACTTGCCAGTGGTTGGTCCATCGAGGCCACAATTCGGTAACCTGGAGACAGCAGGATGAGCACTGGCATGACACCTACGCGATGCATTCGGACCAACCTGATATGTACTGACACAGAACGTCAGGCTACGCCGCACCTGGTGATCGCACCTTGCACCATCCGCTGCGCTGCTAGTACTAAGAGCCCACGGAGGTATCAATGCCGTCGTGCTTCGAGAAGTCCACCAATGGTGCACCAAAACAGCGTCTTCCGAGTACGCGCCTCTTCACACCTCCGATATTGACTTTGATTGTTGTGCTACCTGCACTGGGCTGCCAGAAGACTGGTGACGTGGTAAATGATGCCTGCGAAACTGTGGGCCGTGGCAGTCCAGGTATGAGGCTGATGAATTGCCCCGTGTGCGCACAGTACTGCGTGCCGAAGAATTGCTGTTGACCTGACAGAGGACTCGGACGCCTGAAGTCAACTCGTGCTGCCGCTGGTCGCGGAGACGGTTATATCCCAGATCTGATTCCGATTGACCTGTGCACATTTGCCTAAATGGGACGTTTTGTGGCGTCGCCGCTGCGCCCCGCGCCGGGCCAGCGTCACGGTATTGAACGTTGTCACGGTAATGTTAATCGTTGTCTCAGGCTTTCATAAAACCGCGCCGCTCAACTTCTATGCTGAGGATGGCTAGTGCGGCCAGATTGCACGTCTCCGAATTGATGAATGAGGGAGTCGTGACTCGGTGTAAGTATGTCGTGTCCGTTGACTCCTTACATTGATTCCGCCGCTTATAAGGGTCTTGTATGGCCTTATAGGCCAGGTTAGCTTTTGGCGATGCGTTTTCTTGCTCTGAAGCTCAATGAAGCTGCATGTCAGAGTACTAGGGAAATGATGATTTCAAATCACCCGTTCTGAACCCCGAAGCCCATTTAGCCTTGCTCACAAGCATTCACGAACGACGCGGGATTTATTGGTGAGGGATCGAGGGCTGGGGTGAGTCACTCGTACCGGTCCATGGCATGTCTAACCCTCGTCCCCAGGTCATATGTGGTGCTCGACCGACCGCCGTCACCGCCCCTCCGTGCGAGACGCACGAGCTCTTCCTCAAACTACGCAGCATCTTGGCGATTCCAGCGTTGACTTATTCAACCAGTTTGCCATACGTACCGCGCTTCCCCTCAATGCCGTGCTTTATTTTGCTGACTTCAGAGCGTGGATGCCCCTCTGATGAGCAGCAGCATCAGCTTGGATTCAGATCCAGACGCGGGGGAAGGTGGAGATCGACTGACGATGCGCACTGAGCCCATGCCGGCTTTCATCGGACACGCAAGGCGCACCCGTGAACGCAGACAGGAGCCTCTGGCGGATGCAGCACGAAGAAGGCATTTAAGATTCTAGCGATCGTGGCGGACAGGGTCCGCTGCGTGACGAGTACGCACAAAAGATCGGCAAGCCATATGGTGGAGAGAACAGCTGGGCGGTTCGTTCACTATGTGGACTCATAGCTCTGAGCGGAAGACTCGGACTACCCATCATTACTCGGTGCGAAGATTCAATGTCAGTTCTCTTTCCGGTTGACACTGTCGTTAGGCCCCGTCGATCTTGCAACTCGCTGCATTCGAGCTCGTCCGCGCTCGGCTTGCCCATGAAGTGGGTCCATATGCTTGCAATTGGTTGTGGTCTACCTGTCTGGGCGCGCGGCTCCGCATGGTCCGTCTTGCCTGAAATGCCTGGACGTCGTCGCTACTTGGTTCCGGTGCGAGTTGGACTCGTCAATAAAGGAGTCATTGACCTCGCGCCCAATAACGCAGAACAGTCACGATGCATCCTAGCCAGTCTCTGTTGCCTTACTGCGGAGCATAATCCATGCGTCGATCTTACGGCGGCCCTCAGGCTGGTTCTAAGAAAGCCAACAGGAAGGTTTGAGGAAGGTGCGCAATTCATCATTGACCTGCGTTCCTTCCGGGCGTCCGGGCGACCCGCCTGCAGAATTGCCTATCATGGCTGGCCTGTGGTGTGGAATCGACATCTTGACCCAATTTTGAGCTTCAATGATGGAAGCGCTGGGCCTGAGTTGCAACACTTTGCTATCTACTCTCACAATACTCTCACAAGCTCCCCTTCGATGTCACTTCAGAGTTCCACAGATAATCAACGGCGGCCTCGCAGTGAGAATCGCTGCTGCGGCAGACGCCGCTGGGACACGGTTCAATATCCGTGGTCGTTTGAACATCTGAGGTAAGAGCTCTCCCGGACGGTCGCTGTGTATGGACTAACTGTTGAATGTACCTGCAGCATGAGCCCGCCAAGTAAATGTAGCCCGCCATCACCATAGCCACGTTCGTTGAGCCGCGAAGGACATACGGAAGCAATCTCAGGGACGCGATACGAGACGAGCGCCTTTCCGGCTCGTTACGGCGCTCCCGGAAGGTTTGCACGATTACCTTTAAGCCTGACCCGAGTCCGCAAAATCTTGCACTGACCGAGACAGCACCTCGATAACGGACCCAGCGATGGCGGATTTCAAAGAGGACCTGGACGCCACCGACATCGAGGTCCAGAGCGCGGACGCCAAGGTGGTGGTGAAGCGTGAGCCTATTCATGTCATGGTCGATCTCGCGATCGCTCATAATGAATCAATGAATGGCAGCGAAATGGTACCGCTCGACGATGTACAACGCCGTCATCCTCGGAGTCTGCAACCTGCTGGCTCCGGGCCTCTGGGGCGCTATGAACTCCCTCGGAGCGGGAGGGGCGCAGAAACCGTACCTGGTCAACGCGAGCAACGCGCTCACATCCTGTCTTATGGTCGTCACCTGCATGCTCTCAAGTATCGTGGTTAAAGCGATCGGGATCAAGTGGACGCTCATCATAGGCACGATGGGATACGTACCGTACGCCGCCGGGCTGTACACCAACAACAGGTATGGCACCGAGTGGTTTGTCCTCTTTGGTGCCGCCCTCTGTGGCTTGTCGGCAGGCGTCTTCTGGATGTCGGAGGCAGCGATCGCGTTGGCGTACCCCGAGCCATACAATCAGGGCCGCTTCTTGGGGCTTTGGCTCAGCTTCCAGGTCGGCGGACAGATCCTCGGGGGCGCCATCAATCTCGGAATCAACTCAAAGAGAAACGAGGCCGGCAGCATCTCGTACAAGGTGTACCTCATAATCATCGCGCTGCAAGCCCTGGGGCCGTTCGCGGGTCTCTTGCTGAGCAAGCCAGAGCAGGTGCAGCGGAAGGACGGAGTCCCCGTCCGGCTGAAGATCACGAACGGCAGCATCGCGGAACTGAAGGACACGACAAAGCTCTTCTTCAGCAAGAACTTCCTGCTCATCGCCCCCCTCATCGCGCAAACCGTCTACTCCGAGGCCGTCACATACACCTACCAGTCCCTCTGGTTCACCGTGCGCGTGCGCGCCCTCGGCTCGTTCGTCTCCGGCATAGTCGCCATGATCGCGGGCAATCTGCTGGGCGCCTTCCTCGACCACACGAAGCTCAGGCTGCACACGCGCGCCCGCTGGGCCTTCTTCACCGTCTTCGGCCTGCAGGGCGTGTGGTGGATCTGGGCGACGATCCTCGTCACCGAGTTCCGGAGAACGCAGCCGACGTACGACTGGGTCGACGCGGGCTTTGGCAAAGGCTTCGGACTCTTCCTGTTCCTCGTCATCGGCTATCAGGTCCAGTATTTGTATCTGTAAGCGAACGTCTCACAGAATTGGACACGGGACTGATGCCAGCGCAGGTACTTCGTCGTCGGCACCCTCGCCGACAGCGAGGCCGAGGTCGTACGCATCGCCGGGTTGCTTCGAGGCACCGAGTCGGCCGCACAAGCTGTTAGCGTAAGTCATGCCCACACCCACCCCCACCCCCGCCACAAGACACCGTGCTGACGCGATTCATTCGCAGTACGGACTGAATAGTGTGCCCATCTTTGCCTCGGTCGGCGGGGTGTACTTGAACTTTGGCATGTGGGCCATCTCCTTGTTCCCCGCCTGGCTGGTCGTCCGACAGATCGGGTATGGACTGGGGGATGGCAAGGCCCGTCGCGAGGCGGATCTAGCGCGCGAACAGCAGGAAGGAAGAGGAGAAAAAGGCTGACAGCTTGACCGGAGAGTCAGCGAACGCATAAGCAACGTAGCAACAGACATCTGTACAGTGACCGATAGACAACGCGTAGACCTTTTCTGAACGGCAGCGTACATAGTGAGCGGGAAACCGCCATCATGATGTAGGTACAGATAGATTGCTCTGAAAAGTATTCGTGGACGATGCCTTACTGGGCAGCGCCACCTCACCGTAGGAGCTAAAGCGACTGCATGGAGGAGGACTCGTCTGTAAGACCTTGCGTGATGCTACGTACGTATACGATTTGACAGAGACTCAAACACATGGCTACACAATAAAGGTAACACTCAACCTTGAAACAATACAATACATCAGGGTATTCGTGTATCCCTGGCAAACGTAGGTATCAACAAGCATGCATACCGGGTATCTCTCTCTGCAGGCAGGTGTTCGAAGTGAACGTTCATGCGTTCAAGTCCAGGTTTGAGGCTGATGAGATCGATTGCCCGTGTGCACAGTACTGCGTGCCGAATGATTGCTGTTGACCTGACAGAGGACTCGGACGCCTGAAGTCAACTCGTGCTGCCGCTGGTGGCGGAGATGGTTATGTACCAGATCTCATTCCGATTGACCTGTGCACACTTGCCTAAATGGGACGTTTTGTGGCGCCGCTGCTGCGCCCCGGGCCAGCGTCAATGCTTCAACTTGAACGTTGTCACGGGAATGTTAACCGTTGTCTCAGGCTTCCATAAAAGCCGCAACGCTCATCTACTATGCTGAAGATGGTAAGTGCGGCCAGATTTCACGTCTCCGAATTGATGGATGAGGTCGTGGCTCGGTGTATGTCGTGTCCGTTGACTCCGCTCGCACTGACAACCTGCAGATTCAATAGCAAACCGGTACAATACTACTCTACCGGAAGTGCGTGTCTTTACCTTTGATTGCTCCTAGTATGATGCAGACGATTGTCCCATCTGAACATCAAGTGTGCGAAGGTCGTGCTTAGGTGGGCCGTCAAGCTATTGCGATGATACCGGTTTAACGAGTTGTACATAGTACCACCTTTTCAGGGCGAATGCGTCATAAACAGCTGCGTAATGAACACGAAGTAAGGCGTACAACCATTACCTCGTCAAACATCGCGCTGTCAGTTCAATGGTCCCTCCTCCCTGAATTGAACTCCCGAGTCAAGGGCGGTCGATGGCGGGGATGGACGCACTACAATCGACTTTCAGGAGCCGGTCTGTCTATGTTTCCTTTGAGTGTCTTTGGTTAGCTAGCTGAAGAACATGCGTACAGTTTCAGGTGACCCATGGCAGCCCATTTGTAAAAGCAGGATCGACGCGCGTTTGCAATGATTCAAACAATTAAGCTCACCTGTCGTCATCGGGCTTGACAAATAGGTTCTGTGACCTTCGAATGGTACGAATGGAACTTTTTCTCGGGGCGCGCGCAATGTCAGACTAGCAGGTGAACAATGATAGGCACGTCAAAGTTCAAAACGTTGTTGGAGTTGAGTCGTCTAACGCAACAGACGGCGTGTTCTAGCCCCCTCCGGACGTCGGCGCGGGGTTGGAGGGCTGCGATGTTTTGCTACTCGGGTGTTTCGTTGAGTGGTGTACCGCGTCAGTACCTCGTGCGATGAGTGCGCTGACAGACCTTCGACGACCGTGCTGGTACCCGCGGTACAGGCACAGACACCTCAACTGCGCGTCTTACGACCTACCGGGTTCCGGCCACATACATGCCAAATTATGTGACCCGGGTCCGGAACATCGTTGTTGTACTACCCTTCGGCTGTCGGTCTCTGGTCGGTCTCGTTTGTACGGTGGACGCGACACGCCGGCGCTTCGGGGCGCGCACTTGACCATGCAACCCCGTGCTCGAAGCAAAGGTGCCCATCGCTAAGAAGACGAACGCCCGACGGGGTCGCAGGTGGGTGAAATGCGCTGACCAGCTGGTCCCGCACGTTCTAGTCGTTTGGTCATGCATCCGCCCAGCGTCCGCGCTACCCGACCGCAGGAGGCCTGTGGCTGACGTCAAGGGCCCCCCGATGCAGATCTGCGGATCGCGCCGGAGGGCGAAGCATCCGATCGTGTCTTCGTATCGGCCGATGCATCGGCGATCGCGTATGCCCACGTGCGCCCGACGCCCATCCGGTGAGTGCGGCCGCCACTGCGCGTGGTTGGTGCGCGGGTCCCACCCCCACCACGCTCGAACACAGACCATACTCGAATGGGTTCACCAGCGAGCAAGGAAGCGAGGCCGCGAAGGACGCAGGTGAGATGCAGAAGGTCATGGGGACTAGAACGTTCTCGTGCTCACCCGGGTCCGACTAAGCCAGCGCGCTCGGGCGTGTTCGACGGATCTCGAGACTGTTCGAAGACACACTTCGACGCCAGCGCTCTGGAGGCCGATGCTGACTCGGTGGACCCGGACCATGCTGGCCTCTCCTTCGAGCATGTTTCTGCTTCTAGCCTCCCGCCGCCGGGTATGTGTCAGCCGTAGACGTCAGTCCGCTCTCGGGCGAACTCGTTACCTCACCTCGGCGGTCGGCTGCCTGGGACGGACTCAGGTGCGTATTTAATCTGCGGCCAGAGGGCGTCGAAGAGCATCAGTTGTCCCAAACTCAACTGTCTAACGACCAAACGCCTCCCTCCTCCCTCTCCCACACCCTCGCCCGCACACCCCTTTTCTGTACTCGCTTCGACAACTATAAGCGATGGCAGGCGGTAACCAGGCAGTGAACCTCAACCCTCCCGACGCCCAGGAGCACCTCTCTACCAATGGCTCTGACTGGCTATGGACGGTGTTCTCAATCATGGCTCTGGGTACTCTTCTCGCTGCAGTTGCGACGATCTTGGTTAGTGCAGCTGCGTCTAAACTCAGTGGGATCCGCAACTCACTGACAACCTCGTCATACAGAGGCCTCGTGGGACGCGTCTCTTCCACCAGCTCGCTATCATTGTCCTCACGACTTCTAGCATCGCGTACTTCTCCATGGCTTCTGACCTCGGTGCTACGCCCATCGCTGCTGAGTTCCGTGGCGGCGAGACTCGTCAAATCTGGGTGAGCACCAGGCCACACAAGTGCAATGTGTCTCCAATTCCAATAATTAACGCGACTGTCTCCTAGTATGTGCGCTACATCCAGTGGTTCATCAACTTCCCCACCATTATTTTCGGCCTGCTGCTCGCGACTGGGCTCCCACTTTCCGACATCGTGACGACGCTCTTCCTGTCCGTCGTCGTCGTCATCACTGGTCTGGTGGGTGCTCTCGTACACAGCACCTACAAGTGGGGCTACTACACCTTCGGCTGCGTTGCGCTCATCTACCTCTGGTAAGCCGCACTGGCACCCTCCCACTCATCTCTCAGCGCAATGCTCACGACATCCCTTAGGTACGTGCTCCTCTGGCACGCGCCAGCCTCGAGCTTCGCGGCGGGTGGTGTGGTTCGCCGGGGCTACTACCTCGCTGCGGGCTACTTCTCCTTCATGCTGATCACCTACCCGATCGCCTGGGCGTGCGCGGAGGGCGGCAACGTCATCACCGTCACGTCCGAGATGATCTGGTACGGCATCCTCGACATCTTCGCCGGCCCCGTCTTCCTCGCCGTCTTCCTCTGGGAGCTCCGCGGCATCGACTACAACTCGCTCGGCCTCCACTCCGGCAAGTACGTCGACCACGGCGCGGCGGGCTCGGCCGTCCGGGGCGAGAAGGCGGCTCCCGCACCCGCCGCGGCGCCTGCGCCCGTTGTTCCCGCTGGCGAGCAGGCGGTATAAGCGAGTCGGCTTGACGAACGCTGCTGTTGCCCTTCTTTCCCTTTCTGCATGAAGCGCAGCCCCTCATTCCATTCACGCATGCCTCCGACACCACCCTTGATGAAACGTACGAACCCAACGACCACTCGAAGCGAGTCTGAATTCCTCTTCATCTTCACCTAGTAACCCTCCCCCCTTGACTGTCTTCGACGGCGTTACGACTCGCTAGTGTACAAAAATACTACTTGTAATCCTTGTAATCGCTTACTTTGCGTTCGCAGTGTACTGTAACATTTCTTGGCCTACCCTTCGCACGTGCTATGGGGTTTTGTGATCGTATACTTACGGTAGAGTTGCAATGCGCATTGCTTTGCCTGTATTCTGTCACATTCATCTGGGTACCCGACTCCTCGTGGTTCAGACTGACGAAGGCAACGTCAATTACTGTAAAGGTGATGCGAGTTCTTACCTATACAGGGAACTGCTAGTCAACGATTTCATTCATGGTAAAAAGAACTTATAAGGTATCAGTCGAAGGCTAGTTTCACCAGACTTCGACAGTTTGCAGCTTCCAATGGCTGTGCAATCCAGAATGTCAAGTGTCGTCCGTCAGTACCTAGCTAAAATGTTCCAAGTCTCTTTCATCTCCTTTGTTTACTCGCTATCGCCTTCCTATTCATCTTCTTCATCCCCGTTCTCATCTTCCTCTTCTTTGTCTTTGTCTTCATCTTCGGTATCTTCATCCCCCTCTCTTTTCGCTCCTTCGCCGATACACCTAAATACAAACAACGTTACCACGGATCGTAACCCCTCCAATATCTCCTTGAAGGCTGCCGGCAGTTGTTCGACGACAAACGTAGGCGGAAAGAGTGTGCAATCCTTCCAGGGCTCCATTAGAAGACTAAGAGATTCCAAGCGTGATCCGCCGTCAACCTCGGCGCGCTGCCGGAGCGCCGCATGTAGCCTCCGGAGCATCCTCAAGCTCCCGCCTTTCTTCCTCGGTCGATATTGCAGAACAAGCTCGCGCAAGTGCGGAGCGGGAATTCCCGTTGGCGTAGGTGCCAGGGCGGAAGGGAAGGCAGGCATATCGCTGATTTGCCCTATGATCTCGAGCTGCTTGAGGTTCGGGAAGGCACCCAGCATACGAGCCCAGCTTCGCGGACCGACGGGACTCGTGCTGCCACGTAAGACCAGGGTCTCCAAAGACTCCGGGAAGGTGCCACCCAGGTGACGAATGATAGGCCGGAAGGCTATGTCGAGCTCGTACGGCCAACATTCCGTCACATAAGTAATGAGGAGAGACGGCATCGCTGCGTGCCCGAGTGGGAAATGAGAGGGCGGATAGAAGCGAGAAACCCTCCAGGGCTTCGAGTCCCAGAACTCTGTGCGTTCCATGTCGGCATATATGGTGAATTCGGCGCAAGGGTCGTCCTCGTACAAGTTGAGCCACACCATCAGGTGCCGTACCTCGCAAATAGCGGGCAGGTATCTCGAGTCCTTTGGCAGGAAAGGGTCCAAGACGCGCATGCGCTCATTATACTCATGGTCGTAGCGGTTTATTGTTTCCAGCGATAGATGAGCGTGCCGTGCGAGTGAGATCTGAGCAAGCAAGTTTGAGATGCCCGCCGACTCATCCCCTGCGAGGTGGACGTGACGCATCCTAGGCAGCGACAAAATGTGACATGCTGTGCTCTGTTCCCGTCGTCGTTCCCAACAAGTGTATTTGAAGATCTCCAGGGAAACACATGCTTCCAGGAGATCCAGGATAGATGCGAAGGGGCCCTCCTCAAACAGAACATCATAAAGCGTCAGTGATGTCAGTTGTGACAACGGCAGTTGAGTCCAATCCGGTGTGATGGCTATCAACGACAGGTCTCGGAGACTTGGGAGAGGTTTTGGTGTCCATTGTAATGACTTCGGTAGTGTCAGTGTCCATTGTGATGACTTCGGACTGCCTGCGTCTAGGGCCAAACACGCTAGCGCGGGTAACGGGGCGTCCAGCACTTGCCAGAGGAAGTCGGTCTGAGCGACATCGTTATGCTCGACATGAAGGTTCATACTTGTTATTCGCGACTGGTGTGGTGCCAGAGTGAGCGCGACCATGGGAAAATCAATCTTGCCTCTAAGTTTGCGTGAGCCCCGGATCCCCACTTGCGATGGTAAGGATACGCCGATGCTCGTGCCGCTCGAGCGAGAGAGACAAAGCTTCAGCGAGGGGAGTCTCGCTGATAGGTCGATGTTGGTCCATAAGAGAGGTGTGTCCATGATGAGGTCTCGCCACTGGCGGCACACGCCCATGGTCTTCGTAATCCATGTGTTGCGGGCGTCCGATGCGGACGCAAGACACAGAATCTCGACGAGAATCTCGTTCGGCTGCGTGTTGACGGAGAGAGTCGAGTTGTACACAGTTTGCAGGTTTGACAAATAGAGTTGCACGGCGAGCACTTTGGATGCTATCCAGTCACGAACTTGCTCAGAAGCGCAGCCCTGCAATTGTATGCGGTCGTCTTCCGGCAACAGGCGCAGGGCACCGTCAGAGACGGTCTTGTTTCCTCGCATCGCAGGTATACCACTACTATGATGTAGGGTCAGTGATCCCGCTGGCTCTTGTGATGGAGAAGGCTGGGACGGTGTCTGAGATGAAGTTAACATACCTTGAAACAACCTGGGTGTGACGCGTAGAATTCAGGTGTGCTAATGGCTAACGCCGGCGTAAACAGGACCGATGACCGTTCGAAGTCGTTGCAAGTGAGCACGGTTTCAAGAAAGTAAGTGGCTGAAGAAGACGGTTCAAGTTGAAGCCACAGCGGCGGGGCGTCGCGCGAGCGTTGGCGCTGGGCATTGAGCTTATACTTACTTAATCGTCTCAGACTCTCTCAGTACATGGTCGCGACGCCGATTGCTGAGCGTGATGATAATAAACATTGACCATATAGTCTATCCAGCATTGGAGACTCCGTATGTCTATGGGTCCACATATCTTTGCGATATAGTAGTAGTATCGCATCGCGAATAACCTGTGAACCTCACGCACTCGAGTCCGTCACTACCTCTTTCTTCGCCAACCCGCCACCGAAGACATCCCGCACGACGCCGCGTGAGATCTCCACCATCGCCTGGCGACTCTCGTAGAGGGGTAGTACAGACGTAATGAACGCTGCGACAAACACCCAGATGACGCAAATGATGACCCATGCCTTGAAGAATGCGAGAGAGAAGACGTAATGCGACAAGAACATCGGGATCGGGATGAGCTGCAACACATCGAGATTAGTCACTTTACAGAGATTGAAGGTGCACAGGAAACACGTACGAAGACGATAATGAAACTCATGATAACTGACGCCCACGTCGCGGCCCGTAGCGACTTTTTCAATGTCTCGTAGTCCTCCGGCCGTCTCTCTTCAGGCACCGCAAGAGAAGTGTCCTCGTCTTCATCGTCCACCGAGTTGGTCACGACCATCGCATCTGTCTTTTCTCCCTTCTCCGAACCCGCCGTTGTGGCAGTCTCACTGTTCGTGTTCTCTTTCGACATGCTGTCCTTGGTTGGGTTGAGCCCTCGCTTGAGCTGCTCGTCTATAGCCCGCCCGCGCGGGTTGATGTTCTTCGTCGCGGACCAATCAAACTCGTTGTCGGGCTTGATGAGAGTAACGATGATGGAGATGAGTGCACCTGAGCAGCACGAGCCCATGTTTCCAGCGAGGTTAGGATACATATTCCCTGCAGGAAGCATCAGAGGCTGTAGCACGTATCAAGAGGCATCATGACATACCGGTGGTCTCGACCGTCAGAGCGCCATAGTATGTCTTCGCTACCACAAGCCAGCAAGTCACGCCGACGCAGAGACCACCAAGTGCGCCGCAGATCACCGCCAGGCGCGTCTGCTTTCGCCAGAGCACGCTCATGACAATGGGACCGACAGCGGAAGTGTACAACGTGCCGGAGAACAGGAAGAGCCAGTTGAGCGAGATGCCAATGCCGTTCCAGAGACAGGCGACGCAGGACATGACAATGGCCCACACGGCGACCATGATGTGGGACACGCGAATGAGAACTTCCGGAGATGCCTGTGAGGACGTGTCAGTCGATGGTCAATGATACATCGGAGACGGGAAGCCGCACATCCGGCTTGAAGTGAATCTGGTACAGATCGAAGGTGAGAATAGACGATGTCGCAATCATTTCAGATGATGCTGCCGATGTCACAGCCATGAAGAGGAGGATCAGCTAACAGAGTCCTTTAGTGAAGTCCTGCAAACGAACGAGAGAACGATGCATACCATTGCCACAGCACCACCCTTTCCTAGCAATGCTACGACACCAGCGGGTGCAGCCAGACCAGCATCAATTTCACCGCTGGATAAGCCCCCAGTGTAAGGGAAGGCTGGATCTGAGCACTTGTCAGTCAAATGCGGAATGTCAGGCTGAGAAATCAGGCATACTGTTTGCGAGTGCGACAGCTGCGAGACCCATGATTGAAGAGAACGTCAACGGCACGGCGAACCACGCTACACCGCCCAACAAGTATGCGCGAACAGCTGTCTTTGCTTTAGAGGCGATTGCGCGCTGCCAGTAACCCTACCGTGCAGAACTCAGAATTCATCCCGGCAAGTCAACGGACTAAAGACTCACCTGGTCCAGCATGACGGTACCGAGACCGCCGAATATCTGGATGATCATGAACACCAGTCCATCTGAATAGCTCGGCATCAGAGGGTATAACATGCGCGGAGTGAATGCAGAAACACATACAGTTTGATTTCAACGTCATATAAGAGCCTTCTGCGTTACCCGCAACGGGGCGCTCAATCGCCGCCTGCTGCAGCTTCTGGTACATGCCTTCGAAGCCGCCGATCAACTCGGCCTCGGTGTAGGTATAGAAATAGAAGTACAGTATGATAATCATAAGGATTAGGGTATGGGTGTAGTCGCCTACGCCGGGTCGTGTGAGCAACGGACAGTGGGTGCCAGTGGACCGTCCGAATCACTCACAGAGGAAAGTCGCACGAAGCCCACCGAGGATCACATAGACCATGACGCCGATCGGGATGAGGAAATTGGCGGCGTAAATGTTCATGCCGGTGAACGCGTTCACGACGGCACTGCCTCCGAGCAGAAGCATGCTCGACACGATGAGGTTCGTCACCAGACCATACGTGACGAAGATGAGATGCGGCGTGTTGCCATAGCGGGCTTGCACGATCTCGAGGTACGTGTGGCAGTACGGCGCGATCATCTTGACGCGGACGGCCAGAATCGCCATGAGGAAGATCTGCAGCGTCGCGCCGGCGGCGTAGTAGTATCCTCCGCACAGCCCATACTCGTACGTCACCGTCGAGCTCTGCAGCAGCGTCGCGGCCCACGTCCACGCAGAGACGATGCCAGACGCGATCAGCCCGGGCTTGATCGACCGCGACGCGGTGTTAAACTCCTCGGACGTGCCGATCTTGAACGTCGTGTATCTGTTCTGGAGGGTCGACAGGCCCATCATGAGGACAGCGAAGACGAAGCCAATTCCGAGAACCACGCCATATCCAACGCCTTGCGACAGTACTTGCGCGCCTTCAGTGGAGGACATTGTGGTGGCTTGAATGGGGACGTGTATCTCGAGAGAGCTCGCTCGCTTCGAGAAGAGGTAGCTTATGACCTTTCTGCGGAGCTCGATAGGTAAGCAGTAGGATTCTTATCGCCTTTGGTACACTGATAGGGAGATACAGTCCCGAGAAGCATTGGAGGGCTGGAGCACCGAGGTGCAGGCGCCCTCCTGCTGTCATACCTGCCAGAGAACGGCAATGAAACTCGTCAACTCTTTACTTCCACACTTGAGCGAGCACTCACCGGCCGCTGCGAAGGACGACAATCGCATCAATGTTCAAGCGTTTCACTCCTTTCCGCGCAGGGCAGCCACCAATGTACGGGACGCGCGCTATACGCCGCCACTCTATTTTCCGCGACGAGCAAGTCCATGCTTCGCTGCCTTTGTCCTGGGAAGTCTGATTGCTCCCCGCGCTCCACGGAAGAGGATTGGCTGAACCAGGGCAACGATACGTACCCGTGAGACTAGTGGATCGTATATAAGGAAGGCGTCCCTCTCTGAAGGAAGCCCGTTCCGTCGAAGCAGATAAAAGCCTATCGAGTCCTGGGTGATACGGTGAGGACCATTTGAGTACCATCGGACCGATGTGCGCACATACCTCAAGCTGTATTTATTTGTTGGACCCACGACTCGCGTCCGGCTCGATGATCGGCCTCATGTATCCAAGTATCTTCCACCGTGTCCGACTGGTATCAGCATTTGAAAGCCACAACTCGACTCAAGGCTCACCGATTAGCTCATTGCTCGGATAACACCCTAAAGCGCCACCAGTGCCGTGAGCCAATGCCAGTGCGAGCAGCCCTGTGCTACATGGGTATGCGAAGACGGGTGCAGTGACGGTCAGCGCAGCAGCCAGGTCAATATCGACGCTTCCATCTGTCAAGAGCCTCTCAAGAGTGACAACCATCTCACCCAGAATGGACCCTTAGTCCTGCGAAGACACCCTCGTGCTCAGCCTCACCGTCTCAGCAGTCATGACAAGAACGCTCACAGAACGCTCCCGGTGCGTGCAATGACAGACCGTCCCTCCATATTACGAAGACTCATAAATGACCACGCTCGTTACTTACATGCGAACAGATGATGATGAGAAGAGGAGGAAACCGTAACTTAAGGTCGTTGAGAGGGCAACAGGATCGGATGACAGCAGCCGCGGGGCGAACAGTGTGACCGAGAACCAATGTAATACGCGGAAAGATGAGGTGTATGACAGTCATTGCAGAAGATAGTAGTAGTCATGAACGGCACGAGGGGTATGAAGAGTGACAAGCTCGCTCAGCTCGAACTCGACCAGCCCGGAGCAAGCGGTAGGTGAAGTGTCCGCACGCGGTTTAGAGGACGACACAGTGGTGCTTCTTGCTGCCCTTGGGCCGGCTGAGAAGCGCAGCACGGGTGGCGTACTGGAACACCTCGCGGACACCCTCGCCAGACTTCGCTGAGCACTCGAGATAGTGCTTCGCACCAATCTTCTGTTGCACCGCCATACCCTAAAAAGTTATGTCGTTAGCGTTAGACACATGAAACGAATACAGAACGTCATCCCATCCCGGAGCGCTACTGCGCAGGCACGTGGGTGGCAACTCTGAGCCACCGGCGACGCGTAGCCCGCCCGGGCGGGGAATCGAAGGCAATGAACGGGCAACGCACCTCCTCGGGAGTAACAGGCCGCTGATTCGTCTTCCTGAGCTCCTCAATGACTCGCGGGTCACGTCGCAGATCCTTCTTGCAGCCGACGAGAATAATGGGGAGACCAGCACAGAAATGCATGACCTCAGAAATCCACTACGGGGTTGACGCAGATCAGTCAAAATGTCTTGGTGCATTCAGAAAGACACGCACCTTCTCCTGCACGTTGTCCAGAGAGTCGGGTGAGTCTACGGCGAAGCAGATGAGGATGACGTGGGAGTCAGGATAGCTGAGCGGCCGAAGACGGTCGTAATCCTCCTGGCCCGCCGTATCCCACAACGCGAGCTCAACATGTTTTCCGTCGACCTCCACATCGGCAACGTAGTTCTCGAACACGGTGGGCACGTAGACCTGATACAGCGGTAAGCGCTGACATTAGCACACGAGCAACAGGCATGGTACGACTCGGCATCGCGAGCAGTCCCCACGGGGAACGCGGTACGCACCTCTGGGAACGTTCCTTTCGAGAAGACAATCAACAAACAGGTCTGGAAAGGACGGTTGCGTAGTCAGCACAGGGGTGGTACGACTACGCATAGCGCGCGACGAGAACGACACAGACCTTGCCGCAGGCACCATCACCTACGATGACGAGCTTCCTACGAATTTCGGACATGACTGAACAAAGGACTGACGAGCGAGGATGGAGGGACGGCTGAGGTGGACGACGCGGACGGCGGTTGCGGTAGCTGGAGCGGCGAGGAGACGTTGCAGCGCGATGATAGCAAGCGGGCTTTCCAGCGGTCTTTGAAGTTTCGCGGCCAACCACACTGCCATACACAGCAACCCTCACTTTTACCTAAGCACTGGGTCTGTGCGTGGGAACTCGCCACTTAATTCTGAAGGCTGCCATACTTATCTGTGCTAGTCCCGCAACCGCTGCATGGCTTGCACAGCTCGCTGCACAGGCGACCGGGGTTGTTTGGGGAAACCTGGGGCCCGCAGCAAGGCAGTACATGATATTACTTTCACGCTACTGTACCTGGAGCCCACCAGTTTGTACATATGCGTATGTCATCGGATTACACTAGGTCTGTCGTTTCCTGCACGAGAAGTACGCGCGGTCGCGGTGAGTGGATGGGCTTCTCGAAGCAAGAGCACTACCTCCTCCGAAGCAGAGTATCATGCGACGGAAAGGAAACAAACCGTCAGAGTCGTTCTTGGCATCGCCGTGAAGTACTGTAATTTCGCCCCGGAGAAAACAGATCCCAGCGGTGAACCTTGGGTGAACCAGTCCCTCCGCGTCAGAAAATGCACCACGCTGCGAGCATTGGCAAGAACTCACCCACTCAGTTCTAGACCGGTCGGCTAGGATGTAGAGTGATACACGTTGAGAACGCATGTCACATTGCCAATACTTGCTTGCGTATATACGATGCTGTCCTGTAAGTTTAACGCTCAGGCAGTGCTCACTGAGCGGCACTGACTTTGGTTCGTGACATATGTCATTGACGGTCGACAACCTGAATCCTGCGGCTGCGTAGATCAGTCAGTACTGCTTGCAACCAGCAGTTGAGTGTGGCCATATGGCTGCAATCATGAACGGGAGGCGCTGCGCATCTCCGCTTGAATTCGTCAATGGACGCGTGTCGATGTTTGAACACAACCTGCAGCTATAACTTTGTTGTCCTTGGGACCGTCCATGGAGTACGCTGAGCGATGGCATGACGCTGACGTTGAGGTCTTGCCAATGGCGGGTGGCAGCCCCGAGGCAAGTTGTGGTGTGAGCAAAGGTCGAAGACGCCTAGAGCGTGACAAGGCCGCGTGACAGCCCATACAAAAGAAACAATCAAAAGCGGCCTCGAGTGTAGTGCTACTAACTAAGTATAGTAGCGACCTTCACAAGGGCATTATTGTGGGCTAAAGCGACGCGCCTTGTACTATTGTCACGCTCGCGCCTCTTCATCGCGCCGCTGCAGCTTCGAGCAGGCCACACCCTCCCCTTCTCCCCTTCTCCCCCTCCATGCTGCCTGGAACGCCCTCGAGGACTCCGAACCGTCGCGATCTGCGCCGCAGGGGCAGGAGGAGCCCCGTCGCCCGCTCCTCCTCCATTCTCGGCTCCCTCAAAAGTTTTATCACAACCCCACTGTCGTGGTTCACGTCCCAAGAGGACCTACAAGAGGACTTTGAAGACACACCCGGAAAGCGGCGGAGAAACCCCGAGGCCGCCGAGCGCGACGACCGGGAGCACGAGGAAGGGGAAGGACGGGCGAAGCGGCAGCGTGTGCACAGTCCAGAGCCAGAGCCAGAGCCCCCTCAGCAGCGGCGCCGGCTGCTGAGCGAACAGCCCGTCGCAGGCTACCTCGATGTTCCGGAGGGTCTGATACCCCAGCATGATGCTCTGCCTCGTCTCTCGATGGGCCATGCGCGGTCCTCGTCGCTGGCCACAGCGCCCCCGCGCTCATCCGCGGTCCGCCTCGACCGCCACTCCCTCTCCCCACTCGCCGGCCCGTCGTACGTGCAGCCGCTCAGCATCGCGCGCACGATGTCCATGGATCCGCCGACGGGATACCGCCCCCGGGCTTTGTCGCGGGACGTCTCGATGGGCGTGGCCTCCGCACGCGAGGCGACAATGACGCCGTCCCGTACACCGTTCCAAGTGCGCCCGCGCACGTCCATGACACCCCAGCCGTGCGGCCAAGGGTTCGGTCCCGCCGTCCCGCGCCTCCACCGCGACACGTCCGAACCGCCACCGCTCGAGACCTCGTGTCGACCCCCCAATTCGTCAAGGCCCCGCTGCAGACGCAGCCACAGAGACAGATGCCCGCGATAGAACCGAAGTTAACACTTGGATCGCTGGCGGAATCGCAGCCGAGGACACGGCGCATGTCGCCCTTCGGCGATGTTCCCCAGAGTCGCCCGTCGCTAGGGCAGAGCAGCGCGGTGCTCATGGCCCGCTCGGGCTCCCTTGACGGTGGTCAGTTGCTGCCTGCGCAACCCTGTTCTATTGATGTCTCATTCACTCAGCAGGCCGCAAGCGTCCTGAGAACTCCGCAGAGAAGGTGTTGCAGGACCTTGACGTGTACAAGACACCGCTCCTGCCGACGCGCCTGCGTGGCGCGCCCAGCACCCCCGACATGTTCAAGATCAAGAAGATGCCCATACCTGTGCTCATGGCCGGGAACACGACAAGAAGACCCGTCTCGGCTCAGCCGACAAGGAAGAGCCGGGCGCCAAGCCGTACGCTGGCAAGGGCGGCATGAAGAAGCTGCTGATGCGGAGGAAGCAGGAGGAAGAGGAGGATCGCGAGAAGGATAGGGAGTCCGCCATGGACGATGACCAGGACGATGGTCCGAGCGAGGTTGCCCAGCAGAAGGCACCGGGGCCGCGCGATGTGCCCCCTCTTCCCCGCCTTATTGTACCCGAGTTCCCCCTGCACCTGCGGCGGGCAGACCCTCTTCACTGCGCGTCGGCCGCAACAAGATTTCACGATCTCATGCGCCATCTGTGCAGCGTGGCAAGAACCGATTCTCTGCCGTGGATGAGGACGAGGATGCTGACGATGCGATGCTCACGTCTGAGGATGCTCAGGCGGAGGCTCCCAAGCCACCATCTCTCTTCCAAGCCCCGGCTGGGTTCAGCTTCGCCCAAGAGGTAAGTACCGTTTGTCTGTGCAAACATCCTGACAACTGGAATTCTTGGTAGACCGCACCGATCAAAGCAGACTCGAGCACGTCCAAAGAACCACCGATCGCCTCGCTGCCATTTTCCTTCAATAAGCCCAGCTCAGAACCCCCCAAGGCAAGCGCCGAGGGTGCGCCCTCGGTTCCAGCGGTTCCCAAAGAGGTCACCCAGCACGCTGCTCTCCCACAAAGCGGCCCCGCTGCTACGAAGCAGGAATGTGCAGCGAGGGTACCGACTGTTGCTGCTGGCTCCGCCCCACCCACGACTGCTGCCGCTCCGGCGACGCCCGTGCTGCAGATGATGCCCAGCATCGCGCTGACGCCCCCGACACCAGCGGCGCCTTCGACGTCCGCGGAGACAACAGGGAAGGACGCAACGGCAGAGAAGGCGCCGTCCGCGATACCCAACTTCTTTGCCACCTCTGCCATCTTGTCCAAACCAACAGCCCCCATCACGCTGCCGACGGGCACGTCGCTGTTCGGTGGTCCTGCAACTACGATGTCGTCTGCGCCTGCGAGTACCGTGGCCGGTTCTACCACGACGACGCCCTCGGCTACAAGCGAAGTGAAGGGTGCTGAACAGAGGGAGGCCGCAAAGCAGTCGGCGTTCAGCTTCGGTGGTGCTGCTCCGGACTCGACCGCACGCCCTGCAGGGCCAGCGGCTGGCTTATTCCCATCACCGGCTTCATCAGCGTCGAAGACTCCCTCGGAGATAAGTGCCGCATCTGGAGCAGCCGTTCCTACGTCGATCTTTGGGGCCGCACTCGCTAAGGAGCCGTCTTCCTCTGGGACGCCTTTCAGCTTCGGCGCGCCGGCGAAGCCTGCAGAGCAGCCCCCTGCAGGGTCGTCTCTGTTCGGCTCTGCACCGCCTAAGCCAGCGGAGCCCACCCCTAAGGCTGCTGCGAATGCTACTACGACCCCGCAGCCGTTCAGTTTCGGTCCCCCAGCGAAGCCAGTAGAGACTGCGACGACATCCAGTGCGTTCAGCTTCGGTGCCCCGTCGAAGGCTGCAGAGGCACCCGCACCTTCGTTGTTGGGTCCTCCGGCGAATATCGAGAAGCGGGCGAGTCCTGCACCGGCGTCCGGATTCACCTTCGGACCGCCAAAGGACCAGCAGGCGAAGACGCCCGAACCGACTTCGACTCCGGCCGCCGAACTTTCGAAACCCTCGCTCTTTGGCGCGTCGTCGACGCCGTTCGGCGGGTTTGGTACTGCAACTGGCAACACCGAGCCTGCGAAGGCGCCCTTCACGTTCGGTCAGCCCGCCGCGCCTGCTGCAAGCACCCCAGCTGTGCAGGCCCCCAAACCCCTCTTTGGTGGTCCGTCTAGCAGCTTCCCATTCGGTGGTGGAGCCCAAACAAGCACCGCACCGGCGGAGCCCGCTGTCCCTGCGAAGTCGCCGTTCTCATTTGGTGCGTCGCCGGCGACGCCTCCTACGACATCCACAGACAAGCCAGCATTCTCCTTTGGGTCGGCAAGCGAGACGACCTCGGCTCCGCAGGCACCGATGATGTTTGGCGGACCGACTGGTGGTAGTCATGGCACGGACGTCTCGAGCAAGCCATTCGCGTTTGGCGCCGCTGCCGCACCGGCGCGGCCAGCGACGCCACCTCGTCATGACCAAGAAGTGAGCATGGACGAAAGCCCGACGCGGGGTGCTGGGATGTACATGAATGGACATGGTGATGCCAAGGAGCCTCTAAAGCTCACAACTGGGTTCTCGTTCGGAGCGCCGGGAACGAGTGCAGCGTCGCCCTTTGGTCAGAACACGCAAGCCTCGTCATCCACTCCCTTCGGGTTCGGCGGCTCGTCGAGTGCATCAAGTATCTTCGGAGGCGCCAAGACGGAGAACAAGCAGGAGACGAAGACTTCGTCTGGCTTTGGCTTTGGTCAGCAGAGTGGATCCGGGTTCGGTTTTGGGCAGAAGCCTGCTGACGCTCCGGCTCCTTCGTCGTCTCCCGCCCCATTCGGGGGCTCGGCTGGGTTTGGACAAAGTTCTGCGACACCCAGTGCAGCTGCACCGTTCGGCTTTGGTCCATCGACATCCTCCGGGAGTACTGGTGGGTTTGGGCAAGCGGCGGCGACGTCGACCACTCCCAGCCCTTCCACATTTGGCTCAACACCGTTCTCGTTCGGTGTAACCCCCACTTCAGCAACGGCACCATCAAATCCCTTCTCGTTCGGTAGCCAACCGGCATCTCCAGCGACGGCGAACCCTGGTCTACCGTCTGCATCGGGGACTACCAATCCACCATTCCAGTTCGGCCAGCCTGGGCAAGCATCAGCGCCTTCAAGTGCCGCGCCGTTTGGTGCCTCGGCAGCTCCGCCACCTGGTGGCGCGATCTTTAACATTGGGGCCGCGTCAGCCCCTGCCCCGACAGCGGGAGGAGCAAGACCTGTGAAGAAACTGCCTACTCGTAGGGCTGGAAAACGCTAAACATCTTGATTCTTGTCTTGGACCCTCGTTTCCTTCTTGTCTCACACTTGACATCGACTTCCTCTCCGTGCTACCTCCTCTCACAAAGTCATCGTCGCATCATGTTTTTCTCGCTTTTCCGTGCCCTGGATCGTTTCTCGCTCGTCAGTTGCTCTGTCGGATCCGATTGTCACAGGCTGAAGGCCATACGTACACATCATCGCATCGCATTATCCGCATTCATAGGTAGGTAGAACGTACACATCACTCACATCTCAATAGGGCTGAAGGCTCGCACATCCAACTTGTTCAGAATCATAGGTAGATAGGTAGGGCACATCCGCAGGGCTGACGGTTTATGCATTGCGTATTATATTTCACACTGTTAGTATATTGGCGTAGGCGTATGTTGAACGATAGCAATACCATCCATGTTGTCTTCAGGGAATAGAGTGGTGGGGTGTCAGAGTACGAAGTGACATGACGCTACAACAACACAACACGGGAACAGGCAGGACGAAGGCTCATTTGGATAACGCCTTTCTGAGGTTGGCGTTCTGCTTCTCCAGCATCTCGATCTTGTCCCCTGCTAGCCTCATCTTCTTCAGCAGGTAATTCATCCGATCTCTCACAGCTGTCCGCGAGCCCATCCAGTCCGCTGTGCCAGCATCGACATCTTTCAGCGTGAGCAGCTCTTGCTCGCACGACTTTACGGTGCCCTCCGAGGCAGCGATGATACGCTCATTGAAGGCGATGTCTTGCGTGGCACGGAAGACGGGGTCTAGACAGACGCTTTCTCAGTACCAAAGGCGTTGGGCAGAATAGTATATGACTCACCCTGGACCAGCCGCTCGAAGACATATCTATACACTGGCTTTCCAGGCTTAATGGTGGACGGCCGGGCTAAAGAATTCCTGTGAGAAGGAGACCAACGCACTAGTAGGTAGGACTGACCATTCTCGGTGCCAATGGCGATGAGCTCGGCATGCTCCATATGCCTGAGAGCGGTTTCGTCGTTCTTGAAAGGGAAGTCCATCAACACATCGTGGTACGATATCTATGTACGCCCCGTTAGCAGTCTGGTGGTAGATTCAGTATGCGTCCACGAGTCTGTCTCACCTCCGGCTTCTGCGACAGCTTCTTCATCATCGCCCACGCCTGCTCGCGCGACCACGGCAGGTTCTTTGCATCCTCGAGGTCCTCGCCGTATGCGTTCTTGCGGATTTCACTGACACCGCGGGTGACGATGTCTTCGATGGCGTCCTGCACGCTTTGGCCGTTATGGACTTTGTGGATAAGCTGCACTCCATCTCAGCGTCATGTGAGAGATCGACGAGACAGGGACGCTTACACTTTCGAGGTCACTGGCCCGCCCGCCTAACCGCTGGATGTACGAAACCTGCTCTTTGCTGAACCTCGCGTCCACACCACTGTCTTGCAGCTTCTGCTTGACGAAGGAAAGTGCGCTCGAGTTGTCAGCATCAGACAGGGTAATAACGTTCAGTGGTTGGGATGGAAGAGCTAGCCGTAGAATCCAATGAGCTGAGTCGAAACGCTTGTCTGGACCGTTCAACGTACCCTTGGTCAGCCTCTTCGCATTCTCCCGGTTCTCGCTCACGATAATCACGTGTGCAACCTAAAGAATATGAGAGTTGAGAAGGACGCAACACGAAGACAGGACTTCATATTTACCTGATTCTGAGCCAAGCTAGCCGCCCAGCGCGACAGCACGTCCAGCATCTCCTCTTTGCTAGCCCCTCCACCCTTGCTCTCAAAGCCCTTCACAATCACGATCGGCATCGCCTCAATCGCCTCGACATCCCCCGCGCTCCGTTCCTTCCTCTGTGCTTCCTTCCTCTCCCTCCCTTCCCCCCTCTTCTCCTCCACCTTCTCCGCCTTTTCTCCATCCCCCCTCTGCAGTGCGCTTACGACGTGCAGCCCCTCGTCATTCCGGTCAAACACCTCGTCACCTACGCCCAGTTCGCTCATCACGCCGTTCCCTGCAATGCAGTCCACACGCCCGTCGTGCCACGCCCCCTCGCGGATTCGCTCACGCACGCGTGCCTCCTCTGCCCGACGTAGCTCAGCGAGATGCGCATTCTGGACGGCGCGGTCGTGCTCCTTCCGGTGGGTGGTGTTGACGCGCCCGAGCCCAGTGCCCACGACCTCGAGGATCTGTTTCAGCTGGTCGGTGAGGGTGGTACTGAAGCCGGCTGATTGAGCGGAGCCGTCAGCTCGTACGTGATGAGCATTCAGATACAGAATACAAGCTGCGCACCCTTCTGGCCGATCAACCCGACGCTGGCGAGGTCGACGAGGTTGTTGAGCGAGTTGAACACGGAGAAGACGGGCCAGTAGCCTGTCTGCCGGGCGAGCGACGAGAGCAGCGCAGCATCGGACGTCGCTTTCGACAGCTCGGAGACATCAATTACCAGTGCCCTCCTGTCCGTCGTCGGGGTCAATCCCGTGGAGAAAAAGTATGAGTGGCATAACACATGTCCTGACCTTCCCGACTGCTTGAGCAGGCCCGAGATCATACTCGTTTTCCCGCTCCCTTGAGGACCGTAGACGAACGCTACAGTGTCTATATGCAGACAGTGAGACAGAAGTTCGCCATAGACGGGGCTGCTCGCGTACTTGGCATGTCTTTGAGGTAGCTCTCCAGCGCGCTCTCCGCGTCCTTGCGCTCCTTCCATGCCTCTTGCGCGTGAGCTCGTGTGGCCTCGCCTTCCGAAGCAGCCGTAACTGAAAGAGAGAACTTCGGCAGGCAGTGTTGCGAAGCCACTGGTACGCCTGGAATTCTGGGGTAGGACAGTGAGTCCTGGGTAGCAAGGGCGCTGAGCTCCAACGTACGTTTGATATCGAACCAGCCCTCGAGCGTGCCCTCAACCATGAGTACGCGGATTGGGTCGAATATCTATTTCCCAATCAATCAATCAATCATCATCACACTCAACATCGAACCACGCACCGTATACGTCAACGTCCCCAGTAAGAAAAAAGTACCGGCAGAAATATCCTCGGGTGGCTCGTCACATAATCTCGAACGACATGCGCCTGCACCGGTGCCTGGTACGTCGTCCTTAGGATCGTCTTCGCCGCCGAAGCCGAGGACGACGGCTGCACCGCGAGGCCGTGGATGGCGTGTGTGCGATCGCGGCGGATCGCAGGCGACTGAAGGTCACTGTGGAGTACGGAGACCGCCTGCGACGGTTGGAGGAGAGGGCTGGGAAAGGTCTTGTATGCGACCGTAGGGCTGGATGGAGTGTGGTGTTAGGTGGAAGGGGGATGTGAGATGGATGGACGTACGCGGAGGAGGTATAGAGGGTCTCTTCGGTGACGTCCGGGCCTTCGAAGGAGACACGGAGGATGGGCGATGGAAAGCGATTCATGTCCTGGCATAGATTTGCATTCAGTGTGCATTTCAGAAACCAATACTAAACGCGTCACTGCAACCCAAATGTACGGGTCGAGGCCTGACACCAGCCAACCCGGGAGGGCGTCGCAGGTCACAGCCACATCCGAGCATAACCAAAGATGCAAAGTCAAAGACCACAGCCGACTTAGCCTGATATAGAGCCGTCTGCCCAGGAACACCATTTCAAACAAGGACGTCTGACCCTGTGTCCACGATCTCGGCTTGGTGCTCGCGTGAAGGTGGTCAATTTCCAGTTGTCAATTCGAACTAGTCCAGACCTCTGCACATGCTATGATCCCTTGTTCGCGCTTCTTGCTAGGCATGGTATGGTCGAACACCGGTCCGGATGGATGGATCAGCCGTACACGGCACCACTCGTCGTTTGGTCTATCAAAGATAGGCTGCTGTCGCAGCCCACTGTGAAACCACCTGTCAGGCATGAACAGCTGTAAGACATTCAATAGCCATCAGGTTATGCGTAGCTGCATGTTGTGGTACAACTGAGTCCATGCCCGGCAGGTGCGGATTGGGCTTTTGTACCCCTCATCGTGCGGGCAAATCGCCAGGCCAGTTTCAGTAGAGATGCTTTTCATGTGCTACAGCCGCTTTCCGAGAGCATAAATGGTCGGAATGATGATAGGGTTCCCATCCAACCACGAGGTCCTCTCTAGCTTCGGCGGAGTGCACAGTGCCGACCTGCCCTGTCGCAAGTCGCGTCCACTTGCTCCGCGGGCACATATTGTGTGTGGCGGGGTTCAGGCACCCGCCATCTGGGTTGTGACGACACGTACGGTATGCACACTCACCTCTCGCCATGGTCTACCCTTCACGAGCCAAACATCCCCACGCGACACACCGAACCATGATGGGACTCCGCCGTGCTTGCAGCTAGTTCTCTCAGTTCTTGCAGAAGATCCTTTGGGCACTCCCGCAGCTGCGTCATACGAGAACTTGACGAAGACGCCGCCATCCTTTTCATGTGGTTCCACGGCGATGATCTTGAAGCCGCGATCTTTCACGTTGGCAAAGAGCGAGTGTACTGGTCGACAAGGGTTTCTCTGCGGAAGTAGCTCACGTAACGTCGTATGCTGCGAAACGAATGAGCATTCGTATCATCTTCCGGCCGACTGGAATAAAGACTCACTCCCAGCGTCCTAGCCTGTACGGAAAGACGGAATCGACGAATAGCCACCCCTCGCTTCGCTGTATCCGCACTCTCCGTAAGCATAGAATAGCTATATGGCAATCCATTTGCGCACTTCGTTAGACTGTTCCGTCACGTCCGCGGACGCGGCAGCCACAGTCGCGTTATGTCGTTTGGTGAGTGCATTGAACGCGCTTGAAGAAGATGCAACCCTCCTCGTTGGCGAGCCTGCGATGTTTCTGAAGAGTTGTCCCTTTACCGAGCGTTGGAACATGAGAGGAGGGGGAGAGTGCGGATGCAGCCTGGCTGCTCCAGATGCCACTGCCAGGCACTCACTCGGAGCACTGAGCAGGGCTGCCCGCTTGAGCATGACGTCCAGATGCGGCGCCCAGCGCTTGCCATCTTATCTTATCTAGAAGCTGTCCTTCGTCACGTCCATCCTCGGGCCCTTCAACTGTTCCGCTCAATCTGTACTTAGCACCCACCTTGACATACAGTATCGGTGTTCCTTGTCTCCCAATCGTTCGGCAAAAGCTTGTCCCTGGATACTACTCAAAAAATTGATCGGCGTAGTCACCGCCCGCCTAGCCCCCTGAGGACAGAAAAGTCGAGCTGCTGCCGCGACACAAGCTCAGAGGATAATCGTGAGCTGGGAATCTTCAATGGTCAATTGGCGAACTCATCCCGATCCCTCGTCTCAGGCCATCAGAAGAAAGTTCGCTCGAAACGACTGTACAGCAAAACTCCGTCGGTGTGCATCGCTGACTGGCCACGATACTATCGTCCATACCGATCCCGCGACAACATCAACGTCAGCCGCTACGTATTTGTATGTCTGCGTGTTCAGAAAGGTGCGTTGACCTTCGCGCCAACATTACCCAGCCTTTGCGCCACCACGACATCCGGCCGCAACGTTGACGCTGAATTGTGCTTCACAGTACCTTCCATTTGCAATGCCGGGATACGACTGCGCTCGAATGGGGCGCTGAACATGCTATGCGAGGAGGACCGCATACAGCTGCAGGGTCGCACCGCCCAGCAAGTTCGAAGCTGGATAGCCTCCAAGACGCTCGCCATGCGACTCTATCTATCGAAGCTACAACTCGTATTCAATTCGACTCTCCCCGTCAGCACGCTGCCGAACGAGATTTTGGTCGAGATCCTGTTCTTGCTTCGGCGCTAGACTACCGCAACACATGGATCACGAGGGCCATGGGCGTATGCCGGCACTGGAGGGACACCATCGTGGATGCACCTGTCTTGTGGTCCAAAATCGATCTGTCGGCGGGACCACGCCTCATAACGCACTATCTTACTCGCTCGAGCAACACAGGCCTCGCCTATATGTACCAGGGCCCAGGAGAGGGGAAATAATCGAGCAGCATCGACTTCTCTATGATCACCCCCTTCTCGCTGCGCATCATTCGCGAATCACGAATATCATCTCTATATCAACAATAACGCGACGATGAGATGAGTCACTGTGGAAAGAGCTAGACGTCCCGTTGCCGCTTTGTTTTCGTTGGAGCTGGAGACTTTATGGTACTCGTGGACGCCGAGTCCTCTCCCCAATCTCCGCAGCCTGTCATTGGCCTGGTCACCCCGATTGGACAGATTGCCACTCCGCAGTTGACATCCTTGATGCTTTGCGGCGTCCGTTCACTCGAGATAAAACCTTCGCGCCCGGGTCTCTTCTGGATCTCTTCGAAACGTGCGTCTCCTTAGAGACCTTCAGTGCGACGATTTTGACTGGGACAAACCATCGGATGGAAGGGGATCAAGCGTGCATCCGGGTCGCATCGTGCCACTGTCTCGGATGCGGTACTTCCACCTGGCAGGAGCTCGGGAGGTATCTCGGAGCTGCTTGCGCAATTGCATTATCACGGCACGCTCATCTCTCTCTACAGCCAGACTTCGATATACGCGCGCCAGACCTTGTGCTCAAGGACTTACTGCCAACGGAGATGAAAATTTGCCCGCTCTCAGTGAGGCGCGTCAGTAATGTGTGGCACGACCGGATGATGACAGTGCATCAAGCTCACCTTTACGCCGACGTAGAACGCACGGACTTCTGGGATTTGAAGTCCTGGAGGTCGTTGCACTCCACAGCGCCGTCGGATATCCCATTTGGTAGCCCTGGATGCCGTCCCTCTGCATCAGGCATCCACGCGATATTATTCGGTGCCGATGCGGAACGAATTGAGCAATCACCGTGACTGAGCTTGGTGAATCTTCAACTCAGCACCTGTGGAGACCCTCGTCGTAGGTATTGGCGGATCAGGTCGGCACGCAAACCTGGCCGCACGCTGGCCACCTTGCCAAACCTCAAGCATCTCGAGATCATCGGCAACCCTATGATTTCCCTCCTGCATTGGAGCCGACACCGACGGGGACGCCCTGCGCACAACTGCATGAGCTTGCTCTGCGGTACAAGCTGTCGCAGCGGAACGACTTGGTTGGTATCGAGGATACACTGGTGGAGCTCCGTGCGATGCTGCAGAGGCGCATTGAAGTGGAGGGTGGGGCGCGCTTGGAATCCCTTAGCCTTGTTCTGGAGCCTACACGGCATTGGCACCTTCGTTTGTCGCCGATCAGCTGCCACCAGACTTAAGACAGCAATTCAAATCTTGGAAACTGTGGTAGGGTCGTTGACGTTCAGGTGCATTGGTCTGCGAGAAGCAGAAGAGGGATAGGAGGTTCTTGCAGGAAGGTGAGGATCCTGACATGAGGAGTGGGGACAAGAAGAGAAGGCGGCCATCTAAGTAGCCACTGACGGCGGACGTCAGCGGTGTAACGGACGCGCCCGCCACATGCTTACGTCGGCACATAGATACATTGCGCCAGCTTGTACCATAGTTTTGCCTTTCAACACCAGTATTCGAGCCTGATCCGTGCCCGTTCTCGCTCTTCCGCCCGACCGCCGCAGCCACTACTTACAACCACCCGACCCTGCCCGCAGTGGGTCGTTACACTCAGCGGCCATAGTCCGGCCTTCACCACAAGTCATATACAAGAGGGTCGCTCCTTGATTTACTGTACAACAGAGATCCTGATGCGACAGCCAGCCTGAGAGTCGCGATGTGTCGCTGTGTATCCATTCTTGCGCGGCGCGCGCTCAGGCTGCCACAGGTTCCGATCTCCCACCCATCTAATCTTATCTCGAAGCGCTCCGCCCGATGAAGCGCCACAATGTCGATCGGTGCCCGTCACTCATTAGCGCCTTAGACTTCCTGGCCTCCGCGCTCGCTTTCCGCGACAAAATACCTATTCCCTTCTGCGATGCTCAGCCATCAAAATTGAGCAAAATCAGGGCTCAACCGGGAATTGAACCCGGGACCTCGCGCAGCTTACGTAATCAAACGGGGAATAACCCGAAGCGCGAATCATACTACTAGACCATTGAGCCATATTAATAGGAACAAATTGTATTGTTGTGCACGGTGCACCTGATATGGAAGCCTGGTGAAGGTATTATTCGTCTTATCTTAAATCAACACACACAGACCGTACAGTTGCCCAGTCATATTTCCAAGAAGGCAAAAGCGAGTCGAGTGTCTGCCAGTGTTGGCCATGCAGCACCAGCGCCTATAAAGCTTGCCAAATCCGTCGTATGTACATTTCCAAGCGGAAGCGCCCGGTCGGTCCAAAAGCGGAACCACTCACCTTTAACATAGAAGATCCTCCGTACAATGTGGTCGTCGTTTATCATTATAATCGATATCAGTCATCGGTAGAGACTAACACACGAAGCTCGGGTAGAACAGGTTCAGGTACCTTGTGAGAGTCAGCAGATGAAGTGTATGCAGTGACTCGCGGGGACATCTTCACTCGAGTGATGCCCTATCTGAACCGGACTAATGCAGATATGATATTGTAGTGTCATTCTCTGAGTCAGTTACTCAGTTATCCATTTATTGTCATGAGGGCGAAGCCCTATGTAGACGGTACATTCTAGATCATGTCGTGTCTCCTGTAGTCTGTTGTCGCGTAGCATCACCATCCGCCAAAGCTTCACTGGCAGGCAGGCAGGGTATAGTAGTGCAGTGTAGCATGTGTAGGGGTCGAGTTAGATAGTTGGAAATGATGCAGAACTGCTCCGCGCGCCGTGCGCCGTACCCTCGTCAACGTGTCCGCTTGTCGCCGTCTTCCATTCTCCGAGTCGCTGGCCAAGATATATACGATCTCTCATGCCGCTGAGGTGCTAAAACGATCAACCCTATGTATCACGCCGATGAGTCACGGCGAGCATTATATTAAGCAAACACACTGTTCATTTTGGGCCGGGACGTTGTATAAGTAGTGACAATCTTACTGAACGAAGTGCGGGACCTGACCTCTTGCTTCATGATCAGCCTCGCTTCACGCCCCACCGTTGCTTCGATATGTACTTCCTCCACTTCTGTACATCTTCGCGTTCCAAGAGTCGATCGAGGTATAATACTCTTGGCGAGCTCTTCGTTGCTCGCCACTTGATGTACGGTGGAATGACATGGTCTGTTATGGGATTCGATGTTGTTTGTGACGGAGCGGAGCAGCTAGCTCAACGCGGGAACCACCTGCAGAGCCAAGCAACGGAGTTGAGCATTCCTTCCAAATGCCATTTCTTCTTCAGTGCTTTCGCGTGCACCTCTCTTGGAATGAGGTGGTGGTACGTCAGCGGCACCTCGCGCTCGCAGATCTCGCACTCCGAGGCGCGCGTCCTTGACCACACAGGAGGAGGGGCGGTCACTTCTGCGACGTATTCCACGAGAACTTTGCGCAAGAACTAGAGGCATCGTCGGCATCGCCGCGATGCCGCACGAGATCAGGGTGTCCACGAAGGTGAGCGGGATGTTATCCAGAGTGAACGAGTCGACGTCGGGAAGATTCGCGCGTTTCTCATGCGCTGCTGAGCGTAACGGCCCAGGGAGGGCTGGCCAGACCTCAGAAGCAAGATAAGTACGAGGTGAAGTCGTCAAGCGAAGATGGGTTATCTGCCGGAGAGTCCGAGGAGTCCATGATGCCCGGTTGTGACAGAATCCGGCGAGCGAGGCATTGACTGAAAGTAATGCATTGAGAGCTTTCCTCGGACATCGAGATATCAGAGACGCGCACAGAGAGAGGCACGCCGACTAGCGGTGAATCGTTGATGCATCAGTTGTGGACGCCTGTTGGACCAGCGAGTGACCGTGGGACAGCGGGCACAGACACGAAGCACGTGGCCTGCTATTGGGCGCGGCTGTGGCTGCTCTTTCTCTTCTCTTCACTTCGACTGCCGCCCTTATTGGGCTTCGTTTCATTCGATTCTGCAGACGCGGAGCGCGCGTGTCACGTCACACTGCTACACAATGCCGCGCGAGATCGTGACAGTGCAGCTTGGCCAATGCGGCAACCAAAGTGCGCCGTCCGCAGTCGCGTCCGCTTCAATCGTGATCTGACCGAGCCGCGTCGCAAGTGGGTTCCGTGTACTGGCAACGGCTCTGTGCTGAGCATGGTATCAACAAGGAGGGGATACTAGAGGAGTGGGCGACCGAGGGCGGCGACCGGAAGGACGTCTTCTTCTACCAGGCCGACGACGAACATTACATCCCCCGTGCGATCCTTGTGGACTTAGAGCCTCGCGTACGTCAACGCGTTCTGTCAGTTGACTTACGTGACTGAGGCGTCGTTTTGTACTCAGGTCATTCATGGCATCCTCGCATCACCATATGCCAATCTGTACAACCCGGAGAACATCTTTGTTTCTCAGGACGGCGGTGGTGCTGGGAACAACTGGGCCCAAGGATACTCGGCAGGCGAACGGATCTACGAAGAAGTCATGGAGATGATCGACCGAGAAGCGGAAGGCAGCGATTCACTCGAGGTGCGTGGCTCCCCCCTCACGTCTACGCGGAGCATTGAAGACGTCGCAGGGCTTCATGCTCATGCACTCCATAGCGGGCGGGACAGGCTCTGGACTAGGCTCTTTCCTTCTTGAACGGCTAAACGATAAGTTTCCGAAGAAGCTCATTCAAACATATTCTGTCTTTCCAAACGCACAGGAGGGCGATGTCGTAGTGCAGCCCTACAATGCTCTCCTGACGCTAAAACGACTAACAAATCACGCCGATTCCGTCGTTGTTCTGGACAATGGCGCCCTTGCACGGATATCAGCAGATAGGCTACACGTCCAGACAGCAACGTTCGATCAAACAAATCAACTGGTAAGTCTCGCACAATAGACTGCGGTATGATCTGCAATTAATACGCGTACCAGGTGTCCACTGTGATGGCTGCCAGCACCCAAACGCTTCGATACCCTGGATACATGAATAACGACCTCGTCGGCATCATCGCTTCTCTCATCCCGACACCACGGTGCCACTTCCTGATGACTTCATACACCCCGTTCACGAGTGACCAAATCGACAAGGTAAGCCATCCAGCCTGACCGACTCCGTCCACTACGTGATATCTCGCCAGGCGAAACCCATCCGGCGGACGACCGTTCTCGATGTGATGCGCCGCCTTCTCCAACCCAAGAACCGCATGGTCTCGACAACGCCGAGCAAGACCGCCTGCTACATCTCCATCCTCAACATCATCCAGGGTGACGTCGACCCGACTGACGTACGTGCTCTTGGCCCCACACAGGCATGGTGTAGTGACGGGAATTACAGGTCCACCAATCGCTACTCCGTATCCGCGAGCGCCAACTGGCCAACTTCATCCCTTGGGGCCCTGCATCCATTCAGGTAGCGCTCACGCGCAAGTCGCCGTACATCAGCACGGCACATCGTGTCAGCGGACTCATGCTTGCGAACCACACCAGCATCGCTTCCGTGCGTACCTCGCGTGTCATCGACCGTACCATAAATTTGACGCGTCGTTGCCGCGCTACAGCTCTTCAAGCGCATGATCGACCAATTCGACCGGTTGCGCAAGAGGAACGCGTTCGTCGAGCAGTACAAGAAGGAGAAGATGTTCGAGAACGGATTAGAAGAGTTCGACGACGCCAGGTACGCAGCTGTCTCGCCTAAGTCGCGCATGCGAGTTTATCGGGCGTGATAGGGCTACTGCAGAAGAGCTCCAGAAGGAGTACAAGGCCTGCGAAAGTCCTGACTACATCACATACGTGAGTATCCGACCGTTTGGTCCCCGTGAAATGCTAATGCCAGAAATAGGGTTCCCCGGACGCCGAGCAACCAGCGTAACGGTCTCGTGCTCCATGGGTCTAAGTTATCTCTCCCTCGCGTGACGATGACCAGCAATCCCTTGCCGTACCGCCTGGGCCTTGCACTGTATGATAGTGTACCATACCGGGGCACCCACAATTTGCTCGCGACGGTGCGTCGGTAAGATTCAGCGGTTCCATTGGGCAAGTACGTGTTCCTCTACATATATATCACACGTCTGTACAAAATTCGGTGCTATCACATCTTCCGAAGCTCAGTGATGCCAACGGGCCCCCGATACTCCCAGATCTTCTATCAGGTGTTCGCTCGCTACCGTTGAACACGGAGAGCATCACCATGTCGTGCATGCTCTTGAATGCGTCCGCGCGATCGTAGCTCGCGGGCAGGGGCGGGAGGTGTTTCGAGCCGAGAGGAGGATGGATGACCGTATCAGCCACGAGGTGGAAACAAGAAATGCGCCGAACTGATTATCACCTCCCTGCGGGCTTACCTCACCCGCGAGATCCAGGCCTCGCAAAGACTATGTGTACTGCGCGCGACCGAATGGCGGGGGCGTCCTCGCTCGTCGTATGATCCCTCGCTCTCATTTCTCATGATGCCCGGAAGGCCGTAGTATGCCGCCTCCACGCCTCAGACCACCCCTTTGCGGTAGAACGGGTGCGACGAGGGTCGCCGCCAGCTGCGCGGCACTGGCTTATCTACATATTATGCCAGGGACGCAACATGATCTGCCGGAAACAACTCGGTGAGTAATTTATTGCAGTGGCATTTGTTGGTACACTCACATGATGTAGCGCAGGAAACATACAGTACCCCTTGACAGGCTGTCGAAGAGGACATACGTGATCAGCCGCATGCGTCCGCTAATTGATGTGATCCCTCGGCATCCCAGATAGGCTTTGCTCATTCGATGATCACGGGGAGGTCTTGAGCGTGCCGGCAATGCCGGGCTCGACTTCGTTATAAACTCTGCACCGAACAAAGAACATCAAGTCAGAAGTCAGGAGTCCCGTCACAGGTTTGAAGCGAGGACTGAGTACTGAGTACTGACCGGTACTGACCGGTCAAGTATTGGTTCAGAAACCTCAGGTCGGTCAATGTTTCAACATCATGACGATCACTGCAGGCGCGGCATGCCTCCCATTGAGTCCCAAGTAGAAAATGGATGAGGCGCCTGTGAGTAGTGTCACAGCGCCTCCGAGTCGGCAAGTGCCGGAGCGGTGGCGCGCTGTTCCGTTCCAAGTTAGGACGAAGGACGAGATCATTTACCTAGCACACTCGGTCCCCCATAGGCTCCTAGTACTGCTTTCTGGCGAGAGCGAAGATCTCTTACGCTTTGCCAGCATCACATACGTGAGTATCTGCCCGTTTGATCCACGTGAAATGCTAATAAGTATCTGAAGCCCAGGGCTCCCAGGATGCCAGCAGTGCCGAACAACCAGCGAAACACGCTCGTGCTCTCCTCAGGCTCGCGCCACGAACATTCCTTTCCTGCCTGGGTCTTGCACTGTATAACAGTGTGCCATACCTGTGACTCACAAACTGTTCGCGGTATCATCGGTAAGACTTAGCGACTATCGAGCAAGTGCGTGCCAGTGTTTCTGCATAGTAGATCATACATCTATACAAAATTCACGCCATCACATCTTCCGAAGCTCAGTGATGCTAAGGGCACCGCGACACTCCCATATCTTCTCAACCTTCAGTCCGGCTCCGTTCGCGAGCGCGCTGAGCTGTTCGGGCGTACGCTCGGTGCTGTTAAACAAGGAGAGCATCAACATGTCGAACATTCCCTTGAGCGCATTCGCATTGCCGTAATTCGCGGGCAGCGGCGCCGGAGCAGACTTGAGGTGCGTCGAACCCAAGGGGGGGTGCATGATCATGTCTGCGACGAGGATACGCGAATCTGGACCTAGGGCATCCCGCAGCCTACTGAGTATTGTCGTGCACTGGTCGTCCGGCCAATCATGGCTGCCGGGAACAGCGAGGTGAGCGGCCTACTGCATTGTAGTTATATAGTCACTCACATGATGTAGCGCAGGAAATACACAGCTGCGCCCCTGACAGGTTGTACTTCAAAGAAGTCGTGTGTGATCAGCTGCACCCGTCCACTCTGGATGAAGCCCGGCATCTCAGCATCCCACGTAACCTTTGCTTCTCCAATGGTGGCAGGGAGGTCTTCGACCACGAAGTGTAAGTCTGGAAACAACTTGACCAGCTCAAGACACATGCTGCCCACGCCACCTCCGACGTCTACAACGGTAGCCTCCCCTAGCGAAGCCCACGGGAAGTCTATCAACGAAAACATGACTCTGGATCAATTCAGCGTCGCAGTCGGAGCTCATCTGACTTACCAGCGATGAGCGCGGGCGAGTTCATTTGTCCTAGACCGACCATCGCAAGTGGAAACATCCCACGCATCTCCCGGACGGCGGGATCGGATTCATCCCCCGTCTCGATATGATCCCATAATGTTCGCTCGTCTCCGTGTGCCTTCTGGAACGCGCTGTCCGTGTTGGATGTAGCGCTTGTCATGTTCCGGTCGAGCAATACCGCAGGCAAGTGCTCAAAGCTCTTAATTGACAACTTGTTGCCGCTACGGGGTGCGTCAGCATGGGCGTGCACTCCGACCACGGCGCTGGCGACATACAAGATCAGCTGGGCTGCCTTTGCGGGAGGATTGCCAGCGAGGATGCGACTCAGCCGCGTATTTGCGAACTGCAACGGCTTCACCTCGTTGTAGATGCCGTTGCTGCAGAGCACATGCATCACTCTCACTGGACAAAGAACATCAAGTCAGAAATCAGCGCCGTCGTACGTCTGAAGCGAAGGCTGACCAAGCTTCCTCTCGTCGATGCCCGTCCGTCTGCTGAGCTCTTCGGCAGAGACTCCGTTAGGTAGTTCTGCCTCCGCCAGTATGTCGGGTACTCCTGCGCGTACCGTCGTGTCGAGCGCCTGGGCCATCGCGAAGGTCGTTGCAACCTCAAGAATGCGAACGTGGGGATCCTCAATGAGGTCGACACACATGCCGCATGCCCCGCGAATGATGCGACGCGCTTCGTACAGCTCGTGCGATGGCAAGCGAGACGTCGGAAGATCCGAGTAGCTGATGTGCTGTTCCTCCATCTCCCATTCCTTGATGACCAGCTCCGAGGTGTCAACGAGGAGTTGGACCAGGGCGCGCAGAGTCTCAGTTCTGGTCGAGGGGGCCATAGCTTGTTATGGCCAGGGTGTGTCTAGTGCCCTCCCGAGCTTTGACATTATATAGTACGGCGCCAAATCTCGCTCACTGGCAGTGAGCTGTCGATGTGATGTTCTTGAGCGCCTTGAAATCCGTTTGTCGTGTTCAAATCTGACGTACTGCCAGTGGAGGGTTTGCCTCTCACATCATGTCAACGCCATTTTCACTGGTGCTACTGGACGCCTTCCCGCAGATGTTGACAGCGTGTTCTATCCTAGATTTCCGCTCTAAACCTCCCCGGCACGTCGGCCTATCTCGCTTGTCGTCCTCTCGAACTCCGGAACCCTCGTTCTAAACCTTGATCTGGAAGGGGGGGTCGGACCCCTCCTTCTAGGTTGAAAAGCATAAACATACCGTCGGTGTTCGAATTTTCGACCTCTCGTTGGCTCACACGACCCATCCCATCAGTACAGTTGCCTCCGACGCCGTGTTATGACTTGACATCACAAATCAGAGGTCGCCGCTGCGGTTTAGCGACCCTCGCCATCCTCACGCCCCAGACGATGTTCGATGTCCGCTCTAGCTTTACCAGCGCCTGAAAACCCTGCGGAACGATTCCCAGAAAACCTCTTACCATGTCGGACCACGCCACTCAAGTGCCACCAGCACGGCGGAGGGTGTAGCCATCTGTCGACAGTCACTGGATGCCTTCCCGCAGAGGTTTACAGCGCTGTGTCGCGCTCTCAATCTCTCCGGCCCGTCGGTCTATCTTGTCGTCCTCTCGAACTCCGGCGCTACCGCCCTCCCGGCCAATGACTAAATGGAGCCACCCTCCTCCTCCTCCTCCCCGTTCTAAACCTTAATCTGGAAGGGGGTCCGACACCCCCTTCTAGGTCGAAACGTTGAAGAGCGTAAGCATACCGTCCGAGTCGGTGTTCGAAAACCCAACCTCTGGTTGGCTCACAGGACCTGTCCCATCACTAACTTGAAAGTTGTCTCCGACACCATGTTATGCCAATATGTACCGCACAGATTACAGGTCGCTGCGGTTTAGCGACCCTCGCTATTCTTGCGCCACAGGCGATGTTCGACGTCCGCTTTAGCTTTACCAGCGCCCAGAAATCCTGCGGAAAGGCATACGTTGTGCGGTGGTCTCCTTCGTGCTGACTCGGAAGAGCTGGAGCTCAGGCTCTCCCCTGCCGGTGATGTTCCCGGTGCCCGACGAGGGATGCGCGCCCTGCCACGCATCCCTACGCCGGATCTAGATGCGCTTCTAGACCCTGAGCTCGCACTCGTGGCGGACGTTAGACGCGTCACCTACGTTGGCCCGGCGCGCGGACCGCGATCGTGCAAACGAGATCGCTTTCCAGTCAACCCCGATGCCCGATGTCACGCGCTTTACTTCACTCCGTCGCTGTTTGGCGGGTGAACTCGGTAAAGCCTCTAGGTTCGACACAAACCCCCACACTAGCGCCGTGTGGAGGGTCTTGGTATGAGACTAGTAAAGCCCCATCATATACTATGGCTTCACATGTACGTAGCCCGACAAGCTTGCAGAACTTCATCTAGCCGCCGGGGACAAAGTTAGTAGGAATGCGCTTGTGCAGAATGATGTTCACTGTCAAGGAACATTTGAGTTTCGTTTCAGACTTCACGTATGTCAACATATTGGCGCTCAACAGACGCGGCAGGCCCTATTTTCAGCGGGGAATTGGATAGCGAATAGGTACGACGTCTTTTTCAACACCTACTACATCTATACAAAATTTCCCGGTAATACACTGGCAGCCGTCGCAGCTCCGTGACGCTCACGCGCACGGGTCCCGGGTCCCGACACTCCTACATTTTTATCACCAAGTTGAGCCCCGCTCTATTAGCAACGGCTTCGAATTGCTCAGGTATCCGTTTGGCGCCGTTGAGTAGACTGAGCATTACTATGTCGTGCATGCCTTTGATCAAGTCCGCGCGACCATAATTTGCAGGCAGCGGCACCGGGGCGGCCTTGAAAGCGGCTTTGACGTGCACAGAACGGGCCCAGGGGAGGGCGGCCCTCGACGCTCTCAACAAGTAGCTTAATCCCGTGGCAACCCTCTCCGGGCTCGACAAGGCATTGGGCATTGATTATTGAATCGGCAAGCATGTCATCCTGTGCAACCAGCATATACATCTATACAAGACACTCCAGTCTGCTTACAGTAGTCGCAACTCAGTGATGCTAACGGGCCCCCGACACTCCCATATCTTCTCTATCGTAAGCCCCGCTCTTTCCGCAATCACACCAAGCTGTCCAGGGGTTCGCTCGCTACCGTTGAACACGGAGAGCATCACCATGTCGTGCATGCTCTTGAATGCGTCCGCACGACCGTAGTTCGCGGGGAGGGGCGCTGGAGCGGACTTGAGGTGTCTCGAGCCGAGAGGAGGATGGATGATCATATCCGCGACGAGGATACGTGAGTCCGAGCCCATGGCCTCTCGTAACTCGCTCAGGATCAGGACGCATGCGTCGTCCGGCCAGTCGTGTCTGAGCAGCTGCCTGAGTGAGCGGATCGTCGCAGTGCAGTGTTATCATTACGCACAGGATATAACGCAGAAAATACACCGCTGCGTTCTTCACGGGCTGTTCGTGGAAGAAGTCGTGTGTGATGAGCTGCGTGCGCCCGGCCTCGATAGCACCTGGGACCTCGGTGTTCCAGATCGACTTCGCTTTCTCGATGGAGACCGGGAGATCCTCGACCACAAAGCGAAGACGAGGAAACATCTTGGCGAGTTCAAGGCACATACTGCCTACGCCGCCCCCGACATCTACGACGGTAGCTTCGCCAAGATCTCCCCACGGGAAGTCTATCCGTCAACACGTAAATGTAAACGACTATGACAGGAAGACAGGAGTCTTTTACACACCGGCGATGAGCGACGGTGAGCACATCTGGCCTTCACCAACCATGGCCAACGGAAACATCTCACGGACTTCCAGAACGGCAGGGTCAGACGTGTCTCCCTTCTCGATATAGTCCCACAGCGTCCCCGTTGTCTTGTGTGCCTTTTGAAATGCGGTCTCCTTGGGGGACGTAGAGTAGGTCATCTCGGGGTCAAGCAACGTTGCAGGCAAGTGCTCAACAGCCTCGACGATCAGCTTTGTGCTGCTGAGACGAAACGTCAATACGGGCATGCACTGACATCTCCAACCATCAACATACTAGACACTGCTGCATGCTTTTGCGGCTGCATTATCCGCGAGAACGCGACTGACACGCGTGTTACTGAATTGCAAGGGTTTGACCTCGTTGTAGATGCCACCGTTACAGAGCATCCGCATCAGCCTCACTAGGTTAAAGTTAAGTCAAACAGCAATCTTCGTCATCGAGATTAAGATGGGCCCACCAAGCTTGTGCTCATCGATCCCCGTACGTCGGCAGAGTTCCGCAGCTGAGATCCCGTCACTGGGCGACTCTGCCTCCGCTAGTATGTCGGGGACACCAGCGCGCACGGTGGTATCGAGAGCCTGGGAAAATGCGTAGGATAGCGAGATCTCCAGCAGGCGTATACGAGGATCTTCGACTAAATCCATCCACATGCCACATGCCGCGCGAATGACGCGCTGCGCCTCGAAAAGCTCGTGCGGAGGCAACCCACTAGCAGGGATTACCTGGGACTCGTGGGTGGCTGGCTGCTGTTCCTCCGTTTCCCATTCCTTGATGACCAGCTCGGACGTGTTCACGAGGAGCTGAATCAGACCGCGCAGAGTCTGCACCCTTGTTGTGGCTGAGGACATCGAGGGCAGAATGGGTTGGGTACGATTAGCCGATGGTCTGACAACCTTTTATAATGCGGTGACCTACAGCCCCGCAGATTTGTCGCAGACAGTCATTACTTCATTGGTCAACTGATGATAGGCTGAGTGTCACCCAAGTCTCGGCGATAGCGTCAGAACTGGATACTGGAAGAGAAGAGAAGGCATTATCTGCGTCTCACCGTCTTCTTTGTCTCACCTGCTCATCTCACTATCGAACTGAATCATGATACAACGTCCTCAGGGTCGCCTGTTTGAAGGTGAGTAGGGCGCCGGGTATAGCTCTGGCTAAGCATCGCTACAACTTGAACAAGGAAGATGTAGCTATCCAACGTAAGCAGAGGACAGCACAGCGAGAATCAACATACCAGAAACATCGTAGTGCGCTCATCCACGGGTTGTATAAATTCAGTGCACACCTTATTAGCTCCTCTGGTCTTCGCTCGCCTGGATTGTAGCCCCCTAAAAACGCCTCTGTTCCCAATGGAGCTATGGTTGAGCTATGGCTCGGCATTCCAAATGACAGCCGCATGCCCTCTGAGGCTTTGGTGCTCATGGAGGGTTCCTTCTCCTCACCGATGCACGCCACTTGCACGCCACTCAGATGGATCATGCTTGACTGGTCCCGCATGAGAAGACCAGCATAGTATCATGGCCATACTAACGGCGTGGCTTCCATGGTTCAGCGCCATCCAGCTCCTGTACGACAGGGACCCTTCACGTACATCGCACTGTAGCCCATGGTGCAGGATACTAAGGTGTCATTTGGTCCAAGTCGTGACTCGTCGACAAACAAGCACTGCAGGGCGACGTGACCATGTGTGAGTCAGGCATACTCTCGAGGGCTCACTGCGAGTGCATGTATACTGTTCTTGGGTGCAATGAACACAAGCGGCCACTATTCACGGTGACTTCGATCCACTACATAGCTCCTAACGGAAGCAATGGAACGTGCGTGATGGGAAGCTTGAAAGTTTGAAGCTTGCTGCTTGACGTATTAGCGCTGTTACCACATCATCGATAACCGGTATCACGTGCAACGAGTACAGCCAGGTACAGCCGCATTGACATATACAGCCGAGACTTCGCCGAGACACAAACTCAATTCGACGTCAACAAATGTTACTCTGAGCGAAGCGAGGCACGAGCGTCGCGTAGAAGTGAGTCTACGCACGCAGGAGGAGATTAGGCGCGCGTCGCTCTCTCCTCGCACTCACTTCGTTTCCTCAGCTTGAAAGCGCTGCCGCAGCTTCCGGCTTTCAACCCTCTCTCCTTTTCTGAGACTAGCTCTAGAGTACGTTACGTGCCTTTTAATAAAATGGATCAACCATTACTAGTCGACCCGAACGGCCTTGAGGTGCCGGACTACGCGCTGGAGGCCCACGCGGCATTAAGGCAGTCCTACGTGGATGCTGGCCTAGCAGAAGCCAACGTCGTCCCGTTGCTCAAGAGCACCTGGACACGAGCCAACGATGCAGATAAGTTGCGCTGGCAGGTGCAGACCGAGGCAGCGGAACGGGTCGCGAGAGAACAAGCAGCGGCCGAAGAAGAGGCAGCCAATCAGGTCAGGGCACAAGATAGGCTGGATGAGGAGCAAGCAAGGAGGGACGAGAGAAAGAAGTACAAGGACAAGTTCTCGTCGGTGTCCACGCAGCCGCCTCCGGAGGATGAGTCAATCCTGCCGGCGAAGTACGCGCTCCGCAAGTTGGAGAAAGGAAGCTACGTCGAGCTATACTACTTCACTAATGAAGGGCTCGATACAGCGGACGCATCAGCCAATCAGTTCGATGAAGACGCGCTCGTGGTGCACAGGGGAGATGATGGGGTTCCTTCTTGGGCCCCTGCGGGGAGTGCTAGAGGCACGAAGAACGTGACGGCCGACCAAGACCTCACCTTAGAACAGTTTCGGCAAGCCACTCCTCGCCTGCTCGGAGCGATGGAAGACGCGAACTGGGACCCGAGGCGCGTGAAGATGTTGCTGGAGTTCTGGAGAAACCTTCACAAGCACCCATACTACTCGTCGCGTGACACGAACAAGCAGAGAGCCATCCTGATCTACCAAGGAGAGCAAAGGCAGAAATGGCACCGAGCACTAGCTCAAGGCGCGTGGGACATAGGCATCTTGTCGGACAGGTTGCTCCTCGACGCGTTCGACAGAGCTTATCGGCTAGAGCGGGAGAAGCTAGATGCATTGAGAGACGTGAGTGCACACCACATAATCGAACAGGAACAGCGCTGACAAAATGTCACTTCCGTGATACGTCTCACGTCTCGATCACTGATCTCTACGCACCACTACATACTCGCCTTCTCCGCGTCCCGAAATGCTACCCTCACTCTCACACGGCTCGACACCACAACTATCCTACGACTCATGCCCATCACACGCCTCGCCCTACGCTATGGCACCTTGCACCACGCGCCACGCACCTTGCACCTCGCACCATGCACCACGCACCTGGCAACACGCACCACGCACCTCGCACCACGCACCTCGCACCACGCACCTCGCACCATGCAACACGCACCGCGCAACATGCAACACGCAATCGCACGGGTCACGCACCAAACCAATAGGTGCACATCGTCAGTGGCACGACGCAGGGCACTACTAGCTCAACTAGTACCCCGCGAGGCCGGGTTGATGGTGCGAGCAGCCGCACAGCAAAAGCCCCAGCTAGAGCAGCAGCCGATCCGTACCCACGCGACCGCAAGGCGGGTTTTCCGGACGGCGCAAGCGGAGCCGTCTTGTCCGCCTGCGCCATCTGCCTGGGACGTCACAGGCACCGCGTCTACGACTGCGACGCCTCGCAGACATGGAACGGAGCCTTCGCCACCATGGCGAGACGCGACAAAAAGGACTTCACGCTCAACGATGGCAGGGCGCTCTGCTACGATTGGCAGAGAAGCAAGCGGTGTACCAGCACCCTTCACGACAGCCGTCATCTCTGCTCGGGCTGCAGTCTCCCGACCCATGGAGCCCAGACATGCCCTCGAGCAGAGCCGGCTCCTCCCGCGAACCCCGTACCGGGCAAGTGAGTGGGAGACGCGGCTCGAAGAGGCGGGCCTGGGCGCGAAGTATCCCAAACTCGTCCAGGGGCTTCGGGAAGGCTTCGTTGTGGACCTCCCGATCATCACGCGCACGCAAGCACCGCCCAATCATCCCTCCACCCTCGCTCATGACGATCTCTTCCAGGACATCGTGCGACACGAGAAGGCCAGCGGCAGGTACGTTGGGCCATTCTCAGCCGCCGAACTCACAGATGCACTTGGACCATTCCAAACATCCCCCATCTCTATCATACCAAAACCCGCTAAACCGGGGCATTACCGCCTCATCCAAAATTTCTCCTTTCCTCGCTCACCTACCCTTACTCTACCTAATCCTTCCGTCAATTCCTTCATTGATTCTGACCGATTTCCGTGTACATGGGGTACTTTTACCACCATCTGTCTCCTCATCTGGCGACTTCCCCCAGGCTCTCAGGCAGCCACTCGCGACATCAAGGAGGCATATCGCACAATCCCGCTACACCCGAGTCAGTGGCCAGCAGGGGTCGTACGCACAGGCAAGGACGAGTACCATGCTGACACGTGCCTCGCATTTGGGGCGCGTCCATCGGCAGGTGGATACGGCGTCCTTGCCGACGCTGGTGCGGATCTCATCCGCGCAGAGGGCATGGGTCCGTTGTCGAAATGGGTGGACGACTACTTCTTGGTACGGATCTTACGCATTCATCTCGACGAGTACAACAGTCGGCGTGCTGGATGGCACAGGGCGCTCGCACGAGAAAGCCGCAATCACACTCGAGGCCGACTGTGGCACGGTGGTAAGCTATTTGAGGATGGCACCATTGACCAGTTCGACGAGGACTGCAGCTATCCCCTTCGCGACCTCGCATCTCGCTCCCCAAGGTCAGCAGCAGACCAACAATACTGCTATAACCTCGCCGACGTGGACAAGCTTTCTGGCTCACTCGGAATCCCCTGGGAGCCCACCAAAGATTCCGACTTCAGAGCAGCTCAGGTTTTCACAGGGTTCGAGTGGAATGTTCAGGCGCTCACCGTCACGCTGCCCGAGAGGAAAAAGGCGAAGTATCTCACAGCCATTGGCAATTGGCGAGATGCTAAGGGCGGGACACACACACTCGCAGACGTACAAGGAATCTATGGAAAATTGCTCCACACCTCGCTGGTGGTTCCCCGTGGACGAGCATATCTCACAGGTCTTGAAGCCATGCTTCGAATCTGCGGTGACCGTCCTTTCGTGCCGCATTCCGCCCCTCGATCTGTCGCTACTGACCTCATATGGTGGACACAGACGCTACAGCAACCTATCCTCCGACGAGCCATACCCACCCCAACTCCTCTCGTCGACATCGCCGCTTTCTCGGACGCCAGCTCCGGCATCGGCATCGGCATTACGGTTGGCGACCACTGGCGTGCATGGAGGCTCATACCAGGCTGGAAGACTCTCGACGGAGAGCGCGACATTGGTTGGGCAGAAGCAGTGGGGTTCGAGCTCCTCGCACGCTGCATCACAGCTGCGCGAGGCACAAGCAGACATTTGCGGCTCCATGGAGACAACATTGGGGTCGTGGAAGGTTGGCGAAACCGCAGAAGCCGTAATGCGGCCGTCAACGGCGTCTTCAAACGTCTCCTCGAGCACCTTGACAAGCTCGGAGATGCGGAGTGTGTACACACCGCCTACGTCCCTAGTGCGAACAACCCCGCAGATAACCCTTCACGAGGCATCTACCCAGCGCACTCCCTCCTCCTCCCTCCTGTTCCCCTACCACGAGAACTCGCAAGGTTCCTCATCGACTCCGAAGCCCCACTCACACCCACCGAGCTCAGGTTGCATAGCGAAGGACGCTACCCAAGAGCGGCCGCTAAGCGCATCGATGAAGCTCTTGAGCGCTCTCGGGCCGAGGAGCAGAGGCGAGTTGACGAAGGCCTTGAGTGGCGGATTAGAACCAGTACCGAGTGGAACGAACACGCGGCGCTTTGACCATGAGGGCGGAAAGACGAGTACGCGCAAGGAGACCACGAGGCCTAGGCCTTACCCCAGTCTCCTTACACCAAAGCCCTCGGAGCGGCGCCCCCATTGTCTGGCTAGGGACAGGTTGCAGAAGTGGGCACCGTACGCAGCTCGTACTGTTATCGACAAAGCCGGGCGAAAGATCGGAGACCTCGCACGCAACGACCTCGATGGCATACTCCATGTCTTGCTCGCATCCTATACGCAAGGCACACGAGACTCCTACGGAGCGGGTCTCTTAGTCTACCACGTTTATTGCGACTCGCGCGACATTCCAGAGGACCAGCGAAGCCCGGCGAGTCGATCACTCGTCCTTGGTTTCATCGCTGGCTGCGCGGGGCTCTACAGCGGGGCGACACTACGGAATTACGTTGCAGGAGTGCACGCCTGGCATGTACTCCACGGTATAGAATGGGATATGGACGACGCCGAGCTGCGAACTGCCCTCAAGGGCGCGGAGAAGCTGGCCCCTCCAGCCTCGAAACGCCCGAAACGCGCCCCGATCACACTCGCGCTCCTACTCACCTTGCATGAAAGTCTGGACATCTCGCTACCTCTCGATGCCGCAGTATTCGCATGCCTCACAACGGTGTTCTTCACGGCAGCAAGGCTAGGTGAGTTCGTTGGCCAAACACTCACCTCGTTCAGGCCCAACCTCCATGTCAAACCCGTGGACATCACCTACGAACAAGACAGACACGGCCTCAAGGTCACTGTCTTTCACCTCCCGAGTACAAAAGTCGCACCCTTGCTGGGTGAAGACGTGTACTGGGCAGCACAGATAGGGGCGCTCGACCCAGCGGCAGCTCTCGCAAACCACCTGCGGGTCAACCAACCGCCCGCGCAAGGGCCACTCTTCGCAAGGCAGTACCGAGACACACACCGGCCGCTGACACGCCACGACTTCCTGAAGAGGCTCGACGTCATCTTGGCGCAGAAGAAGCTGCCGGCGATGAAAGGGCATGGCTTACGCATTGGAGCGACCTTGGAATACCTGCTACGGGGTGTTCCTTTCGACGTCGTCAAGTCGATCGGGCGCTGGAGCGGCGACAGTTTCAAGCTGTACCTGCGCAAGCACGCCGTCATCATGGCCCCCTATCTGCAGGACAAGCCAGTACACACCGAGGTGACCCGCTACGCCATGCCTCCGGTGCGCGCCGGCTAGACAGGAGCAACATCGAGCAGCAGAATTGACGAGGTACGTCGACTTCTAGACTGGGTGCAACAGCTTCGCAGCAACGCGTCGACGCAGTCGTCTTCTTGACTGGGTATCGCAGCTCACCCGTTGCCCCCACAGGTCCGGGCACACGTTTTGAGTCGGGCAGCCCTGCGGGCTGCGCCCCACACCACTTCTCGATTTCCACTTTCTCTTCGTCTCATAGCATTGTAATCGACGCCGAGCATTCCTCGAGTCGAGGCTAATCACGCCTTCGCATCGCACCATCTACTAGATCAGCAAGTGTATTCACCACTACCCTAATACATCCATACTACATCGCAGCCCAGTGCATAGATGTTACTCTGAGCGAAGCGAGGCACGAGCGTCGCGTAGAAGTGAGTCTACGCACGCAGGAGGAGATTAGGCGCGCGTCGCTCTCTCCTCGCACTCACTTCGTTTCCTCAGCTTGAAAGCGCTGCCGCAGCTTCCGGCTTTCAACCCTCTCTCCTTTTCCCCGCCCTCCACTCCCTTTCTCGCAGTACGCGCCGCAACGGCAACGAACTCATGGTTCCTTCCTTTGGCTTGACGCGTCTACCCTGCGGCCCAGCAGGGGCAACGGATACGCAGGGCTGCGGTTGGCCCACCCGCCCTCGCAGCTCACCCGTTGCCCCCACAGGTCCGGGCACACGTTTTGAGTCGGGCAGCCCTGCGGGCTGCGCCCCACACCACTTCTCGATTTCCACTTTCTCTTCGTCTCATAGCATTGTAATCGACGCCGAGCATTCCTCGAGTCGAGGCTAATCACGCCTTCGCATCGCACCATCTACTAGATCAGCAAGTGTATTCACCACTACCCTAATACATCCATACTACATCGCAGCCCAGTGCATAGACTCTCAGTTATCATACTTACGTCGCTTCTAGTCTGCTTTATTGTTCTATCATACGAAGCTCAGTGAGGCTGATAGTAACGGGGCCCGCACCGGAACCGCGCGTGCGGCTAGGTGTGGTTTGTCTCGTACCCATTCGTGCACGAATGGACACGAGACAAGATGTGGTGGCCAAATGGAATACTTAACCTCCCTCCTCGTCCTCTCTAGAGTCTCTAAACCCGCTCTTGTGGCGATGGTACCGAGCTGTTCGCGTGTCTGCTCGCCGCCATTGAATATTGAATAAGGGGAGCATCCGCATGTCGTGCATCCCCTGAGCGCGTTCGCAGCGGGTAGGGGCGCCGGGACAGACTTAAGGTGCGTCGAATCACAAGGGGGATGTATACTTATGTCTGCGGCGAAGATACACGATTCTGGACCTATTACATCCCGTAGCCTGCTGAAGATCGCAGCACACTAGCCGTTTGGCCAATCATGTCTGCCAGGAACAACTCAGGTGAGAAACCAATGCGGTGGTATTTGTTGGTGCACTCACATGATGTAGCGCAGGAAATATACAGAACCTTTTGACCAGCTGTCGAGGAAGTTATACGTGATCAGCCTTTTCGGTTCCAAAGCCTCACATGGTCAACGTCATGACACTCAGCAGACGCAGTAGGCCTTCTGATTTCCAGCAGGGAATGAGATAGTGAATAAGTACGACGTCTTGCAGGTAGTACCTACATCTATAACAAAGTTTCTAGTCTTACACTGGCAGCCGCCGCAGCTCCGTGATGCTCACGGGTCCTCGACACTCCCATATCTTCACCACCTTGAGCCCTGCCCTATTAGCAACGGCTTCGAGTTGCTCAGGTGTCCGCTCGGCGCCGTTGAGCAGACTGAGCATCACCATGTCGTGCATACCCTTGATCAAGTCCGCGCGACCGTAGTTCGCAGGCAGCGGTGCCGGAGCGGCTTTGAAGTGCGCAGAACCCAGGGGAGGCTGGACGATCATGTCAGCGACGAGGATGCGCGACTCGGGGCTCATGACGTCACGCAGTCTGCTCAAGATCTGGACGCAATCGTCGTCTGGCCAGTCGTGTCTGGTAGACAATGTCAGCGAGCCTCGTCGCACGCTGTGATGATCGATGACTGCTCACAGCACGGAGCGAAGGAAGTACGCAGCAGCTCCTTGCACTGGTTGCTCGGTGAAGAAGTCGTGTGGTAATAATCGTACGCGCCCTGATTCGACGGCGCCGGGATATCCAGTTTGCCAGATGGGTCTTGCCTTTTCGATGGTAATTGGAAGGTCTTCGACGACGAAGCACAGATCCGGAAAAGCCTTGGCGAGGGTGAGAGACATACTACCTATGCCGCCTCCGACGTCAACAACGGTGCCTTTTCCCAGAGATCCCCAAGGAAAGTCTATGCGTTTGCGGCGATTTGTGAATTGGAGCCATTTCTCGCAGGCAGCACTCACCGTGGATGAGCGAGAGTGAACTTATTTGGCTTTGACCAAACATTGCCTCCGGGAACATCTCGCCGGTTTCAAGGATGGCCGCATCGGTCTCATCACTCCGTGCCATGAAGTCGAAAAGTGATAGCCCCGTCTTCTGCGCTCTCTGGAAGGCAGCCACCGTGACGGACGTAGAACTCGCCGTCTCCGGATCGAGCAGCGTTGCAGGGAGATGTTCGAGGGCCTCGACGAACAGCTTCGTTCCACTGTGTGAATGTGTTAGTGTCCCTGCAGACCGAACGGACTCTGTATACGTACAAGAGACATTGCATCGCTTTCGCCTGCGGGTTGCCAACCAAAACACCACTCAAATTCGTGTTTGCAAAGCGCTGAACACCAACTTCATCGTAAATTCCGCCAGAGCACAGAAAGTGCATCACCCGTACTTGAATGAAGGGCAGATTAGTCAAGATTCCGCTCATAACGAGAGGAACAAGGTCTTTACCGAGCTTCTTCTCGTCAATCCCTGTTCGCAGGCTGAGCTGCCTGGCCGAGACGCCGCTGGCAGGCGCCTCTGCCTCTGCCAAAATATCCGGAACCCCTGCGCGCACTGTTGTGTCAAATGCTTGTGACAACGCAAAGGATTCCGAGATTTCCTGGAGGCGGACCCTCGGGTCCTCAACCAGGTCGATGCACATTGCACATGCTCCGTGTATGACGCGGCGTGCTTCAAATAGTTTGTGCGATACCAGGTTGGGCGTGGCAGATTCATTCCTAGAGGAGTGACGCTCCTCCGCCTCCCATTCTTCGATGACTACCTCGGAGGTGTCCACGAGGAGTCGGATCAGGGACCGTAGTTTCTGCACTCGAGTCGAGCGAGATACAGGCATGGCGAAAGGTGGGGATGCTTTCGACTGGACGGGAAGCTCTGACACCTTTTATCACAACTCACGGGTTGACATGAGATACCGCTGCCAGTGTTATCGCCAATAGAATGAACCTAACCATGACCGTGTCAGCTAGAACCGCATAATATCAACGGGGGCCGACTGCCTTCCAGAGGCTCACCGTCACGCCATTTCGAACGAACTCTAAAAGGAACGCTCATCGTTCTTTGAGATCGTATGGACACCTCGATCGTTAACTAACACCTGTGAATGCCTCTGGCATGGTCACGGCGAGAGAATCCATGAGAATTATGATGACGGGATCGAAGTCAACATCAGTGGCATGGTAGTCTCAAGGCCCCTGCCATTACGTCACAATACTTGGACTCGCGCTCGCGACAACGCCCGAGTCGCCGCATTATGCCTAAAAGCACGTTTGGCCTGTTGTGATGCGTATGACTTGAGTGATCGAACATTCCCTACGACGCGTTCTTTCTACGGAGCTGCAGCGGCCCATGAGTAAGCACCCAAGCTAGCAACCACTGGAACATACCGTAAGTTGCCTCGGAAAGTTGAGAAGCGCCCGATTTGGCTGGCACGTCGTTCGAAGCGCGCCAACAAGCACCTGCGGCAAGTTCCCTCTGCGAGTCAGTCAACCTACGCCGTCTTTATTCAAGGTATGCGCTGTACCGATATTTACACTCCCTCGCATCCCTTCTACAAGTCAGATCCGAGTCTGGTCTACGAGGCAACTGTGCGCTGAATACTTATCACATCCGTCGAAGCTCAGTAATGCCGACGGGCCCCCGGCACTCCCATATCTTCTCTATCTTGAGACCCGCTCTTGCTGCGATGGCACCTAGCTGTTCAGGCGTCCGCTCTCCGCCATTGAACAGGGAGAGCATCCACATGTCGTGCATCCCCTTGAACGCGTTCGCCCGGCCGTAATTCGTGGGCAGCGGCGCCGGGGCTGGTTTGAGGTACGTTGAGCCCAGAGGAGGATGGATGATCATATCCGCAACGAGGATGCGCGAGTGTGGGCCCATGGCCTCCCGAAGCCTGTTCAAGATTGTGACACACTGATCATCCGGCCAGTCGTGCCTAAACAGTTCGATTTAGCACATTCTCGCCCCACAACGCCGTTGCAACTCACATGATATAGCGCAGGAAATACACCGCTGCATCCTTGACAGGCTGTTCCTCGAAGAAGTCATGTCTGAGAAGCTGCACGCGTCCAGCATCGATAGACCCCGGGACCTCAGCGTTCCAAATAGACGTTGCCTTGTCGATCGAGACGGTAAGGTCTTCCACCACGAAGCGCAAGTCGGGGAACAACTTTGCGAGTTCGATACACATGCTGCCTACGCCGCCGCCGACGTCCACGACGGTGGCCTCACCGAGCGATCCCCAGGGATAGTCTGTAGCGTCGAAGCGCACGTCAATTTGAACATCTATGACACCAGACTAAGCTAGGACGCTCCTCACTCACCGGCGATGAGCGACGGCGAACCCATTTGTCCTTGGCCTACCATCGCGAGTGGAAACACTTCGCGGGCCTCCCGAACAGCAGGGTCGGCTTCGTCTCCCTCCTCGATGTAGCCCCACAGTGTTTGGTGTGGGCCGAAAGCTTTCTGAAATGCGCATTCTGTGACGGACGTGGAGCGCGTCACTTCCGGGTCGAGCAATGTTGCGGGGAGATGCTCCGTGGCCCCAACAAGCAACCTGGTGCCGCTGTGAAGATGCATGAGCACGGTCTTGTCTTACATCTCTTGTGGTGACGACGTACTAGAGACACTGGTAGGCCTTCGCTGGCGGATTTCCAGCAAGAATGCTGCTGAAACGCGTATTCGTGAACTGCAAGGGCTTGACCTCGTCGTAGATGCCGCCACTGCAGAGCAAGCGCATCACTCTCACTGGCCACAAATGAGCCCGACTGCTGTACATAGGTCGAAACAAGAACTGACCAAGCTTCTGCTCGTCGACCCCCGTCCGTCGACTGAGTTCCACGGCCGACACACCGTCAAGCGGCTCCGCCTCCGCCAGTACGTCCGGCACCCCTGCGCGAACCGTGGTTTCAAGCGCCTGGGACATCCCGTAGGACAGCGAGATCTCCAACAGGCGGACACGGGGGTCGTCGACCATATCCATGCACACGCCACACGCCCCGCGCATGATGCGCCGCGCTTCGAACAACTCGTGCGAGGGCAGGCTGTTGTTGGTGGGGATCGCAGCCTCGTCGAGCTGCTCTTCCGCCTCCCATTCCTTGATGATGAGCTCAGAGGTGTTCACGAGGAGCTGGATCAGCGAGCGCAGTGTGTTCACTCTGTTGGAAGGCGCCATAATTGAAGGGGGGCCGTGTTCGATACGACCCTCCGATGCTTTGAGGGCCCTATATGACTATTGAGCCAAAGACCCCGTTGATGTCGAGGCGTCAACACAATGCCGCAGCTCCCGGCATTCATGACGGCGTCGGCACAAACGAGGATTCTGTGAACTCTCACTCACCTATCAGCAGGAATAGACAGACCAGCGCCGAACCCGGGTATGTCCCGTCGAACATAAGGAGGTGAGAACGCGTCGGGTCAATCCCACGCGCTGGAGTACTGAAAATTCAATCAGGAGGCGCATCGCAGGTATTTGTCAGATTGTCAGACATCAGAGTGAGTTCCGGAGAAGCGACGCACGAGATGATAGACTTCACTCTCCAATCGTTATAGCCGCGCCTGCGTGAAAGAGTAGGCGCCGAGTGCTGAGTATGAGGAGGAACTTCCTTCTCCCAGAACCAGATGTCCGATGTTCACTTCGAGTCCGACCATCGGACCAGCACCATGCTACACTGGAACAACTATGATTATAGTGATGGGTAGCAACAAACTGGGGCAGCGCGGTGAGGTGCAAATCTACTTAAACAGCTCGCAGAATCATCGTTCATTCGTACATCGTGGACCGTACCGTCCAGCATCAGGCATCGCAGGCGGCATCGCGGGGGGCCGCTTTACGACGCCTTCGGTCCCCCCAGCTTCTTGCCGATGTCCGCGCCGCGGAGCTTCACGCCGAGCACGCGCTCGAGCTTGCCGAGGACCTGCGGGTTCGGGATGGCCTTGCTCGACTCGTAATCCTGGATGACGGACGGCTTCTCGTTGACCTTCTGCGCGAGGTCCTTCTGCGTGAGCCCCTTCTCCATGCGGGCTGTTTGGATCGCCTGGTGTCGGGTGTGAGTAAGCGGGAGAGAACGGGGAGAGGGGGGGGACGTACCTTCCCGACGGAGGGCAAGATCTTGGGCGGTGGCGCGACCTCGTTTTCACGGTCGAGCTTGGCTATCCGTTGGTGGTCGGTGCCTGCAAGATAGCAATGCGGATGAGTAGGTGTATGAGACAGGCTGGGTATCAGAACGCACTTTGGTGAGCCTTGTTCATCCCAGCTGTCACTTTCTTGTCTGTAGCCACGACAGCACCGGTTCGCCGTGCCTGCATCCCTCCCTATCAGCACTTGTCCATCTGTCGAGCATATCCACGATACGTACGGCTGTAGGGGCAACAGATTGTCAGTCACTCGACGCAAGACAGGGCCAGAGGCGGTACAACTCACCATTCAGATCAGAGGTGGTCCTGGTCACCTTCGGGACCTTGCCCTTGGAGCCGATAACGACCTTGCTGTCCCAGTCCATGTCGCCCATGATGTCTATCGTCTAGGGTGGTAAATAGAGACGGGGGATGCGATGCGAGAGATATGTAGCTGGCGGGGGTGGGCGTGGCGGTTGCGATTTGTGGGGAGGAGGCGGTCCCGCGCTTACGTCTTATATATGCACGGCGCCGCACACGATGTGGGTGGTCACGCACTGACTCCGACTCACTCAGCGGCCGGCCTATCTGCATGCCTACCACAGCCTCGACGACGCAGAAAAGGAGATTGAACCTCTATTATCCAGCATGTTCCGGAGCGATGTGTGTATGGTACAGTGTGGAGGTCTCTATTCAATTGTCCATCTTCCAGGATTGTCCTTGCTTGCTAGCGCCCTGTGACGCTCGGGCCAGCGCATTGCGATCGAGCCATTGGGCGTAGCTATTGTCAATGGCGGCGGGCGAGGAGCACAGCGACAGTGCATGCAGCACCAGCAGAGAAGGCCGCGGCTGAGAGCAGCCAGACACTGGCCGTTTTGTGCGTCGACGCAGAGGGCCGCCGCTTCGAGCCACCGACTTCCTCCAGCCCGGGCACCTGGTTCTTCTCCCACCCGTCGTCCAGCAGCTTCGCCATCATATCCTCGTCCAGCAGCGCGAGGTCCTCCATCTCCCAGTTCGTGCACACGTCAATCATCCAGCGCATCCGCCGCTTGCCCAGCTCCCCGCCCACCCCCGGCGCCCGCTCGCGCAGCTTGCTCCTCAGCACCCCGACCTTCTCCACCGCCTCGCCCGCGTTCTCCGGCAGGCTCTGCTCGATCTGCTTGCGGATGATGTTCGCGAGCTTCGGGCTCTGCCCGTTCGTGGAGATCATAACCTGCAGGGGCCCGCTGCGGATCTGCGACCCGAAGTAGAAGTCGCACGAGGGCGGGATGTCCGCGACGTTAATGGGGATCCGGCGTGCGCGCGCCAGGGCACATATCTCGCGCGACTTCTCGACGTCGTCGATGGCCGTGAGGACCATGTCCGCCCTCTCGAGGTCCGCCACCCCGCCGAACGTGCGGTCGTGGTAGGTGATGCGCTCCGGGTAGCGTTCTATGAAGCGCTTCGTGAGCGGGTGCAGCCCGGCGGACGGCGAGATGAGTGTGACATGGGCGTCGGCGACGAGCACGGATTCAATGCGCCCGGAGGCGACGTCGCCCCCGCCGACGATGAGGACGTTCTTGTCTTTGAGCTGCCATGCGAGGAGGAGGGAGCCGCCTGACAGCGGTGCGGTGTCTGTCATGCTCGGAGTGAGTTTCTACGCCAGCACTGAGCACAAGTCCGCGACCAGAGGGGAGCATCACGTGAGCGTCGACAGCCCTTCTGTGGTAACCGTTCACAGGGATATTCTCATACAGTTGTGTGCAAGTTGTGTGTAGCCATCTGTAGGCTTCGCTCAACGGCAGCCGTACTGAAGGATGGTGTCGACTTTATTTGCAAAGTCTCGGCACCGTCAACCAGCTGCGCAGGAACTTGACAGAAGTATGTTATCATGCCACGATCCTCACTATGTGACTGAGACACCGCAGTGTTGCAGCAAGTGAAACGTCCGGCAGCGAAGGAAACCGCATCCGCCACTCGCTCTGTTCTGTCCCAATGTACATAGTGATTTGAGGCATATATACCTAGTGATGATGTACGGCCCGGGGAACCACCATCACGATGCTCCTGAGTCATGTCCATGTATGTACGGTGAACAAAGATGTGAATTTGATGTGGACATGTACTGCTACATACTCGCAGATCAAGGCAATGTGTCCTTGGGATCAGCATAGTGGCTTGCACGAGGTGTGTTTTGATCCGCTGGTGCACAGCCGGCACAAGATTCTGACCTCTCCTTGCCCAAAAGACGTCTCACGCGCTTCGGGACATCCCAGGCCAAGAGGTGGAAGCCGTGGGGCTCTCCGGAGCAAACTCCCGGTTGTATCAAGTGTCGGAGCAGTAGCGCAAAGCAGTAGCAGCAGGGACGACACAGACTGCGAACCTGAGGAAATGCGAGTGCGTGAAGCCACAGACGTGTTTACACGCGACGCGTCCGTCACGTGCGAGGGTCTGCAAGAGGCGGCAAGTGCTGAGCAAGAATCGAGCAAGACGCTCTCCGCGGTGTCGCCACGGTTCACCGCCTCTGTCGAACTCTGTTCACATCGGTGACCGGTTGTGAGTGAAAGGTCAGACGGCCCAGCGTCCGCCACTGTCCATCAGCGTTGGGCGTGCTCAGCAAATGTCGCTGTATGATGCCGGCAGATTGCCGCGTGTGAACGGGGGGATGCGAATACGACGGGACGAGCAGCGAGCTCGCTGTGTGCGACGGCGTGCAGCAGCGCAGAGTGTCGGCGACCGCAACGAGCGCGCCCAGACTGAACGAGAGTGGCAACGGGCGTGAGGAGGAGGGCCAGATGCGGCTGCTGCGCTTGGGAAGGTCATGTGGCCATGGCGACGGGTCCCAGCATATCAATCATACCATGGCGGACCTGTCCTCCGTCCATCATCCTCTCGTCCCCGAGCTGAGCCTCTATAACCGCAGGTACGCCCGCCTGCACCCACACGCCCCTTCTCTTCGTTCCTCGTCTGACCTGTTTTTTTCTCTCAGGCGTTGAACGTCTTTTCCCTGTTCAACTTCTTGCCACTGCTGCGTCAGTGTAGCGACTCGCCCGGTGCTGCAGCCTCCTCTGTCGCGTCCTCTCTCTGGAAGAGCCTTATCCAGTTTCTTACGCTCCTTCTTCGCCTGAGTTGACTCGGTACTCCGTTCTCCTACTCACACAACGTGCGTGTCCGTCCTATTGTTCGCGAGCGCCCGCTGCTCACCGCGCACGCAGACTCGACACTGTCTCCGCTAGCGACCCACCGAGATGTCTAAGCAATTCAGGATCATTATGGGCTTCTGGTCCTTCGTGGACATGCTGCTCTTGGCCGCTGCCGTCGCCTCCATCGTCTTCTCTATTGTCGAGCGCAAGCCCGACTTGATGGCGAACATCGCCATCAGCACTGAGCAGTTGAATGGTGAGTGCCTACGCCTCCAGGTCCCTAATACCGAACCGACTGGGGGCCCTGCAGCTGGTTTGATCATGGGTGTCGTCCTCCTCGCGTCATGGATCGTCTCGATCATCGCCGTGCTGTCCCCCACGGCGACCGTCACGGGCTTTGTCGTGCTGAACTGGATGCTCATCATGGATGTCATCGCCATCCTCGTCGTCGGCACGTCTCTCTGGTTCTACACCCTCCACATCGAGGACAACTACCTCGCCGTCTGGACGTCGCTGCCGGACGCGTCCAAGCTCGCGGTGCAGAATAAGGTCAGTCTGCCCACTCACTACCCCTAGCTTCTTGTCGCTCGCGGCGCTGACACCCTCACAGTTTTCGTGCTGCGGCTACTTCATGCCCAACGACACCACCGCCGCCATCGGTGGATTCTGCGCGAACCAGACGTTCATCGACTCGCTGGTCAACGCGACGGCAACGACGCAGAACGCGTGCATCGCGGAACTTACCGGCTACGGCGAGCCCATGCTCAACCAGATCTTCACGTACGTCCTCCCCTCGCCCTGCGGTCACTGCGTGTAGTCCTGACACCTGTTGCTACCTTGCAGGCTTGTGAGAATATCCGTTATCTCCGTCTTGTCCTGACGACCCTAACCTTAACGCGCGCTTGCGTCTCTAACCTTAGACGTACGGCTTCATGGCGGTCGCGGTTTCCCTGTTCCTCGCCTCCCTCTGCGTTATCCACACGGTACGCTTTTCTCCCTCGGAGTGTGATTCTAACTGACCCGTTCGATTCGTACGACAGAGACGCGAGAAGGAGCGCTTCCGGAAGATCGACGCCAAGCGTGGCGGCGGAGGCTTCGTCTAAGTCGCGCAACGCCCTCGTGCGTACGCGCTGTGCTGCAAACACGCAAAAGCCGTGCCCGCACTCGCGCCCACATCCTCCTTGGACATTTCTCCTTCCAATCTGTCTCTGCTCGCTTCCCCGCTTCTGTCGACATCTCCCAGGGCTAATCAACGGCACCCTCCGCCGCCTGTACTGGTATCGGCCGTCTCGTCCCGTGCGTCCCGCCCGAATTGCTCGTGGCTATCGGTTTCGTTCTGTTTCTGTTGTGTGTTACTAGTAGACCCCCCTTCCGCTTACAGTACTGCGGCGCCCTGTATCACGCGTCTTCTCTTGCCCCCTTGGCTCCTTTCTTCCATCCACCTTTCACTGCTTGTCACTGTCACTGCGTTATAGGTACAATGGCATAAGCTCGGGTCAGACGAGAACCCTAGAGGATAACTTGCTGCGTGTGCTAGATGCTTTTCACTGTTCTTCGCAGGTACGTGTTTAAGGTGTATTGACGAAGTTTGCTGTGCATCATGAGGCGGGAGGAGCAACACATCAGATATGAGTACATGGTGAGTAATAACCTTTCATTCTGTCTATAATACACTGACAACGTAGCAGGTACTTGGAAAACACGACGGAGCAAGCGATGACACGAACAACATAAAGACGACACAGCGTGAAAGAGACATACAAAACATACAGACAGCACTAGTCTAGACACAGCGATCAAGAAAGGGACGGGACAGTGTTGGGTATCGGAATGTGCAACAAGTCTTACACGACCTCTCCGCGCTGACCATCGAGAGTGCGGGCGTGGCCGCCAGCCTCACACAGCTTCCCGAAGGCCGGAACCACGTAGGCCGCTTGGACCAAGCCCACGAGAAGCTCTATCGTGATGAACACGGACAGCACGATTTTGAGGCGCGGCGGCGGCGCCGTCGAAGAGACGTCGCTGAGGCCCGCCCACGCCTCGGACAAGAGGAACGCGATTAACGCAATGGTGGCCCTGTATTGGCGTCAGGGCGTATACATCTAAATGCTAAGCGGCCCCGTACCATGCCAGCCATACGGCAGGGACCGCCAGAAGCCTTGGGGCCGACTTCCACGAGGAGGTCGGGATGTCCATTGACGCCTAGCACCCGATCAGCCAGGGCGGCAAGTGATGCAAGACTACGACTCACCTGCACCCAGGCTAGGCCTCGCCAGGGATCAGACATCCTCGGCATCATGGAGCGAAAGACCACTTTGTACGCGACACTGAATGCGGTAGCAATGACGCAGGTGATGCCGAGGAAGGCGCAGACAGGGTTTGCTGCAAGACTGGATGACTGTAGGAGGCCGAAGACGATACTGTGTTTGACGAAGTCAGGATAAGCTGTCGCGCTCGTTGCTATACTATTGCAGCAGTACATACACCATGTATATTCCTCCCAGGAACTCGAATGCAAGTCCTTCGGTTTGCAAACCACCCACGAAACGAGACCATGCGACCGGGAAGTCAGAAAGTTGAGGGACGGAGTTGAGCTTCGTAATGCGTTCGGCGTACACATTGAGGATGGGTGGCGGGAGGCTGAGGGTTGCGTATTGCATGACTAGCCTTCAAGTGATGAAGAGAGTGGGCAATGTCGAGTGTATCCGTCTTGTTGTGTTTGAATGTTCCACTGGCAAAGGACTGAACTCGAGAAGGCACCACTGACTCCTCGTAATAAGCATTTTGGACGGGAACACGTGGGAGGCTTCAGGAGTTGCTTTCGGGCGCCTAACACTGCAGAAGCGTCAAGATGGCGGGCGAATGAAGGGAAACCCCCGAAAGAGTCTGCAAATAAGGTTTCCCTTCATTCGCCCGCCATCTTGACGCTTGGTGAGTAGGATTTCCCGATCGGGAAGTAGTGTACAGGCCTTGACGCTTGGTGAGTAGGATTTCCCGATCGGGAAGTAGTGTACAGGCATCCCACGTCAGATGGGTCACCAACGTCCGATGGGTCACCTACTAAATGTAGTGATTTAACTGCACGGAACGCTCGGCCCGAAAGAGTCTGCAAATAAGGTTTCCCTTCATTCGCCCGCCATCTTGACGCTTCTGCAGTGTTAGGCGCCCGAAAGCAACTCCTGAAGCCTCCCACGCGTTCCCGTCCAAAATGCTTATTACGAGGAGTCAGTGGTGCCTTCTCGAGTTCAGTCCTTTGCCAGTGGAACATTCAAACACAACAAGACGGATACACTCGACATTGCCCACTCTCTTCATCACTTGAAGGCTAGTCATGCAATACGCAACCCTCAGCCTCCCGCCACCCATCCTCAATGTGTACGCCGAACGCATTACGAAGCTCAACTCCGTCCCCCAACTTTCTGACTTCCCGGTCGCATGGTCTCGTTTCGTGGGTGGTTTGCAAACCGAAGGACTTGCATTCGAGTTCCTGGGAGGAACATACATGGTGTATGTACTGCTGCAGTAGTATAGCAACGAGCGCGACAGCTTATCCTGACTTCGTCAAACATAGTATCGTCTTCGGCCTCCTACAGTCATCCAGTCTTGCAGCAAATCCAGTCTGCACCTTCCTCGGCATCACTTGCGCCATTGCGAGCGTATTCAGCGTCGCGTACAAAGTGGTCTTTCGCACCTAGAGCTGGCACAGTGATACATGAGCCTCTCTACTTACAGTCCAGAGATGATACATGAACACCTGTAATGTATCAAGGCCTCTGCCACAGAGGCCGCGCACGTAGCGCTGAGCCGCGATACATCATCGTCTCTCGTGGCAAATGTACCCGGATCAGGTAATGGCTAGATGTATTAGCTAATCATGTTCTGTGACCTGCGAGATTAGCCTGAGAGTGGTACAGTGTATCTTACTATGACCTACTCTAGTCAAGCATTGTCTGGTATCGGTCCTGCTGCAATACCGGCGCAATACTAGCATCATACGTGCTATGATGTGTACTGTTTGGGATCCGAACAGCCCTCGCCGCACCGGAAGTGTGCGGAGGCGCTGAAGATTGTTGTATCGGGCTTGGATCTCACCCAAATTAGGCTAGTCCGTCAGTCGGATACCGCAGGCCTGCTTCTCGTGCTGTTGCCACATATACGATACAAGGGCTGGGTTGCTTATTGTAGTAATGAACTGGCTGATGCACTGTGGGTAAAAATTGAGAGCCAAGGGCATTGGGATGCGCTTTGCAGGGCAAGATCTCAGCCCGATGAGGCTACCGCTTTCGTCAATACCTGATTAGGAGATTGTGGCTGGTGGCGCGCAGCGCAAAACAACGGAATATCTGAACGTAGGTCAAGTAACCCACTACATGTCTTCAAAAGCAAAAGGCTATATACATAGAGCATTGTTGTATGTATATGTGCAATCTGATACGTTTTAGACCGTTGAATTCGTGTGAAGAGATGATTAGATCCGAGCAAAACATCGCCCAGCCAATCAGAGCCCGAATCAGACTCATCTGAAATCTAGCACATTTGTTTGTAGACGTACCCTGGTTGAGACACACTGTATAGAGGCCTAGATGTTGAAAAGACACAAGTAGATAGCTACTGTTACCTCACTATTAGCTCCATTAGTGGGCCCGTCACTCGTGCAAGACGGATAGCTATAAGACGTGGGCTTCGGGTATGAATAACAGTGTATCAAGGCTGCAAAATGTGTGGGACGCGAAGTCATCCTTGTTCGACACAAATTCAACAGGATGGACTCTATAAGCTGTATACAACATCTGTGTATAGAGATATAAGCACAGTATAGCACAAGGACTGCTGTAGCATATGTTTTCCGTCACCGGAACAGCCGCCCGCTACTTAATCTGGTAATGATTACTAAGTTAGGCACTGCGCGCTTCACTTGCCGTGAGTTGGTGCGATGTTCCGAGTGCCTCATACAGCCTCATACACAGCGTACACAAAGCTTTATGGTTTTTTGTACCATTCGAGATGTCTTGTATGCATCTCCACTATCTTGTTAAAGTGATATAACATGGTTGTATCTCCCGAACCTGGCTACGGAAATGGACACCCAATCGGGTAATCAACAACCTGGTTGCTGACAAATGCAACAATCAGCAAGCAAACTTACATGTATGATACTACATAGTACATCGCCGTGACGCAGTGTGTTCCAATGCTGTATTCATATATTGTTCAAGTGGAAACGCATAATACCGGCCTGCCAGTATTGCGGTCTCAAGATGAGTCAGCACTGCCCGATATGGTATGCCCTCATTCGGATGTGCCTCGGGCGACGCCCACGCCCCCGAGCTACCACTTTGGGGAGTGCTGCATTACCAAAACGAGACATATGTTATGAGGGTGCACGCGCTCGATTCGGACCGGAGGGTGCGCCCGACAGCAACGGCGCATCACAGCGCTTGACGTGCTCAGAAAGGAAGGTGCCCGACGCCAGTCTGTAATACATTACCGACTATAGCTGGCAATGTATCATCATACATCCACAGAGGTCTGTCATACATCTCGTCATACATCTACAGGCTGACCCTCTACTTACAGCCATACATGTATCATCTGTGGACTGTAAGTACAGACATATCATGTATGAATATGCCGGTGTAGCCTGTCTTTCGCTCCATTATGTCACGAATGTCTGACCCTTGGCGAGGTCTAGCCTGGGTGCAAGTGAGTCGTAGTCTTGTACCACTTGGACTTCCGGCTGATCGTGTGCGAGGCGTCGATGGACATTCCGACCTCCTCGTGGAACTCCGCCCCTAGGCTTCTGGCCGTCCCTGCCGTATGGCTGGCGTGGTATGGAGGCCGCTTAGCACTCAGATGTATACGCCCTGACACCAACACAGGGCCACCGTTGCGTTGATCGCGTTCCTCTTGTACGAGGCGTGGGCAGGCCTCAGGGATGTCTCTTCGACGACGCCGTCGTCGCCCCGCCTCAACATCCTATTGTCCGTGTTCATCACGATAGAGCTTCTCGTGGGCTTGGTCCAGGCGGTCTACGTGGTTCCGGCCTTCGCGAAACTGTGCGAACCCGGCGGCCACGCCAGCACTCTCGATGGTCAGCGCGGAGAGCCTGAGGTCGTATAAGAATGAAATAGACCTGGCCGTATTCCGTCACCGATATTCCCTCGGCCCTTTCGTGAATGTCGTGCTTGGGACTATCGCACACGCTGTCTGTATATACTTGAATATCGCTTTTACGCTGTGTTGTTACTGCTTTTACGCTGCCTCAGTCTTGCATATCTGTCTCCGGAATCTTGCACGCGATGTTGGCAGCGGTTCGACATCGTTGAGTCCGATTGCGACAGCCCGGCGAGCGATGGCGGGGGTCCCACATCGACGCTTACAGTCACACGGTGAAGAGGTCGAAGTTCTCGAGTGTCCGATTGATATGGGTGAGGTGCAGTGCCACAGATACTTCACATGCCCAATTTGCAAGTACGTATGGAGTATTTGACTCGACAGGCGTCTCGCCATGCCAGTCACTGTAAAGACAGACAGGATACTGATAGAATGCCATTACGAAGTCATAGACATGTGGCACGGAATCGGATGATTATACTCAACAGAAATGTGTAGTTATGGAGAGGATGACTATACGTGAGATGAGACAAAAGACTCGAGAACCCCTCCTTTACACGCGCGGCTTCTCACTCGACGAGACAGCTGCGCCCTCAACCCACTTCCCACTTTGGAAGCCGAAGGCAGCGTAGTCGATCTTGCGCAAGTTCAGGAAGAACAGGAGGAAGAACCCGGGCCCGACGCAGATGTCGAGGATGCCGTACCAGATCATCTCGGACGTGACGGTGATGACGTTGCCGCCCTCTGAGCATCCCCAGCAGATGGGATACGTCAGGAGGATGAAGAAGAGGTACGTCGCGCCGATCCAGTATGGCTTGCTGATGGTCGTCGGCGATGCGAAGTTCGTCTGGGGCGCGTGTACGAGCAGCTGGAACCTGTGAGCGCGGTGATTGAGTGTTGTCTAGATTAGCGCGAGATGGGGAAAATCTTACCAGACGAAGATCAACCCCACGAGGCCAAAGACGAAGTATCCCCACTTATAGCTGGTGTGCACGAGGGCACCAACTAGCCAGGTAACGGCGACGAAGACAATCATGAACATCGTCGTGAGGATGTCGGAGAGTGAAAGACCGGTTGCTAGCAGGCACGACAACACGAGCAAGGGCCAATTGATTACCCACTGGATGTAGCGGACATACTATAAAGAGCGACGTCAGTCAACTCACGGCTCCGTGGGCGAAACAGTACGATGCGCATACATAGATTTGACGAGTTGTGTCGGTTCGGAACTCAGTCTCGATAGACGTCGCACCAAGGTCGGAGGCCATGGAGAAGTATGCGACGCTCGAGGTGGCCATCACCACCAACGCGATGTTATGGAACAAACGAGTACCACGCGGCCTCTGTAGAGCCAGCATAAGCGGACTGTCATGACTATCATGCAACTATGATACTTACAGCGACCATTGCAACGAAGGCGGCCAGGAGGGAGAACGCCTGGATACTGAACGCAGCCCACAACCAGTCGGAGCCATTGGTGGAGATGTGCTCCTGGGCACTGGGCGGGTTAACGTGGGTCGCCTGATTTCCGGCCATTGCTAACGACACTCAGGCTGAACGAGAGGGTAGTAAGCGAGGTGCTCGAGGCGCGACTAGCGGAGACGGTGGGACGAGGCCGACTGAGTGGTTTCACGAGCCCCGCAAGTGGTTTTATAGTCTTGCTAGCTGTACTTTCAACTCATGCCCGGCGACGCCGCGCAAGCGAACATTCCACCACCCCTCCTCCGGCTAGAATGCAAAAACTGCACGGAACGACAGCTACCTCAGCCCCGATCCAAGTTCTAGCCTGTTTCGACTCGTGGTAGATCACCTCATCGGCGAGCACTCTGGTCCGCTGTGACGGCATTGCGATTCGCTGGCTGAGTCTGGCTGATCCGTATCTGCCACGTAGCGGGATAGAGACATACCGCTCCCCGAGGTAGCGGTGAGTAGCGGCTAGAATGAGGAGACCGCAAAGAGGACTCAGGCAGTTCAATCCAGGTTCCGTTGGGTGACTATGGGAAACACGGGATCTTGTACCACACAGTCAGTGACATGTTGCCATTTTGGGCACGGGCGTTCTGTATGATCAGGATCTGGGGCCCGCCGGCCTCGGGCCGATGACTCCGCTTTCCGCGAAAAGCCTAAAGTTCGACCTGCTCCCTGATTGTAACAGCGGATATTTATTGCCATGGCCTCCACAAGCACTTCAATGTTTGCGAAGAGTTTTAAAAGGTATTCCTTGCAATTCCGGCCGACGTTGAATCACTTACTATGTTGCCTCTGACCCGCCAAATCATGGTGACATGCCTGAAGGCCCTGAACTACATGTATAAGTAATATAGTCGCTTCTCGTTGTCGTAGGTACATTGGTGATACAATCTTAGAGTTGTCTTCAATACGACCCGTCCACCCTGCCGGCTCCGAGGCGTACTCCGTTCGCTAGACTGCGAGCTGTGCTCACCTCGAGCCAACTGGGGTCCCCTTTATGTATAATGTCTTGCAACGAGCTTCACTGAGCTCCGTGTAAGATCCGGTCAACGCGCGAGACTGCATCCATCACGAGCTCATCATTCCACCGCTTGGACACCATCTGCAGTGACAGCGGTGCGTTTTCGAAGTACTCGGGCTTGTCTATCATGACCACACTGTATTAGGTTCTGTCCGGCAGGGACGCACAGCCTATCGGCGCACTCACAGGCATCGTGGTTAATCTGGTCATCCTCGCCAAACGCCTCAAAGTCTTCATCGATGGGTTCTGTACCTGTGGCCCGCATGCCAGTCGGGAACACCGCCGCAGGGTAGTCGAGTAGGTTCCACTGCGCGGTATAGCCCCAGTACTTGGCCGTGTCGTGGCGCGGCGCGGGACCAGGGCCCACAGGACAGAGAAGCACGTCAATGTCGAAGCTGTTCCAGTGCCTCGCGTAAGCCGTGCGGTATGCGTCGCGCCTCGCACACAGCTCCCAGAGCTCGTTCACCGTGTGTTCGCGCACCAGCGGGTTAGATAGCACCCATTCAGTCAGTGGCCTGAGCGGCTCGCCATTCGCGGCGAGGATGCCTAGAATGACGTTCAGCGCGCCGCAGGAGACACAAGGCGGTGCTACTCGTACCTGTTACGTCCTTCGCACCGTCCGCAAAATACAGGCTGCGCACGATGTCGAGGCCCTCCTTATGCTGCCACGGTTTATATTCCACCGTCTCGATGCCGATCTCCGCCCCGCGCTGCTTCAGGACGCTGACGACCTTCTCGAGGGCCAGCCGGAGCGGTGGCTGCAGGTGCACATTCCCGTCGTGCACCATGTATCCCATGCGCAGCTTCTTCGCTTCATCCGCCGGCCGCCAGGGCAGCTGCACGATAAGCGGGTCCTCCAGCCACGGCTGTGCAGAGAGAATAGTGTTCATGAACAGCTTCACGTCACGTACGGAGCGCGTGAGGGGACCCGCGACGGAGATGACGCCTTCCGCACCCTTGCAGGAAGCGTAGATGCCTCCATAGGGTATGCGATATGCGGTTGGACGTAGCGAATAGAGGCCGCACGCCGCAGCAGGCGAACGGACGGAACCACCGATGTCAGCTGAAGAGGGGCGAATCAGCGAACGACAGGCGTGGGAGGTCTGTGGCCCGGGTACGCACTGCCTACGCCGAAGCTCGAGCCCTTCATCGCCACCAAGGAGCTCTCGCCTCCGGAGGACCCTCCTGGGGCGAGGTCGGTGTTGTACGGGTTCAGCGTGCGCGCCATGTACGAGTGCGTCTCGAGGTGCATGATCGTCTGCGGCATGTTCGTCGTGCAGTAGAACACGGCGCCTGCCGAGCGGAGGATTGCGACGAGCGTCGCATCTTCTTTCGCCACCATCTTGCCGACCCATGAGGAGAACGACGAGGGCGTGTCATGACCCTTAACGTCGATTTGATTCTTAATTGAAAGCGGGACACCGTGCAGGGGCCCAAGAGTCTTCCCTGTCGTCTTGAGAATCTCATCGAGCTGACGGGCGCGCTCGAGCGCTTCCTCGAGGAAGAACTCGGTCAACGAGTGCGTCTGATAGCCTCATCTTCGTCAGTTCACCAATGGAAGACATGCAATGGAACGTACCAATTGCTGCGCGATCGCCGCACGACTTGCAACGGCGGTCACCGCGTCTACTGCGGTGATCTTTCCCGAGGCGATCTCTTGTGCGAGACCGGTGCCATCCAAGCGCGTGATCCGGATCTGTTCCTCAGTGAGTAGCCCGCATGTCTCTGGAATCCCTGACACGTCCTTTGGCAGGTTCGCGAGGAGCTCGGACGGGAGACGGAGATTGGCGGGGATGGACGCGTCAAGACGGGCGCGCTCGTTCTTTACGACGGTCTCGTAGTCGGCCATGGTGAACAGATGCAGAACGAAGGACGTGAGAGTTCGTTGGCCCCCCACCGTCCAGCGTATTTATGTTACAGCATCGTTGAAGCAGAGGAACGACTGATAAGATAGCCGGGTGCTCGGTTCTCCGTGCATACTCCTTTCTGTTCGTAAACGTATGTCCGCACTGGGGCTATCGGGCTTTCAGGGGCTTGCCTGGACGGATGTTAACGATGTACAGACCAGTTGTCAGAGTATCAGTGCATCTGGAGTGTATTGTGGAAAAGGCCCACCGCTGAAGTTACAGCAGAAGCTGCGAAGAGCAGGTGACTGGTGAATGGGGTTATAGCAGCTTACATAATACAGCGAACCTGGGGAAGGTCCCGAAGGGCTTCGATCAACTTGGCGATCGTTTCCTTTTGCGGCAAGCGCGCCCTCGGTTGTCAGGATGCGGGTGCAGGCGGGCTGCTCACCTTCGTCGTCCACCACCGTCAAGTTCGCCTTCGCAGGCTCAGTGCTGGCAGGTCCATCAAGTGCATTTGTTGCAGACGTGAGTGATCTGACGGGAGCTGTGCCCATCACCTGCTTACCTAATCGCGCCGAACGCCTCAGCCCGTGCGGCTCGACAGGACGTTGACCCGGTTCATCACCCCCGCGTCCCCTCGCTGCTTTCGTTGTACTTTATCCTCTTTCTTCTTCAAGACTCGACGTTCGGCAGGTCCGAGTGCTGTCTCCTTTTCAACCAGTCCAATCCTTTTGCCAAGCCGCCCCTGCAGACGCGCTGGTCCCGTAGTGCAAGAGGTTTCGTGAGTTGGCACGTATGCTCCTCGATTTTCCCCATTGCTGACCCGCACAAAGATTCGCTCTTCTAACGTCGTCTTCTGCGCACCCGACACTCTCCCGTCTTTCGCAGTCAATTTTACGCCATGCCACGCCGCCCAGCACCGACTCCCCTGCGCCTCTCCCAAGGCCCGCTTCCCAAACGCAGCGAGCCCAAGCACACCCTGCCGTCGCTCCCGCGCCCCGTCTTTCACCCTCCGCCTCGTGCTTCGCAAGGGCCCCTTCCTCGTGAACGCGCGCAGGCCTATGCACTGAAACTTGAACAGGCAGACGACTCCAGGGCACGTGCGCCTGTGGCACAGCCGGCGTACGGATTGCCGACAGGCGCAGTCTCACCGACCTCGTCGTCATGGTCTTCCACCAGTAAACGGCGCGGACACTCTCGTCAGAGCTCCACGTCCAGCTTGAGCTCGAACTCGAGCTTCAGTTCACGATCAAGCAGGGAGAGCTCGAGGCGGTCTTCCTTGGACGAGGAGAATCCGAACGCGGTATACGGTCCCTGGGTGAAACATGGCAAGGGCTTCGCTCTGCCTTTCGACCCAAACACGTTGATCATGCCTCCGAGGCCTGCGGCGATCAACCCCCTGCCGGTGTGGTGAGCATGTATTGTGGGAGATGTCGAGACTTCGGGTTGAGCGGGGTCTGGGCGATTTATGGTGGTGGTTGGACTTGGTTTGGGGTGCCCACGTTGACCGTGTGTACCTTGTCTATGTCCTTTATTGAAAGCAATGTTGCCCGTCTATATACACATACCACGAGGCACCATGTGATTGTCGCGAATGCAACGCTAAGTATCCTCTTTCCTCAGTCGAGGTCGCAGTATGATTCGGGTGGTAGGAGCCTCCGTATCATAGCAGGCTAACGAGTGGGAGCTTTGAGTTAGGCATCCAGCCAACATCATACGGTTTACATCTTCTGCGCAACGAAGTACAGCGGACACTAGCGTTTCACAAGGTCGATCGTCGCTATCTTCGTTCGGCGTCAGTCAAGTATCAAAAATCATTGAATCAACGTGAATGCCCAAGACCGCTCGTCGCGAGCCGTCAAGTCGACGCCGAACATCGCAGTCGACAGTCAAGACACAGAAGGTCGTCTCCAGCAATAGTGGGATGGGCACTAGCATGCATGTATTTTCCTGTATGTAACATGGTGCACCGTAATCCGATGATGCAAATGAAGTCCTAATACCAACGATGACGGGAGAAACATGCAATGTGGAAAACAATGAGGCTGATATGGGGCATGATACATGAACCTGAGGCAATGGGGAAGGCAGCCGTGCACGCTATGCGGAACCCTCATCGTTAAGGGGACGGTAGTGCTTCATCAGTTGCGCCTTGAACTCTGCGGAACAGTGTGAGGATGTCGGTGAGGCGGGAAGCGGCAAGACTTACCTTCAGGTGAGTCCCACAGGTTAGCAGCATCTGGGTTGAGCGGTGACGCATTGTTCGGTTCTAAATCGGATAGGTCGTGATTTGCGCTACAACAAAGGAGATCAAATGAGGCGTACCACCAAGAAGTGATTGCAGGGAGAGCAGAATCGTCTGGACGCTGTATACAGCAGACCACTTGTCCTGTGGATCGCAAGTCAATCGGAGTGTATGTCAGAAGGGTACATGTTACTTACCTGGAGAATGTCCAAGCAGATCGCGCCTCCTACTATGTCAACATTTGGATGATAGCATGGTGTGTCGAATTTGATCACGGGAGCTGCGTATGGGTAGTTCGGCGGGAAAGAGATGGAGATTTTGAAGGTCAGACCAGCGTAGATCTATAAATGGCATGAGCTATGACCGCAGAACGGGGAACGCGAACACTCCGCGATACGACACATACCGTACTCGGTGCCCCTTCAATTGTCCCCGCCCAATCAAACAGGTTAGCATCCGACTTGGGGAATGCCGACTATGGTGGTTTGGAAGGTCAAATCATACTATCGGAGAAGGCGAAGAGTCGACGAACAATACCGGGAGAAGAAGACATCTGGATGTTCCGCTTCATCAGAATTTGTGCCACCGGAAGTCACGTCAAAGAACTCACCATCAGAGTCATAAGCTCGCTGCTCAGCCTTTGTTCGGTGATCAATGAGCAACTGACGTCCGACGCGTGCAGCCCGCCACAGTCGCGCTACTCACCGTTTCGTGACACTGCCAGCACCCTCACCACCAGACCCTGCAACAGCGGATTTTTGGCTAGTGCGCGCAGGCGCGAGCGACATCGTGAGTTGTTCCATGTTAGAGTACAGAAGGGTATGCAAAGAGATGATACAGAGCAGTGAAGAGGTCGTGCGCGGATCGTAGTCACAGAGAAAGGTCGATGGTCGACCTTGGTTCGTTTTGAAACGCGTCCAAGTAATGCATCACGTGCGGGAATGGCCCCGGTAGCTTAGTCATCGCTTATTTCCCACGCTTACCGCGGCCTGACGCGGTGACCGGGCAAACGACTCTAACAGACTCCCATCCCGTACTGACCCCGCGCAACCCGCTGCGCCCATCCTCCAAGCTGGCGTCGTAGCGATGTCCAAGTTTACGCCCACTCCCGCCGAGGTTGCGCTTGTCAACCAGATATTCACCCAGGCCGATACCCAGAAGCTCGGTGTCATCACCGGTGACGCCGCCGTCAAGATATTCAATGGCTCCAAGCTCACGCCCTCCGTGCTCGCGGAGATCTGGAACCTAGCGGACGAGGACAACAACGGCGTCCTGACTCGCAAGGGCGTTGCGGTCGCGGTGCGCCTACTCGGCCATGCACAGCGAGGGGAGAAGATGACGGAAGCGCTGGTGCTCAAGCGTGAGTGCTCGTACGCCGTGTAGAGCGACGCGACCTGAGACGCGTTGTCGCAGCTGGCCCTGCTCCGACGATTGAGGGACTGTCCCCACCGCTTGTTCAACAATCGACGGGTGTTCCGGCGGCGCGCTCTCCGCCTCCCGGGCTTCCACCACTGACACCTCAGGACAAGACGAAATTCATGAAACTGTTCCTCTCTTGTGGACCGGTCAACGGTATCTTGAACGGTGAGATCGATAGATGCTTATGCTGGAGACCTCGATTGCTCAACGTCGTTGCAGGCGACAAGGCACGGGACGTGTTCGTCAAGTCCAAATTACCCGTAGACAAGCTCTCGCAAATATGGTAAGTTGTCCGCTCTGTACATGGTTGTGTACAAGTGCTCTACCAACCAGAGGCTCTCCCACATCGGTCTGTCATGTCGGATTCACATTGGCAAGTTGCTTGGTGATTGTTGCGGCACTCTCTGAACGAGGCTACGGTGATGCAGCCCAGACTCGCTGCACGCTCAAAAATAGCTCTTCGTCATCGCTTCGCATAGACGCTATGAAGTCCGGCATTGCTGGCACATGCGGGAGCTAATAGCCTGGTTTTATGGTTCATCGAGATGGCTGGTCCTGTTACGCCTCGTCTTGTGGATTGGTGGTCGAGATGGCATTTCTTAACGGACTTGAATCTGACAGTGCGTCTGACTTGCTCACTCCGCAGGAACTTGGCAGACACGAAGAACCGGGGCTCACTCGACGTCACCGACTTCACGATAGCAATGTACTTGATTCAAGCGACCATGCATGGGCAGCTGCAAACTATCCCGCCGGTGTTGCCTCCCGGACTGTATGAACAAGCAGCAGGGAAGTCACCATTCGATGGTGTAGCTACACATGCGACAGGCAGCAGTGGTCATTACAGCCCTGGGCTCAGCGCCGCATTCCCGGGACGACCAATGAGCATGATGGAACCAAACTTCACCGGGCAGGCCTCAACATTGCAGCCACAGATGACGGGGCCCATGCGGTCGGCGGTCGGTGCCCAACCACAGCGTTCGGCGCTTAGCTCGACCCCAGCATTCCCATTTGTGCAGCCTCAGGCTACTGGCGCACAATGGGATGTGACGCCAGCAGAGAAGGCGAACGCGGATCGCATCTTCGACACGCTGGATACACAGAAGAGAGGATACATAGAGGGTGACGTTGCTGTGCCGTTCATGCTGCTGTCCAAGTTGCAGGAGGACGTTCTTGCCCAGGTTTGGTAGGTAATGCAGACTCTCGTCTTGCGCCGTTTAACTGATTGCCTGTAGGGACCTCGCCGATTTGAGCAACGACGGCCATTTGACGAGGGACGGGTTCGCCGTGGCCATGCACCTCATTCAGGGAAAGTTGAACGGACGAGACATCCCAGCGGCCATTCCGCCTGGCCTAATACCCCCATCCATGCGCGGTGCTTTGGGCGCACCTCCGGCTCCGGCCGTGCAGCCTCAGCAGACTGTTCCAGACGCAATGCGCGATTTGCTCTGGGACGACTCACCACCTGCATCAGCGACGGTGCAGCAACCACAACCTTTCACGCTGCAACCACAGAGCACTGGGGCGTTCACTACGCCAGTGCTACACCCTCAATCTACAGGTGCGCGTCAGAACCCGATGACGCCACCGCCCCAGCGGGCCGCTACCGTACCTTCGGTCACGGATCCATTTGCTTCTGCCAACTCACCATTTGCCGTGCCCGCGCCTGCGCAATCTGCGCACAGGGATCTGCTTGGAGATGATGACGAGCCAGCGCAGGCTGCATCGCCGCCGCTGCAGGACCGCTCTGCTGAGATCGGCAACGTCAAGAACCAGCTGAGCTCGACCAACCGGTCCCTCGAGACGGCAAAGACGGAGCGCGAGAGTATGGAGCGCACACTCAGCGAGCAGGCGGCGCAGCTGTCGGCATTGCAGACTCAGCTTTCGTCTGCGAAAGCGGCGTACGAGACGGAGACACGCTTGCTGGGGGCGCTGAGGGAGCGATACAGCAAACAGACGACGGACATCCAGAAGACGAGGGAAGAGCTGATCCGCGCGGAGAGCGATCTGAGTGCGGTCAGAGTGGAGAAGGCTGAGGTCGAAGGTGCGGTGCTCAGGGACAAGGAAGAGGTGCGAGACCTGCAGAGGCGGATGACCGAAGTCGGTATGGAGGTCGAGACGTTGAAGGTCGATGTTGAGAAGGCGAAGAAGGAGGCGAAGCAGCAGAAGGGCCTGTTGGCGATCGCTAAGAAGCAGCTTGCGACGAGGGAAACTGAACGTGCGCGTGTCCAGAAGGAACTTGGCGAGACACAGAGCGAGGCAGCGGAGGCTACCCGGGAACGTGAGCAAGCGGAGGCCGAGCTGGAGAAGGAGGTACCTGCCGCAATGACGAACGGCCACGGAGGTGTCGCGTCGCCAGACATCTTGGCCATGGCCGCCGCTCAGCCACTGCCTGCTACCCCGGAGGTCCCAACAAGCCCTACAGGCTCCGTGCTCAGCCTTGGGAAGAGCAACAATCCCTTCGAACGAGTCGCGATGGCCTCTGGCACAGGGTCGCGTGCGCAGTCGCCTTCGCCCTTCCTTCCGTTCACAAACACTGGCAATCTCCCCACTCCCCCCACGACCGTCACCGAGAGTCCCGTGCAGCAGTCTACGCCTGTTTCAGCAGCAGCGAACCCCTTCCGCTTCTCGCAGGCATTCTCACCTGTTGAGGGCGGCAGCCTGCTTGCGGCTGCTGATGCTCCTGGCGCTTCTGACGGCCTCTCGGACTTGATGTCGCCCACTGACACTGACATGTTCCATACACCGCTCTCATCAGCTACCGGTGTTGCACCTGCCCCTACACCCTCGATCGAAGCTACCCTGACCGAGGCGTTGAGCGAGCCAGCAGCTGCTCCTACCGAACCAACCGCTACCACTTCAATCTTCGACGAACCTGGTGCAATACAAGCTACTACTGCCGAGGCTACTCAGGAGCCCGCAGACATTCGGGAGGAGACTGACCTCAGTCACCAGCTCAAGGAGCTGGATGTCGAGGAATCCGATTCGGACTCGGAGTCTGAGGAGGAGCCTCTTGCGAACGTGAAAGCGCGACTCAGCGGCGAGGCACCTCACACGGACGGCATCACAGAGTCGTCTACGTCCCAGACAATCTCGGCATTCGATGACTCGTTTGGTATCTCTGCACCTACTCAGGATGCCCGACCAGGTTCCTCGATGAGGTCCGCTACGGGTACCCCTGTACGCAGCCTGACACCCGCAGTTGCGAGCGCAGCTCCTACGAACGCCTTCGATGAGACATTTGCTATCCCTGCTGTTGCGCAACCCTCAGAGCCGTTCGCGGCTCCAGTGCCGATCCCGACGACTGCTGCACCCCAGACGAACGGCGACGATCCTGGCACTCCGGGCGTCAACGACTTTGACGAAGCTATGGGTAAGCTTGGGGCTAGCACGAGCAGCAACGGCGGGCCATCCCAGTTCTCCGAGTTCAGCTTTGATTCGGCCTTTGACGACAACTTTGACTTCGCTGCTGCTTCAGCCGCGACGAGTCAGCCCGCTGCCCCGAATGGAAATGGACATGCAGCCCCGGCAGCCGCTCCCGCTGACAATGCCTTCGATAACGTGTTCATGTCGCAGCCCAGCAGTGCATTCCCACCTGTTGGTGCACCACCTGCACAGGCGCCCGCTATAACCGGGTCTCCTTTCAGACAGCCTGCAACTCAGGAAACAAGGCCGTTCTCTTTCGATGATGCTTTCAGTGCAGGTCCGAGTGCTTTGCCCGCCCAATCCGGATCGAACGGGAGTGTTGTCAATGCGATATCCTTTGACGATGCCTTCGGCGGACAGTCTAGCGCTCTGGCTTTGGATACTTCATTCGGGACGACAACATCGGAAGCGTCAGCGGCTCCTTCGCAAGTGAAGGGCCCGACACCATTCCCCACCGCGTCTCCGCCGCAATCACCTACTGGCCCGACCTCGCCTGGTTTTGGCCGACGGAGGTCTACCTCGCCTCCTCGTCACCTGTCCCCTCCGCCCCGCCACTCCTCGCCAAAACCGAACGCGCGCCCCTCGACTGCAGGATCTGAAAAAGAGAAGGCGCCGAACACTAGACATTCCAAACTGAGCGTGAGTCCAGTATCGTGTTCCAGCATTTCCGAGCGCTGACGAGCTGCTTGTACTAGATTCGCCTGCCTTTCGGGAGGAAGAAGAAGACGGCACCGCATGAGATACCCCCTCTGCCTTCGTCGTCGTTGGCTACACAACAAGTCCTCGAAGAGCCTACTCCGGCTGTGGAGGATGATATCGACGCCGTGAAGCAGCTGTGCGGCATGGGCTTCAGCAGAACCCAGGCTGTTATGGCACTCGAGAACCACGGATATGACGTCCAACGAGCACTCAATAGCCTACTTGGTCAGTATCCGTCGACCGGTTGTGACACGACTCTGACCGAATCTACTCTGTAGGTTCCTGATAATCTTCATCTTTGTGCCAACTATCGAGAGTCTGTTTCACTGTTTATGCTTACTCCCTTGTACCGTTTGGTACCGCACGCTCCTTGGACAGTACTACTATGAACGCTCCCTTATTTCCAATGTTCCTGCTTCTCTTAATTTGGCACGTAGCGCGTGCGGTGAAGTTGTTTCATTGTCTGCTGGCTTCCGTTCACGTGGAAAGCAATGCATGCATCCACCGGTACGGAGCGCCAGACATGTGGTTCCGCAGAATAAAAGAACACATCTATCTCCCCCGACGGACCGCATTTCTGGCTTGGATGGCGTCTAAACGTTAAACCTTTGTACAATCGAGATAACTTATTCTAAGACGCTCTCGAAGAAGTCAAAGTGGTTTGTACCGCCGGCGCACAATGCAAACCTGCGAGTTCTGGCGCAATTCTGGCGAACATTGTTCTGCCAATATGTGGGTGCACCGCCACTTGGAGCACACTGTTCCTATATGAAGGCTGGGGACTGGTCGCCAAGCCGTGTGACGACGGTCCTGTTCGTTCCTGCACCTATACCACTACCACCGCAAGTCTGCCGCGCGCTGTAATGCCTAGCTTCGAACTTATCGCACTAGGTTGCGGTGAGTAGAACCATGATGCGCGTCAATGCCTCGAGCTGACGGCGATGTCAACGGCTTGGCTCGTGGCCAGGCGGAGGACCTAGTGAACATAATTTATCGAGGTCAGGATCTATGATCGCCGCGACACATTGGATCTCACAACCATTCTTCGGTGCAGTTATTTATTAAAACCACATGATGCGCACTGGAGCGAAGGAGTGCTCGCGTTAGAGGCAGGCGAGTGCCTTTCGAAACGAGCGTCAATGCGGGATCATGATCCTAACAGAGAAGAAAGGCTCAGGCATCGGGGCCTTGGGCAAGCTTCTGAATGACGAGCCAGAACTGTTCGCCTCAGGTCAGGTCAAGAATGGTCATTCATCACGTACAGCGGGCGAAGTTTATTCATGGATCAAGTGGGTGCAGTGAACTAACTCTGGGTTCATGATTTTTGCACCTCACCGTACTTCTCGTACAGGTGTTTCTCTGTGTCACATGCGCATCTGGACCACATCAGCGGATTAGCCCTGACTGCAAGTACACTCAAGGGGAAACGCACCGTGTTCGGCGCCAGGCGATGTTTACAGAACATAGAGAACCTATTCTCGGGCCAATTGTGGCCACGACTCGCGTCATGGAAGGAAGACGATAACGTCCCATTGCTACTGCAGGAGTATGATTTCTCTATGCCCCTCTATGTTTACACCAGGTTCTCACAATCCTCGCGTAGGTTGCCAGACGATGCCAAGTACCACACCGTATTCCCCGGCATATCCGTCCGCATGATGCCACTGAGCCATGGGAGCTACGAGGGCAAGGGAACCTACCACTCCTCGGCCTTCTTCATCAAGCACAACTCCAGCGAGCACGAGTTTCTCTTCTTCGGAGACGTCGAACCCGACAGCATAGCCTCCGAACCGCACACCCGAGACGTCTGGCGCGTCGCCGCGCCCAAGATCCCGAACACCCTGGACACGATCTTCATTGAGTGCTCGTACCCGTCGGGGAGACCGGACGACATGCTGTACGGACATCTCACCCCGGAGCATCTGGTAGCTGAGCTCACAGCTCTAGCAGCGGAGGTCGTGGACGTGCGGACGCGGACACGTCAGCCCAATAGCTCACAGGAATGGGACGAGGACGAGGAGCCGGTACACGCTCGCAAGAGACAGAGGAGGGACACGGAGGCGCCCTCATTACGCGGCGTTCTGGCCGGCCTGAAGGTCTATGTCATCCACTGCAAGGACGACGTACAAGGCGCGTACACGGAGCCCGTCAACAGAGTAATCGCCTCCCAGGTACGAGCATTAATCGAAGCGGAAGGGCTCGGTGCGGAGGTTGTAGGAGTGGAACAAGGGATGAAGATATGTAAGTCTACGAGCGATGTCGAGGAGCCATCTTGCTCACAGCGTCCCCTAGCTATATGACGTCCGGAGTCTGCCTTCATAATGGATCGTCTTCACACATGAGTGCATCGTTTCATCACTTGACACAGACGTTGCTGTTCCCCCCGCTGTCCATTCTACAATCTACTCCCCTGTATCCTCAATCATCGTCGTAGCCCCCCGAGTATTGTCGTCACCATGTAGCATAGCTTTCCAGTTTTACTCCTTTGTATCGCACGACTTCCGACATCATGAGCTCGGTCACTGTCCAACGAAAGGTATGAACGCGTCGAGCCATGGATTATGGTCATCAGATTCGTAGCGAGGTATATTATCGAACAGCGGCGGGAGAACAGAGCAGATCCATGCAGAATTACTGGGTGGCATGTACACGTCACCACATCATTACAACAACCCAACCCGCACCAGCGACGAAAGCCAACCACCGCACCTCGTGCCGGCCCATCAAGACGCATACAGCTTGACCACGCCGTCCGCGCCCGCGCTCGCCATGATCGGCAGCGTCGGGTGGAACTCGGTGTCGAGCACGCCCTCGCGTGCTTTTTCTCGGTGGCTCGGGATCTCCTGCACGCACGCGCGCGACCCGAGGACGTCCCAGAACCGGACGGAGCAGTCGTGGCTGCCCGACACGAGCGAAAAGCCCGCGGCGTCGATCGAGAGCGACGTCACCGCGTCGAGGTGCGCGAGCATCGAATGCGTGCATTGCCCTGTGTGGACATCCATCAACGATCTGCATCGCCGTTAAAGCGCACGAGCTGAAATGAAATAGCTCACCGGTCAAGATGTCGAAGATGCGGATATGTTTGTCCTCGTGCCCGGTGATCAAAAGCGGCATCGTGGGATGGGACACGATGCTGTTTGCCTGCGACGAAATGTCATCTGCAGCGGGCGCAAAGGTTACCCACCACGCACGGCACACCAATCCCTGTAGCGCTCACCTTCCACGGGCTCCGTCTGCAACCGTACGAGCTCCTTGCCCGTCTCGATGTCGAAGACCTTGATGACTGCGTTCTGGTACGCCACCGCGACCTTCTTGAGGTCGGTCTTGATCGCCTCCACAGCGGTCGCGCCCGGCGCGTCGCCCTCGTTCTGCGGCTCGCCCGCGTCCAAGCCGTCATACAACCACGACAGCTTGAGCGAGCCACCGCCCGAGGGACCGCTGACATCCCAGACCTTGACCGTGCCCTCCGCGCCGCAGCTGATGAGCGTGCTCTCGTCGCGCACAAGTGCGAGGTCCCATACAGCGTCGGTATGGCCTATGAGCTCCCCGCGGGCGCGCGTGGCGTCGTACGGCGCATACGTCGTGTGTGACGAGGGGGGCAGCGCCCATATCCGGATGGACGAGTCCAGCGAGGCGGAGTAGAGCAGCTGCTTCGAGGGTGCGTGCACCAGCCGGGTGATCGCGGCGGAGTGCCCGCGAAGCGTGAGCTGAGGCTCAATCTCCGTGGTGGGGCGCGACCTGCACTCCGGAGCATGGCCCATCAGTGAGACTCTTAGTGTGGCAAGGACGTTTCCTAAGAAGGCACGCACATTGAGGACGCGAGGCCGGCTACGTCGACGCGCCAGATCTTCACGGTCATGTCGTCTCCGCCAGTGGCGAGACAGAGCTCGGTCGGGTGGAACGCAATGGCGCGCACGGCATCGAGATGACTGGAGAGATTGTCAGCACGGAGCCCGTAACAAACTGTCCAGGACAGCAGACGACTAGCCAACTAACTTCCGCAGTGTTCGTTTCGCCTTCCACGCCTTGGTCCCTTCACCCTCACCGATCACAGTGGACTCGTCCTCCTCCACTTCAGGCTCCTCGTCCTTGCCCTCATCATCCTCGTCCCTTGCACGCCGCTCCCACGACGCAGCGCCACTGATGGGCATGTCATGCTGGCCAGACTGCTCCAGTCGTGCCCGCTCCGCGGCCTCCTGCGACAACCGCAACTTCTCCCGGAAGTCTGCGTCTGGACGGAAGATCGCTGTGCCCAGTGCCTGCTCATCGTCACCTTCCTTATCCCTGTTGTCGGACGCCTCGTTTGACAACTGTGAGGGCTGTCCGGGCTGATGTTGCTGTTGTCCAAGAGATGCCGAATTTGCCTGCGAGTTTTGCGCGGCACCCAGCAGACCTGAACCCAGGTTATTGCGCTCCAGCGGGTTGCCCTGCGGGATGGCAGGTGCGGAGGACGGGCCTGTGGCCATATTCATGCCGTTCATACCGGAGAAGTCCTTGCCGACGTCCGGCATGAGTTTTCGCGGACGGCCGTTATAAGGCATCTGGTCAAACGGCACATTAGGCAGCTGGAGAGGAAGGGTGGTGTTGTTGAGGAGAGGGCGGTTCGGGAGCGGGTTGACTGCTTGCGGAGACGTGAGATACGAGATTTCCTGAAGACATCTGCAACCCACCACGTTAGCACCAAGGAAACATAGCGAACAGAGCGACGAACTGTTTCAGATAATCTCGACTCCGTGCTCTGCTCTTCGGGTCGCGCCCTGGTGGCGGCTTGCCCATAGGACCCATCGTGCCTGTTGCGCCATTCGGCAGGCCCATCCATGTCTGACCTCGACTCGAAGGGTTCGTGAGGGCCCCATTGACAGAACCGGTCGACATGCGGTCAGGAGGGAGCGGCGAATCTACAAATGAATGCTAAATGAGATATATGCCTCAGAAGCATTGTTTCTTGAGACGCGCCTTCACTCCGAGGAGAGCTTCCGCTGCTCTCTTCTTTGTGACTATACGCGTCGTCCTTCTTCTCGCCTAGCTGCGCTTGCAGCGTTGCAAGCTTTGTAGGAGGGACAGCCTGCGAGGAGGGCTGGGCTAGTTGCTTTGAACTATGCACCGACACGTCAGGACTTCACACAATGAATGCAAGCGACACACGCACCGTTCGACGCGTAAAGCATACTCGAGCATTTTTATACGGCGCATGAGATCAAGCTTGACATTGTCGAAGGACCGTCGCTCGCCCTCGAGCAGGGCTATTCGCGCCTTGACACCGCGCACAGACTCTCAGAACACACATCCAGCGTGAAGACCAGCCGCGACGCACCCGCATTTCCGCCCTCTCAATCTCCCACTCATTTCTGTCGCGCTCATATCTCCGCCATTCGGTCTGGAGAAAGTGTAGGACGTTGGAGAGCGTGAAGTCCTGGCCGCTCTGTGGTGGGATGGGGATTTCCGACGGCTGTGGGCCCTGCTGTTGCGGCGGTGGCTGCTGCTGCTGCTGCTGCTGGTTCTGCGGCGGTCTGTTGGGCGGGAGGGGGCCCAAAGGACCGATCATGGGGAGCTGGATGGTGGACGGAAGGGGATGTGGATGAGTCGGGTGGCCGAGAGACAAGTTGGGTCGTGCAGTCGCGTTGATCATGCTGTTTGGTCCAAACAGCGCCTAGTAGCCACGCTCGTGTCTGCCACAACCACGCTCGTCGCTCTCCTCGACGGCAGAGCAATGCACACAGGAATGGCACAGTGCAACCGTCTCTGAACGTCTCTAATGGCAATAATTTGAATAAACCTCGCGTACAGCATCCACCGCCCCGTTTTCGTTACGTAAATGAAACCAAACTAGAGAGGTGTTACTACGCGCTCTCCATTTATCCGCGATGCTATAGTGATGCACGGACTTGCCTCGTGTATCTGCGGCAGCTCAGTGCTGCAACGCTGCCAACTCCGGAGGCGCTCGGACGCCAGGCATTTGGAACAGAGAGCCGTCAGCAGTCTTGTAATTTACGAAGCACTACACTACATCCACTGACTGTTGAGTACATCATGTTCAGACTAGGACGAACAACCAGCAAAGTCCATCTAGTCTTACAAAGCAGAGAACACACCATGTGGCTAAGACATACAACTTATTACGGATACAGTGGAGGAACACTGTGTTCCACTCAATCCAGCATTGCGTCCATATAACTTACTTAATCATCTGCGGGAACCAGAGCACTGTCACCTCAAACCACTTCTAACAACCTCGTCATAACTCGGAGGCGGCGTCTCAGCGCGTTCAGAGAATGCAGGAGGCGCGATTGATGGTGTGCCAGTAGACTGCGCAAGAATAGGTTGTGGCGTTGACCCAGTCATCGGACGTGGCGGTGTTTCCGTCGTGCGCAGGGATGCGCCGCGCGGAGGTAGTGGCGGGGGTTGTCGTAGGGATGGAGGAACGAGAGATGGAGGCAGGGTGCGCGGGACCTCTCGCCCTTTAAGTCTCTCGCGGATGAGGTGCATGACGACCGCGAACTCATCCCGAGTGAGGCGTCCGTCGTGGTTCGCGTCAGCGAGATCCCTTCAACAGATGGACGGATGAGTGCTCGGTCCAGCCACGAGACTAAGGAGAGTAACGCACCATATATCAGCCATATCTCCATCAGGCAGCTTAGACTTCGCAAAGAATGGCACAGCGACGTCACCCTCGATGTACCCCTTCCGCCACGGATCCAGGTTATCGAAGAACGTGTCGAAGCGCGCCTTCGCCACCGGGTTGACGTCCCACTGTTGGCTAACAGAGCGTTGATGGCCTCGAGGAGGCGATGATCTGGGACTAGGAGTAGGGGTTATCGCGAACGCAGACCCACCGGCAGTCGCTTGAGACTGCAACGGCTGTGTGCTGGGCGCTTGGCTTCTGTTTGGTGGACTAAAGGGGGCACCTGGGCTTGGCAGACTGGGCGAAATAGGTGTCCTCGGGAGCGGCACCAGCGTTGGATCAAGCGGGGCGTCCATGTCAATGAGCTAAACCCAACTCATGAACGTCAGGTTCGCTGCCGTGAAAGTACACTCACAGATGACACAGGCCGAGTCTGCAACGACGGCAGAGAGAGCGTACTCGCACCACTAGTGCTGGGACCCGCAAGTGCACTTTGGGTGCTCGACGAAGGCGGGACAGTTGCCGCAATATCCTCCCCCGCCTTCTTCCTGTCCACGAGCTGCATAGCCTGGGCGAACTCCTGCTGGGTCAGGTATCCCTTCTTCCCCGTATCAACCACGTCCCTACGTCCGCTCTCAGCACAGCTCAGTCAACCGACGAAGCAACACCTACATGATCTGACTCGAGGTCTCCATAGTCAAGCCGACCTTCAGCATGAACGACGTTACCATGTACCCCTGCGCGCGCCCCGCCCGCTCCGGGTCAAGCGTCTCGAATATCCTCTCGGCATGCGTCTTGGCCGACGACCGCCCGTCGAAGTACCCAGTCGCGTTCGATGCAGCAGGCATCGGGGTCGCCGAGGGTCCTGGCGGGTTGAACCGGGACGCGCTCGGGGCCGTGTCTTGGCTGGGGAGCGTTGGCAGCGGCTTGCTCCCGGCTTGTTCATACAGTGCGGCGGGAAGGGAAGAGGGTAGGGGCTGCAGCGACCCCGACATGCAGCCTTTTACGAGGTACATGGCGATCGTGAAGTCGCCGAGGTCGAGAACGCCTCGACGCGAGATGTCCGCGAGGTCCCTGAAAGTCGTGCCTTGAGCACTGCGAGAGCCCGGAGGGTGACATCAAAGACGAACCATATTCGTGAGAGCGTGTCCTGCGGAAGCTTCGACTTCAGCAGGAGGTTCCGAGCTTGTGCGCCTTGGAGGAACGATATGTATGGGTTGGCGAAGCGTGAGAGCAGGGCAGACGTACCGGTAAGAACTCCGTTGTTCGGATTGTTTGCGTAGAATATCTTGGTGAACTTTGCCTTGTCTTGTGTAGTCAGCGGAGGCAACATATGAAGAGTCTGCTGCTCGAGGGCTGACATGACGTCCGTAGGTGTTGCCGGTACTACAACCGCTTCAGCATGCCAACGCGCGAGATTCACTGAGGACTAGCTCACGTTGCTTCGAGAACAAGTCTTGATCTCGCCCACCCTGAGAGCACAAAGTCAGAATACCAGCGAGAGACTGCTGTCAAGTGACATACCAGTAGCGTATCTTGTGATGACATGGTACCACTTTCTATAGCATCATACAGCTCCAAGGCCTTGAGCAGCACCTCGTTCGCGCCCAATAGCTCCTCCAGCATGTTCTCCTCCCTCGTGGACCCAGAGCCCGACGCGACGTTTTGAGATTGCTCCGCCGCCGCACTCGCAGGTGGGATCTGCGCGATGATGTCCGTCTGCGACGCACGACAGCTGCTGCGGAACTCCTGCGACACCATGAACCCTGAGTCAGCGCCGCCTTCGTTCTTCCCACCCTCACGCGCACCTGGATGAGCTCCCCCGACAAGTCCTCCCTCCTCGCGTGCCTGAGTGCGTCCAGCAGTAGCTCCGCGTTGCCCTTGCCCGCACGCGCCGCGGCGAACCCGGCCTCCAGCTCCGCACCCGGGTCTGCGAACGGGTCCGCCGCTGCCTGACGCCGCTTGCCTGCTGCCGTTTCTTCCCGTCGCATGTTGTCATACGTCTTCAGCGCGTCGGTGAGCGTCTGGTCCGTCGCGATCAGGTCGTTGAAGAGCGTCTCCTCGTGCGTGGTCGAGGAGGAAGACGCTCGGCGACGTGACTTGGCTGCTTCGGCGTCCGCCCATTGCAAGTGTTTGAGGATGTCCCTCTGCGAGTCAATGCAGTTCTTGTGGAATTCCTGCAGGGGTTGTTTCAGTTTGTGGGGTAGCTCATAAACATGAGATCCATACCTCAATCAGCGAGCCGCTCAAGTCTGCTGCGCTCGAGAACATGAGTGTGTCGCGGAGGAGATCTGCATGCCCGCGGGCGGTCTTCGCAATGTTTGACACGCGTCGCCACCTCTCCTCGTTAGACGGCGAAGGGGCCCTAGACGGCGTACGACTGCTCTCTCCCCTTGTGGTGCTTGCGAGCCCACTGCCGCTCGTTAGAAGGTGAATCTGCAGTCCTCGTTAATACTCCTGCATATACAGGAACAGAGGAGCTTGATTCACTGTGTGGTCGTTCTTAACTCGCTCTTGGGCTACTCGATCCGCACCTGCACGCTCAAGCCCGTCATACAGACGGAGAACGGCGGCCAGCTCGCTTTGCACAGCCACTAGCTCCTCCGAAGCTCTCGCAAGGACGAGAGGGGACTCGCCGGACCGGGACACACTGGCGTTGTGGATTTCCCCTGAGAGCCAGGAGATCTGCTCTTCAATAACTCTGAGTGACCTGCGGCAGTCCGTCCGGAACTCCTGCATGTGCGGCGCAGTCAGACGCATTGCAGACGCAAATAGTGGGTTACAGACGGACCTGAACGATGCCTCCACGCAGATCCCGCGGTCCCTCCGCGTTGACCAGAGCCTCATACAGCAGATCCGCGCCACCTCTCGCGGTCTTGGCCAGTGCTAACGCCTTATCCAGTGCATTCGTGGTGGCAGGCGGCGTAGGAGCGCGTCGGCGACGCGTCGGTCCGTTACCGTAGTATGGTGCGAGACCGTTGTAGGCCATTGCTCGCTTCAAGGGAGAAGTCAACAATCTGCGGCGGGCCACTGTCTTGTCGACTCGGCTTACCTGGTCGAAGTCATCAACCACCGTCCCAGATGCATTCAGGCAACAAATATAGCTCCAGCGCTCTGACGAGTGATTTATTAGACGAGCGAGCAGTACGCAGCAGAGGACTGCGAGTCCGCAGCGATGTACCGCGGTCAAAGGTAACCCTGGGAATACTCTTAGTGCTTCAAATAGCGGCCATGATTACATTTGCGGCAGTATTGAAAAGTGATAGAGTGTCTGACACGAGAACGAGAGAGAGACAAGAAACGAGAAACGACTCGGCTTGGACTGAGGATTCGGGCGACTGAGCGGCGTACTGAAGGTAACTTATGATGCGATGCCACGTGATACAAATCGCTCCGGCCGTGAAGTTTCGCTGCAATCATGGACCGTCCAAGCGACCATTCTTACTTACTTATATTGACGGACACTTACCCCGTCGGTCCTCGGAGCGACAAGTCCTGGAAGAAGCATCTGAACGCGTCGAGACAGAAGGCGCGGCAACGAAGGGAATCAGACCTTCTTGGCTAGCTATGGGTATCATTCTCCCCGAGGAACAGAACCTCAGATGGCCGGACTCTGGTCCTCAAACGGTACGAACCTCTGGAAGCCATCGGGTCCACTGTGGGGTTTCACATCGTGTTCGTCACGCCGTTCGCGGTACGTACTCACCCACTGCGAGCATAGCGGCTGTCTGACGGTCTCCCCAGCTCACCGCTGGGTGTACGAGACGTTCAAGATACTTCATCGCGACATCAGCGTGGATAACATCATGTGGTTCGTGCGGGACGGGCGGATCGTAGGCGTGCTGTGCGACGGGGACTTCGCCGAGGATCACAGCAACGGCGACCATCTGTCTGTCCCATCTGCAGGCGAGGCGGCTGCGGCGCCCTCAGCAAGCGCGGGCTCAGGCAAACGAACAGGGCAATCGTCGGAGCAGCTCAAGAGTCAACTCAAGACTTGGTTCAACACCTGACAGGGGCCCGCGACCTCACCATGGCGACTCAAGACTTGGGTCAACACCGAACAGAAGCCCACGACTGCACCGTCGCAACTCACGCCCATGCAAATCCCGCGGTACCGCACGGGGCTGTTCATGGCCATGGACCTCCTGCGCTCGGGCCGCCCTCCCGTCCATAAGTATCGCCACGACCTGGAGTCGTTCTTCTACGTATACGCATACGCCACCGCTGCGTACAACCCAGTCACAAAGACGTTCGGGCACATCGCGCAATGGCAACGTGGTTCCCTCGTCGATGTCGGGAAATGCAAGCACGAGTTTTTTACGCGTAGAAAGGAGCTTCTGGACGTCTTCTCTGAGATGCACCCACTCTTTGAGCCGTTGCTGCAGCCAGGCACTTTCTTCGTCCGGCTTCTGACCCTCTTTGCGATCCTTGAGCGTCATAGGGACAAGGTCGATGAAGTCACATGGGGATACTTGGAAGACACTCTCGATGCTGGAGTTGCGGCTCAGGTGGAGGAGATCGAGAGGGAAAGGGATCAGATGGTCACGTACAGTACATTTATGGAGATCCTTGGCGAGCCAGAGGATGTGTAGACTCGCCACCTGTTCCTCGCAACCGACGTGTCGGACGGGTTGCTGGTTGTGCATCATGTTGTCTATGGTAAAAAAAAGGCGCCGGGTGCAGGTTGACCACGCCATATGCCAGTACCCAGCAGACCCCGTTTCCCTGACTTAATGTCAGACAAATAGTTCTGGTCAAGAACACAGACAGGGTGAACAAATGTAGAGCACTTGCCTCAAACTTGCCTGAAGAACAAAGCCTTGCTACGACACCGCCCCTTACGGCCATGGACCTCCTTAAGTACCTCCTACGAGAAGACCCAGCTTCGCTGCCATGAGCCTGCCTTGTAGACAATATCTCTAAAGGCTGTTCATAGAAGCGAAGTATTCTCAGAGGAAATCCCTGCAGACCTGGACTGACCGCGCCATGGAGCTACGCAACACCGCCAAATGCCCGACTTCTGGGACATTGGGACGTTCAACGCTTCGAGGACATCAAGTCATAGGCGAGATGCGACTCTGTGAAGGGATCCCATGAGGCTGGGATCGAAGGGATTGAGAAAGACAGTCCGACGAGAAGGCTGCTATATGTCACATACATTCGTGAGACGTTCAATGAGAAGCCTGGGGATGTGGGAGGTCGTCATCGACGTTCAGCTGCACATGGTCCTCGATATACTTAGCTGTGGGCGTAGGAGTATTCCACTCGAAGTCGTCGACGTTTACAAGTGCACGCCATTCGGTCAAGTATGTCACGGTTGCCTGAGCGATCTTTTGTCAGTGCAGCTTCAGGCCATATTTAAGAATTCTTGGGAATACAAACGCATAGGGGCCGCCGCGAACGGTCTCTATCCGTCGCAACCTTTGAGACTGCCTGACATGCACCGGTGCATGTTTCGATGTCGTATCACAACAGGTCCATCTTCTCACTGGGCACAGCGCGTTTCACGACCATCTGCATCGCCGGCTGCCGTACAATGATCACGAAGGTGGGCTGGCGGCCGGTGGTTGGGGGTCTGCGGCCAAGCTGTGCGGGCGTTGCAGTGGATGGATGCAAGGAGCATTGAATGTCCAAAGAGGGAGGAGGAGGCCTCGTGGGGTCGGAGTTGGGGGAACTGATTGGGAGGCGGGCGGGCGCCTGAGTGTGAGGGAAGTCTTTTTGCAGTGATCACCGACCATCTTCTGCTTTGCTGCCGTGTGCATTGTGCTGCCCACCGCATTATTCTTACGAGTGCTTTACGACGCCCTGTATTATCACCCCGATAGTCTCCTTCTGCAGTCATGACCAGCTCCCCCTCCACCCCCGACATCTCCTCCCTGTCGCTCGCTTCCAAGCCCTCCCAGCAACGTCTTCATGACTCTTACGAATACGAAGGCAACTCAGGCGGCAGTGGCAAGAGCCCGTACCACTTCCAGACCTCCCCGCCCATCCCTGCGCAATCCCAGTACAGCCCGCTCGGCGGCTTGGGCCAGTCTCCGCTCAAGAACAGGCCAGTCCTCCGTGGAGGTCTTCCCTCTGTACGTTATCTCCTCGCAAACAACGCCTTCACCGCGATCTGACCCGCCTCCCTCCAGCAATGGCTCGACAACGCTAACATGGGCGACAACCGCTCGCTTTCTCCCCACAACAACTCAGATCTGTCCTCTTCCGGGGGATCGCCGCCTCCTGGGGCCATGCAGCCTCCCGTCACACCCGGCACCCCCAGCCTTGGTGCAGACGACGAGATCATACCCACCGCAATCGTCATCAAGAACATACCTTTCAATGTAAAACGCGAGACGCTGCTTGATATCATCGTACGTCCTCTTCTTGCCACGAGAAGTGTGCCGTGGTGGCCTGGAGTGCTATGCGTCGGGCTGGTGGGCGTGCGTTGGCTGGCGTTGATGGGTGCTACGGACCGCCTGATCGACTACGTAAATCGACAGACACCACCCGCATCACCCGAGCGAATAGCATCTCACTGGCTCCGGCCATGCTAAGACATGGATGCTATTTTGTCATTGGGCTGCCCAGTGATGGGAGTCGTGGCGACTCTGTCCGTGCGCTCTCAAGGGGTGTACGACACAGCCGTCTGCATGGCTATCCAGCGCACACTTCGAGCCAGCTGTCACCGAGGCCAAATCTGACCACGAGTTCTTAGTCATCGCTGGCGATCCCGACGCCCTACGCATTCAACTATCATCTCGACCAGTCGGGCCAGTTCCGCGGTCTCGCGTTTGCCAACTTCCGCCAGTCGACGGACGCAGACGCAGTCGTCGCAGCGCTGAACGGGTTCGATGTGCAAGGCCGCAAGCTGCGCGTGGAGTACAAGAAGGTCCTGCAGGCGGGCGAGAAGGAGCGCATCGAGCGGGAGAAGGCGATCCGGCGCATGAAGTCCATGCAGCTCGAGAAGGAGCAGCAGGCCCTCGCGCACCAGGCGACGACCCCCTACGACGAGTTCGGGCAGGTCCTGCCCTCGCCATTCACGCCGCAGCGGTCGTTCTCCGCCTCGAGCGTGTACCAGAGCCAGGCGTTCTCGCCGTCGGCGGGTCTGCCGCCCATGCCCATGCCGACGCCCCAGTCGTTCAACATCTCGACCCCGCCGATCGGCCAGCCCATCACGCCCGGCGCGCTCAAGGGGGCCTCCGCGGAGCTCGACCTCAACGACCCGGCGACGCTCGAGATCTACTCGCGCATCCTGCTCTTCAAGGACGACCCGATGCGGGACGAGCTCGCGTTCTCGCGCACGCTGACGCCCAAGCAGCGGCGCGTGGTGCACCTCGTCGCGCAGAAGCTCGGCGTGTACCACTATTCGGTCGGCGAGGGCGAGGAGCGGTACGCGGTGGTGACGCGGATTGACCCCAATGCGGTATGCTTCTCTCTTCCGCTCCTCGTGGCGCACACGTAATGACACTCCAACAGGGCCAGTCCCCGGGCCCGCGCCAGTCGCTCTCGCGCGCGCCGTCGTCGTACCTGTCGGCCACGTCGTCGCAGGCGCCCAATTCGCTGCGCGTGAAGAAGTCGATGCCGGACATGAAGTCGCTGCAGTCGGCCGCGGCGCCGCGGCTGACGACGCGCGCGTCGAACGGGAACATCCGCGAGGGCTACGCCACGATTGCCTCGCCGTCGCGCCGCTCGCCGGGCGCGTTCGCCGCGCTCTTCGCCAACGGCGGCGCGTTCGGGAGCAACGGCATCCCGCCCGTGCCGAACCTGCCCTCCAGCGTCGCGGGGATGTCCAGCCCGCTGGAGAGCCCGGGCGGCGTGCTCAGGCAGCCGCGCGGCCCCGGCGTGGTCGGGTTCGAGAGCAGGCGGGAACGGCGGGAGAGTCAGACGGGCAACGGCGGGCAGGGCGGGTTCGAGGCGCGCTCGCACGAGCCGCTGGAGATCTGAGTACGCAGCTAAGTGCAGACTATCTGGGACTGGGGTTCTCGTGCGCTCGGACTCGGTACCGTCGGGACAGTCACCACACACACCCTCGACACTCTTGTTCGCGCACCTCGTCGTCATCGCTCTTGTTTTCCCTCACCCGTTACTCCTTGATTTCCGTTTCCGTGTTCTCTCGCGCTTTAGCTACTTACCTCCCCCTCCCCGTTCTCCCCCCGCACCGGCTTGACCAGTAATTCGCCTAACACACCTCTCGCCGTCGCGTAATCGGGGCCGGGCCTCCGTGCGGAGCATGGACGCCGCGGCCCTTGCATCTCACTACCTACTCACCCCGGTCAACGCCGTCGCCGCCGCCGCTCATGCAATTGCCATTTACCCCCATATGTACGTGCCCGCTGTGCTCGCGTCCGCCTTTTGCGCTTCCCGCAGTACAGCATTGTTGCCTTGGTTGTATGATGATCACAGAATTAGAGTATGCTGAAAACGTGTGTATATATTGGTCGGATGTGAATGTCGTTCGTTGCTCGTCTGCGCTTTGCTCTCTCGCGTTTGGTGATCATCTTTGGTCGGCATTCGGGCGGGCAGCGTTTCGTGTAAGGTAATGTCCACGGATATTGCAGGACTTGATGCGATGGTGCCGCGTGGACTGACATTGCTCCTCATTATTGTGTCCAGCGGTGCTCTGCTGCTGGCCACGCCGGATGCTGCGCATCTTCTACGTCGCTGGTGCCAGCCACGTACTTACAACTGTCAGGTTCCGGGTACCAGCTGACACGACTTCGGCCACTGAACGTACTGAACACGTACAAAACCATTTAACACTAACGTCAACGACACCAGACCCGAACAGCGACCGACATAGAATCCAACAATTGGAAATCCGAGTCAAACGTCCCATGTAGTAATGTAGTGTACTTACTATCCTACAGCCACAGCGCATTACGCACTTCCGAGTCGATCCTGCACCGCTCTTGATGAATACCAACAATCACGACATCCAACAGAATCCAATCCTGCACCGAACAATAACAACAGAATGCACTACCCCAACACACCGCTAAAGTTACACCTTCCATAGACAACCGACCCAACGTGAAATCGTGCAAAGTAAGCGCATTCGAGGTTACCACCCGAGCGCGCCCCAAACGCCGAGCACGAGCCCGAGCGCCGCGCCGACGACCGCGCCGCCTCCTCGCGCGCCGGACGCGACCTGCGCCGCGACGGGCGGCTCGACGTACTGGTTCGGGCCCGAGAAGCCGCACACGCCCGACGAGTTGAGGAGCATGTCCGGCATGAAGACCGCCGGGCGCCCGCCGGGGTTGTAGTCCATGAAGATCGTGCCGTTGCTCCCCACGGCGTGTTTCTCGCAGGAGAGGATCCTGCGCGGGGAGGGGGAGGAGCGTCAGTCGGTCGTCGCGCGCGGAGCGTGGCGGGCGGCTTACTCGGTCGTGGCTGTCGACGCGGCCCAGGGGGTGTAGACGGCGATGGTGACGTTCTTCGGCTGCGCCAGCGACCAGTCTCAGCGTCGGATAGGGATGTTGGCGTGTGTGCACTCACCGGGGAGCCGATGTTCGTCAGGACAGTGACAACGTCGCCCTTACGGAAAGCAAGGCCATACTCGCTCTCCGTGAGGATCTCCATCTGCGTCGCTGCCCAGTTGCTCGTGCCGTTAACGAGGAAGTTCCGGAACTACCAGTAAACAGGGTCAGCGGACGACATCATTCATATCACGGCCACGAACCTTATTGAGCTTGGTCGTGAGCTGGTATGTGCTCGTGTTCGCGTATCCCGAGGGCCAGAGCGGCTCGCGATTATACGGATCGCTGAGCCCGTGGAAGCCCTGTTCCTGGCCGTAGTACAAAATCGGGATACTATCAGACCCAGTCAGCCATAGCTCGCAGAGCTCCCCGAGCCCAAGCAACCCACCCGTCGGACATCCAATTGTACACCATCGCGTTATACAGCGACTGCGGGTCGACGGAGAGGTTCCCCCAGCGGGGCACGTCCTGGTCCTCGAGGAAGTTGCCCAGCACCGTCGGGTCCTGCATACCGCGTCAGTAAGCTCGGCCATGGCTGCAGTGTGACGCGTGCCTTGAACATCTTCTGCGACTGCGCGACCTTCTCCGTCAGCGCGCTTATGTTCAGCGCGCCGGGCATGGCGAACGCGCTCACGAGCGCGTCGTAGATCGGGTAGTTAAGAATCGAGTCGAGCGCGTCGGGGCCCTGGTACTGGGACGCCTGTCTGGTGGCTCGTCAGTCGATGGGGCCATTAGCTCGTCGCGGATGTGGGGCTCACCCGACATCGTCGTCGAACACCTCCCCAATGCAGAACACGCCGGCGGCGCCGCAGAACTTGGGCCAGAAGTCGGTGTTGACGTGCCTTAGCGCGGAATCCTGTGAGTCAGCTGTTCACTCGATCAACTTGGGCGACGTACTTCGCAGCTAGGCACGGCGCCAGCAACATTAGCGACCCGTCGTGATGAACCGGAAATGGCGCTCACCATCAATACGCAGCCCGTCGATGTTGTACTCCTTGACGAGGTCGGTGATCCACGACTGGTACGCGGACACGACGCCCGGGTCCTGCGTGTTGACGTCCGGCAGGGTGACGGTCGTGTCGCCCAGCCAGCAGTCAATAACACTCGTGTCGTTGTTAAAGTCGATAGGACAGAACGAGTGGTATTGCGACTACACGGACCCGCATCAACAATCCTCCCAAACAACCAGAGACACGGACCGCGCACCTCGTCCTTGAACAGGAAAGTCGAGAGATCGGGCGTCGTCGACGTCGCCATGACGTTGTTCACGACAACGTCGACCATCAGGTACATCCCGCGGCGGTGGAGCTCCTGCGAGAGCGCCTTCAGGTCGTCCGCGGTGCCGAAGCGGTCGTTCAGCTTCGTCGCGTCCGCGATCCAGTACCCGTGGTACGCGTCGCCGTACGCCGTCCGCGGGCCCTCGTAGTTCTGCGACACCGGGCTGATCCAGACTGCGCGCGGGTCAGACTCGTCAGGTGCGGGCGGCGGGCGGCTCACTGGCTGTAAACCCGGCGTCCTGGATGTAGTCCAGGTTCTCGCGGATGGTGGTCCATGTGCCGCCGCACCACGTCTGGTCCTTCGGGTCGCAGGCGTTGAAGTCCGAGCCCGCCGGCAGCGCGTACCGGTCGGTGATGATCCTGGGAGAGCCTCAGTCACCGCACAGGATAATTCCATCGCACAGACACCCCACAGTCGCCTAGGTCTCAGTTACCTGAACTGTGTCCCCTGGCCGTCCGCGGGGTGCGTGTATGCGGGCGGTCGCGAGGAGAGATGGACGCACTGGTATATTGAGCGGCCCCTCCACTGGTCCGCTGAGGCGGCCGAGACGGAAGTGACCAGGGCTGCAAACGACAGGAGCTGTCGGAAGGTGTGCATCATATCCGTAGGGCCGAGTAGAAATTATGAGGTCCGAAAAGCGAGTTGGGAGATGAACGAGTGTGTGTGCGCGGGTGTGCGCTGCGACGCGTCGGTGCTACCCTAGAGAGCGGTCAGCGTCTGGACACCGAGGGCAAGGCGGTCGGACGTACGAGACGGGCAAAGGACGGGACGACCTGCAGGCGGTTGGGAGGAAGGAGAGGGAGCGGGGCGGACGGGTGGACGTGCGGGGGCGGGGAGGCTGGATCGGGCAGTCAAGGCCGTGGACGGGGAGTTGGCCTCACATGGTCCGATCGACGGCTACCTGCACCTGTGCTCGCTGTCGCGTGAGATGCACCGTCCGCCAGTCAGCGGGTGGGAAGCGTGATGTGCTGCGAATGCACCGCGCGGACCTCGTCCTCCCTCCCGCTCGAGGCACGCCGACGCCCATCGCCATGGCGCCCTTCTTGACCTCTCCTCAGATGACCCACCGCTAGTACTACCAACTCCCAAGAGGGTGTCGTATAAGGTCGTATACCCACTGGATGTAACACACGGTACGCATCCCGAGCGGTGACTGCCAGTGGTGCAATCAGAAGATGTTGGGCTCAATATCAATTCCCCAATCCAGAGACGTGTATTTTCACCCTTGGCATCTCGCACTCACCGGCTGGGTGTACAAAGAGGCTACTGCACATTGGCACCGGGGAACGTTGACCACAGGGAACCCGCCACAAGGACGCCGCAAGGTCGTGTGTACGTCGAGCGCACGCCACCCCACAAGCCGCTGCTCTCGTCGACGCCCGCCTACGCCCGCAGCGGATTGACATGTGGGGAAGACAAGGGCCTGCTGCATCTCGACTGGGTGTACATGTGATGGGCCTTCGATGCAGATCACACCGAGCGTCAGTCCGCGAGCCGCCGGCCTGGCATCTGCCTCGACCCGGCCCGCCCCCAGCCAGCATCAACCTTCTTGTTACTGAAGTCGATCGGAGGTCGTTTGAACCTTGAGCTTGGACAATCGTCCGTGCGAATGTTCGCGACGACGTAATCTTTATGTTTTTTTATTTGCAACAGTCCAGGAGACTGTCGTCGGTATTGGATAAGTAGCATGACACTCTCGACGTAAGCTTCTAGTTCTACAGCGAAAGCCCGATTTCACAACATATGAGAAGTCTTTTTTGAAATATCGCTTTGCCTCCGTCTGCTACATATCTGACAACCAATGTATCGCGATCAGTGTAGTTGGTGGACGAATCGGAACAGTGAGACCACATTGGACCAGGGACCATGGCAGGATGGGCCCATGATGACGAGGTCTAATATCTGCTCCTCCGCCTCTCGAAATCCAGCAGGCCTCCAGGGCGAGTGTATATGGTGATGTGAGCCCACGGTCTGTCTTTCTCTTCAAGTTGCGAGCCTTCGTTTGCATCCACACGACGTTTAGCAGCGACCTGTCTGACTGCATGGCATCGTTCGACGTATTACAAACCGAGCGACGATGGTGAATGTGGCTTTGCCAAACGCGACAGATCCCACCTGCAGTCCAAAAGCCCTGCCGCAAGCGAGAAAGAGACAGACGCGCGAAGACGATGTGCCCGTCGGTCATTGGGCCTTCACAGATCACAATTACTAAATCAGTACGTTGCGCCACGCCCGTGCATGAACTGGGTCCAACACCCACCTTACACATGGCAGACGTCGCATCGAGCGATGCTATACACCGAGTTCAGAAGCAGCGATTATTGGTCCGCGACCGGTCACCCGTCCTTGACACCACCACACAAGTGTCACAACTCACTTCAATTTCACCCTCTCTCAACCCTCACGCGGCCAGATCGCTCTGCAAAACCGGCCTCAGTCCCGCAGCACAGTCTCACCTCGACGCTCAGATGGCGTGCGGCTGGTGCGATCTTCTCGGATAGCGATGCGATTGCGAGCGACACAAATACACAGAGCAATGCTTAGACAACGACTCTCGACTACTTCTTCCCCGACCTGTCCCACCGCGGAGTCAGCTGCAGTCAAACGGAGCGATTCCGAGACAGACGTACTTCTTGATGCCCCTCCGGGCGCACCGCCTTCCGGTCGCAGAAAACACCGTCGACGTCAGTACTAGCTCGGTACTCACCCGGGGTGGCAAACGCAGGGCCCACTCACCCTTAGCAGCTGCAGACCAGTCAGCACGGTCCTCGAGAGTCACTCAGCACGCATACGCACCCTTGTCCTTCGCGGCCTTCAGCGCGGCCTCCTCCTGCTTCTTGCGCTCCTTGAACGCGAGGTCGTCCTCGTCCAGGTCTTTCTTCTCCTTCTTCGGAGCCTAGCAGCGAGCGGGTGTTAGTGAGACGCGCCGCCCGCGGGCGCATCACTGCCTGCGCACCTTGAGTGGCTTGAGTTTCCCGCCTGCTCTGGTCGCCATGGTCGGTGGTGTGTGGAATGAAGATGAAGAAGACCCGAGGCGGCTGCCGCCACACTGCCTCCGCGCGGTTTGACCAGGACGGACGCACGTGCGTTTGGCGGTTCTGATTGGCTGCAACTACGTAGGTTCAAGCAGCGTAAGTACTCTGCCGACAACTATCATAATGTAGAACGGCTCGTCTCTCGTCTGGGTTCTTCTCCTGACCCATCATCATGGCACGGCCTGCCCATGCACCATCAGACTCTGCAGATTTAAGACTCTCAACCGAGACGATCACATCCATCTACTTATTCTTCTCTCTCGATGGCGTCGAATGGTCTTGCGGAAGGCGAACTGGCCAATTGCTCCACCGCCAGTCTTGTCGACGACGCCTTGAGCATCGTCGAAAATACTACTTTTGCGGCGCCGCTACACGGCGGCGTCTCTCCCCAACAACTCCTCCGACATATGCTTGTCGACGCCCCTAACGAATATGGCCAACGCTATATTGCAACGGCCGTGCATGTTGCTGCCACCGGGGAAGCTGACCTTGTTCTTCGCTTGGCCTGTGTCTTCCTGGACGATCTCCTTTTACCGAGTCAGCTTATCATCTGGCATTTCTGCGTGGTCATGCTTACGCCGGAATATATCCAGTGCTAGCAAATATGAGCGCTGTGAACCGTCTCCCTCCAAGTTCCAGCCCCACGCCTATCCTTCAAGTCGAACCGGCCGCCATCGAGATAGAGCCTGTAGACCGAACCGAACAACAAGAATTGGACCGCCTGGTATGCTTGATTATACTGACTCTCCCATGACAGCTGAATCACAGTAAAAATAGCGTCACATCAGGGAAAATAGGACTTGTTGCGTCACAGGGTTCTCGTCGGACGAACGCGCTCTAGAGCTTCACGCCAGCGGTCAACTGGCTCAAGTGAGAGCTATCGTAGAGCTCGAAACAGCTTATGTCATTCCATTGGCACTCAACTCGTTCGACGAACCACACTCAGTCTGTCTTATTTTGTTCGCGTTGCTAACTGGTATTGAGACGTCGACGTGAGGCATCAGGCGGCTCGCACACGGGATATGCTCCGCAGTTGGACCAATATCGATTTACCGGGACTCGTTGGAAGTACTATCAACACGCCTCGCAACGCTATGCTTATCAATCGATTCGACCACCAAAAATCCGGAAAGTTCAAGATCTGGTTTGAGGAGGTACGGCTTCGGATTTCTCGTCGGGTTCTGCCACTGATTCAGCACAGAATTCCGGCTGTGCGAACGGATACATAGTGAAAACAGCGCGGGGCGCTGTCCTAGCCAACGCTCGTTTCGATGGCAAAGCGCGATTCTGTAGCATTGATGACATCGATCCGCCCGACCTCCAGCTCCTTCGAGTTTACGCAGCATTTGCAAAAGTGTTGAGTGCGTGTGGGGCTGCGGACGTCTACGCGAAGTTGGAGGAAGACTTGGATCGCGGCCGGGGTATCGTGAAGGACGAAGCGTCATCAATGATATTGACTGCCCGGCTGGACGCCATCAATTATGTCAATTGAACTGGGATTGCACGGCTGCATCATATGTCACATCGGTACCCAAGTGAGTACTGTACAGGCAATCATTCACGCTCTTGTGAATCCGTTCGTCACAAGGATCCCACGTCCTTAGATCCCACGAGCAAGGAAGACGAAGGTATCGCATTCGCGTCTTGCGGGTGACTGGTTCTATGTGTTGCTGCGTCGCGGGCTTCTTGCCAGTCTGATCCCAAATCCTGCAAGGTCTTTGCAGTCTTCCAAATTCCCGTTGGAGTATTACTAACTTGCAGGGACACTCAGGCTCTACCCTACAGATTTCAACATGGCATGGCGCCCCTCCCCCAGGCTCTGAGGCCATGGATTGACCACACCTAGAAGGAAACACGGCAAGTTGCTGATAGACAAGGGCGATCCAGAGCGGCCCAGAAGTGGGTCGAGTCAGCCAGTCATCGAATGGCTCCGACGCGCTCGGTTCGGTTCGTATGGACCTGTATGGACTCCTTTTCCCCGCAAGTCGACTGTCAAATGCACAGATTCCATCAAGATTCCATTGATGTACTTAATAGCACTTCGCCATAATAGGACTCCGAGTAACTTCGCGCGCCTAATAGATCTCCTGTCCCCCAGACCTTGAGCTTGAGTACGTGAGTAGACGTGAGTAACTACACTATATCGTTTGTGCAATGTTGTCGACTATAGGTGACATGGAGGGTCATCTGCAGCGAGTTCGGAATAGCTCGCACATGATAGAATGTTACTCACACCCCAATGACAGATGTACGCCTCCTGAGCTCCTCGGGTGGGTCGGGCGGCCTCACGTCCACCGAACATCGCAGGCTCTCCACGGCGTACGCTACGCGTTCTTGCGGCAGAGCATGGAGTACACTACGCGTTCTTGCGGCAGAGCACGGTGTACACTACGCGTTGTCGCGGCAGAATACGCAGAGCACAAGTGGGTTACGTGAGGACGTGTCAGTGCTTTGTAGAATAGAGTATAAAGCCAAAGCCAACAGCTCTCGACTGAGTATCCAGTTACCCAAAAACACAACCACTATGGCACCTGCATACCCAGCTGCGCCCGAACCGCCCACCAGGCTGGGTTACTACCGCCAGCTCGCTCCCCGCGCCGCGATCCATGTCTCCCCGCTCTGCCTCGGTGCGATGAGCATCGGAGATAAGTGGGACAAACTTGGCATGGGAGCGATGAACAAGGAGCAGTCGTTCAAGCTCCTAGACGCCTACTTCGATGCGGGCGGGAACTTCATCGACACCGCCAGTAACTAGTGAGCAAACGTACTCTGATGCTGAAAGCCGTCGCTGATGTAGCCATGCAGTCAAGATGGCTCTTCGGAAGAGTTCATCGGAGAATGGGCGGAGGCTCGCGGTATACGCGACCAGTTGATCATCGCCACGAAGGTATGCTAGTCGGTCTCTTGTCTCCAGATGACCGATGTTGACACGTCCATAACAGTGGACAAACAACGTTAAGCTGCGAGACGACTCCGTGAAGCAGAAGGTCAACTGGTCGGGCAACAACGCCAAGAACCTCAAGCTCACCGTCGAGGCCAGTCTGAAGCAGCTTCGGACATCCTACATTGACATCTTGTACATGCATTTCTGGGACAACCACACCAGCGTCGAGGAAGTCATGGATACCCTCCATCACCTCGTCGTGGAAGGCAAGGTCCTCTACCTCGTAAGCGTTCAGCACTATGAGACCGTAGACACTCCAGCGCTCACCATGTTTTGCCCACAGGGAGTCTCGAACACCCCCGCGTGGTTCGTCACCAAGGCAAACACATACGCCAAAGCGCACGGGAAGACGCCTTTCGTCATCTACCAAGCAGCATACTCCGTCCTGCAGCGCGACATCGAGCGCGACATCCTCCCGATGTGCCGCTACGAGGGCATTGCGCTCGCACTCTTCAACGTCCTTGCCGCCGGGCACATCCGCTCGGACGAAGAAGAGGAGCGCCGTCGCCAGACGGGTGAGGGTGGCCGGGCGGTCATGCGTCCCTGGGAGCGCACTCCTGACGAGAAGAAGATGTGCGACGCGCTGGAGGTCGTGCGCACGCAGGTCGGAGCGAAGAACATCACGGCTGGTAAGTGGGGTCATGGGCCACTACCGTGTGAAGAGGCTAACAAGTGTGTAGTTGCGATTGCATACGTGATGCACAAGGCCCCGTACATCTTTCCGATCATTGGTGGCCGTAAGGTTGAGCACCTGCAAGCAAACATTGAGGCGCTGAGCATCAAGCTCACCGGAGAGCAGATGGCGTACCTCGAGAGAATCCTGACCTTTGAGCTCGGCTTCCCCCATCGGTTCACTGTAAGTGCACACCGCTTGGACGTGTTCTTACGCTCACCCACCACGCCAGGGCCTGCTGGGAGACTACCCAGTCACGCTGAAGGCAACAGCGAAGCTCGACCCTCAGCCGCTCGCACCGCCAATCACTCCCTCTTAACTGGATTGCTGTGGATAGCAAGTGCAAGAGTTACAGTGACTGCTGCTAGGAGAGATCCCCACTGATGCTGGCAAGACGCTGTCTTCGGCGAAGGTCTGGGACCCGTAGCGTATCTCCGTGTCGAAACTTGCAATATACTTGAGAATGTCCTTTCCGCCATTGCATCGTACCTATAAGTTACATGTTTGCCCATGGATGACTGACAAGGCGTTGCACTGTGACAAGGGCCTGGTACCGTACATCGGTGTTCTCGTGCGACATAAGCTCCATGACACGTGTTTTGCCCCCGAGGTCGGTGAACAGCCTGTATTGCCACGGGAGTAGTGTTCAAAGAAACGTCAGTATCGTCGTTCCGACGTAAAGGGTAAAATACCACAGACTTCTTCCCTCGCTCGTAGTGCTTCACGTACTGTCCCGCATCGTGAGCGGCAACAGCAAGCACTAATGGATCACTGGAATCCTTCAAAAGCTTGATGAGTGTCCTGAAAGGCGGCGGAATGATGATGAGTGGACACTCAATAGTTCAGTGATCAGCGCTCACTTTAGCTGTGCACAGTCCTTGTCATTAAGCTTCGTGGCGTTCTCCTTCCAGAACAATTCAGACTCATGTACTGGCGTCCACGACAAGTGTCCAGAAACCAGCTCCGAGCTGTACTCGTCGTAAGTCCTGAACGAGAATGTAAGTTGAGGTCGCAGTATCATGGTAGGCAAATGAAGTCAAGGCTTACGTCAAGCTCTCGAATCGCGCATTCAGCTCGTCTCGAATGTACTGTACATCCTCAAGGATATCCTCATCGGACCACTTCCGCGTGCACAAGTTCTTCGCAAATGGAAGGAGTTGAGAGACGAGCATGGCGGGAAGGTTCGCGGCTGGTGCTTTGGAGACGAGGTTCTGTTGTCAGAATGTAAGCGAGCACGATTGTTTGACCAGGCAAAGACACTCAACCCGGAAGGTAGCAACTATGACGCGGATGACCTTCTCCTTAGCGGCATTCTGAGCAACGCCGGTGAGAAGGGGGATGATGTCATACTGCCTACGTGTCATCCTCATTAGCCAGGGGTATGGTTATAGTGCTCTGGGCGTACGCACTTCTGGATGTACTCGGCAACCTCTTGCTCGAATGTAAGCAGCCACAGGCAGAATCCAACCTGGTAGCTCATCTGGGCGTTGGGGTTATGTTTGAGAATCTCGATCAACCTTGCTCATTGTATGAGCGCGACAGGGTCGAGGCAACCTGCGACGACGGAGCTGCTCACCCTCCCATAAGTGTGGAGTTCGCCCAGACAGCTTTGCGACATTCGGGACGCGGAAGGACCGCTTCGAGACACTGCACTGCGATGTCTCGCTTGTGCGGACTAGTACTGGTAATGAAGGCTGCAAGCGTGTTCAAGAAGGGTTTGAGCTGCTCGGCAGGTATGGGTGTCGACTCGGAGCTGAGGATAGGGTCACGTCATTATAAAAGACGTCGAGTCTGCGGTTAACGGGCTTTACCTGAGGAGGACGGTCATTATCTGTGTAGTTTTCAACTGGACAAAGTCATCTTGCGATTCGAGCAGCCTGCCATATCATGTTATGCATAGCCGGGAGGACATGACGGAGATTGCGTACCGCGACAGTGCACCATATGGCAATTCGGGGTCCACTTCTCGTGTCCTAGTAAACAAGGGTATCCGCTCATCGTGGTCTGCAAGGTCTCCTTCAACAGAAGGCCATCAACTTAGTAAAATCCTACACACCTGAAATAGCATCCGTGATGAGGACCAAGATGCACTGCTGCGTGTCCACCCTCTGCAGCTTCTTAAGTAGCCTAAAGAACAGCAGGGCATACGACGGGCCATCCGACAGGAATACAGAGTCAATTCTCGCTCTCGGTTGCCTATCCACCTTCTTGATGAGCCCAAGCTCTTCACTGGTGATCAAGTCCGCGCGTTGGTACCCCTGCAGTAGCACTTGCATCAGAGACGCCCCTCGTACGCACATGCATACACCACCATCACTCACCTCCCACGGGACAGGCTTCGCTCTGACTTTCGCAGAGCTTTCGTCTAGATGCGCGTTCGACACGAGGGGAATGGACATCGCGACGACCGGGCGGGACGATGGTGGACGAGCTGAAGCCTGCTGAGGCTCAGTCGCGGGTCGCGCGAGGCGCCCGTAGCGACGTCGTGGCACGTGCCTGACATTGAGCTCACCGACATTTTGAGCGCGCCAGCGTCCAGCTCACCCTCCGGTATGTGGTCCAGAAATGCTCTCGCATGCTGCAGCAAGCAGTCAAGAGGTATGGTCGTATTTTTGCCTATCAAAGGAAACCACCAATGATTGATTGCCAGCAGCATGCGTGCAGCTTCGGTCGCGCACGCTGGCGACGGTGACGGACGCCGCTGGACCGTCCTCCACTCCCGCCAGCACGCCCAAACCCTCCCTGTCTAAGTCTTCGCAGTCTCCCAGACCAACCATCCAGACCGCAGTCATCCTCAACCGCTCCCCCATCGTCACCCGCACGCCGAGTGCCTTCGAGCGCGCCTACTACGCCTATCAAGCCCGCATCCAGCGGGCGCTCTTCAACCCGTTCCCGGACGAGTTCTACTTCAAACCCGGTTCAATACTTGAAGACCAATTCAACGCGGAGGAGAAGCAGCGCGAGAAACTCGCCTTTGGCGGCCCGTACGTCAAGGAGAAGCCGGTGGAGGTCTTGGGCTCGGAGGAAGGTGCTGGGAGGAAGCAGCAGCAGCCTATGCCGAGGATACATGAAGCGGACATAAAGATGGACGTCCAGAGCCTTGACAGGCAAGGAGAGCGGAACCTCTATCTACTCGTGCATGGTAAGGACTCCGCTGGGAAGGATGTCTGGAGGTTCCCGCAGGGAGGTATCGAGGAGGGTCAGGCGTTGCACCAGGTACGTCGGACTACTTTGACTAGAGCGTATTCGCCGGGACCTATGTCTCGCGAGATGTGAAGCTCAGAGTGCCCCGCTCTGAACCGAAGCGCTGTCGCCGCACCTGGCGTGATCTTTGGGACAGGCGAGGGAACATTAGCTCTACTTTGCTATCATTTCCGTGACCTAAGTCCGAGCGGATGCGTTCTATTACTTTAGAGGTTGAATACGAATACTTCTCTCCCCGCAGGCTGCAGAGCAAGATCTTTACATCGAGTGTGGCGAGCTCATGGACGCCTGGGTGGTCAGCCGGAACCCAATAGGTGTCATAGAGCCTAACAATGCAAGTACACCATCACAACAGGTTAGTATATCCCCTTTGATTTATGCCACCGTTCGCTCATCAGTCATGCTATTGCAGGCATGCGTGTTCTTCTATAAGGCACACATTCTCGCCGGCCAGGCGAAGCCCAACGGTAAGACCGTGAAGGACTTCGCATGGCTCACAAAAGAGGAGATCGAGTCTCGAGTAGACCAGCAGTACTGGGCGGCAGTGAAGGATATGCTATCAGACTTCTAATGTATCTGCGTTTACTCTGGTGTTGCTATTTAGGATTTAGTGCACTGCTGTTGGACTTGCGCTGGAGTCCCTTAATGTGGTACAATCGTAACCTGGGAGCGGTCTTCAGGGTATGTGCCTATGTCACGGTCAGTATACATAGCAGTAGTATGTAGTAGTAGTCGTGCAGCGACTACGATCCCAAGACTCCAAAATCTGAACAGGTCTATTGGACGAGCTCGAGCGCTGAAGAGAGTGCCAGCGCCTCCTCTTCCCAACGTCTTCCTTCTAAGTTATCCCCCCAGTACACAACAGTACACAACCTCCAGAGGCAGCAAACTGAGCGCGAAGTCAGAAGTGGCCACATTCAACACGGTCGAAGCTCGGGTGCAATCCCGGCCTGAGAGTGCACGTAGAACCACACGGAGAATCTCATCTTAGAGGACAACGCTGACCTACATATATCACTGGTCCCGAAGGTGTACACACGCCTGTCGTGGGTACCACGAGTAGCGATGGTCAATATCCGGTCGCATGCTTGGTTGGCCTCACTGTGTCAGCTTGTACTCGTCTCGGCTTCCGTGATGAATGGTCAACGCACATTCCACACCACGGCCAGTTGCGAGGACCCTGGCTTCGACAGCCACCAACGCGGTTGGGGCATATCTGTCTCCGAGGAATGGGACGTACGCGTTCTACATTGGCTCTGACCATTTGTTCCGCTCACGAGAGAAATCGGACGTGCAGGTTCTGGGACCGTTCCCGAGTCACGCAAGGGAACAGCATTTTCTGTCTCCTTCCTATCCACTGAACTGTGAATGTCGACTTCATACTTATACTTAGCGCGGGACATGGTGTCTGATGAAGCATCTCCACAGTATCGGAACCTATAGACTTCAAGGGCAAATGGCCTTCATCATGTGCGGACGGCGGAGAAGTAGAATGGACAACCGCTCACTCCAAGACTGACGGTACGTTGGATGTCTCCTTCCCGCACATTCGGTATGTCGTCCCTCGTATGCTATGTCTAAATTTCCCGAGATGCACCCCAGTGACATACCGCTCCAGCTGGGCCGCGCTTCGAGCAACAGAGGGGTGGGCAGGTCTACAGCACCATTCGGTTCTGCACACCACGATCACGGTGACCCCACCCCCAAACCTCTCGAGCGACACTTCAGAACGACCAGGTGAACCACCCCGGCTACTAGTGAACGTGGCCCAGGGCTCCTTCTTCACGGTCCTCCCATCTCAAGATGCCTGAAACCCTCGAAGGCAGTACCGCAATGGTACATGGGGAACATCTACGCCATGGAGCGTGTTCTTCCCCAGACGGTTTCACTTCCCTCCACGCCGTCGTTTACCGGACCAACGACGTACGACCTATTCGTCAGCGGCGACTACGAGGTGACTCGCTGCTTCGAAACGTGCCATCCTAGGTTACTGACGGGACCCGTAGATCAGGCTGTTCGGCGATCCGCGCTTCAACGGCGACAAGAGCGGCATACCTACTCTCTCCATCAAGCTGTCCGTGGACCTCGAGCCAGTGCCCACGGAGAGCACGGTGGAAATCATTCCAGATCATAGCGTGACCTGCGACTTCGTCGACGGATGGGCATTTGGAGACGCGTTGGGCGTCGGCGTGCGGAGCGTATCTGGCTGGTGGAACATCGACGGTGTGTCGCTCGCGACAGCGGAGCTGACGGTACATCGTGCCCTCTCTCTAAAACCCCACTGGACATGACTGTGCTGACGCGAGACATAACAGGACCGACTCAACCTCACGCTGCTTCAGAACACCGCGCTCGCCCCCACCCAGACACGCATCGTACCCCTCAAGATTGTCCAGCTTCTTCCCTTCGGTGGACACGAGATACCTGTCGCCCTGCATCTGACATCTCGGAACAACGCCACGACGACCTTGCATACCAGCATCCCCGTCCGCCAGCACCCGCACTGGTCACCGTCCGAGGTCCCCGCAGCTGGGATACAGGCTACGTATCTCTACGGCAGCTCGTCCCCGACGGCATTTCTGGTGATGCCGCCGGAGGAGCCCAACGAGGGTCAGCCGCGGATTCCGGTGCTTGCGCTTCGTACGTTTGTTGTTGGTCTAGATCGACGGAGGGACGGTGACGTGAGCCTGTAATTTCTGCAGATGGCGCGGGCGTGGACATACTGTCGATGCCGTTCTGGATCCAGGCCATCCCGCGGCAAAAACATAGTTGGGTCGTCACACCAACAGGGCGGACCGCATGGGTGCGTGAACCAAACCTCCTCTTACCGCGATCACCTTGCACATACATGATTTCAGGGTCTGGATTGGCATGGTCCTAGCGCGATGGACGCCTGGGGCAGTGTTGATGCTCTAGGGGCAATTCTGAAGAGTAGGGATGCATGGCGCGGCTACGAACTCGCCGACGACACGCGGGTGCTGCTCCTCGGCCACTCGAATGGCGGCCAAGGGGCATGGTGGAACGCGGCGAGGTACCCGGATCGAGTCGCTGCCGGTATGTTTGTTGAGTTCTCGCCCCTCGCCAATGCCGCGATTGCATTCACTGAGCATACCAATCGGTGCAGTCATCCCGGCGGCGGCGTACCTCAAGTCGCAGGTATATGTACCCCTCATCCAGTCTCAGTAAGTATAGTGTCTCCGCTCGCATTGAAGCAGTCGTCATGATTGACACGGCTGCTCTGCAGTTCGCGCATTACGTCGACCCTTCCTGCGGGCGATCCTTGAGACCGCGCTGACACCCGATGATAACGACCTTTTCCTGTCTAACCTCGCGCACACACGAATTCTTGCGATCCACGGCGGCGACGACGAGAACGTGCCGACGTGGCACAGTCGTGCGTACGTCAGCACCCTCAAGACGTGGAACGCCGACGCGCCCGTGAAGTCAGTCGTTCAAGCTGTTGTCATTCTCGGCGCTTGATACTGACGGTAACATCATAGGCTACGCGAAGATCCCGGTGAACTTCATGGTACACGGGGGTGTTCGATAACCCCGATGTGCGCGAGTACATGCGCGCGGTGTTGGAAAGCGAGACGGGCTTGGCTACATCTGTCGGCTTCGGGCCGAGCCCAGATAGCTTCACCTTGACTGTCTCCATACCTGCTGAGAGCGGCTCGCTTCACGGATGGCGGATCCACCAACTGCTAGTGCCTGGCCGGTAAATAGATCGAGAAGTATAACGGAACGCGTACTGATTTGATTCCCGTTTAGCATCGGAAGGCTTACGGTCGTACTGAGCGGGACGTCAATTGAAGTCCGCACGAACAACGTCGCAGTGTTCTCAATTCAGCACATCCCTCGATATGCTGCGGACGTTCTGGTCATAGACGGCTTCACATTCCCGATGGATGCTCTTCGAGACAACAGTCACAACGCAGTGCATTTCTCACGTGAGGTGGTACATGGAAAGTACGTACCCACTCCGAATACGCCTCCGCAAGACCTTTGTTGACGCAGCGCAGTCCTCTGTTGACCCGCCGGCGGCTCTTCAACCACATGGGAGACTAGCCAGAATCCTCACCTCCCCTGTACCGATCGTCATCATCTATGAAAGTAGCTCTCAAAGCTCCCTCTCGGCAACGCTACGCCTAGCCTCTGCTCTCGACGGTTACCACAAGCTTGATGCGGAGATCATTGACGACGCGGAGGCCGTCCGGAGGCTACACATCGAATCGCTGGGCACTGCCAACATAGTCGTCGTCACGAATGGAAAGGGGGAATTCGCGCAGTCTCTGCTCTCGCAAGAGCGCACAGCATTCACCCTCAATAACAGGACATTACTTCTGAGAGGAAGCCTCTGGGAACGAAGTCCGCTGCGCTGTTCTTGCATCCGCATCCCAGTGCATCAGATGCATCTATTCTGTTCGTATACGCCCAGGATGATGCAGGTTGGAGAGAGGCCTCCGGCTCTTTCCCATACGTACAGGCGTGCCAATCCCCGATTGGGTTGTAATCACAGAACACGCGGACAACATGGGAGCGGGAGGGATAGAAGGAGCGGGGTGAGTGTCACTGTGCTCATGTAAACTGGAGCTCGGCTCAAATGTCTGAATTCAGCGTATGGGGAAACACCTGGAGCTGGAATGAAGGAATCTCCGCCGTTTGAATCATCATTTAAACGCCTCGACCGTTGTTATTTCAAATCATCAAGGCAGTCACTCTGCCAGTGTCGGTGTGAGAAGATATATACCTATTGAAAGTCGCGGATCACATAGCCTCTGTATTCTGTATTCAGTCGCTGGTAGCATGATACGCCGCAGTGTGAAAACATGGTCTGAAGCTACTAGTAGCAAATCCTCCGTCTTTACTAAAACTGTCATGGATGATCTTGGGACTTATCCCATTATCTTGAACCCGCCATGGATCGCATTGACGACGTTCGGGCGAGGGCACACGGAAGCCGTCTGCAGGATCATCAGAAAGTCAAGATCGAGGAAATCCGAAGGACGAGGATGAGCGGGTCACGTACAGTATTTTGATGATAGTCTCAGGAGAAGCAGCAGACATATGAGCTGGTATGGGAATGACTCAAGGTAATATATCTTCGATTGCGCTGTAACATACGTCCTAGGCTTTTGGAAAACGACTCGAGTTCGACAATATCTTGGGACTTTATGACATACTACGGTACCTGAGTGGGACGACTCCTCGCCTGTGGCATAGCAAGTACTGCTATGACCGAGACGCGGTTCTTCAACTCGAAGTCCAACCTTCCGTTCCATTGACATGACCCGCAGAGAGATATTGTGTAGGGCCTTCAGTTAGCGGTGCCTGCGCGCACGTGATGCATATCTGAGATTCTGATTTACGCTGCGAGACGCCCGGAGGTGAAGAATCCCCAAACTCAAACTGTCGACTGAGGCTCCTCCGTACGCTACAGCCTGCAGGAGTCCTCTCCGCGATCAGTGACCGTTATTTGATGCATCGACCGCACCTGTATCTGCCATTCATCCCGCAGAAAATCATACTGGGGAGCAAGAAGCGTGTTTCAATGCACGACCACGTGCCCATCAGTCCCATTGTCCTCCCCGGGCCAATATGGCAATTGCCTTAACTTGAACGTCCACGGCACGGTGCGTTGTTCTTCTTGACTCACGGTTCTCGTCGCTGACTTTGGAATTTTTTGCCCACGGGTAGATCCGAGACCACGCGCAGGCGTTGATATAAACATGAACTCGCCTGAGACGCAATGTCGTCGACTGCTCCCATCTGCGGGCTCCCTGCCCCCACTCTGCCTCCACAAAGAGTCGCCATATCACCCTCGAGCTTTCTTCGTAGTACTATCTGAATCTGCAGGTTGCTCTGCTATTCACGGCGAGATGAACACCACGAAGTCCGCGCCGCCTGGTCCTTCCGCGCCGCGTACGCCGCCCCGAGGGCAGCAGAACGTAAGTGAAAGAGACGGTTAGGAATGCCTACTTTGACGTTGACCATGTGTATTTTAGCTTCCATTAAGATCTATTCGACACCATTGCAATCGAGCGCTATTAGCAGTATCCAGGATCCAAAGGACTCCGCCCTGACGAAGCACCACGTAGCGTTGATCCACCGCGAATACACGGACAAGATCCGCCGGAACGTCGACGTGGAGGACTTTGTACGCGCTGTCTTCCGCTTCGGCTGGAGTGACATACACCCCACCCGTATCGCGACAACAATGAAGAGTACACGCAGCAATACTCCTTGGGGAATGCCGACATCAAAGCCTACCGGGTGGGCAAGGAGTTATCGATCTATACGCCGTTCAACAACCTGGCCAACGGCTTGTTGTGCCAACTGTACGGACCGCTCCCCGACGACGAAACACCCAAGAGCGACGAAGACAAGGCAGCCGATAAAATGCTGCGTGCGGCTGCCACGACGCGGTGCGAGGCCGTGATGAGACACCGTCACGATGTGGCCGACGGCGAAGGTCAGGCCTGCACTCCCGCCTTTGCGCACCTACCCGGGTCGCCTCCGTACTCGTGGTCATATCGTGACGAAGAGCAAGCACAAGCTAGGTGAAAAGCCAGACCTTACCTACAGTACCGTCAAGGGCAAGCCTGTCTGGGAGTGGGAGCTCGTTCCCGTAGAAGTCCAGAAGACAAACGCGGAGACCATCGAGGAGACGCTTAGAGACATGCTCATCGGTTGTGAAGATGGCGTGTTCTCCGCATTCGTTCGTGATTTGCTTTCTGTAGGCTGCCACCGGCTGACGCACTTGATGTAGTTGGACGCTGACTCCGACCATGCCGAAGATGAGGAGGGTCTGGGCGACGCTGACGAGGGTGGAGCTGACGCGGACGAAGAACAGGGCATGAGCGATTCGGAAGAGCAGCAAGGTGCCGCCTCTGGATCCGCGAGCAAACGAAAGCGAGGGAAGGAGGAGGGTTCGGCACCCGATTCAAAGCGCGCGCGTACTGCGTCTGTACTGCCTCTTCCGTCCCGCAGAACCCCTCCCATGAGTCCTAAGGAAGTGCAAGTCGTCAAGTACGTCAACCAGATCATGTCGTCCAACGTACGATCGTACGCAGTCGGCTGGTTGATCGAGGAGACGAAGATGCGACTCGTCTATGGTGATCGCATGGGTCTCATCTTCACCAAGGAGATCGATTTCCTGCAGGACGACGCCGCACTGTTCCTGTTGATTGTGGCTGCTACAGGGGCTGCCGGAGTGCACGATCTGGGGATTCATCCGGCTCTTCACTTCCGACACAAGGATGCTGTCGTCTTCTCTTCACGGACGGGTTACGTGGGGGCGAAGATTCGATTGGACGTGCAAGGGGCGCAGGGCATGGAAGAGTTTGTCTTCGACGTTGATGTCACCAAGGCGGACCCTCGCGCTGTATACACCGAGTTCGGCCTCATCGGACGCGGGACTACCGTTATCCCCGTGAAAGCGGAGCAAGGCGTCACGTCTAAGGCGGCAGAGAAGCTCAAGGACGAATCACTCGTTGCAAAGGTGGCGTGGCCGCACAAGTCTCGTCAGGCGGAAGACAAGATGATCCGTGCTGTCCGCCGGTGTCTGGTAGAGAAGGGGAAGGAGAAGTACTTGGACACGTCGTGGACCTCAAGTGCTCGGTGACGAAGAGTATCGAAGAAATGGGCCTACCTCGTCTTGCGATGGGTGTTGTCCCCGAGGAACAGGATCTTCGGGTTTGCCGTACTCTGATCCTCAAGCGGTATGAACGTCTGGAAACCATCGGCTCCCAGAAGGGGTTTCATACTGTGTTCGTCCATGTCGTTCGCGGTACGTGATAACCAGTAGAGCGTATCGCTGTCTGGCGATATCTCCAGCTCACTACTGGGTGTATGAGACGTCAAAGATACTTCATCGCGACGTCAGCACGAATAACATCATGTGGTTCATGCGGGACGGAGAGATCATTGGCGTTCTTTGCGATTGGGACCTCGCCGAGGATCACAGCAATGGCGACCGTCCGTCTATCCGACCTTCGGACAAGGCGGCCGCTGCAACGCCGGCAAGCACAAGTACAAGCAAACAGGCAGGGCAACCGTCGGAGCAGCTCAAGAGCCAACTGAAGAGTCGGGTCAACAGCGGAATAGAGCCCGCGGCCGCGACATCGCAGCTCATGCCTGAGCAAACCCCGCGGTATCGCACCGGTACAGGGCCATTCATGGCCTTGGACCTCCTGCGCTCGGGCCTCCCTCCAATTCATAAGTATCGCCACGACCTAGAATCGTTCTTCTACGTATACGTGTACGCCACCGCGGCGTACGATCCGGTGAAGAAGAAGTTCGGGTACATCGCGCAATGGCAACACAGTTCGCTCGTCGCTATTGGGGACAGCAAGTACAAATTCCTCACGGATGTGGAGGAAACCGACAACATCTTCTCCAAGGCGCACGAAGACTTTCAACCATTGCTCGAGCCGCGCGGTTTCCTGATGCGGCTTGTGCGCCTATTCAGAACCTTGAACGGCGCATGGACAAGATCAAGGATCTTGCGGCCGATGAGCGGTTTGGTCCCGATGATGATGAACCTATCGTTGATGTCGGGGCAGCGGTTAGCAAGACTGAGGAGGAAAGGGATCAGATGGTCACGTACACTAAGTTCATGGAGATTATTGGCGAGCCGGAGGATATGTAAAGTTGAGGTCCTATTCCTAGCTACTGAAGTACTTGCTTATTTCCGTATACTATGTCTGTATTATTGCGCACGATCACGCGGCTGTGAGATTGGTACGGTACCAAGCGTGCTCCGCTTACTATGCGTTCAAACGTTCATAACGTTCACTCTTCTACGTGCCCACCTTCTTACTCTTCTCAATATCGCGAAGAGACATGTTTTGCCCAAATGGATGCAGCGATCGCCTTGGGACGGACTGACTTATCAATCAATTCGCGGTCAGGCTGTCAAATGAAGCCACTCACCAAGTGGATCAGGTCACCGTCGACCTTCTTATTCTTTTCCGCCTCTACTACCTCGGAATTCTTCAACTCAAATGAACACGGCGGCGTAGTGTGTTGTTGTTTTACTTATTCAACTCAATCCTCCGGACCTCAGTGACTTCAAATGTTTCAGCGCCAATTTGACATCGATTCTAGTCAACGTGTAGATTCTCCATGACCTTGGGCTAAACACGTACTCGAGCTTCCCAGCGCCACTGTTTGAACAGTTTACAGATGAGCGATCGTACTATGATCGGTCCATATTGCCAAACAGCGACAAGCATATCAGTGCTAGACGACTGCTTCAGCACCAAATTGAGAACGCGACTGAGCGCAGGTGTATTTCCTAGAGGAAAGCCGGCACTGCCATACAAGACACGAGACGCTAGCGCGGCCCAGAGATTGCTTTCCGTGTCTGAGAGTTCTTCTGCGCGTCGTCAAACCTCCTCACGATGACCTCGCACTTTGTCGTTTTGCAGATATGCTTCGACTGCTGTTTTATCGCGTCCGAAAAGAGCGTCAGCCCCGCTGCCTTCTCCACTGCCTCAACTGCGGAACATCAATACATCAGCGTCCTGCACACAACGAATTGACATGTCATAAGGCTCACTAGGCACGACGAAGCTCTCTAGCTTCGCCTCGTCCGGGATGACTGCGTTGGGGAGTACGAAGGCGCCAGTCGAGATCTCTCGGACGTCTGGCGTGGAGGGCGAGGATGGTCTTGAGGTCAGGACTACCTTTGCGAAGTGCGTTGGCACGGACACATTGGGCGGGGAGCCTATGACTTCATGCGTCTGCGACGAGACTATGGTTCAGTACAGCTGTGCGGCCAAACATTAATGATGCTTACAATCCGCCACTTGCCGTCTGACTCGAGTTTTGGGAGGTAGAGGGGGATGGTGAAGACGTAGACGTCCGCGAACGTGGAGGTCAGACGCCGGCACCAGTCCTCGACGTAAGCCCAGTCTGTAGGAAGTGCGAGTGAGCCTATGACCAGCTAAGCTGCTATCACGACGCACAGTGCCTGTTGAAGCCTACACCCACTTGCGGGGCAATGTTAGTCAAGAGGAACGTCTCATTCATCGCGGCCTGTGAACATCCTCTAGACATTGAGATAGATCCAGAAGCTCGAGGCACCGACCTGAGATATTTTGCAGTCAGCAGCGGGCACCCTAGGGACATATGTCAGTCGTTCCTGCTTGGCTCAGAAAACCATCTGTGTAGATGGTCGAGATTCGATCAGGTAACCTACATGTGTCCACGGTCGTATCCGCTCCTAAAATAATCCTGGAGCTTCGCACGGAACATCGCCGGTATTGACTGGTCTTCCGTGAATTGGGAGTTTTGACGATCGCCTCTCTCGTCTTTTGTAGGGCCCGATACAAGAGTGGATTTCCCCAAAGAGGCCAGCGTCAGATGCTCGGCCGTCTGTGAATAGTCGAACTTAGCCGTACACAGGACGACAGTTGAATTCGGCACTCACCCATGCGGGGTGGCGGAGTCGACGGTCATATCCGGCGACGTAGGCTATCCGAGCCAATTGGTCGGAGACGGGACCTGTGAAAGCACAAGCAAACCAGATCAATTAACTTTCCGTGCAGTATTTATTCTATCAGTACGCACCAGGGTTCTCGTTCAGTACCGGAGGCAGTACGCTCACACGCGAAGCAACCTGAGCAGAGATCTGAGTGACCCCACCAGGCTTCACGTCAACGACAGGCTGAGACGGGACGTGTGCCTTTCCCGGCACTGCTACGGCGGGGAGTTGGTGCTGCCTGCGCGCCGAGACCGCCGACACAACACCGCCACCGACGAGTGCGCCGACAGCGAAGGCAGCTGCGTGCACGATGGTCGCACTAGGCATTCTCAGCCTTTTGGTCTGTGGCAGTGGTACACTTGTGTCGGCTCAGATCCTGGAGCCTAGAGGAGAAGGAAACTGGCAACTGGCAGCAGCAGCCGCCGACGCGTCCGACGCGTTCCGCGACACGTACACGTGCGCGTAAACTCAGCTCAGGACAATGTCGGGACAATCGCCCAGGGCTCGGCACAAGTCCTAGCAAGGATTCTCATTTGTCATTATACCCATACGGAGGTCTTGCCTGTGGTATGTTAGGATGATACTAGCCACTATGGGTACGCTGTCCTCAGACTAGTATTTTGTGATGTGCCTATTTCGAGCTTTCAATCTCGTGCTATTCCTGAGCAGCTGAACATGCATCAGTGGGAGTAAGGTTTCTTAAGTCGACATCAGTTGCATAGTGTCGACATGCATGCATGATCTTCGTCAACATGCAGTGCTGCGTCTTGAACGCGGCTGAATGATCTCAATTCCCTTGGTGTTGGAATGAAGGAATGTCCTCGTTCTAAATTATAAGAGCCGTAGGTGTACGTGATACATCGAGATGGAATATACAGAACACATTTATCGTAATCATCATCATCATCAGTAGTGCGTGAATCCGTGACGCGGCCAGCCCGACCCTAAGCAAAGTTCGAGTCGTCGCGAATGCCTTTTGTAACACTGGGGTGGAAAGTCTTGGTACAATACAGTGCGCAATGATGACAAGCCCGGAGAGGAGAGGGGACACGAGGGGACAGGAGTAAATATCACAGATAGCGAGGGCGATAGCAGGACGATCTACGACTGGAAAATGGATCGCGCAACCTATCAAGCCCTGGTTAGACCAGCGTCTGCCATTGCACCGAGAACTGAGCACATACAGTCTCAAGAAGTAGCGTGACTTCGGGAGCGACACGGATGAACTCTTGGTTCCAGAAGTCATACTTCGTGTTCAACAGTAGCTCGATGAAGGTGACCAAGGCACCCCACGGGTGCGGGCGATGCACCAAGAAGCGCTCCAACAAGACCTTCGTCATGATCTCTCTGAACTGGTTACTCTTGACTTCCACGAACAGGTGGAGCATGAGCGAGCTGAACCAATGAGTGTGTGCGTTGGGGTAGCGCAAGTGCAACACCATTGCACTGAGAAGGTGATGCTGGCCTGTATACGAAATGAGAAATCGTCTGGAGACGAGCACACTTTCACTACTTACCTTCGGCATCCAGATCATTCGCAAGAAACAGCAACGCGACGACACCAGGGTCGCTAGCAACGAAAAGCGAGCTACCACTCCGCGCTTTAGCCTGAGCGACCGACGACACGCCGATGTACATCACGAGGGAGTTGATCAGAGACAAATTGTACGTCTCCATCGGTCCTTCCGGCGTAGCAGGCAGCCGTAGGCGGTCCTTGAGGGAAGGCAAAAACGAAGGCGTGCCACGGTTGAGGAGGTACTGATCGAGGTACAGCCGCAAGTCACCCGCTTTGAGACCGGAGGCGAAGTCGGACAGGATGGGCGGGATGGGACCCATCTCCGGGATAGAGTCGAACTCCACGTTGTGGAGGTGAGGGTCGGGCAGCACGATGGTAGGGGGGAAAGCGCTCAAGATGACGTTGCGCAGCTGAATGCACCGGGGGGGTATCACATCACAAAGGGAGAAATAATATTCGCTGAGGAACTCCGGGAAGTCGTGAAGGAGCACAAGGAGGAGCCGAAGGGAGCCGCGATAGAGGTCTCTCGAGGCCGGCTGCAGATCAGCCGCCTTCAAGAAGGGTGATAGGAATTTGAAGAGCGAGACGAGCAGCTTATAGAAGGCCGACCATCCCTGTAAAATTCGAATTAGTCAGGGCCACGAAGAATAACCTTCTCTGGGATCAGCTTACAGCGCGGTTCTCCGACAACAAGAGTTTGGGCATAAAGAGCCGGTGAGAGATCAGGCTCATCCAGGAGAAGGCAAAGCCCGGGAAGTACGTCGGTTGCAACGAGCTGAAGGTATCGCTAGAACGCAGGATGAATATTATATCGCAGACAGAGTTGATCGAACATACCTGATGGCAACCAGCAGTTGGAAGTACGCTGTACCGAGGCCTGACTCGATGGTGTGCAAGTCGTTCAACAAGCTGCAGAAGAAGCGGAAGAACGGCTTCTGCTCGAACAGAGCCCCTTGCTCTTCGTGCATATTCGCCAAAACAAGCACGAAAATCGAGAGGATCTTCGTCAAGTAATGCACCTTCGCCTGGTCATTGTTGACTCCTGAGGCATCACCATGGTACTTGATGATGTACACGATCAGTCTCGACATAGCATCGAGTGCTTGGAAAGCGTAGGTGAACTCTCCGGCATGGATGCACTTGATGTAGCTGTTCACGCTCGACTCCGCGCAGACGCGGAAGAAGAATGACGAGACGTCTTCCGCTTTCAGGATGTTCTGCTTCGTCAGCTGCGTGATGAACGGCACAAAGGCCTTCTCCGGCGAATGTGACCGCTGGAAAATGGACACCCATTGCTGGAACCACGAAAACAGCTTCTCCCTCAGCTGTTCGGTTTCGGGCTTCACAGACGGTGGCCGAGCGACAGGAACTTCGCCGATAGGCTGTTGGAGGGATGGCCTTCGCACGCCACGGAGGTCATCTAGAAGCCTGTGTACCCTGCGATCCACAGCGTCAATGACAATCAAGTGAAGGGTAGATATGATCTCACTCATCGGTGGCCTTGTTAGACTGCGACAACTGATTGAGGACCTCCAGAGTGTAGGCGAACTGGGCCTGGGATGCAAATGGAGGATCGCTTGACAAGCACTCACGTATGAGCTCTGCGGCAAAGTCCAGTAGGCTAGGGCGAGGATCAGTGTAGACGGTTTTCGCCAGTTGCTGATCTTGCTGCACGATCGGGACAAGTCCACTGCGCAGTAAGGTAGTCATGACGGGGACGTTGTACTTGCGCTCGTCGTCAGCGTAGATGAGCCAGGTGATTGCTTCCTTCGCGACCTCCTCGAAAGAGTTGCACAGCTGCTCCAAAAGAGTAACATAGATCTCCCGACCAAGCGTAGTCGGCGTCTTGTAGAGGAATTGAACGATCTTCTGGGACATGAGGAGGGGCGTACGCTGACGATCTGTGGTTTCAGCAGCAAGAATCAAAATTTGACGAACGAGCCCCCGGCTTTCGTGGTTGGGTGGCAGGGCAGACAGAGACGGGATGGGTAACTGCAGCATGAGTGCTTCGAGGTCTTTGACGAGAAGGTTGAACCGGTCCATCGCATCTTGGTGACGCGTGATCTGACCTGCGCCAACTACTGGCAACGGCGATGCTGGATACGCCGCCGACATATGGTCGTTGCGCGGGTATGACACCGTAGAGCTTGGTCTGCTTGTGAACGCCCGCCTCTTGCCGTCGGATCCGGGGGAGCTATGCGCGAATAGTTGCGACATGATCCCGTCCATATTACCGAAATCCTCGTATACCCCGGCCTGCAGGGGCTGCACACCCGACGGCTTAATGCGCAACGGCTCTGGCAGCGTAGAGGCGAGTTGCGATTGAGGTGCAGTAGGATCCCAGAAAGCTTGGCCAGGTCGCTGTTCGCGGTGACGTCGGCGAGCTTCATACGCTGCAGCAAAGCCATCATCGACATCAATGACAGCGCGATCCATAGCGGCCTTTTCGATGGCCTGGCACGCTAGGTCAATGTTATCTGCGACCAGCAGACTAACGGCCTGTTCAGGCACGACCTGCTCGGTGAAGCCAAATTCGTTCAAGAAGTTGCGGATGTGAGAGGTAAGGTTCGTCTTCAGCGGTTCCTTGCAGGTTACCAACGCCAGACTACCCGCAAGCTTCTGCGCCATCAAGTGACCAGCTTTGCGCATCTTCTCCTCGTTGGACTCAGTCGCAAAATCCTTCGCTACGAGTTCCCGTGTCGAGATGCCCGCGATGGTGACAGAGCGCTCAACGACGGGCAGGATGATCTGCAGTTTCTTTTCAATCAATATCGGTCCGCAACTTGAGAAGGGGCGCATTCTTACCTCTCGCACTGCACGGTCAACTGCCATTTGCACAGCTCGCTTGAACGATTGATTGGTATTCAGGGGCTGGAGGTGAGGACTGATCTGCACAAGCGGCAAGAGGCTCGACAAGATGTTCTCGATGTGCGCTCCCAGGGCGCGCTGCGACTCAGAAGGACTCGTCGGTCCGAGCAAAGCCATCTGCGATTCACTGCCTTGCAAGCCCCCGTAGTCGCCCATCGGCAGGGAATCGATCCCCACGTAGTTCGGCAAGCCGGAGCCTGTCAAGGTGTCCGCCAACGGTCGGTTCCGCAAAATGGTAGTCGCTTGCACTGCGTCGAGATCGATGTCCAATGCCTTGCATAGCAGCTCGATCTCGAACTTGAGAATTGACTTCAGCTCGGCGAAGTGGTACAACTCGGCGAGAAGGCTGATAACAGCCATTAACCACGGATTAGGTGGCTTGAACACCTTCGAAGCTGCACACGGCTCCAAGGTCTTGCAGACGAACGGAATGGCGACTGTGAGCCTGCCATGTTCGTAGCCCTCGATCAACAGGTCTTTGAACGACAAGTTCTTGTGTTTTATAGGACGGTCGCGGGCGAGTGTGATCTTCCCAAGCCAGCTCCCCACGTTTTTCAAGACAGCTCTCTCAGAGCTCGAGTTCAGCGTCTTCTCTGAGTTCAGCATCGCAGCGGACTTGACGAACGTCTCATTGAGGACGAAGCGGAACAACAGCGGAGCGTCCAACGCGTCTAGGAAGCGTAGATAGAGCTGGTGGTTGTTCGGCTCCGTGCTCACACGCTGGTCGACGAGGTAGTTTGCGAACCACCACGAGAATTGCTCCCTAAAGTGTTCCTGCATCTCCAACAGCTTTGAGTCGAAGTTCGACGGCGCCAGGTTGTTGACAATGAAGAGAATCCTGTCGGATACCTCTTCCGTCGGATGGTCGAGCTCTTCTTCAACTGGGTCGGGCTGGATAGCGTTGAACACAGGCGGAGGCTCCACGGCAGGCCCTGTCCCGAGTCGCAGATCAATGCTGCTCGAGTGTTCGCCCGCATTGGCAATGGCACGATGTATGGCCGCGGCCAGGTCCGGCCTCGCCTCCAACAGATGTGGGATCTTGAGGAGCGCCTGGCAGAGCGGCTGCCACTCTGCCAATCGGGACTCGAACCTCGACAATGCCTGGATACCGAACTTGAAGAGATTCGTCTCAGGAGCACAGTTCAGCGCGTCCACCACGTAGCGTATGGCGATGCCGAGAGGGATGTAGTCCACGAGTTGGTACTGGATAAGGGAGCCGAAGAGGTAGCCCGTCATGGCGAGCTCGCGCGGCGGGTAGAACGACTGGAAGAACTTGTACTCGTCGAAGAGGAAGTGGAGCATACATGAGAAGATCTCGTGGTCGCGCGAATTCGTCGACTCCTTGTTCCTCTGCAACAGCGCGATTACGTCGTCGATGCTGATCTGCTCGTCGTACATCTGCTTGTAGATCCCGTCGACCTCAGCCTCGATCTCCGCGGAATAGCTGACCACCGAGATGCCTGGCTCTGCGTCGGACCCCGGAACAAGATTCATGAGCCGCGGGTGAATCTGGAGACACGCGTTGCGGACGTCGAGGCAGTAGTCGACGTCGCTCTCGCGCATGATGTTGGAGCTGTTTCGCAGAACACGGAGGAAGATCGTGATAGTCTGCGGACTGAGGGGCATTGTGCGGTGATCGACAGCGGGGTCCGAGATACGCGTCGCCTTCTCACTCTCCATCTTGATGTCAAGGAAGGCGATCACAGCGTGAAGGAACTCGGCACCGTGATTGGTGACATTGTCGGCGAGCCACTTGTCGAGGTTGAGGTATTCTCGACGGGAGGCGAGGGCAGCAACATCGAGCGCAAAGGTGAAAGGCCGAACCTCGAGAAGCGAATCCAGTATCTGGGTGACGTCAGCGTCGTTGTTTCAGTCTAATGGACAATGCAACAACGCACCTTGAGGTCCTGGGCGACGTCAAGTATCCTTGTGATATTGAGCGGGCTCTCTTCGTAAAAGTCCCGGAACGCATTCGTGAGGTACGTCGGCTCGATCTGCCAGATTCTCATGAACACCAGCTGGTGGTTCGGATGTCCGGCAAGGAAAAGCGCCAATAGCCGCTGAGTATAGTCCACCCGGATCTCGCCCCAGTTGGCGTTCTAACTCTATAGTTAGCTCCATTGTCAACACGGAGGAGTGGTGATGACGTACCGGAGCCTGTAGAAGACCCATATGCACCAGCTCCGCGCTGATTTTGACGGCCTTGTCCAACATCTCTCTGACAAAGTTCCTCACGTCCGCAGAGTCTGAGTCTGACAGCCTCACGAGAACTTCAAACAGGTCGAGCGAGTTCCAGGTATGCCCCTGCACATTGGCAGCCAGAGACTTGATGGTCGGACTGGCATTGGCAACGTCGTCGACCGTTACAATTCTGTGCCCGGGCAAGGTGACAAAGTTGAACGTGTCTGCGGGAAGGGACAGAAGCGCGTCGAGCAAGCGCAACTGGTACAAAGGGTTCAACCATGTTTGCCAGAAGCCAGTGACGGCGTGCGGATCGGCTTCTCGAGGCGAGTTCTGAAGGATGGCGATCAACAGCTTCAACGTCGCGGTGTCGACGCCCTGGCGGTCAGGCATGTCAAACCCTTTGATCACCCCTGCCCAGTCAAGAACGACATCCTAGCGGACGATCAGCAGCCACAATGACATACCGGTCAGTTCGGACTTACAAAGCTATCGAGCGCCTTGACGAATGAACCCACGTCTGGGAGCACCGTTCCTTCCGACGCGAGACGGGCCACACTCTGCATCCACTCTACCACTTGCGCATTCTGCGGCGGGTTCGCGGTGGAGATGTTGAAGCGCACCAACAGCGCACGCACGACAGCAGGATCCGCGGTGATCTCGGCGCCCAACTGCACCAACGCCTGCACCAGGGTAGTCCCGGCCGGCAAGCTGCACACGAAGACATGAGCCATTCAACGCAAACGGCACGCAGGCAGTATCATACCTGAGTTCCGGGAAAATGCGCTGCAACATGGGACAAACGGTCTCTGAGCCGTACTTGGCCATGGCAGCGGTTATGAGAGCCTGTCGTTGCACCGCGTCCAATACCGGGGCGTCTATTGGAGGCTCCGACAGCAAGTTCGTCAACAGCTTTGCAAGCTGACCGGGAGACAGGTCGGCGTGGTCGAAGGACGGATGCTGGCATATAGCCATCACAGCGTCCTCAAAATCCGTGCGGATGATGTTGGCTGCTTGCACCGCGAGGTCTCTGCGCGTTTGTCCTGCGACGATCGAGGACACGAGCACGAGTCTCTCGAGTGGCTGCAAACCGACGCGGTCTACGAACCTTGCCAAATCGAACGCACGGAAGACGTCCCCTTCGCCCTTATCTATCCCATCTCGGAAGCGGTCAGCAAGGGTTGGGTCGCGTGCAAGGCGTTGGGTTTCCTGCGCGAGGAGGCGGAATGTGAGGGCGGTCGAATTGTCGAAGGGGGTCGGAGTGGGGGCATTGGTGAGTCGGCTGGTAGAGTGGACGATGAGACGGCGGATGAAATGCAAGTACGTGTCGACACCGTGCTGCTCGGAGAGCTGGACAATGTAACGCGTCGCAGGGAAGCCGAGAACCCATCAACACCGAAAACTGAGCAGTCTACAAGTGCACTCACGGAGCGTATCTCCTGCTGGTTCCTCTCGAAATTCTCCTCCGTCAAAGTCGAGAGTAGAAAGACGATCTGAGCCTTGACGATGGTGTGGATGTTGGGAGGATTGGCAGAGTTGTCCATGGCTGGAGTGCGGACGCGAGTCGAAGCCTCGGTCGAGCGGCGCCCGACACCGCCACCGCTGGAAGCCGTTTTGAAGATGAGAGAAGGAGCAGAGAAGAGAATCGAGGTGCACGATGCACCGACGCCGTCCTGGACGGTGAGCACGCTGCAATGTCCGTTCTACTCTGCAACGCGCGCGCCATTTGAAGCGCCGACCGAAATTGGGTGGCGTCGTGAGCACGTGAGCGCCCGACGTAAGTACTTAAGTACTTGTGACATTCAGACTCTGTAACCTACATGTTTCGAGGGGAGGAGCCTGCTCTCCTTAATTCAACTCAAGAGTACCAAACGCCCGACTGATAGTTTTATTTATTTGGGAATGCAAAAAACAGCCTCATAGGAATCTACATGAGTCGGCCGGTCCGCTCATTTCGTTTGCTCTTCACTAGTACTGCCAAGTCCGGATCCTTCAACCTTCAAGCAGCTTCAAGTTCCGCCTTCTGTCGCCCGACTTACTCCTTCGCCGCTCACGCCTATCGATCAACTTCTGCCTATGATGATGATGATGATGAACTCAGCATTTATTAACCGCAACAACAACTTCTGCCTAGCCGCAATGTGCATGTACAATTCGCTACATCTGCTTACGTTGTTCTTGTCCTTGTCGTTGCCATTTCCGCCTCAATAATGCCAGACATCTGCTGCCCCTGTCATCAGACCTGAGGGTGCCCTGGACGTCGTGAGCATATACATCTCATAGATAACAGACTAACACAAGCAGCCCGGAGCATAGCGTCAGTGCTTACAGCCGTCGGCGACATCTTCCTGACATACTGTACGCATCTGACAAGTACAGTAGTCATGCATCGGAGCGTACAATGTACATGTTGCACTATTAACCTCAGCAACGGTACGGATGGCCGCCACCATGTCATTCAACACGAGTGCACCCGAACACTAACTCGAATCGAACAGTACTTGACTCACGAGCTATATAAATACACATGCGACTGCAGTCCGACCTCCCAGCTCAGCCCCGATACACCCTGAACAAGACGAACGTGCAAAACGCCAGCAGGGCGGCGAACACGTAAAACACTCTGCCCTCCTTGTCCTCGTCGCCCTGCGAGAGCGCGTTGCGCAGGGGCAGAAAGACGAGCCCGACGAGGAAGTTCGCGATCCCTGGGGTACCGGTCAGCGCGCACGATGGGACAGGCGAAGATACGGCAGGGACGTACAGTTGAGCGATAGGCCGACGGAGGAGAGCGCGGAGACGGCCTAGGAGTGGTGGAGGATGATCAGCTGGGGTAACGCTGAGTGCCGCCGGACTGCTTACATGGCTTGGCGAGACCTCTGGGATCATCACGAATGGCACGGGCCCGATACCAACAGCAAACGACCTATATCACGCGTCAGAATCGACGGGGAATCCTATGCAATACACAGAAGGCGATAGAGACTTACGCGACGAAAGAGATTATTGTGACGCTCGCGAGGGCGACGAGGCTCGAGTTGAGCCCGAAGCCGACACCGAGCAGGGAGAGGATCGCGCCTCCGGCGGAGACGGACAAGAGCTGTTTCCTGCCGACGCGCTGGGATAGCCTGCCAATGAGAGGTGGCGCACTCTAAGAGGAAAACCGAGGGCCTACGTCGATGAGAATGATCGGCGCAAATGTCATCAGGAAGTTGACGACCGTAATCCCAACCGAAATCCACGGGCCCCAGTCTGGCAAAGCTTTCGAAAGGATGTCGTTGCTGTAGTACAGGACTGACAGGTAGTCCCGCGTGACTTAGCTCTCAGCGGTGAGTTGATCGGTCAAAACTGTACCTGCATTGACGCCTGCAATCAATGTCAGCACAAGCAGTAATGTCAGAAACTCGCGGTGTGAAGTGTACCGGAAAGCTGTTGTACGAGCATCGAGAAGCAGACGATGGTGAGGGGCCGGCGCAAGCTGGGCGCCTTCAGCAGCTCAGGCACCGTAATGGCTTCCTCTTGGTCGTTACGTTCGGGCACCTCGACGACAGGCACGGGTGTGCCAGTATCGTCCTCGACCGCCTCCACGTCGGTGCTCAACAGAGGATCCTGACTGTCGTAATTTGGTGCTGTTCATATAGTGGTTAGCTCAGTGCGTCCCGTGAAGAAACGCGAAGACATTGACTGTCGGTGCTCCGCATGATTTGTCCGCTCTTCCATATTCTCTTCGCCGCCTTGTCTTTCTCGACGAGTAGCCCATTCCGATCGAGCCACGTCGGAGACTCGATCATCCCCCCGCTCACAACGAACTGCACCGCTGCGAGCGCCGCAGAGAAGAAGAGCACCGTGCGCCAGCGAGTGGGAGTTGCGAGCTGGAGGCCCATGATTTGGGTGATCATGATGCCGACGACGATGGCAAATTGGGTCAGGACGCCTGTGAGACAGTCGCATGAGCATTGCAAGGCGGACGTGGTGGTAGGACGCACCCACTGCTCCCCGCTTCTTGGGAGGAGCCAATTCAGAGAGGTAGATGGGACCGACACAGAGACCAATACCAGCACCGACGCCGGTCAATGTCCTGTCGCATGTTGAGCATCTTCACTCTCGGTTTCTGTGCCTTGTCGTTCCACGTACCTTCCAAGAATCAATGGCGCCAGCCCTGCAGACACACCCATCAAGGCCGCACCCAGTCCGGTTGCGATCGCGCTGACACGCACCGCACCTCTGCGGCCCCAGCGGTCCATAACGAGGTTCGCGCCCAAGCTCCCGAGGAGCCCGCCGACGGTGTAAACGGAAGTGACCACGGAGAAGGTCGCGTCAGTCATGGGGATGCAAGTGGGCATACCCATGTGCGTGGCAGGGCTCGTCTCGTCGAGCGCACGGCATGTGAGGACTGCTTGTATTTGGTTGAGGGAGGATATGTGGAAGCCATACTATGGAACGCGTTATGTTGCTGCGCCATTACTGCGGCTGATGATCCTTACCTAGCGAAGCACGGTCGCAACAATGCAAGGGTAGCCACTGACTCGATACTCACCTGGAAAGATACTATAAGGACCCATATGCATGCTACCCAGCCGTATGTGGTGAATGCCTGGGGTTCGTGGACGCTGAGAGACATGGCCGAGCCTGAGGATGACGATTCTAAAGCTAAGCTTGAAGCGAAACAACAAAGGACGTTAATCAGGCCTTCCAAATGTTTAGGTAGACCTTTTCCATCAGCAAGAACGACTTGCGCAGCCGAGGATGAGGAGGAGGAGGAGGCTGCGGCGTGAGACGCGCCTCAGAGTGTCTGACGCCGACGCGTGGTAGCGCGTAGTCTAGCGTCACATGATGCTCCGCGGGCTGCAGGCAAGACAAGGATCCGTTGCATGTCATTCAGTGCCAACTACTGCAAATGTCCCCTTCGGGGTGACATACGAAAAAATTGGAACGATACAGAGAAGATTAGCATGGCCCCTGCACAAGGATGACACGCTTTCCCGGAGTGGTAGACCTACGGGTCTCAATATTTATTTTGGTCGCGGCTCAGCCCAACGTCGACGTCTCCACCACTTGTCTCGTTGCAGCCGGCGGTGTCATGCCTACTCTGATTATCTTTTGGAGCCCGCCTGCCTGTCAGACAAGGATATCCTGAGGCACGAAGGTTGAAGGAATTGTCTACGTCTGCTTGGGGAGACTAATTATGAGCCGCGTACGTCGGGGGGGTCGCCTGAGGTCGCAGTGGTCGCGTCAAACCTTTTGAAAACAGCGCCCAACCCTGTCTCAGCCTCCTTCCTCAACTCATGTCCTCACTGCCATCTCAACTTGCGGAGACTAGGGCCAACGACGTGAACCCCTTTTTGAGCGCGTAATAACTGAGCTTATCACCGAGCCCGACCGTCATGGCGGTGGACACGCTGAAGGCGGAGTCTTCAGCCGACTCACAACGTCCAGATCCTCATAAATTTACCAAGCTATCCGAAATCCTCTCGTGTCTATCTTCGCTGCAGTCAGAGGAGGCCGAACTCTCCTCTTCGCTCGCAGAGCTACTTGCATCTCAGGAGCCGGTCATAAATTCCCTCGCACGCCTCCAGTCACTCGGTCCAACATTGAATGAGCTGCATGCAGAAGCCTCTGTATTCGACCAGACTGTTTCGCGCACAGCAAAGACCGCCGATGAGGTCGGTGGTTTCGTGCGGACCTTGGACGAGGAGATGCGGAGGGTACGAGAAGCTGCTGAGCGCGTCGGGCAGGTTATGGAGCTGAAGGTCAATTGCATTGCATCTTCGCATATACATAGTGTTGAGCCAGTTGTGCAGAATTCCCTGGGCGCACTCCGGTCAGCGATGGAAGCGAAGGACTGGGAGTCTGCGACCCGACATTGCTCGCGCGCGATGTCTCTCCCCACCGAGGTCATCTCGGGCATGTTTGCAGAGACAGCCGTCGTACGTCCCTTTCCATCGGCGCCGTCGCCAGCCTCTCATAGACTGAGTTCAGCCCACGCCAGAAAGCCATCTGCCTCCGGCGCAGACATTGCACGCCGCGCGCGAGGAGCTGCTGGCGATCTTCCGCCGCGAATTCGACAAGGCGAGCGAGTCGCGCGACGCGGCTGCGACGAGCCGGTTCTTCAAGCTCTTCCCTGCGATTGGGTGGGAGTTGGAGGGGCTGCTGGCATATGCTGCCTTTGTCGTCGATTTAGTACGCGTTCGGGCGCCTGCGTCGGCGAAGAGTGAGTATACGCACGTATGCTATTGACATCCCGCTGACAGACAGTCGCAGCATCGTCCCCGTTATTTTACATCACTGCGCTGACGGCATTGTTTGAGAGCATCGCCATGATCGTGGACCAACACCAGCCGATTGTCGAAAAGTACTACGGTCCAGGTAAGATGACGCCAGTCATCGAACGTCTCCTACAGGAGTCGGACCGTGTGGTCAAGGACATGATTGAGGGTTGGGTGGAGGAGCGCTCGATGCAACGGAAGGTGCGCATATAACCGACTGCTTCGAACCCGCCATATCAAATGTGCCCCCATAGCTCTCAGATACAAACAGCTCGTCGTCACGAAAGCAGCAGTTGCAGTACGATATTGATGAGGAGGTCGACCCGCGGGAGATCGACAAGGTCCTCAGTGAGGCAGCGGGGATGAGCGGGCGCTGGAGCCTTTTCCGGAAATTCATGTATGATCGCCTCAAGGTTTGTGTGTCCGACCATATCGTGCGACTGGTGTCTGACTAACTGTGTCTTAGGATGACTATTCCGATGCAGAAGATGATGGTGAGGAGACTCCTACGGAGAGACCATCCTCCGAGGGCGAAGAGAAACCGCTCCCAGAAGGCCTCCGTGCCATCGAGTCGTCCGCCTCGAAGCAGTACTTTGAAGACATGCTCACGACGTACTACATCCCCCTCGAATCGTGGTACGCCCGCAGCGCCCTCGACAAGGCGCATCGCCTCTCCTCCGCGGACCTCCTCGCCTCGCCAGCCGTGACGACTACGCCGGATGACGTGTTCTACATCCTCAAGGCGATTCTGCACAGGCTGCTCTCGTGCGGTTCGCTGGCTGCCGTGCAGCGCACGTCCGAGCTTTTGAGGGACATTGTGGATAAGGAGTATACGGGAGTGATCAAGCGGAAGCTGGACGACGTGTATAGGACAGCGGGGCCTGCTGGGACAAGAGGGGAGAAGGCTGAAAGGGAGAACAGGCTGGCTTTCATCGTGAGTCACGTTTGAAAGTTCCGCGCTAGCCCTCCGTGATTTATGTGAATGTCATAGGTATTGCTGAACGACCTGGACGTCTCTTCAGGGCACATGGAGCGCTTGGTCAAAGAGCTATCTGGCTACTCAGTCATCACGCAGTTCTACCTGGATAGTGAGGCCGAGGGAGTCAAAGCCAGCGTAAACTCATTCAACGGCCTCGTCGCAAAATTCCGATCCGCGCTCAGGGTGAGTTCCGGCGGCCTTCGTCCGTCCCATCCTCGCTTACAGTCCCTTGTGCACAGGCCGGCATCGAGCAACTCTTCAATCAACTCATGCGCCCGCGACTTCGCACATTCATTTCGGACGTGTACAAGGACGTCTCGTACGTGCTCGACGAGGACGCATATGCGCAGGCGGGCTACAGCGACATCGTGCGGAAGCGTTTCGTGAAGTCGTGGGAGACGCTGGTGGACGGATACAAGGACACCTTCACCGACAACAACTATCGCCTGCTGTTCGGCCTGGCCCTCGACGTGCTCGTTCGGCCGTGGGAGCGTTTCGTTTGTACGCTCAGATACAGCGAGGTGAGGGACATCGATTTATGTTTGACGGGCTTATGGCACTGAAGGGCGTGGACTCAGCTCGGCGCGATTCGATTCGATCAAGACCTCCGCGCGATCACGTCGTATCTCTCCTCACAAACCGCCTTCGGCGACGTCCGCGAGAAGTTCGTGCGCCTCCAGCAGATCTCGCAATTGCTCAACCTCGACTCGGTAAGCCATTCACTTTGGTCTCTGCACACCCATAGTGACACGAAACAACGATGCGACATTTTTATCTAGGAGGAAGATGCGGATGAATTCTATAACGGCTCCGGGATTGCGTGGCAGCTGGGCGAACAGGAGGCCCGCAATATCGTCGCACTCAGAGTTTGATACCATTTCCCCTGATATCATCGGGCTCTGTTGGGCGCGCCCGCTTAAAGCCGAGTACGCTTGCCGGATGGTTTGCAGCGAAGGTTCAAGTGAGCGAATCAATTTAGGACATGTCGTATGTGAGCTGTGTAAGGGTAAAGCAGGATCCAGGAAACAGCAGAACTCACGCTTTCCGTGCCATTCGCGGCATTGACAACGGCGCACAAGACGCTATAGAAGATTTCATCTTGGAGGAGACTAAAACAGGACTTCCCCTAGGACCCTCCCTGATCCGGTCGGCGAGGTCATATGGCGTTCGTGAGAGGAAGGTATGGCACTGACATCCTCCGATGACACCGAGGAATACATGGCCGTGTGTTGTATCGGCATCGCTTGCGTCGAAACCGACGTTACCGGTACCGTCAACTCATCCACACAGGAGTCGAGCTTGGTGAGTCATGTAATGTTGGACCGGATAGCAGTGTGAAGGACACCTTCGACCAAGCGCTTGCGCACGAGCAGCAGCAATGCAGACGCATACAGTGAGACCTTATCTTCTTCTCAATTCATACGACTTTGTTCCTAACCGAACGACACACAGTGGTGCTCAGCGTCACTTGAGCATTTCGACCAGCTCTTATTAAGTCGCTAGCATGAGAAGTGGAAGTATGCGGGGGTAGTCGTTATCCGTTTCTACTCGCGCTCGACGTCACTCGATTGACGAGGCCATCAAGCTGTAGCTGTCATGTCCGTGTCGAGCACAGACCGTGAAATTGCCGTCTCGGTGCACTCAGGCTTGTCATACTTCAAGAAGGCATTAATATTTCATGCGAGCATCGTACATCATGGCCGTTCACTGGCGGTGGTATGGCGGCGCAGGTTCTATAACCAACGGCATCGCAGCCCTTCTTGTTTCTGTTGTCGGCGGCAGAGACCAGCTGTAGAAGTCCTAGTCATACCGCCGACGCGCAGTGAGCAACTCTTATTTCCATGGTGTCTCTGCGTTCTCTGATCGCCGCAGCTCTCACTCAGAATTCTCACTTTTGCTTGCCCCAGCGTGGTTTCGTTGGTCAGCCAACGTTAGCCTGGGCTGTGGCTGCGCGAGATAAGGATGGTATGACATCTTGTCAAGGTTGGTCTTTATGAGCAACGTTAATTATAGCGGACGAAGGCCCTCGAAGGCGGCTGAGCTTGAATCTAAGTCTCCAGTCGAACGTCGGCATCTGGTTGATGCTCAAATGACACGGTCTTGTCAGCAAGTGCGAGAGAGTTAGATGGCTGAGGTCCCCTCGAGTGGCACATCGTGAGGGTGTTCTCCACCTAGACTGCGGAGATGTGGGGGAGATAGTCCATGCGACTGCTCTCTGGATACATGTCATCCATTGGGCCTTCATTGACACGTTCCTCGCGGCCTTCTACTTGCCGCATGGGACAACTACCGCGATTTCCAAGGTCAATACGAAGTTTCATATGTAGTTCATATTGCCTCACCTCGATAACGCCTGCGAATCTGCATTCGCATTTAAGGCTACCTGCACAGTTGGCCTCGATGGTCTCAGCTCCCCCAGAAGAGACTTTCCGAGTAGACAATGGTGACCACTTGGAAGGACGAAGAAGTATACATGCACAGTAAGTCGCGGGCTTGGCTGACTGGTGGGTGGAGAACATCAATCCCTCACCGTCCTGTCTGACTCGTCAACAGTGCTAGGCGCATGCTGTATGCAGTTCGCGACTGTGGGCTTCGTAAGCGTCGTTCCCTCCCGATTGGACACTTTCTCATGTTGTCTCCCAATCTCAGATGAACTCTTTCGGCGTAATGGAGGCTTTCTATATCCAGGAGTTCTTACCATTGTCCTCCGCTTCTGCGATCAGTTGGATTGGGAGTATTCAGTTGCTGCTCGACCTCACTTTGGGCGCTGCCTTAGGCCCTCTGTACGTCAGTTCGCATTGTTATTATCATGACATACGATTTTCACCCCCCTCCCCCACACACACTAAAGGCTTGATCGAGGGTTCCATCGGGAGGTCCTGGTTGCTGGGTCTGTCCTCTTCCTGTTTAGGTCTGTCGCCCATCAGTGTTGTCGCTCCGTGCTGAATCGCTTTGCTGAATGGGTGTATAAACACTGACCATCGCGACTTGTTACTTCCGGTACAGCCAATTCATGCTCTCGTTGGCGCAGCCTGGCCACTACTATCAAGTATTCCTATCGCAAGGGCTTGGTATGGGTCTCGGCATCGGATCCATCTACATACCAAGTTTCGTTGCCGTCTCTCGTCATTTCAGACAGAGACGCGCCCTGGCTATGGGATGTCAATGAGGCTACTGCCTGAGTCATCGGATAATATCTCATTGTCATGATATCAGGGCATCGTACCGTCCGCAGGTTCTTTTGGCACAGTTGTGTTTTCCAGTAGGTCTACTCTCCCCGGCACAACTCTTGACCCCATCACATTGATTCTGGGCATAGTCGTTCTGAACTACTTGCTGCACTCCCATTCATTAAACTTCGGTGCATCCATTCGCATCGTAGCATTGTCGTGTTCCGGCTTGCTGCTGATCGGCAACGGTTTATTGCTCTGGAGTTATCCTTCTGTGCTAGAGCCGAGCACAAAGAACGGCCCGCATAGGTCGACCCCTCTCCAGGAAAGCGACAAAGCTACCACAGATACGACCCACAATCATTCGACGGAGTTTGAAGCTCCTCCGGCATCGAGGTCTGAGCCGAGAAGTCCATGGGTTTTCGACACTCATTTCACGCTCCTCCTTCTTGCCGGATCGCTCAATGCTCTAGGGCTGTGGTTTCCTTCCTACTATGTGCAAATCTTCGCACAGACACATGGTATCTCCGAACACCTCAGCTTTTACAGTCTCGCGGTCATGACATTGCGAACGCAGTGGGCCGTATATTCCCGAATTGGCTCGGCGACCGTTGGGGGACTCTGGAGGTGTACACGCCAGCGCTGCTGTTTACAGGTGAGCGATCGTATGCTCAGTCCATACGACTCGTGAAGGCCGACGTCCTAGATAGCCGCTTTGCAGTTTGCTCTCCTGGGATGTTCCACTCCGCATGGGCTAGTGCTCTTCACTATATTGTGAGCAAGCGTGAGCCTGCTCTTCCGCACATTCCTCAGGCTAACGTTCTGACTGACACAGCTACGGTTTCTTCTCTGGGGCAGGTAAGCCATATGGTCATGTTTCGCGCACAGAGTACCAAAATTCGACCTGCACAATGATGTTTCATAGCTGTCTCACTTTATCTCCCGGCTGTCACAGCTTTCTGTCCCAAGGACACTCAGCTAGGGTGCGTCGGCGGTCCTTCCTTCCTCAACCCGTTGAAATTCAGACGTCTCGACTCTGATGAGAGCTGAATCACGGACAGGAGATATCTCGGCATATCGCTGCTACCTGTTGGCATCACGACTCTGGTTGGTACGCCCATCGCGAGTGCTCTGATGGGAGACAATCGCATCTGGTGGAAAGGCATTCTGTTCTCCACGGTAACACAACTCGTGTAGACATTAGTAGCTTCGCTCACCCTTGCATCTTCCATCACAGGCTACGGTTCTTGGAGCGACTGTGGCAGCGGGGTGTACGCTTGTGATACAAGGGCGTAGAAAGCCCTTGACTTGACAAGGCTGACGTGGTCAGAACGAACAAAGTACGAGCTACATACCAACCTACAAGTTCGTATTTCAGCAAGTCGGTTGCTTTGTGAAATCACATGATGCTCCGCGGGCTGCATGCAAGGCAAGGATCGTTGCATGTCATTCGGGGCGAACTACTAAAGATGTCCCCTTCGGGGTGACATACGAAAAAATTGGAACGATACAGAGAAGATTAGCATGGCCCCTGCACAAGGATGACACGCTTTCCCGGAGTGGTAGACCTACGGGTCTCAATATTTATTTTACCTAGTGTATGAACGAGTTCCCTGTCCCAATTAGCCGTCCGCAGGTGAGCCCAACCCTATTTATGCTGTTGTTTACATGGACTCACCGAGAGCACGGTGGTCGTAGCCGCGGCGGTGAGTCGCTGACGATCTAGTACATAGACCTGCCTAAATGAACGCATTTCGGCATTGGTGAAGACGGTGGCGCCCTGGGCTGGACAGTAGGCTAGTACTGGGCAGTCCACTTGTGTCGTCTCATCTATCAACCGGTAAGGTGCGCGGGCGGGGGCGGCATCTAATATGTGATTAGGTGTCTCAGAGACGGATCATAGCGCAGCCATTCGTCGGGCCCCGGCATGCACAAAGAGCTGGTATGCATGGTGGCCGGTAAACTGGGTATGCTCGGCAAGCTCGGTACTGGATGCCTTCGTGAGTATGTGCCCACTGGGTACGGATCATGCCTTCCGAACTGTACCCATGTTTCGGGCCTGTTCCATAACAAACGAGGTTTTGTCCCGATAAAACCAGGCATACCACCCCTCCAGAAAGCCCAAACCCGTCCGAATGAGGACAAGGCATTCCCATCGATAACCGGGGATCCTCGCAGGGCTAGTTATCGAGTGGACTTACAAAGGTGAGTAAGATATGCAATGAGGAGTGAGAAACCGGCCATGCGTCGTATGAAACTAACGGTCAGACATCATGATGTGCGGGATGTTATGTCTTAGCTGGCCCGCATCACTGAGCGAGCGGGACCTAAGCCGAACTTGAACATGCGAGCAGACCCGCACCGCAACAAGGGTATATATATGGCTCAAAGACACGCTCAACGACAGTCCCCAGTGTACCTCGTTCTCACCGCCAATATCAAATCCCCAGCAGACATGCAGCTCAAGCAGATCATCATCATCATGACCGCCGCCTTGCTTCCCTTTGCTAGTTGCGCCGTAATCGTTGATAGCGCTCCCATTGGTGAGTAGTATATGACCTCGCCGATACCCAACGCCGTGCCTTGCACTTGTTCGCATTGAAGCTCACGATATGTGAGCAGACGGCCTCATTGAGGAACGAATTTGCAAGTACGACTGTAAACGGGAGAACGGTGAGTGTATACGTAGTCGACCATGAAGCGCACTCTGATCGTACTGATACATTCCCCTGTCGTGAACTACCCAGTCGAGGTAGATACCAGCGACAAACACCAACGCGGTTGGATTGACCCGGGAAAGAGTGACTGACGCGTTCTGACTCTGGGCTCAGCGACGGATGTGAGTGGTATAGGCTTTTCTACCTCGCAAGTCCTACTAAAGCATCGCACAGCCAGACTTCTCGGGACTCATATGAATACCGCTGTGACTGCGAGTGCCGCTGAGCGCTGAAGTGTTGAGATCTGAGACCTGACCTTAGTCGTGTCATTACATACTATGTTAGCAGACTGCAGACTGTCCAATGCCAATTCCGGATGCTCTGGTCTTGCCATTTGCACTGATATCTTGCGGTGCCAATTTCTCAGTGCCTCATGCTCAGAACGCTTACTCTGGTTCGGTGAGTGAACGCAGCCCATAGGTGCACGTACCAAATGACATAGGGGGACCAAATGAGTACGCCCATGGAGATACTTGTGCGCACGAATTCCCGATTGCTCAGTCTATCTGCCTTTTCTCTTCCCCTTCTTCCCCTTCTCGCCGGCATCCTTTGGCGCGGACATGATCGCCCCAGTACGTCCCTTAGATCCTTATCTTCCTTCGCCTCCCCTTTACCCTTCTTCGCCTTTCTCTCAGCCTGCATCCTCGTCTCTACCTTCCCGTTGTTAGTTTGCTCATCCTTCTCGTCGGCATCACCCCTCTCGACAGGCTTCAGTTCACCTTTCTTGACCCTTTTCCCCAGCTTCGCCTCAAACAAAGCATCGATTTCGTTCTCCGGCTGCGCCTTCCGTTTCCGCTTCTTCGACACCCCATCTGTGCCAATTGTTTCCGCTTCAGGCTGCTCCTTCCGCGATGATTCCGTTTGAGCTAGGGTTTGGACCGGTGCGTGCTTCTGGCGCTGAGAGGCTGTAGGTGCAGACGTAGAGGTGCTCGCGCCCGATTGATGGTGATGCCACCGGTCCGGATCTCGCTTCAGCAGTTGCAGGCTGAGCGCCCGCGCAAAGTACTTCCCATACATGGAGCCCGTGAGGAAATGCTCGTGGGGCATCACCGAGCGAGCGATCTTCTCCTGCGTACGTACCGTGTCAGTGTACCATACTCTCATCCTACAGGAACGACAAACGCACCTTCATGTAGCCGTCCGCGACGGCCCAGCACCGCTCGCCTACGCGGCTCCCGATCCGGTCGTCCACAAGCTCGTGGAAGCGGCCCATGAAGCCGAGGATGAACTTGCGCTTGAGCTTCATGGGTACGGTGGGTGAGGACAGCAGGACGTCCAGAACGCGCGAGGACATGGGGTGGTGCGCCAGTACGATCAGTTCATCGATGGTCAGCGACTGCAGGCTGCGGCGAACATAGTCAGTCAAATGTGGGTGCGTGAGTGAAAGCAGAGCTATACCTGTTCAGAACGAGCTCGTTGTGAGGGGAGGAGAGGCGGAGAAGCGATTGTAGCAGGAGCGCCCCTTGGACTTTGGGCTCCACGATGCCCGGTTCTTTCTCCATTTCCTGGCGCACCAGATTTACAGCAAGCTCGCCATACTTTTCTTTGTACCTCGTTTCCTTCTCTGCGCGCGCTAAGAGAGCAGCTTTGTAATCCTGCGCTGGTGGTCAGTGAGAGAACACAACGAGAGAGGGTATAATGCACCTCAACATTGATGGCACGGAGGATACAAGGCACAACTAGAGAGGACTCATCTGCATCTTGTAGGACAAATGCCGTGCGAACCACCTGTGACGCGTCGCAACTAATGAGTGCCTGCCAAACTCACGCATTCTAGATCAAAAGAAGCATACCTGCACAACATCCTCTTCGTGCGCACGAAGCTCAGCTGCCCTATCCACAAGCGCCTGCAAGACCTCCACTCTTCCAGTTTTGACGATCTTCCCCGCGACCTCCCCGTTCAACTCCGCACACGCCTGCCCGAGCGAATTCGTAGCCACCCGCACTAACGCCTTCTGGAGGACGAAGTTCGCGATTGGGTGCACCGCAAGGCGCGCGAGCTTATCGGCGAAGTACGTTGCCCAGAGGTCGGTGAAGACACGCGCGGGCGCGCGCTTTACAAGCGTCTCAAGCAGGTGCGACGCAGTCGGGTCACGGAGGAGAGTGTTGAGATAGTCGGAGGGTTCGTGTTCTGTGTTGGGGTTTTGTTCTTATGACGGAGCGGTAAGTGCTGCCCGAAAGCACAATGTATGGCGGAGACCAGAGGCGCGACGTACCCATAGAAGAGATCATGCCGACGAGAGCTCGATCCATGAGCGAGCTTGCTTCCTCAGCCATGCCGTACTCAGCTTCAATCTCCAGGAGCATCTTCACACAGCACTCCATATTGAGAACACTTCAAACCGAAGCCTATGTTGAACGCACCTGCAAGACCGGACTAGCGACCTTGTCCGCTGCCAATGCACGCACCTCGTTCTCGCCGAGCTGCTCCCTCAGCGCCCTCACAAATTGTTCTGCTACCTTCCTACACTCCCCCGGTACCCTGCTCTTCCCCTTCAGGTCCGCACCTACACCCTCCTTTTTCTCCTTGAACACTGACTTCATCGAGCCCTGCCTGGCTTTCCACGCCGTGCTCTTCTTCGAGCGCACCGCGTGCTCGCGCGTCTCGAGCGGGAAGCAGTCGGGGGCCAGCAGCAGCAGCAGGGCGCTGATGACGTGCGAGGCAAAGGGGTCGAGGACGAGGGAGGAAAGCCGGGGGAGGAGTTCGTCGCAGGCGTCGAGGACGAGCTGTGTGAGGGAACGGAGCTCGCCCCGTTCGGTAGCATCTTCTGGTCGGGTAGGGAGGATGCCTCGAGTCTGCAAACAACGTAAAGGGGTGTTTGGACATAATATAAAAAGCATACCTCTCTGGATATTGTGTCCGCTGCCACTGTAAACATTGTTTGGCATACATGGGATGCGAACCGGTGCGTTACGAGCTGCTCGAATCTACCTTCGCGTGTCAGTCAGCTACGCGCACGGTCCGTGCTCGCGTATCGGCAAAGCATTGCTTATGACATGGACACTCACGATCCGTCCAGCCTATCCATGTACACCCTACGCACGAAGTCGTCCATCGAGTGAATCATCCTCTCCAGGATGATCGAGCAGTCCTTGTCTGTCGCAAGCTGCTTCTCCTTGCCCTCCATTTCCGTCAAGGCGGCCACGAAGAACAACCGCCTATCTGTTCGCATTTTTGATATGTTAATTTGAGCACTGCATATAGACTGCAAAACGCACCCTCATTCGGATCGGTGTCCTCGTCTCCGCCCACGTCGGGGCGGCCTTGCTCCTGCCATTCGCGGATCTGCAGGTCCACTGTTCGGAAGTATGCCTTCACCTCCGCGTCGACATATCCAAATGGTGCCTCTTTGTCTGACTCCTCCGCCTGCCTGTGCACAATCCACGACGGGCCCGCCTGCTGTTCCTCTGGGTCGACCTCCGCCTTAGACTCCTGACGCTCGTGCCGGACGTGGTAGTCGTCTTCCTTCGGCTTTCTATGCTTTTTCCCCCGTTTGCGATTCTCACGAGGCATGATGAAGAGGAATAAGTGCCAGGTCGCAGCTGGTCGCAGCGGCGAAAAGGCGACAAGGCTTGAATGAATTGAGCGCTTGTACGGGAAGCAAAGTGATCGGCGGGAGTTACCTATTCGGGAACGGTGCAGCGCACCGGCTCCGGCCGCGCTTGGCCCACCGAGTCTGAGGAGGAGGAGGAGGAGGGTGGGTCCATTTAGTCATCGGCCGGGAGCGCGGTAGCGCCCAGCAGCATCTTGACGATGACAGCGCTCACTAAGTTACAACACCACTACCTATAGGACTACTGACTAGACTACGATCTCCAATGTTATGACCCCCCTGTACCCCCGTCCCTGCTTCCATGACCCTCTCGGAGGTCGCCATCTTTCAGCCCTGGCCCTCTAGCTGTACAGCTGGGCGGGTTACTCGGTTAAAACCTGGCAGGAAAATCTGGCAAAACCTCCAGGAGTCAGCTGCGGTCCCCCGACAGTCTGACATAACTCACCGAGCACCGGGCAAATTCCAGGTGAGCCTCCGCTGTCCACGGTCACCGTTCAAAAGAAGCAGGGGCCGGGGCACAGTCGTTGGATCCGCCCATTGATTCGACTGAAGTCGTCGTTGCCAGTGTTGTCCCATAAGCAGTAGCGATGATGTAGTCGCACGCGGGGATCACTTGACCAGCTCGCTCTATGGTGGTAGGAGAACAAGCTCCTCCTCGGAGACGACCATCACCGGGACAGACTCGCACCGCTGAAAGACTGAATGTACGTATTCTCCGAACAGAGCCACTGCATCTCCGTCTGTCACCAACTCCATTAGGAAGTGTCCTGGTCGGCCCAGAGCCCACTTGACCCGTAGACTCGTACGCGCTCTGAACACCCTTATGAGGAAGGCGCCCCGTAGGTCTGCTAGCGTGTCATCCGCGCAGGTGAGCAAGACATGTGCTTCGTCCTCCACTGCATTCTTGCGCTTACAGAATCGGCAAATTCTGCGTTCACGCGGCACTGGTGGGACACGTCGGCGCAGTTGCTCCACCGCAAAAGGATGGTCGGAGGCAACCAGGCGGCATAGGGCGAGACGATGGGTGCGAGTTGGTACAGAGAGATACGGGCGGCGCTCCATCACCGGCGATCTTGCGGGACGCATCTGCAACACAGCGAGCCGATGGGAGGACCGTATTTCCTCCCGTAGGTACGTGTGCATTGCGTCACGCAGTTCCCCAGTGCATTCGGTGACATACTCAATCGTCAGCGGCATCCGTAGGTCGAGCTCGACAGGTACGGGTAGCAGCGCGAGAGCATGACGGAGGTCCCCGAGCCACGAAGCTGTCCCCTCATGAGCCATAGAGCGAGCTTCAGCCAAGGCTGCAAGAGGTATTGGTGGACGTTGGGAAAGTAGATATAGAAGGTATCGCAAGGCCAACGACAAGCGGCGATACCGGATTGGCCACAAGCCCGTCTCTGTGTAGAGTACAGCGGAGATGGCCCGTGGGTTGAGGCCCATGACTCGCCGCAGATAGACGTGTTGCACTGAGGCAAGCTGCGCGAGTGGGGCCATTCGCACGTCCAGTGCCACCTCGCATCCGGAGATCAGGTGAGGATCAACATGTGTCTGGTACAATGTTAGTGCCGCCCAGGGCGGCAGTTCCGTCACGTAGGACTCGACTGATAGACACGCATTCGCAATTCTCCTGGCCACGGAAGCCTTACGTTCGTTATGCGGTGCAAATATATCCTTCGGCTCCGACGAGAATAGCAGCCCGACATACGTGTAAGATTGCACGACCTCGATGAGCTTCCCATTCACGGTCATTTGCAGCTCCAATGTCGTTGGTTGGAGCCTCGCGTTGAACACCATGACCTGTGTTTTTGTCGCATTGATCGTGGCGAAGTTGATCGAGCACCACGCCGCGAGGTCATTGAGTTTCTGCTGGACAGCAGATGCAGACGTCGAGAAGATGACAATGTCGTCTGCCTGCTCGAGGTGCGAGACAGCCATGCCTCCGAGTACAATGTCGTCTGGGTGGGGGCGCATCACAAGGTCCGCGAGGAACAGATTCCATAGGATAGGCGAAGCAGGATCTCCAATCAGTATTCCAGCGAGCGCACAGAACCTGTCTGAGAAGTCGCCGGCGAACTTGACAACATACTCCAAGCGGGAGTAGAGGGCTCTCAGCCAGTCAAACAAGGGGCCTCGGCATCCGGTGGCGTACAGTTTAGCCCATAGTGTAGGTTGATCGACGGAGGGGAAGGCATTGGAGAGGTCCACGAACGCGACATACAAGGGTTTTCCCATTTTACGGGCCTTCTCGATTGCCGCCCGCAGTACGAAACTGTTGTTGTTGGTACGCCTCCCTGCACGAAATCCGTTCTGCGTCATCGGCAGCTTCCCGGTCTCCTCAGCCCATCCTCGTAGCCGCCGTTCGACCATCAAGGTAAGCATTTTGAGCAAGCAGCTCTCCAGCCCCACAGCTCGATAGTTCGTTGCATCCCCGAGGTCTTTTCCGCGCTTTCCAATGCCAGTGAGGGATGCGGTCAGCCATGCGGTAGGGACATCGCGCGAATCCACACAGCTCTGGAATAACCGCTGAAGTTCCTCGTTAGGGATGCGCAGTACGCGCTCGTACGACACGCGGTCGGGACCAACAGCAGACGACATGGAGTGCTTCCTAATGTGCTCTTTTGCATCTGCGACCTCCTCGATGGTCCACGGCCGCGCGAAATACCCCTGCGCGCTTTCGTCCACTGTTACTGAGGGCAGATATCGCATCCATTGGCGGTTAACACCTAGTCTCGCAGCGTTGAAAAGCTCTGGCACTTCCGTGGGCGGGTTCATTCGTGGCTCGAAGGCGGCCTGGAGCTCCACCGCCGACACCCTGGGCGGACGAGGTTTGGGGTCAACCATCCCCCGGTAAGCCTCCCAGAAGCTCGCATCAGGCTTCCCCGGCGACAGCAATTCCTTGATGTGTTTCTCTCGTAGGTTGCTCACTGAAGTCGCTAACCAACTCCGGGACGCTTAAATTCTTTGAACGTGGTATTACTACATACCCACAGCCTGTGCGATGCTATACCAGGAGTAAAGTGTACACAATCTACTCTGGCACCATCTGTGGTCTACGAATGACCGACTGTTCGCGATCTCAGCTCAACATGACCTTCACTCATCAGCGTTGCCGGCCTGATGTTTTGAGGCTAAGTCGGGTGGCCATTCATAATGCAGTCATTAGGAAACATGACTCACGTTCGATTGGCAGTACGCCCATGCGAAACGAAATTAAGGTATGTGGAACCGGGATATTGATGCTGGCCAGGTACCTATGTATTTGCGGACAGTTTCTCATTTTCTTCACGATACAGTGTATCGTCTTGCCTGTCGAGCCTCTCATTTCGACATCACAGGTCATCGTGCACGGCCCGATATGGCAGGTGTACTCATTTGTTAGCCCTGCGATCGCAGTCACCAGCCGCAGAGGCTGACTGCCGTTTACGCTGGCTGCCTGCAGTCAGCCATAGAGGCTGTCCTTGCAGAAGTCATGCAGCACCTCGTCGTCAGCCTCCCACATTTTCCATAAAACCCCGCGGCAAACGCGTCGTTATGCACAGTTAATCTCGCCTCCGTTCCACAGCCATCGCCCATCGCATACACCGTCAACCATGGATTCCTTTGAGTCCTTCCTGCACCTGCTCATTGGCTTCCTCCTCCTCGGTGTCCTCATTGACATTGGGGAGACGGTCGCCTGTCTCGTACGCGCTACACTGGGCGTCCTCTTCGCCCACTTGGTCTCCCTCACCTTCAGCGACGTCTTGTCTGTCCTCTCATGCATCGCCCTGGAAACTTACGCGGTTCGGTCCGCGCTCACTCCACCCTCGATGGTTCCCAAGGACATCCCTCACGTCGTCTTCTACGAAGGTCCTTCGCGTTGCCCGCAGACGTCCGACCAAACCAAGGTACGCCTTTGGGCCAGTTCCTATGCATGCCATACGACGCCGCTTACACTTTCGCGTAGGCACTGATCAACGTCCTTGCTGTCATGTCTCTCGTCAGCACTGCCGTGGGCTCCGAGACCGACGTCGGGTCCAACGTCGGTCCCATTCTCGTCCCGATTGCAGTTGTTCGGTATTTCAACCTGGAGGTCGGCCTTGTTTCGCATAAGGACACACTCTTGCCCGTTTACATCCATGCCCTCACCTTCGCGCCCCCGCTTATCCGTGCTCCGTCTCTGTACTTGGCACACGAGCTCTCACTCGAAGTCACACGGCAGCAGTACAATGTCTCCCCCTCCCACTCGCTCGACGTCAGCCTCCGGGAAGTTTGCGACGGTCTTGAACTCGCTCCGCTCAATATCACAGTCAAACCCGTCCTCCGCCCGCACCGCCTTCCATTCGATGTCAGCGACCTCTTCCGTGGCCAGCCCCTCCCAGTGCCGTCCAAGGAGGATCTCGAGTTCTGGCATGGCGGACGCCCACGCACAGGCGATGCCGACGAGCCTCTACGCGCTCGGATTGATGTGGGCGACCTCAACACGGCTTGCATCTCCGCTCGCAGCGTCCCTGCCTCGACCCTGTTCCCCAGCGTCTCCGAGGGTCACATCGGTCTGCGCCCGCAGCGCGAGCTGCCTCCTCGTCCGTTCGTCCCTGCCCTTCCTGTCCCCGCCGCCCCGGCTCCGGCTCCCGAGGTCTTGCACGTCGCTGCTCCTCGTAAGCGTGCAAGCGTCCGCCGCACCCTGCTCAAGCCGCCGCGCGTTGCGACGCCCCGTCAGTTCCGGACGGGCGCCACCGTGACCGCACATATGGGTGCCCGGGGCAACTTCAAGTGGAGTATGGAGTCTGGGGTTTCGCTCATGGAGGCGTTGGGCGTGGGCTCCGTCAAGCTCGGCGTCGTGTACTCTCTGCCACAGTGAGCATGCGCACGACGGCGCTGCCTAGCTCGGCTCGGCTTTCGAGCGGAAAGCTTGGAAGCGTGCTCCCACCTTCGACTTAAAGAGCATATGGACATGTTGGAGGGTGGATCATCCCTGTGGGTAATATCTTGTGTACAGTATCATATATTACGGGATCTCAGCCAGGACCTCCAGTTGTATAGTAGAGCCGCACAGATCCCGGCACAGATGACTTCCTAATATTCGCATAACTGTAGCAATGGTACATATGGCATGAACACCATCGTGACGAACTCGAGAGCGCTGCGGTGATCAGTCCTCATGATCAGCAGTCAATCATCGAGACATGCACCGTGCGGCCGCGAGTCCCGTCATCGGCCTCAATACGGCTCGCGTCCGCGATTTTCACGGCGGAAGACATGCTGGCACATCTCCATATCAAAGTACTCAGACGACACAAAAGGCCTAGCCAAGGAATCGGTGTATGTGTGTCCGTGATCAAGTGCATAATTTCACGGCGGCACGACGTAGACAACATATAGTACAACTTGAAACACTGGCAGGTACCCATCGGACACGCATTACTTGTGAGGAACAGGCAACCGCTCTACACGTCCTCCGGCACCCCAAGAATCTCCATGAATTTGCTGTACGTGACCATCTGATCCCTTCTCTCTCGATCTCCTCAACCTTAGCCCCACCGTCGTCGTCAGAACCGTCATACTCGTCGATGAAAGCGAGACGCTTGATATTGTCCATGCGATGCTCAACGTCCCCAAAAAGGGTCAGTAAACGCGTCAGGAAGGTGCGTTTCTTCAGCAACGGCTTGAAGTCTTCGTGCGCCTTGGAAAACACTTCCTTGATTTCCGTTGCATCCATAAGGAATTTGCGCTTGCTGTCCCCAACAGCGACGAGTGAGCTGTGTTGCCATTGCACGATGTGCCCGAACTTCTGCGTCACCGGATCGTAAGCAGCGGTGGCGTACACGTATACGTAGAAGAACGACTCTAGGTCGTGGCGATACTTATGAGCTGGGGGGAGGCCCGAGCGCAGGAGGTCCAAGGCCATGAATGGCCCTGTACCGGTGCGATACCGCGGGGTTTGCTCAGGCATGAGCTGCGATGTCGTGGCGGTGGACTCCTGTCCGGTGTTGACCCCACTCTTGAGTTGACTCCTGAGCTGCTCCGACGGTTGCCCAGCCTGTTTGCTTGTACTTGCGCTTGCTGGCGTCGCAGCGGCCGGATCGTCCGAAGGTCGGATAGACAGACGTTCATCATTGCTGTGATCCTCGGCGAGGTCCAAATCGCAAAGAACGCCAATGATTTCTCCGTCCCGCATGGACCACATGATGTTATTCACGCTGATGTCGCGATGAAGTATCTTGAACGTCTTGTACACCCAGTAGTGAGCTGAAGATATCATCAGAGAGCGACTACGGTCGCACTTGGTCATTACGTACCGCGAACGACATGGACAAACACAGTATGAAACCCCTTGGTGGATCCGATGGTTTCCAGACGCTCGTACCGCTTGAATATCAGAGTACGACAAACCCGAAGATCCTGTTCCTCGGGGACAACACCCATCGCAAGATGAGGTAGCCCATTTCTTCGATACTCTTCGTCACCGAGCACTTGAGGTCCACGTGGTCCAAGTACTTCACTGGCAAGGGGGGATGCGAATGGGAGCAGTCGACAACATTGGAACTCAGACGAGTTCATGTTTATATCAACGCCTACGCGTGGTCTCGGATCTACTCGTGGACAGTAAATTCCAAAGTCAGCGACAAGGACCGTGGACGTTCGAGCTAAGGTAAGATTGCCATATTGGGAGGATAATGTGGTCGCGCAAAACACGCTTCTTGCAAAGCTCCCCACTGTAATTTTCTGCGGGATGTAAGCCAGACATATGCCGGTGCGGGCGATGCATCAGATACCGGTCACGTCGCGGAGGCGACTCCAGCAGACTGTGGCTCACGGAAACACCTCAGTCCAACCTGAGTCTGAGGATTCAAGTTCACCTCCGAGCGTCTCGCAGCGTAAGTCAGAATCTCAGATATGCATCACGTGCACACAGGCATGCCGCCTGGGACTGAGGCCTTACCAAATACAGTGGGTCATGTCATTAGAACAAAAGTTTGCATATGGATTGAAACACGAACCGGTCGAACACGCGTGAGTTGCGAGAAAAAGGCAGTGACTTTACACGTTCTCAGATGCCCCGAGGATCTGCATAAACGTACTGTACATGACCATCCGATCAGCCCTCAACATATACATCGGCACGACGTAGACAACAAGTAAATAGTGCAAATAGGAATCCATCCAACACGCTGCGAGGAACACTGGCAGGCAGCGACTCTACACGTCCTCCGGTGACCCAAGAATCTCCATGAACGCACTGTACGTGACCATCGCATCCCTTTCCCTCTCGATCTCCTCAACCTCAGCCCTAACGCCATCGGTTGGACCGACCAACATAATGTCGGCCATGATGTCCTCAATCTCGTCCATGCGAGACTCAAGATCCCCAAAAAGTGTCAGAAACTGCATCAGGAAAGTGCCTTTCTTCAGCAACGGCTTGAAGTCTTCGTGCGCCTTGGAAAACACTTCCTTGATTTCCGTTGCATCCATAAGAAATTTGCGCTTGCTGTCCCCAATGGCGACGAGCGAGCTGTGTTGCCATTGCGCGATGTACCCGAATCTCTTCTTCACCGGATCGTACGCAGCGGCGGTGTACGCGTATATGTAGAAGAATGACTCTAGGTCGTGGCGATACTTATGAATTGGAGGGAGGCCCGAGCGCAGGAGGTCCAAGGCCATGAACGGCCCTGTACCGGTACGATACCGCGGGGTTTGCTCAGGCATGAGCTGGGATGTCGCGGCCGCGGGCTCCTGTCCGCTGTTGACCCGACTCTTCAGTTGACTCTTGAGCTGCTCCGACGGTTGCCCGGCCTGTTTGCTTGTACTTGTGCTTGCTGGCGTCGCGGCGGCCTCGTCCGAAGGTCGGATAGACAGATGGTCGCCATTGCTGTGATCCTCGGCGAGGTCCCAATCGCAAAGAACGCCAATGATCTCTCCGTCCCGCATGAACCACATGATATTGTTCGTGCTGATGTCGCGATGAAGTATCCTTGACGTCTCGTACACCCAGTAGTGAGCTGGAGATATCGTCAGACAGTGACCACACTCATACTAGGTTATCACGTACCGCGAACGACATGGACGAACACAGTATGAAACCCCTTCTGGGAGCCGATGGTTTCCAGACGTTCGTACCGCCTGAGGATCAGAGTACGGCAAACCCGAAGATCCTGTTCCTCGGGGACAACACCCATCGCAACACGAGGTAGACCCATTTCTTCGATACTCTTCGTCACCGAGCACTTGAGGTCCACGACGTGATCCAAGTACTTCTCCTTCCCCTTCTCAACCAGACACTGGCGGACAGCACGGATCATCTTGTCTTCCGCCTGACGAGACTTGTGCGGCCACGCCACCTTTGCAACGAGCGGTTCGTCCTTGAGCTTCTCTGCCGCCTTAGACTCGTCGCCTTGCTCCGCTTTCACGGGGATAACGGTAGTCCCGCGTCCGATGAGGCCGAACTCGGTGTATACAGCGCGAGGGTCCGCCTTGGTGACATCAACGTCGAAGACAAACTCTTCCATGCCCTGCTCCTCTTGCACGTCCAATCGAATCTTCGCCCCCACGTAACCCGTCCGTGAAGAGAAGACGACAGCATCCTTGTGTCGGAAGTGAAGAGCTGGATGAATCCCCAGATCGTGCACACCGGCAGCCCCTGTAGCAGCCACAATCAACAGGAACAGTGCGGCGTCGTCCTGCAGGAAATCGATCTCCTTGGTGAAGATGAGACCCATGCGATCACCATAGACGAGTCGCATCTTCGTCTCCTCGATCAACCAGCCGACTGCGTACGATCGTACGTTGGACGACATGATCTGGTTGACGTACTTGACGACTTGCACTTCCTTCGGACTCATGGGAGGGGTTCTGCGGGACGGAAGAGGCAGTACAGACGCAGTACGCGCGCGCTTTGAATCGGGTGCCGAACCCTCCTCCTTCCCTCGCTTTCGTTTGCTCGCGGATCCAGAGGCGGCACCTTGCTGCTCTTCCGAATCGCTCATGCCCTGTTCTTCGTCCGCGTCAGCTCCACCCTCGTCAGCGTCGCCCAGACCCTCCTCATCTTCGGCATGGTCGGAGTCAGCGTCCAACTACATCAAGTGCGTCAGCCGGTGGCAGCCTACAGAAAGCAAATCACGAACGAATGCGGAGAACACGCCATCTTCACAACCGATGAGCATGTCTCTAAGCGTCTCCTCGATGGTCTCCGCGTTTGTCTTCTGGACTTCTACGGGAACGAGCTCCCACTCCCAGACAGGCTTGCCCTTGACGGTACTGTAGGTAAGGTCTGGCTTTTCACCTAGCTTGTGCTTGCTCTTCGTCACGATATGACCACGAGTACGGAGGCGACCCGGGTAGGTGCGCAAAGGCGGGAGTGCAGGCTTGGACCCGGCCTGACCTTCGCTGTCGGCCACATCGTGACGGTGTCTCATCACGGCCGAGCACCGCGTCGTGGCAGCCGCGCGCAGCGTTTTATCGGCTGCCTTGTCTTCGTCGCTCTTGGGTGTTTCGTCGTCGGGGAGCGGTCCGTACAGTTGGCACAACAAGCCGTTGGCCAGGTTGTTGAACGGCGTATAGATCGATAACTCCTTGCCCACCCGGTAGGCTTTGATGTCGGCATTTCCCAAGGAGTATTGCTGCGTGTGCTCTTCATTGTTGTCGCGATACGGAGTGGGGTGTATGTCACTCCAGCCGAAGCGGAAGACAGCGCGTACAAAGTCCTCCACGTCGACGTTCCGGCGGATCTTGTCCGTGTATTCGCGGTGGATCAACGCTACGTGGTGCTTCGTCAGGGCGGAGCCCTTTGGATCCTGGATACTGCTGATAGCGCTCGGTTGCAATGGTGTCGAATGTATCTTAGCTAAAATACACATGGTCAACGTCAAAGTAGGCATTCCTAACCGTCTCTTTCACTTACGTTCTGCCTGCCCTCGGGGCGGCGTACGCGGCGCAGAAGGACCAGGCGGCGCGGACTTCGTGGTGTTCATCTCGCCGTAGATAGCAGAGCAACCTGCAGATTCAGATAGTACTACGAAGAAAGCTCGAGGGTGATATGGCGACTCTCTGCGGAGGCAGAGTGGGGGCAGGGAGCCTGCAGATGGGAGCAGTCGACGACATTGCAACTCAGGCGAGTTCATGTTTATATCAACGCCTGCGCGTGGTCTCGGATCTACCCGTGGACAGGAAATTCCAAAGTCAGCGACGAGGACCGTGAGTCAAGAAGAACAACGCACCGTGCCGTGGACGTTCAAGTTAAGGCAAGATTGCCATATCGGGAGGACAATGGGACTGATGGGCACGTGGTCGCGCAAAACACGCTTCTTGCAAGGCTCCCCAGTATGATTTCTGCGGAATAACTGGCAGAGACCGGTGCGGGCGATGCATCAAATAACGGTAACATCGCGGAGAGGACTCCTGCAGACTGTGGCGTACGGAGCCTCAGTCGACAGTTTGTGTTTGAGGATTCTTCACCTCCGGGCGTCTCGCAGCGTAAGTCAGAATCTCAGATATGCATCACGTGCACACAGGCAGCATGCCCTATTATCGTAGTAGCGCCAGCGCCATCCCCGACTCCTGCATGGGCCAGCATGGCACCCAGCTGCTCAGCCTGCCACAGCGGAACCATACAAAACTCCCCTCACCGCGTCTCATCACGATCACCTTGTACATCCATGATCTCAGGGCCTGGACCGGCATGGTCCCAGCGCGATGGACGCCTGGGGCAGTGTTGATGCTCTAGGGGAAATTCTGAAGAGTAGGGATGCATGGCGCGGCTACGAACTCGCCGACGACACGCGGGTGCTGCTCCTCGGCCACTCGAATGGCGGCCAAGGGGCATGGTGGAACGCGGCGAGGTACCCGGATCGAGTCGCTGCCGGTATGTTTGTTGAGTTCTCGCCCTCGCCAATGCCGCGATTGCATTCACTGAGCATACCAATCGGTGCAGTCATCCCGGCGGCGGCGTACCTCAAGTCGCAGGCATATGTACCCTCATCCAGTCTCAGTAAGTATTGTGTCTCCGCTCGCACCGAAGGCAATTGACGTGGCTGCTCTGCAGTTCCGCGCATTACGTCGACCCTTTCCTGCGGGCGATCCTTGAGACCGCGCTGACCCCCGATGATAACGACCTTTCCTGTCTAACCTCGCGCACACACAAATCTTGCGATCCACGGCGGCGACGACGAGAACGTGCCGACGTGGCACAGTCGTGCGTACGTCAGCACCCTCAAGACGTGGAACGCCGACGCGCCGTGAAGTCAGTCGTTCAAGCTGTTGTCATTCTCGGTGCTTGATGCTGACGGTAACATCATAGGCTACGCGAAGATCCCGGTGAACTTCACTGGTACACAGGGTGTTCGACAACGCCGATGTGCGCGTGTATATGCGTGCGGTGTGGAAAGCGAGGCGGGCTTGGCTACATCTGTCGGCTTCGGGCCGAGCCCGGATAGCTTCACCTTGACTGTCTCCATACCTGCTGAGAGCGGCTCGCTCACGGATGGCGGATCCACCAACTGCTAGTGCCTGGCCGGATTAGATCGAGAAGCATAACGGAACGCATACTGATTCGATCGCATTCAGCATTGGAAGGCTTACGGTCGTACTGAGCGGGACATCAATCGACGTCCGCACGAACAACGTCGCGGTGTTCTCATTCAGCACATCCCTCGATATGCTGCGGACGTTCTGGTCATAGACGGCTTCACATTCCCGATGGATGCTCTTCGAGACAACAGTCACAACGCAGTGCATTTCTCACGTGAGGATGGTACATGGAAGTACGTACCCACTCCGAATACGCCTCCGCAAGACCTTTGTGACGCAGCGCAGTCCTCTGTGACCCGCCGGCGGCTCTTCAACCACATGGAGACTAGCCAGAATCCTCACCTCCCTGTACCGATAGTTATCGTCTATGATCCTAGCCTCCAAGCTCCTCTCGGCAACGCTACGCCTAGCCTCTGCTCTCGACGGTTACCACAAGCTTGATGCGGAGATCATTGACGACGCGGAGGCCGTCCGGAGACTACACACCGAATCTCTGGCACTGCCAACATAGTCGTCGTCACGAATGGAAAAGGGGACTTTGCGCAGTCTCTGCTCTCGCAAGAGCGCACAGCGTTCACCCTCGATAACAGGACATTACTTCTGAGAGGCAAGCCCTGGGAGCGAAGTCCGCTGCGCTGTTCTTGCATCCGCATCCGAGTGCATCAGATGCATCTATTCTTTCGTATACACCCAGGATGAGGTAGGATGGAGAGAGGCCTCCGGCTCTTCCCATTCGTACAGGCGTGCCAATCCCCATTGGTTGTAATCACAGACCATGCGGACAAATGAGAGCGGGAGGATAGAAGGACGGGGTGAGTGTCACTGCTCTCTTGTAGACTGGGACTCGCTCAAGTGTCTGAATTGAGCGTATGGGGAAACACCTGGAGCTGGAATGAGGGAATGTCCGCCTATTGACTCATTATTGAACGCCTCAACCGCTGTACTTTCAAAGTTCAGCAGATATACACCCGTGAAAGTTGCGGATCACATGCCTCTGGTCTCAGTCACTGCTAGCATGACACACCGTAGTGCGAAAGATTGGCCTTGAGCTAGCAGCTATGGCATCCTCCGTCCTTGCTACAAGTCTCATGGTGACCAGCTCATCCCTCGTCTTCTGAACTCCTTGGCCGTCTGATGATCTTGCAGAAGCCTCCGTGTACCCTCGCTCAGACGTCGTCAATGCAATCCATGACGCGCTCAACGTCATGGAAAGTTCCAAAGTTAGCACAAAAGGCCGTCCAGTGTAACAAACGGTTTGCAACCTCTCATGGGCTTTTTGTCGACGTTCTCAATTGCCTCGGATCTCGTCAGAAACCTATGCCTGCTGTCCCCGATAGCGATGAAGAAACTACGTTGGCATTGCAATGTAAGCCGAGTGGCTACCACAGTACTTCTGTACCTACCAAATTCGGCGAGTCGTGTATGTTCAGACGTTCACGGTCGCTCCTCTTTGGTTGCGCGACGCTCTCTTTGTGGGTTCGTCTTTGCTTCTGTCTGCCTCATATACTAACTTGCTTCTCCTGTCTCTCGCCCGCTCTAGAACCTTAGTCTAAGTTCAATCGAACTTCGACTTACACAGTCTCAGGCTGAACCACCGAGTGTGCTCTGCCGAACAAGCCCGGCAGATTCATAGACAAGACGTTCGCCCGGTCTATGCTGAATTCGATCTCTTTGGACGAGGGACCACTGTCATCAGGCTAAGCGGGTCTAGCGGAAAAGATGTGGCTCGGAACCGCTTGTCGCGAAGATGGCATGGCCCACAAGCACCGTGAAACTGAAGACACCATGATCCGCGCTGTTCGTAAGACTCTGGCTCACAAGAAGACAAGTACGTGGCACATACCATGGACCTGAAGCGCGCAGTAACGAGGAGCATCGACTCGGAGATGGAGTTACCCCGCGTCGCGACTGGGATCGTCCGGAGGAGTATCAGGATCTTCGAGTCTGCCGGACTCTGATACTCAAGCGATACCAACTCTTGCATGTCATTGGATCTGCGGGAAGTCTCACACTGTGTTCGTTCACGTTGTTCGCGGTACGTTATCACCGAAAAGGATGCAGTCTCTATCTGACGGTCTCTGCAGCTCATTACTGGGTTATGAGACATCCAAGATATTGCACCGTGATATCAACATCAAGTACATTATGTGGTATATGCGGGACGGTCAAATCATCGGCGTGCTATGTGATTGGACCTCGTCGAGGAACACAGCAAAGGTGACGCCGGTCATCCGACCTGCAGACGGACGAACGCTTCCTCGCCATCAATCGCGAGCACCAGCAAACAGGCGAGCCATTCAGATGAGCCTGAGGGCGCGCAAAATCCGAGGTATCGCGCCGGCACAGGTCAATCCAAGGCCTGGACCTGCTACGACTCGGAGAGGCCTACCTTCACAAGTATCGCCATGACCTCGAGTCATTTTTCTATGTCTACGTCTACGTTGCCTCCGCGTACGATCCGCTGAATAATGTGTTCGGTACATCGCACAATGGCAACACAGTTCGCTCGTCGCTATTGGGATAGCAAGTACAAATTTCTCACAGATGTGGAAAAAACCGACAACGTCTTTCCAAGGCGCACAAAGATTTTAACCCATCGCTCGAGCCGCGCGGTCTCCTGATGCGGCGTATGCCTATTCAGGAATCTTGAACGGCGCATGGACATGATAAGGATCTTGCGGCCGATGACCGGTTTGGTCTCGATGATGATGAACCTATCGTTGACATCGGAGCCGCGGTTAGAAGATTGAGGAGGAAAGGGATCAGATGGTCACGTACATGAAGTTCATGGAGATTCTTGGCGAGCCGGAGGATATGTAAAGTCTTGTCCCTCGCCACCCATGTACTTGGGTGATTGACAATGTTGAATGTGCAAGTCCAAGGCTGACGAACGAGTACGTGGGCGCGGCCCCCAAACAAGTACGCTGATCTACAGTAAAAATCGAACGGGTGGCTCTGCGGACTAGTCTACGAGACAATCTTCGCATAGTGTGTAAGCGGGGAAACGGACCTCGAACCAGCGGACTCGGACCAAGACGTTCGCACCTGACTCAGTTGAATGGTCGTTCAGTTCGTAATGATGCCTCCCCTTTGGCAAACCATGACCGAACTCGGTTCTCAGATCTTGAAAGTCCAAGTCCAAACTAACGTTCCACTGACTATGACCCTCAGGCTGCCTGTGTGCACGTGATGCATATCTGAGATTCTGACTTACGCTGCGAGACGCCCGGAGGTGAAGAATCCTCAAACACAAACTGTCGACTGAGGCTCCGTACGCCACAGTCTGCAGGAGTCCTCTCCGCGATGTTACCGTTATTTGATGCATCGCCCGCACCGGTCTCTGCCAGTTATTCCGCAGAAATCATACTGGGGAGCCTTGCAAGAAGCGTGTTTTGCGCGACCACGTGCCCATCAGTCCCATTGTCCTCCCGATATGGCAATCTTGCCTTAACTTGAACGTCCACGGCACGGTGCGTTGTTCTTCTTGACTCACGGTCCTCGTCGCTGACTTTGGAATTTCCTGTCCACGGGTAGATCCGAGACCACGCGCAGGCGTTGATATAAACATGAACTCGCCTGAGTTGCAATGTCGTCGACTGCTCCCATCTGCAGGCTCCCTGCCCCCACTCTGCCTCCGCAGAGAGTCGCCATATCACCCTCGAGCTTTCTTCGTAGTACTATCTGAATCTGCAGGTTGCTCTGCTATCTACGGCGAGATGAACACCACGAAGTCCGCGCCGCCTGGTCCTTCTGCGCCGCGTACGCCGCCCCGAGGGCAGGCAGAACGTAAGTGAAAGAGACGGTTAGGAATGCCTACTTTGACGTTGACCATGTGTATTTTAGCTAAGATACATTCGACACCATTGCAACCGAGCGCTATCAGCAGTATCCAGGATCCAAAGGGCTCCGCCCTGACGAAGCACCACGTAGCGTTGATCCACCGCGAATACACGGACAAGATCCGCCGGAACGTCGACGTGGAGGACTTTGTACGCGCTGTCTTCCGCTTCGGCTGGAGTGACATACACCCCACTCCGTATCGCGACAACAATGAAGAGCACACGCAGCAATACTCCTTGGGAAATGCCGACATCAAAGCCTACCGGGTGGGCAAGGAGTTATCGATCTATACGCCGTTCAACAACCTGGCCAACGGCTTGTTGTGCCAACTGTACGGACCGCTCCCCGACGACGAAACACCCAAGAGCGACGAAGACAAGGCAGCCGATAAAACGCTGCGCGCGGCTGCCACGACGCGGTGCTCGGCCGTGATGAGACACCGTCACGATGTGGCCGACAGCGAAGGTCAGGCCGGGTCCAAGCCTGCACTCCCGCCTTTGCGCACCTACCCGGGTCGCCTCCGTACTCGTGGTCATATCGTGACGAAGAGCAAGCACAAGCTAGGTGAAAAGCCAGACCTTACCTACAGTACCGTCAAGGGCAAGCCTGTCTGGGAGTGGGAGCTCGTTCCCGTAGAAGTCCAGAAGACAAACGCGGAGACCATCGAGGAGACGCTTAGAGACATGCTCATCGGTTGTGAAGATGGCGTGTTCTCCGCATTCGTTCGTGATTTGCTTTCTGTAGGCTGCCACCGGCTGACGCACTTGATGTAGTTGGACGCTGACTCCGACCATGCCGAAGATGAGGAGGGTCTGGGCGACGCTGACGAGGGTGGAGCTGACGCGGACGAAGAACAGGGCATGAGCGATTCGGAAGAGCAGCAAGGTGCCGCCTCTGGATCCGCGAGCAAACGAAAGCGAGGGAAGGAGGAGGGTTCGGCACCCGATTCAAAGCGCGCGCGTACTGCGTCTGTACTGCCTCTTCCGTCCCGCAGAACCCCTCCCATGAGTCCGAAGGAAGTGCAAGTCGTCAAGTACGTCAACCAGATCATGTCGTCCAACGTACGATCGTACGCAGTCGGCTGGTTGATCGAGGAGACGAAGATGCGACTCGTCTATGGTGATCGCATGGGTCTCATCTTCACCAAGGAGATCGATTTCCTGCAGGACGACGCCGCACTGTTCCTGTTGATTGTGGCTGCTACAGGGGCTGCCGGTGTGCACGATCTGGGGATTCATCCAGCTCTTCACTTCCGACACAAGGATGCTGTCGTCTTCTCTTCACGGACGGGTTACGTGGGGGCGAAGATTCGATTGGACGTGCAAGAGGAGCAGGGCATGGAAGAGTTTGTCTTCGACGTTGATGTCACCAAGGCGGACCCTCGCGCTGTATACACCGAGTTCGGCCTCATCGGACGCGGGACTACCGTTATCCCCGTGAAAGCGGAGCAAGGCGACGAGTCTAAGGCGGCAGAGAAGCTCAAGGACGAACCGCTCGTTGCAAAGGTGGCGTGGCCGCACAAGTCTCGTCAGGCGGAAGACAAGATGATCCGTGCTGTCCGCCAGTGTCTGGTTGAGAAGGGGAAGGAGAAGTACTTGGATCACGTCGTGGACCTCAAGTGCTCGGTGACGAAGAGTATCGAAGAAATGGGTCTACCTCGTGTTGCGATGGGTGTTGTCCCCGAGGAACAGGATCTTCGGGTTTGCCGTACTCTGATCCTCAGGCGGTACGAACGTCTGGAAACCATCGGCTCCCAGAAGGGGTTTCATACTGTGTTCGTCCATGTCGTTCGCGGTACGTGATAACCTAGTATGAGTGTGGTCACTGTCTGACGATATCTCCAGCTCACTACTGGGTGTACGAGACGTCAAGGATACTTCATCGCGACATCAGCACGAACAATATCATGTGGTTCATGCGGGACGGAGAGATCATTGGCGTTCTTTGCGATTGGGACCTCGCCGAGGATCACAGCAATGGCGACCATCTGTCTATCCGACCTTCGGACGAGGCCGCCGCGACGCCAGCAAGCACAAGTACAAGCAAACAGGCCGGGCAACCGTCGGAGCAGCTCAAGAGTCAACTGAAGAGTCGGGTCAACAGCGGACAGGAGCCCGCGGCCGCGACATCCCAGCTCATGCCTGAGCAAACCCCGCGGTATCGTACCGGTACAGGGCCGTTCATGGCCTTGGACCTCCTGCGCTCGGGCCTCCCTCCAATTCATAAGTATCGCCACGACCTAGAGTCATTCTTCTACATATACGCGTACACCGCCGCTGCGTACGATCCGGTGAAGAAGAGATTCGGGTACATCGCGCAATGGCAACACAGCTCGCTCGTCGCCATTGGGGACAGCAAGCACAAATTCCTTACAAATGTAACGGAATTCATGGCCGTTTTCTCCAAGGCGCACGAAGACTTCAAACCGCTGCTCGAGCCGGGCGCTTTCCTGATGCAACTTCTCCGTACTTTCAGGGCTATTGAACGTCGCAAGGACGTGATCAACCGTCTTGCTGTCACCGATGAGTGTAGAAAAGGCTCTGCCGTCGACAATGGGGCTAAGGTTGAGAAGCTCGAGAGGGAAAGGGATGCGATGGTCACGTACAGTACGTTTATGGACATTCTTGGGTACCGGAGGACGTGTAGAGTCGCTGCGTATCCTTCGGAATCAACGTGTATTCCGCGGATTTCTGTTTGCAATACATATTATCTACGTCGTGCCGATGTATAAGTACTTGATCACGGGAATACATACCCCGATTCCTTTCGCTGAAGCCTTTTGTGTCGCCTGAGGACTTCGATATGAAGATGCGACCAGTATATACAGCGCCCGGCAAAGCGCCGTGGCGAGTAGTCTCACTGCCAACAAATTGTGTACACCTGCACCTTCCATGGCAACGAAGCCGGAGTTCGTAGTTTCACGAAACAGCGTTGAATCAGCGCTGAATGTCGAGGCCCTGAGGCCTGAGGAACCTGAATTGTATAGAACAACAACGCCGCAGTGGTTGTTTGAGTTGAGGCCAAGTTGCCAGTGTTGGGACGTCAACAGTGCGTGGTCAGACGAAACATGCTCTGCTTGCAACCCTCATGTACGTACCACCAATTTCCACGAAGCCTCACTATGATAGAAGTAATAGTAAACAGTAGGGAAACATAGATTACCACGTCCTTACCAGGCTAAAAGAATACATCGGTACATCTACTACTAGTAGAGACGGAGCGCTCGAGTCCACTAAACTGAGAACGCGCAGGCTGAGCGCTGGTGTATTTCACAGAGGAAAGCTGGCACCGCCAAACAAGTAGTATTAGTACCAAACACAGTCGCGGTATCTCTCTGCGGGTCATGACAATGGAAGGGAAGTTTGGGTTTGGATTGAAACAAGAACCCGTAGAACGCGTGAGTTGCGAGGAATAGTGAGCAAGTCTACACGTCCTCTTGTGCCCCTAGAATCCTCATAAATGTACTGTACGTGACCACCTGATCCCTCATCCTCTCGATTTTCTCGACCTCCGCCGTAACATCATCCGTTTGGCCGAGTAACACGATGCTGGTCATAATGTCCTCAATGGTGTCCATGTGACACTCAAGAGCCCTGAAAGTGTGCAGAAGTTGCATCAGGAGAGCACCCGGCTCGAGCAATGGTTTGAAGTCTTCGTGCGCCTTGGAGAAGACGGCCGTGATTTCCGTTCCATTTGTAAGGAACTTGCGCTTGCTGTCCGCAATAGCGACGAGCGAGCTGTGTTGCCATTGCGCGATGTACCCGAACTTCTTCTTCACCGGATCGTACGCAGCGGCGGCGTACGCGTATATGTAGAAGAACGACTCCAGGTCGTGGCGATATTTGTAAACGGGAGGGGGGTCGGAACGCAGAAGGTCCATCGCCATGAAGGGTTCCGCACCGGTGCGATACCTCGGTTTTGGTGCGCGCTGCGACGATGAAGCCGTGACTTCCTGTTTGACATTCAAGTTGAACCGAGTCTTGATCTTGCTCATGAGCTGTCGCCACGAATGACCTGTCCCTTTGCTTGTATCCACGCTAACTGGCGGCCCCGCAGCGGCCACCTCGTCTGGAGGTCGTATAGATAGACGGTAGCCATTGTGATGATCCTCCGCAGGGTCCCAGTCGCAGACTACACCAGTGATTTGCCCGTCCTTTTCGCACCACATAATACTGTCGATGCTGAGATTGTGGCACAGCATCTTGGATGTCTCGTGGGCCCGCTGATGGGCTGTAGGGATCGTCACAGTTTGAATCATATGCCGCTGGGTTAAGCCACTCACCGCGGACAGCGCCGATAAGGACAGTGTGAAATCCATCCGCAGATCCAATGGTTTGAACAGGCTCATATCGCCGCAGAATCAGGGTACGGCGGACTCGAGAGTACCGATTTTCGTGACCGATATCTAGTATTGCACGACGGGGTAGGTCCGGTTCCATGTCTTCAGTGTGTTCACGTCCAACTAGGGCGCTTTCAAGACCACGACACGCTCTGAGTGTCTCAGTTTGGTCGACGTTGACCAGAGGGTATTGGACACGACTATGTGATGTATCTAGCCTAGACATGTCCAGCTGAGACTGCAAGGACTACTCGAGAGTGGTTGCTGAGACTGGCAAATCCTTCAATGACCGTTTGCTCCCAGCTTGAGAACTTGGAAGTTGTGGACGTGCATTGAATCGAAGTTGTGTCACGTTGCACGTGAGCGCGACCTTGGACCAGCGCTTCCACCCTCCTGCCACTCGGACAGTAACTTGAAATTCTTTTTACTCGCCGTGTTCTGTTACTTTGGGGACAAAAGGCCATATGTAGTCACGTTCGTAATTTCAAGGCAGACTCAGTCCGAGGCAATCTCAACCATTGTACCAGTGCTCGCTGGCGGGCAGACCTAGCATCTGGCCGCTACATGCTCAAATTGCACAAAGGACAGCTACACACTATCTCATTCTTCCGCTTCTCCCATGACTTTCATGAAGATACTGTATGTGACCAGCTCATCCCTCGCCCTCTGGATTTCCTCGATTTTGGCCTTCTGATGGTCCTGCAGACGGCCTCCGCGTGCCCTCGCCCGAACGTCGTCGATGTGATCCATGGCGCGCTCAAGGTCGTGGACAAGTCCCAAAGCCGGCACAAGACGCCGTCCAGCGTGACAAGGGGTTTGAAGGCTTCGTGCGCTGTTTCGACGATGTCTCGAATTCGCTGAATTTCGCGAGGAACTTGTGCTTGCTATCCCCGATGCGACCAGGGAACTGTGTTGCCATTCTTGATGTATCCGAAGACCTTGTTCGTCGGGTCGTACGCGCGGCAACGTAGACGTATTGTAGAAGAACGACTCAGGTCGTGGCGATATTGTGAAGGGGAGGGAGGCCTCGTGCAAGAGGTCCATCGCATGAAGGGTCCGGTGCCATACCGAGTTCCGACTTCTCTGGGTGGTTCGCCAAGCGGACGCCCGGGCTCGCTGCTGGAGATTCAGAGTTGCGGAGACCATTGCGAGGCTGGTTGCCACCGCGCCGTTCTGTGGCCGGACAGGAGTCTTCCTGCTGGATCTTCGCAGATCAAAGTCGCAGAGGACGCCAATGAATCGTCCATCTCGCAAGCACCACATGAGGTTGTTGATACTAATATCGCCGTGCAGTATGCCCGACGTCTTGTGGACCCAATAGTGAGCTGAGAATCGGTCAGCCAAGTGTAGATGTAGCCTTGACTCGGAAAATGTTCACGCACCACGGACTACATCAACGAAGACCGTGTGGAACGCGTCCGCGGACCCGATGTCTTCCAGACACTCGTAACGTTCGAGAACCATCGTTCGGCAGACGCGAAGGTCTTCATTTTCAAGAATGACACCCATCGCGCACCTTGGCAAGCTCATCTCCTCGATGCTCCTCGTCACCGAACATTTCAGATCGACAATGTGGTCGCAATACTTCTTGCTCTTCTCAACCAGCTTCCTGCGGACGACTATGATGGTCTGGTCTTCTGCTTGGTGAAGAGCGACCTGGGGCCATGCGATCTTCGCCACGAGCGGCTCCGACCCGCACAGCTGCGCCGCCTCGCCGCCCGGCGGCGCTGTGATGGGAACAACGAGGGTGCCCCGTCCCAGAAGACCAGATGGGATATGCATCGGTTCGTCCTGGTCGACGTCGAATTCAAGCTCGTGATTGCGCCATGCTCACCTGGGGCATCCAGTCGGAACTTCGCCCATGTGCAACCTCCTTGCGAGGAGCCATCGCGCGGTAAGGTCGCTCTACCAAAACTCTTGTCCAAACCGAGGTTACCCACGCCAACGAAACCCATGACAGAGACCACCGGCAAAGTATATCCCCTTGCATCTTCAGGGGAAGAGAAGGTCTTCGTGAAGACAAGCCCCATACGGTCACCGTAGATGAGGCGGACTTGATCATCCTCGACCAGCCAACCGAGCACGAACGTCCACACACTGGATGCCAAGACGCGGTACATGTAGTGGATTGCGCACAGTTCCCCTCGGGTCATAACGTGCGGTGGGTCGTTTGTCTGCGGCTCTGAGATGTCAGCAGGAGAAGATTGCGCGGGAGCAAGACGAAAGCGCTTGGGCCGAAGTGCGTCCAGATCTGAGTCGTTCGCTGCGTCGAGTTCTCGCCTCCGTTTGCTATCCACTCCGGCCTGGGAGTGCTGGTCTCCGGTTTCCAGTAGGCTAGGGATTCCTTTCCCGACAGAAGGCGAGGCATCCCCTGCTTCGGTACACGGCTGCGACGCACGAGCATTCTCCAGAGGCGTGAGGTGATCACTGCCGACACAGTTTGAGAAGCCACCGGCAGCGTGGTGAGGGGTTTCGCTCCCGTAGGCTTGCGTCAGGAACGAGTCTGCGAGACGGGCAATATGCATAATCTTGTTCGTCTTACCGTCCATCCAGGGTTCTCGGGCTCCGAGGAAACGAGACGACAGGAAGACGTCTACAATGCGTCCGGGGCAATACACCTGGCCAGGCACGACATCGAGGTGGTCTTCGTTGAGAACGGCACGCAAGTAATCCTCCACGGGGATATTCCATCGAATCTTGTCGCGAAAGTCGGAGCGGAAATAGTGTTCCTGTTTTGCTGTTAAGACAGTCCGAACAAAGCGCGGATGCTCGGCGCTCCGGGTCAATGCCACAGGTGCCCTAGGGACTGAACAGCGATACATGAGTGTCATTGAGCATGGCGACCAAAAATTACTTACGGTCGCTGGCAGCCTTACGTGCGCACGCACTGGAAACCCGGGTGCCAGAGTGATGAGGCAGGGGAGTGGATGCTATGGCCCTTGGGTGTCGATACGAGCCAGCAGGGCTTGTTGTAGGCATTGCACAGCAGTCGTAGTCGAGCAGCGTGCGGCGGTATCACCGTTGCAGTACCTCAACGGAACAGTTGAACGCAGTGCGTTGGAATAGACATCTGAGCGCTTTCGTGGCCACACCTCAGTAACGCACTTGGGTACTGCTGGAGTGTGATCTGAAACCGTTACGACTGACTTGAGACTGCACACAGCCTGGGACTGCCAGTTGTGGTATTTGCCTCCGCCGCAGGGCGCGGATGGGGCGGGCGTCGGACAGGCTGCGCCGACCGACGTGAGCGGGAAGGAGAGTGGCCGTGCACGTGGTGAGAGCGGTGCCGTCCCACGACCGCCGTGCCACCGCTGCCGCCCACCACCCCAGTCTCCTGCCTCCATCCGCTGTACACTAGCCATGGCCATCTTCCGGCGCAATAAGCCCAACGACGACGGCACACCCGGCGATGCCCCTAAGAAGGAGAAGGGCAGCTGGCGCAGGCCCGCGAGTGAGTAGTCCAATCGGCAACCTGGGAACCGGTCAGACTGACGGCTCTGTAGACACTGCGTTCAAGCAGCAGCGGCTCAAGGCCTGGCAGCCCATTCTGACACCAAAGACCGTCCTCCCTACGCTCTTTCTTATCGGTATTATATTTGCGCCTATAGGAGGGCTGCTGGTATGGGGGAGTGGTTTGGTACGCACGACCTATGATCACCCTGTGACCACCGACTGAACTGCGACCGCTGCACCGACCACAGGTTAGCGAGATGACCTTTGACTACACGCCATGCGATACCTTGCCGGCATCAACATCTGCCAGCGATCTCAACTGGCAAAATCTTACCAACTACTCCTACCGCCTCAAGTCGTCCGCATCAAATGCCCCTTACAATGCCCCCCAGTTTGCCTTCCTTAATCGCACGGACGACTCTTCTGCGAACATTTCCGAGAAACTACAGTGCTACGTCCAGTTCGACGTCCCCGTCGCCCTCGAGGCGCCTGTCTTCCTATACTACAAGCTCACGAACTACTACCAGAACCACCGGCGATACGTCAACAGCTACGACTCCGACCAGCTTAAGGGCCAGTACGTTAGTCCGAGCAGCCTTAACGGCGGCGACTGCAATCCGCTCGCGCGGGTCTGCAACGGGAGCGACTGCAAGGCGATCTACCCGTGCGGTCTGATCGCAAACTCCCTGTACAACGACAGCTACTCGAGCCTTAACCTTACGACCGATACGTCGACGACGTACTCCTTCTCCGAGTCAGGCATCGCGTGGCCGGGTGAGGCGAAGAAGTACGCGGAGACGCCGGGATACAGCCTCGACGAGATCGTCCCGCCGCCGAACTGGGGCAAACTCTACCCGAACTACACCTCCGACAACCCGCCGCCGAACCTCAGGACAGACGAGCACTTCCAGAACTGGATGCGCACCGCGGGCCTGCCGACGTTCACGAAGCTCTACGGCCGAAACGACAACGACGAGCTACAGAAGGGCCGGTACCAGATCATCGTAAACATGAGTGAGTCGTCTCGGGCAGACGCGGGGGACTGCGCGGCTGATGACTGCGCGCAGACTACCCTGTCAGAGGGTTTGGAGGAACGAAGTCAATTGTGATCTCGACCGTCTCCTGGATTGGAGGCAAGAACCCGTTCCTCGGGTGGGCATACGTCGCGTCCGCCGGTCTGCTCGTCCTGCTCGCGATCCTGGGCACGATCCGGCATCTGGTGCGACCAAGGTGTGTTAGCTTCCTCGCTATTTCCAACCCTTCTCACGACGCCCCCGCAGGAAACTGGGCGACATGTCGCTGTTGTCATGGAACCGGTGAGGGGTGTCCACGTCGGCGTTGCGAAAGAATTAGACGGGGGAGACGGGACAGGACATTCACTATGTGTACTATCATCTCGGGCATCGCGCTTGTTAATCCATCTCTATGCTGTATTTTCTGTCTTTCATCCACTGCCCTGCCCTCGGGCGTAGATCCTCCGTTGTGATGACCCGTGAAACGAATAGTACTCCTGGATAAGCTAACGATACGGAATAACCAAGCGCTACGTAGGTGACGAGTGTACAAATTATGGTAAGTACCAATAAGTGTGTGGAGGTATGTGAGGTGCATAAAGGTTTCCATCCGGGAGCGGGGAGTTACTTAAGGGGGGAGAGTGTATCCAAACGTCCGGGTGCTCTAAGGTCGGTCATCGACGCAATGTTTGACCAAGCTGCGGGTAGCATGATGAGACTCATGCGCTTCATGCACAACAACTGTCACTCACGTTTCTCCGCTGCTGACCCAGCCAACTCGTCGGCCCGCGTGCCTGCTGCTGCTTGCTCCCGAGCGCGTCTCGGGCCATGCGTATGCCATAGCCGTGAATGATGCTGAGCATGAGCGTCTGCTCGCGTGCGTATCGCTTCGTTTGCTCGGCGATGAGGCGCTGGTAAATGGCGTGTCAGCGAGTTCCGCAGTGCCGAGCGAGTGCAGCCTACTTTGAGCCGCGCCATCTCCTCTTCGAGGATCTTGATCTGTGAGCGGTAGCTGCCCTCGGCTTCGTCGAACGCGCCCTGTACGACACCTCAATTACCTAGTTGACAGCTTGTGAAGAGTTACGCACCGAAGGTACAGAGATGCCCTTCTTGGCATGTTCTTCTTTGAAGAGCTTGTCCTGCTCCTTGATGAACTGTGCAGAAATGTTAGGCAGCTCAGCACACATTCACGGGGTGTTCTTACATTGCGAGCTTTGAGGAGCTTGTCTTGTGTGGTCTTGAGCTGCTCCTTGTACTGGATGTTTCCTCGTGCATGGCCAGAAGACGTGCTTTGATGTCTTCGGGGACATCCTTGCCGGACAACGAAGCACGGAGGTCACTGTCAGGCATGATATGAGACTGGGCACAGCGAAGAACGTTCATCAGTGCTACGCACCCAATAGCACGCTCACGCTGGAGCATCCGATCTCGCTGGTCTATTCCCTCGCTCTGGAGACTGACTTTCTCTAGGAGCAGACCGTTGACCTGCTCAAGCTGCATTCGGTTCTTGTCTGAGAGGTCCTTGAGCTGGTCTTTAAGCTGCTGCATCTCGGTCTCCATCTCAGCCTTGTCCTCATTAACGGACTCCCGAAGGGTTGCGAGGATGTCGAGCTGGTCCTTGTTGACGAGGGTGACTACACCGACGTCAGAGCCCAAGCGACAATAGGGGAGAGATGCACTTACGGTCAGACTTGGCGATTGTCAACTCCTTGTTCATAGCGTCGAATTTGACTTCGAGCTCAGTGTGCTCTTTACGCAGCTCGTCTAATTGCTCGACAGTCTCGTTCAAGCGCTGGCGCAGCGCGATCGCAGCTTCCGCTCTGGGGGCTATGGTCAGTAACGTCGTCCAGTCACAGTCGCAATAACATGGTCTCACCCATCGCCCATCGACTTGCCGCTTCGAATCTCCTCTAGCTTTTGCTGCAGGACGAGCTGCTCTCTATGTGCGCCTAAGTAATCAGACTCATAGCGAGCCTTCATACGGTTGGCGTCGTCTAGCAGGTTCTCTAGCACGAGCACACGGCTTGCATCCGCCTCGTTCTTTCGGACTGCTTCCAACTCTCTCTGTAGTTTCCGCACCTGGAGCTTCAGGTCCGTCATAGTCGTGCCCGAGATTGCAGAGTCCAGCTCGTCGCCCAAACCCTGGACATCGTCGTCCTCGCCCTCCTGCTCCGCCGCCGCATCGCGGTTCAGGAGCTCCTCCTCCGTCATCTCTGCCATGTTTCCGCCCTCCTCGCCGTCCGCACGGGCCCGCGCGCTCTTGGCCGTGGGCGGCCGCGCTTGCGAGGAAAGCTCCAGCTCGCGCACGCGCTCCTGGTAGAGCTCGAGCGTCTCCGAGTCCTTTGCACGCTCGTCTTCGGTCACCTTGAGCTTCGTCTTCGTCTGGTCGAGGTCGAATTTGACCGCATCGAGCTCCTTGGTGCGCGCGGACATCTTTGTCTCCAGCTCAGCGATCTGCGTCTTGTACGAGTCCATGAGCGGCTTGAAGGCAGCGACCTTGCGGTACTCTTCCTCAAGCGAGGCGTTCTTGTCGACTAGGTCGGCGTTCTGCTTCTCGAGTGCCTGAAATTGAGAGTGAGACAAGTGCGTATGTTGGAATCAGAGGGGACGAGCGTGCCTTGACGTGCTGCCGGAGATCAGCGCCTTCTTGTAGCTTTTTCTTGTATTTTTCCATGACATTCTCCGTCTTCTGCAGTCTATCTGCCGCATGCCGGTATCTGCCAAATGCGTCAGAACTCGCCTGCACTGAGTGGAATGTCGCACTCGTCAACCTGGTCCTTCAGACGGGCGGCTTCGTCTGCCTTGACCTGCAGCTCGTCAATCTTCCGTGTGAGGTCCGTGACAAGCTTCGTCTGCTTGTCGAGCTCTGCTTCTGCCATGGCCAGATTGTCCTCACTCTTCTGGCTGTAATACTCCTCGCACGTCAGTCGACGGCACGGGCTGGCAAAGGATGTCCCGCTCACAGCTCAGTTCGGAGACGGTCCATCTCTGCCCGCATCATGGTATCCCCCTGTGTCAACCCGTTTGTTCTCTGCCTCGCGCTGTGCTGCCTGAGTTGAGCGAGCGCATCGTCCTTCTCTGAGACGGCGTCGTCGAAGTTCGTCTGCAGCGTACGATGCTCCTCCAGCAGAGTCTGATATACTTTCTCCAGGGTCTCTTTTCTGAGAGGATCTTGCTCCGCTCAGATTGCAGGTTATAGTAGTGGTCATCCCTGGATGTTAACCTACTGAGTACCGCGAGAATGTCACAATGGGTGTATACGCACTCGGTCATGCTAGCATCGCCCGTGCCGTACGCCCGACGCCTTACCTTCGACATAACCTGCTCAATGACACGCATGAGCGAGTGCTGCTCCGACTCCGTCAGACGCTGTATCTTCTCGATGATGTCCTTGTTGTTCTCGCACTGCACGGCGATGGCGATGGTGAGCCGACACATGCTGAGAGTCGCTGGTACATGGTAGTCCTGTGCAACGGCCTGCAGGTCCGGCACCTCCAGCGCACTGTTCGGCTGGTGAAGGACATCCGAGAAATACTGGGTCATGAGTCGGAACAGACGTTTCAACGAGCTGAACCGAAGGACCCAGTTGTCCGAGGGCTGTGCGGAAGGGCGCGTCGGTTGGCGGAAGTATTCCGCATCGCTATATGCATTCGTGGCGTGAAATGGTGCCGCCGACACGAGAGCGGAGTACGTACACAGCAGAGAGCACTTCGAAAAGGGCTGCGCCGTCCGAGAGGTCAGCGACGGTTGTCACCGGGCGAGGGAGGTCGAATGTGGCGAAGAACGAGAAGAATGCGTTCAGCTCCTTGCGCTGAGCATCACCCATGGTCGCTTGCTGGTCGTGCGGATACCTGATCTCGCGGCAGTGGTGGTGGTCGGCGTCGGGCTCAGCGTCGAGCGGGTAGTAAATAGGCGCTGCGACGCGTCGCACGCGTGCCCGCGCTTCACTGGCCGCGCCACAACCTACTTACACGGCGCTACTATAGTACATGAACGACCTCACCGCACTCGTCCCCAATTATGCCGGTAATCATACTGGCTTAGGCTTGAACGCAAGGCTTACTTATTCCACGCGTACCTCGCGTATTTCTTGAACGTCTCTTCGATCTTTCGAGCGCAGTCAGATCCGTGCACTGCGTACTATGGCCGCAACTGAAATCACTCTGGACGGTAGCGTCCTCGAAGGTGGTGGTCAACTGCTTCGAAACGCTGTGGCATTGTCCACGTTACTCTGCCAGCCCATAACCATCCAGAACATACGCGCCGGTCGAAGCCCACCAGGCCTCAAGGCGCAGCATGCAGCAGGTGATGCCTATTCTTAGCAGCAGCAGCCTACTGTTACTGCATATTAGGGCTCATTGACCGCTGGTACAGGCCTTCGTCTCGTCGCTGAACTATGCCAGGGACAGTTATCGGGAAGCGATCCTGGTACCACAGAAATTCACTATCGACCTGGCCCCGACATGCAGCTGTCGAGGATCTACACCGCCGACCCAGGGACAGCAGGAGCAACGACTCTTCTTCTGCAAGTTCCTTCCCGTGTCTCCTCTTCTCGCCCGGAAGGTCAGCCTCGAACGAGCATACCGAGCTGGTGCTGTGCGGCGGCACGAATGCCATCCAAGCACCCCAGATTGACTACACCGCCCATGTCTTCCTGCCCTTCATGAAACGCCACTTTGGGCTGTCTCCGGACTTGCAAGTGAAGAAACGCGGCTACTATCCAAAGGGCGGTGGTCGAGTGCGTGTCCTAGTGCCTACTGTACCCGGACCTCTACCCTCTGTGAACCTAATCAACCGGGGCAAGGTGATCGCCGTGCGTGGTCGTTCATATGTCGCCGGCCTCCCCGCACACTTGGCAGCGTCCATGCGTAATGCTGCAATGGCGATCCTAAAGCAGGCGGGCATTCTTCCCGATGTAATTGACATAGAGGCGATCAGGGAAGATCCCAGTGACGCTGTGGGAAGCGGATCTGGTATCGTGCTTTGGGCTGAGACGGATGGTGGCTGCGTGCTGGGTGGCAGCGCTGTCGGTGTTAAGGGGAAGAAGCCAGCGAAGGTCGGCGAGGAGGCCGCGGGGGAGCTGGTTCGGAATTTGGGGTACGAAGGATGTGTGGACGAACACATGCAGGTGCGTATCATGAATTGTGTACGTCTTCTTAGCTTCTGAGGCTCTTGTATACAGGATCAGGTGATCATCTTCATTGCCCTTGCCCAGGGCAGGTCCACCGTGAAGACGGGTCCTCTCACCCTGCACACGAAGTAAGCTTTGCTTGTCTGCACCCGGCTCGAACCTTCCTTACATTGGCACACCCGTTAGAACCGCAATATGGGTGACGGAACAACTGACGAAGGCGAAGTTCGAGATACATGAAGAATCTGAAAACTCCTTCATCATTCGATGCGATGGGATTGGCTACACGAGATCTGGTAACACACTGTCAATAGAATCGTGATTTGCTGCTGCTCAGCGGGACAAGGTCTGTCAGTGCCGGCACCACTACATTGAACCCCCTGGTTCAACAATATTCGGTCTGCTCGGGTACAATACAGCCATGTCTGTCAGAGTCTTTGCGGGTATGTATAACTGCGCTATGTTGGGAAGCATGAGATCTCGGCAACGTACCGTTATAGTAAGTCGACGACGGAGAGTCCTTTCTCGAGCCCCGTTTGGACTTCGGACAACTCCGCCTGTGGAGTTGCACCGCGGCTGCATCGCACCGCGCCGGTCCATGACTATCTGACTTGCTGGGATTCCGACCCTATATCGTTGCACTCATGCTACAAGGTTCCTGGGCCGTCCGCGCCTGGTGCTGCGTACACTATCTCATACTTACGTCGATGTGTCGAGATGCTCTCACTACGGTGTTATGTCCCGGGCCCGGGCGCGATCGATGCAGGCCAATCGCCTATGACAGGATCAGACGGTGGAACGACAGGGAAGCATACCTCCGCAGGGTTCATCGACGCTCCTGGCGGAACGGGCATTCGCTAAATCTCTGACTCTGAGCTGACTGGAGGTGAGGGTGGCATCCACGTCGTACGTGCGCTGAACCCTGCCCAGTCACGTTTAACCGACACAATCGCGCGCCGGTACCTGTACCGCTCGAATACGGCTATGGACCACGATCCGCGTGCCTCGGGAAGGCACAGTTAGGTTTTCGGGCTACTGTTAGGGCCCGGCAACGGACAGTAATTACTGATCCGGATGCGGGCCCATATGCGACCGCAGTCCCGGACCCCGTATTGTCCCTCCCGTGGCGATCTTGTAGCGTTCCGGGGAGAATGAGCGTGGGCTAGCATATGACCTAACCGCAACGTTCACGGCCTCATGATGTGCAGCGGTTGACTGCGAAGCTCACAGCATGGACGTAAAGGGAGTTCGCCGTCCCGTGAAGCGGGTGCGAGCCTCGGAAGGGAGCGGGGAACAAGACAGAACAACCTGCGGCGATACCACCGCTATTTTGCTATGTCGGGCGCGGACAGAACGCTGATATTTTTTCCCTGCTTCCAACGGCGCCCGCCATTTTTGGACCTCAGGGAGGCTCCCTGTGAGAACTTGAAGGCGACCGGCATTGGAGAGATCCGAAGACTTCAAGGGAAGTGACCATTGCCGGGCTATCCACACGACGGCGTAGCACGAAGAGAACCGAGCTGGATCTTCGTCTGATGTACTGTGGAAGCAAGAATGAAAGGCTCACCTCTATTGGCTGCACAAAGCCACACGAGTCGAGCACGGAGACCGCAAGTGGAGGAGAGGCGGCGCAAATGTAGACAAATAGCGGTTATGACCGAGAACCAGGAGCCCTTTGGGCGACACGAGTCCGATGACTATATGGAAGCGCTAGGCGACAATCGAGTCGCCGCATTTTCATTAGGGTCGACTTGGGACCGACAAGTTGGTCGCGAGGTCTTACTGTTAAGGCAATGAGGCAGTGTGTAAGTACCTGTATAAAACGTAAGTGTCTGTAAACAATACAATGAGCCGTGGATTTTTTGTATTGGACACGTACGTGCCTTTGAATGGTGCCGTATCCGTCACTAGTGGCGGAGGAGCGCGAGTCTTCAAGCTTCAAGCATGATCGCTGTGAGTGCCAGAATGATGAACAGGGTCATTGACGGCACTGGATATGCGAAGGTAATGATGCTCGAGCGGTGAGGAATGAGGGCTCATTTTATATGTGAGATGCATGCGGCTACTGGTCTCCGTGACGGACAGAAAATGTCAATGAGCCTAAGGTGAAGAGCGCAGTGAGGGCTTCCTGACTGAAGAAGGTGATATCGTTTGATCAGAGGCAGCGGCAAGTCCAAACTGGCTTTATAATTCTCGCCTTGTAGTTCTTCGATGGGGGATGCTGGCGGCGACGGCACACAGGATGCGAGCCTGCTCATGGTAGGCGTACTGGCGATCGAGAACACCTGCTAAATTGGGAAGGCGCACAGCAGCATCAGGCAACCCGGCCCTCCCCGCTCAAACAAGTACACGCCTCTGGGCGAGGCTTCAAAAGACCGCATCGATGTCGAAGCGAAGCTGAGGGCGCCTGGTAATGTCGGTCTAATCACAGCACTCGAATACTCAGGCTGGCACGTCTGAGCGCCAGCCGGTGTGCAAGAATGCTTCAACTGGGAATCCACATACCGAGTACGGTACCTTGCCGTGACACGTGTCCTCTTGCCTGGCAATACCACACGGCTGTGCGGTGTCTAGCTCCATGAAGAGCAGCCATGCTGCCCGCATTAGAAAAATCGTGGTAGTCACGAGGCATAGTTTGGTAGTACCGTAGCTGAACTCTGTAGCCATTTACCCGGGTGTTGGCTGACGCGCTCTGCTATAAGTCATCAAAGCAGCTGCTCTGCGTGCGCTGGGGTGACGCTGAGTTTTCCCCCCCGATGCATTGTGCGAGCTCACACCTCGAGATCCCAGCGCCGGTTCGATTCAAAAGCGTCGTGAGTACTATTAGGATGTACCATTCTGATCACAGATCAGGTTCAAACCAATATTAGCGCACTACGTACCTTGGGTCGCTGGATCGGTGATTGCCAGTCAGTCTTAGATGTCTAGATCCTGGCTCGTTTGGCAACAAGAGACAAAAGCTCAGGCAGTCCGAATGGCCGCGGTCAGTCTCGACTCTGAGGTTGTGACAGTAGATGATGAGGCCGGGACGACGTCCCCCACGTGATCTACCCTCTCGGGCACTTGAATTGTTCTTGCGCGGCGATGCCTCTTGTTACTCGTATCATCCCCGTGTCGGTCGCAGTCATCGTCCCGTCCCCAGTCCACATTGCACCAGCGCCTTTTGGATGAAGGTTGTGTCGAGTAGAGTTCACAACGGCGGGTAGCGAAGTAAGTCACTTCTCCGGACCCTGAGGAACGTGGGATGAACAGGACATTACCAAATATGGCAACGGCGACTTGCAAACGCTGTATATCAGCGTATTCCATTCCGGTGTAGGTCATCAGACATATGGCACCTGCAGGCAGCCGCAGACCAGGGCCTGGTATGGTTGGATACAACACTCCGTGAGCTCCTCCAATGAGCGTAGTTTACATAAGGAGTCATCCCACACGTACTACATAAGTCCCTGAGGCAGCGCTATCTCCAGGACTTTGGCCCCCAATCATAAGGCCTACAGCTCAACTACAACTGGTCATAACCTCGCACAGGCTCGACAGTCTCAGGCGGAGACTAGTATTGTCGCATCGTAGCGCCGGGCCTTGTCCATCGATGCCTCCAAGCAATCTCGTAGGCGTCATTAAGTTCTCTTGCCCGATATCCGCAGCTAACACGTTACGGAATGCTACAGGTAGTACAGCCCCAGAGTCCCCTCCCGATAGGCAGGTCTGTCCATTTCGTCTCAGGGCCGTTCGCAAATAGAACGGTCCGTGCCGAACTAGACGAGTTGCAGAAGGCAGATCTGGGCCGCAAGTGAGCGGAGCGATTCAGTACTGCGAGAGACCACACTGATTGGATTGATCATCAAGGTGTGGCAACAGAGATAGAAGGCCATTGGACCCTCCACCTGTCGTGCGTCTCAGGCTGTTCGAGACATTCAACGAAGGTACGCCCCAAGAGTCAGAACGTGAGGTCTCTGATGTGAAGTGAGTTCTCCTACACGGTCGTAACATTGCAAAGCTAACGATCCGATGTTCGTCTTGGAGCAGCGAAGCAGTCGCATATGGATTTATATGCTACGTCGACCTCTTCCAGTGGCCGCCTCCTCCATGCCCGAATGACGCAGAACCACAGCGAGAGCCATCGCCCCCGAAAACCATTCCGCGTCCCACAGGTCCCCGCTCAGAAGCGTTGCCGTCTCTGGCTTCGATTATGACACAGTTAGTTCCTAGTTCCAGTGCGAGAGCCGACCCACATGGCATGGCGTATCCATCTAGCTCCGGCGCAGGTCCTTCTCGTCTTCCTCTGCGACCTGGGCCTCCCGCTCATACGCCAGAAAGGCCCCTTCCGGGCACCCTCCGCGTCAGCGATCTGCCGTTGACCTTGCCCAGTTTCTATTACGCTCCTGCAAATGCTGCGGGGCCTGAAATGGAACAACATCCATCGGGCCAGAGAGATCACAGCCCGGAAAGCGCTGCTGTCGTTGACGGTGTGCCCGTCCCGGAGTATTCGAGTCGTACGCACGCGTTTGTGGGTGCCACTTTCGTGTCAGCGTCTTGTTTCCACCATGAAGGCAGGCCAACACTTTTGTTCGTATTCCCGGTCAGTGGTGCCGGATCAAAGCGGGTGGCTATTTCTGACGTCGATGCTCGCCTGTAGGATCTCGCCTGCAACATGGACGGAACGTTCTTGCTCCGGTACCGAGCACTGAACCTTTTCGGCTCTGCACTCGAGACACATACACTACCCGTCTTCGCTGAGTGCTGGGGCGGTCCTGTCATCGTCTACCCCACCAAGGACTTCCCAGGACTAGCGGAGTCAACAGAGCTGACAAAGGTGCGCAACCTTGAGTAGACCTCCCAAGTCGGCGTCACGCTGACATTCTTCCCAGTACCTCTCTCGCTTTGGTGTCCCCGTGAACATACGACAAGGTGAGCGCAAGAAGAGGAACAGAGGCGAGAAGGAGAAGATTGAAGTTCGCGGGTCCTGAAATTTGTCGTCCACTGAGCTTGACACAATGGGGCAATACCCACCTGATACCGGGACGGCGGCTGCGCTAACGACCGGCGCGTTTTCATCCATTGTGGGCCTGTCAAGAGGACACATAAAATACGCCATGTCTACCTGAGGACGATCTATGAGTAGGTAGTGTATGTGCTAGCATATGGACAGACATCATGGCATGACATGCACGCAACTCAATGTTTGCTCACAAAATCCCGTGTATCCATAGTTAGACCGGAAGGACACCGATACTGTAGCATTCGTCTTGCGGACTGGGCCGGCTTCAGCCTGCTGTGGGCATCTTTCCTTGACTCTTATGTTTCGGAGGACATGGATTACTGTATAGCTACATCGACGTAGTACCGTGCACGGATCATCCACCGATTACCTCAGGCTCGGCTGGACCGTCTGTATCTAGATTCTGTTAATATAAACTTCCAGCCTTTTGAAAATGTGAAGCTAGCTACATAACATAGAGCATCAGCGCGACTAGTGTGTGAGCGTGGTGCGCGTACGCGTCGCGACGGCCAGTAGGTAATTTGTATCTCACGTGACCGTGATACCACTAGCGCATCTGAGTCTGGCCGCAGATCGAGAGACAGGCCGGGCCACATTGCATCCCCACGACCGTGCTCTTCTATGTCGCGCGCTGTATTCTCGTAGCCGATGTCGCCTTCTGAGCAATGTCAGGCTTCGAAGCATACAAGATACCTTTTCATTCGCGAAGCTGCTGCGCGCCAGACACGCGCGCACGAACACTTCGGATCCAGGATGTGGTACAAATTGTTACCATTCAGGGATCCACAGGGGCATCCGAAGACCCATCAGTCACATCTGAGCACATTTCCGATGGCATGAGCGCGGAAGACGCCTTTACAACTCAGAAAATTAGTCAAGCGAGATGCCGGGAGACGGACAATTCGTGCGGACACCTTCCTTCACCTACACCGCCAGTTCGGAACCAGATGGCAGCCACCCGGCCCGGTCAGCCCCGCACATCCCCGCGGACACGCCCGAGCCAGCCGGCGTTCACGTGTGGTCCATGTTTGGAAGAAGATGGAGTTGCCGTGAACTCATCGCCAGTCGGTCGCCAGATGGCTGAACAGGTGGTCGATGCCTGGATTCACGGCGTCCGGCCACTGTATATCATACCCTTATTTCATTTGTCCTCTCTCTTCTTGTCTACACAATTGGCCAGTCCAAGGCTCGGAGGGCTGCGTGGTTCACAAAGGTCACGGTGTGTATCGCAGCGATGTATCAAAAGTACATAATGGCATCCAATTGAATCCTCTAGTCATCTTATTCACCCTCACTCCGGTCTCAATGCCCGACTTCCACATCGACCTGGGATTGACACCATCAAGGTCGGGCGTGTGAGGTATAGTTTGCCATGGTGTTGCCAAGGATCGAGAGGGAGGGTGGACGTGTTGCTCTGCAGCGCGCTCAGGACCGACGAGCGGTTGAAGAACCGTGTCCTGCCGCGCATACACCCGTCAGCACAACAAATCGCCTCCCAAAGTCGAAGCACACTCACAAGACACCCTTGTTCACGAACTCGGTGTTCAACTTGAACACACCGCTGCTGTCAGCCGTGAACGCCATACCCTGCGAGCTTGGTATCGGTGTTGTGACGACGCAGCCCTCGTGGTTGTTCGCCGCGGTGGAGCAGTCCATGGAGGTGATAGTGTGAGTCAGTACAATATGCTCAGTGTCTCTGATAAAATACGCAGATATTATCCGAATGCGGTTGACGAAGAAATACATGTACTACGAGTACATGCTTTCGCCAGCTGGCAGGTGCACATCGACTGAGGGGGTTGCGAGGGCACGACCGTGTGCTCACAGTCCGCTCTGTCGACGTGTACGCAATGACTATGCCACATGCGTAGTATGGATACAAAAATTTCGCCGGCCTCCAGGTGCACGTCGACAGAGTGGACTGCGAGCGCACGGTCGCGCTCTCGCAACTTCTCTGTCGACGTGCACTTCGTGAGCGCCTTTGATTTCCTCTCGTGGTGCGCGCGTACTGATCAGCGAGGGGATGACCGTAAATATTGCAGGTGTTAGACTTAGCAAGAGCATGTACAGAATGCACCTGGCAGCGAGGACGGAAGTCTCGGGCATGTGTGCATAACAGTGAGTGATTGTAAGCGGGGACTCGGGCTCCACGTGGCTGAAAGGGGCACCTCGGTGATTCGAAGGCCTCTAAGACGACACCGATTCACTGCTTGTCCCGAGTGCGCCCTCTGCCTGTGAAGATGTCCGATCCACCTGTGTCGCCTCGACACGAGCCATCGGACAACTACATGTATGATCAACCGACTTGGTCAGACCTTGACGAAGGAAGGATCCCCGATGTTTACCGCGGACTGAGCCCTCCCCGCGAACCTCGCATTGCAAGCCTCATGTCGACATTCAGGACGGCAAAGTATGATTGTGCCCACTGTATATGTGTGATTCATACTCACCAATGTTTGATGACAGACTATACAGGCATGGAGGGCCGCTTGATTCCCAATTACCTGCGAGTGACTTGGACGACGAGGATGAAGGAGTCACTCAGGCTGCGGGGGTCGACAACACTGGGGATGCCAATAGTAAGTCCTGTTTCATCCATTGATTTTTCAATGGCCGACCATGACATCCGGCAGACGAGCTTGCAGGGTACTCCCAGGAAGAAGCAAATGAGCGCCCTGTTGTACTTGATGCAGAGACGACGGTTGAAGGTACGATACTACGATCCTCTGACATTCATGTATTATATGCTCATACAAGTTTGTACAGATCAAAAATCCGCGGAAGATACAATTAAGGAGTTGCGGGCGCAGCTTCGCCGAGCAGAGAACGAGGCATATGAATTCTGTGGCCGGTGGACGTATGCTCGTGCACGCATCTATCAACTGGAAAACTTCATTCCAGCAGCACAGCTCGCCAAACTTGGTCGGCCGCATCCGATCTTAGCCTTTGCGGCGGGAGAGAGAGAGAGGAGAGACGAGCGAGTAGTAGTCGTGGAAGGTCATGGACCAGGAGAGGATGATGTGTTGCCTGTCGTCGCGGGAGTGAAGCGGAAATTTGGATCGTTGTGACGCAATGTTATATATCTCAATTCGGAGGGGGTATAACAGATCTATTGACGTGCGATGTGATGCAGTTGTCAGCCTGAGCCTGTACTCGGTGGAAGAGTCGTGGCGAGAGACTTTGCGAAATTGTTCAGTTGAACGTGATCGCGCGTCAACGCGGGGTCCTTGCTCAATGTCGACATGTCACCACCAGGCCAATACTTGCAATCCTTGTCCACGTATTTCTGAACAACCCTCCACGTGCATAATGAGTTGATAACCACGAGAACTGCATATTGTATTCGACTTACTTCGAAATTCCGGCGGCGTCTTTGCCTTTGGTACGAATCTTGCGCAGGGTTTCATCAACAACTGCCCAATAATTCTCGTTGTCGGGGTTGCTTTTGAGTACGTCGCGCTGTAAGTTATCATTCATTAATGCTGTATGGGAAATTCTGTGCGTGTTCATACCAAGATCGCAATGCGTGCGCACAATGCTGCGGTGGCTACGACACCCGTATGTTTCACCGACTTTGTACCAATCTGCACGATGGACTGCGTGAGCTTGACAAGATGTGTGCCTTTTTTATACGGTGCCTCCAGCTGACTGAATTCGGAACGATTAAAGGACTTTTCAATCTGTGAGTGGACCCGACAGTCGTCAAATGTCAATGTCACCATTGGACGTGTTATAAAATCCTACTCACTCGCTTCTTGATATCACCTTTACGCTGTGTGAGACAGTGACGTGCACAATCCTCGAGAATCGCCCACTTCCCGTCGTCGGTGTGTCGTGCATTGGCCAAGTGAGTGCCTGAAAGAAGCTTGGTTTCGACGAGGGCCTACAAATCATTCAGTTGCAACAGTGGTTGGCGTGATGCATAAGTCACTTACCATGACTTTGTTGACAGGTACGTCACCATCATATATCCCAATCTCCGAACACAACAGAAGCCGAATGGCATACTTGTTGATATTGGTCTGCACGGTGAATAGATTGTTGAGTCATCTGCACTGGTTTGTCGTTGCATCAATGAGATGGAACCACGAACCTTTAATTCGTCTGGAATCTTCCAAGGCCCCTCAGGAGCGGTGAGAGCTCCGAGCGACTGCGCAATAGCAAGTGCGGTCGCATATGCCATGACTTGGCGTTCCGAATCTCCAGCCTGTGGTACAGCCGAGTGTTTGACGTTGACAACGAACTCATATAAATATTATCAGGCTTCAGGTAACTGCTCAGTGCTCACCAATATGAACCGTTTCAGCTCCCCTTTGGCCTCTGGCGTGAGCCGTTTGGCGGCAGCCTGAGCATCGAGATATTGAAGTTCAGCATCCCGTCGCAACGTTGCAGATTGCAGCGGTGTCGTGCTTGGGTTCTCCGGCGGGAGCACCGAGTCATTGTCGTTGAGACCTGGAGAAGGTGAGACACGGGGTGAAGGTGTTGCCGAGGTAATGTCATTGCTGACAGGACCCAGGTCGGCATCTTCTTGAATCGGTAAGGCAGCAGCCGGTTCCAATGGAGAGGATAGTGGAAGCTGCTGTGTGGGGTCATCGAGAAATGCATCAAGGTCGTCGTGGTCCATGGCACAAAGGACGACCAGGATGGACTGAGTGAATGAAAGGTGAGGAGGAGGAATCAGGTGAAGGTGACAATGCAATTGACTTTTCAGGTGCGCGGCAAAGTCGACAGCGGAAAGTGCCGCGGATTGGCACTCACCAAAACTGGACATCGGCGAGCTGTACAGTCGTAAAGCCATGCCTGCTGCTCGGAAAGCTCTGCCAGAGGGCCACGGTGAGAATCATTGAATGCCTGACAGTAGTGATCAATACTTACACTCGTATAGGACTCGAGGAGTTGCCAGATGGCAGCATCCTTTGCACAGTCTGTACCTCTATAAGCAGCCATGGTGCATGCACCATCCAGCGCAACGGGATTCAGCGGCATATCAACCAGAGCGAGCGTCATAAGAAAGCTTACCTCGTGTCCCAGGAACGTCACGAGGAAGAGCAACGCAGTCTGCGGGCAGCAAGAGATCGTGACCTCACTGCTGCAGCATTACAGCCTGTCGATCCAGCAGAGATACAAAGACAAGCTCAGTCTCGCTTCAATGGCGCCGAGACGTCCGAGGGATTCACTGGGATCAACACACACAATGAGATTCTTTATGACCAGCTCGGAGATGTTCTTATGTTCTCTGCAGGCGAAGACGACGAAGCGATTCGAGAGGCTGCTTTATCGCACGAAATTGAGCACTTCGACATGTATGGCCAAACAGTGAACCTACCAGCATATTTTGGGCCCGACTTCTTCCTCCAGGATGACGACGAAACTGGCGAGGATTTTGATGCAACAAGGACCAATGTTGCAGACATGTTTGACGAGCTCGGTGTGTCACCATTAGCCCAGTTATGCATAGACACAGATATGTCGACTGACCTTGCCTGTCTAGCTTTGTCTGACTTTGATATCGAAGACAATACGGAGCTCAACAGCTCGACAAGCTCAAAACCCGGTGATCAGTGGTATCCATACGGATCAAAAGTGGTACATATGCGCAGTCGGTACCACTGAGACCGAGGGAACTGACCACCCACCAGACGTTTGTTCTCGACATGCTGGACAACATGCCGCGTCTACGACTGTCAACTGATCATCTAAAACTCTTCATCTGGGCCCTCAATGAGCTGGGAGTTTCTGATGTACCGTCATTCAAGCGGTTTCGGGAGACACAAGATCGGCTCACCAAGCTTTCAAATGTTCGCACGAACCTGCGAAAGTCACCGGAAGGCGAGCCGTTCTACCAGAATTCCATCCCGGACTTGCTCGGTTTGGTAAGCGACTCAGTTTGTCCTCGGATGTCACCTCACCAAAGACAACCTTCGTTAACCTTCGTTAGGATTGGGCAAACCCCGAAATTCGACCATGGATCGAAGAATATCCTGTCAGGTCAACCAGAGTCAGCGAATCATTCCATAGTGGTAAATGGGTCGAGAAGATACCATCCGAAATGCAGGCCCCAATGTGGGCCGATGGAGGGAAGCATTATTACCTTGGCGAGCTGGCGCAGTTGGCCGACGGACGCTTTGTAATCCCACAAGCATGGTTCCGGAAGGTCTAACACGGAGAAGTATTCTTTGATGCTCTCGAGGTAGTTCAAAACGGTCAATCGGTGAGTGCCACCTCATGTACAACCTATAACTCACTTGGTTGACCCTGCGAGATACAGCTACGCATTCACACCAATTCCCTGCTCGAAATCAGTACCTTGCAGTTGGTTTACAACTGTTTCGAGCTCGCAGACCGGTCATACGAACTGACTGACTCTGGTAAGCATGTTCTCATGTATAGCTACACAGACGTGTTGTATAAGCGAGCACTGACCTGAAAAACAGGAGCCGAGCTGCCAGAAGGTGTGTACCCCGGCGCCAACCCATTGCGCGAGTTTTCCAAAGGCCGCCGGATGTATACAAGCTTTGTAAAGGCCTGGGGAGATGATGTATCAGGAAATCGAAGCAAGCAGTATAACGAACACACCAACATATACTTCGCACATGCCAATCTTCCTCATGCCAAGCTGTCACAGGAGTACTTCGTGCAATTCGCATCGACGTCACCGACAGCCAGTGCCGTCGATCAGTTTGGGGCCCTCATGAAAGATACCGAGTAAGCAAGACTCAGACGTCACTGATTGACATGGCTTTGACTCACCCAAATGAACACAGGGAGTGGCATCTCGTATATGACTGCGACCTCGGGGAGGAGATCATGATTCGGATAGTCCCGTTACTCTTTCCAGCCGATAACCCTCAACAGTCCGAGCTGTGCTCGCACATTGGTCTAAAAGGGAATTCTTGGTGTCGGAAGTGTACCCTCGGTGGGACAGACCGAGAGAGAGAGACCGATGAGGTATATCATCAGCATTTCTCCGTGAGTAGCATCAACACAATTCATCGCACCGTACATGATTTTTTTTGCTAATTGCTATGTATCAGCCATCAAGGCTGAGGACGGCCATCGAAACACGGGCAGCAGTGATTGCTCAGCTGAGATTGGCTGCTCTTGGTGTTGCGAAAGACGTTGAGGATCTGCAAACCAAGACGGGCGTCAAAGACAAGCTCGCTGAACGCTGGATACAGCAACTGCTGCAACGTGCGAGGGAGGAACAACAGCTCCGCCTCTACAATCGTGAGACACGAGACCCGCGTCTGAATCAGCGCAATCACCCTAACCGGGCAGCGATCGTGAAAACAATCAAGGAGACGATTCAAGAAGAACTTCTGCAGTGGGTTGTGGCACAGCCGAGCGAGGATTATAACACCTTACCACCAGATTCCCGTAAACACTCCTCCATCACTCATATCGCTTCACGCTGACGACTGTACCATACTAGCGTGGAGAACGACATTCAGGCCAGGTATTCATTACAATTCTCTCCTTGTGCTCAAAGGTCAGTGGGCACCGTGCGACCGAGAGGACATGCGCACTCACACGGTCGGAGTACAGCCGGCGACATACATGCAGATACTCCCGTCGAAATACTGCACACTTATCTCCTTGGCGCCGACAAGTATGCCTGGCACCATCTGCACTCATCATGGAAGCCTGCACAGCACGAATTATTCGCCACGCGCCTGCGTTCCGCTTCAATTGAAGGACTCAACATACCACCTGTTCGCGCCTCGTATATTGTGCAATACAAGAACGGTCTCATTGGCAAGCACTTCAAGGCTTTACAGCAACTCGGTATCTTCCAGCTCGATGACGCCCTGTGCAATGATCTTGTGTTTGATCTCTGGAGAGCAACAGGTGAGCTGGGGGCAATGCTCTGGTACGACGAGATAGAAAACATGGAAGAGTACCTGGTAATCATGCCTCATTGTGTTCTCGCTTTCGCACTGATTTTGGAACCGTATCCCAGGCCGATCTCGAAACGCTCATTGCCAACGTCCTCGACATCTGGTCTGTGATTGATCCTAAGCGCATCTTCGTCAAGCCCAAGCTCCACACCTTACCTCACATCCTCGCTGATGTTCGCCTGCACGGACCACTCATCCTGTATGCCACGGAGATCTTCGAGTGCTTCAACGCCGTGTTCCGCCTCTGTAGTGTCCTGTCGAATCATCAAGCCCCAAGTCGTGATATCGCATGGACATTCGCAGACCTGGGTCGTTTCAAGCACGCAGTGAGTGGTGGTTGGTGGAAGGATGAGTCGGGGAGACACGTACGTGCTGGTGAGAAGGTTCGGCAGTATTTCCAAAACGTCGAAGTGCAGCGGCGCCTGGGATACGTCGCGCGCTCCGTCGCTAGCGCAGGTAAGTGTCGGAGCTGTACACATGACATGGGAAGACTCACACGGAGTTCACGTCATTATGATTTTATAGGAACAGTGCATTGCAAGAAGAAAGATCAGACGCATGGGAAAGAGCTTCTATGGGCGAACTTACCATACCTGCGCAGCATGACGATCGACAGCATCCAGCTCGAGACAGGGAGCAAATGGTTCAATTCGACGTCCGTAATCTCGCAGCACAATGAGCGATGTGCTGAAGGCTCGTGGGTCTTCTGTAATCGAAACGTGAGCAGATCGCACCCCGACCGTCATTAAGACTTACGGAGAACCTGTCGTTACGAACTTAGGGACGCATGTTGATTGGCCGGATTGTGCGAATTATGACACCGGTGCCGCAAGCCCTGGTCCACACCGAAATAGCTGTTGTCGTCGTTGAAGAATTCACGTTGCCGAACAGCTGCCATCCGCGTTTCAATATGCCCGAACTGACCAAGCACAATGAGGAAGCGACTTACACGGCATTGCTCCCCTCCGTAAGTCTCATTGTTGAATCCAAGAGGTTTCATTCACTAACTGCGGCATCCGGTGCCCTAGGAAGTGATGTTCATTGTGAACGTGCAGCACAATTGCCTGGACGGAAAGTGTCGTCCTACTGGCATCCGGCGATGCGTTCGTGAGCGAATGGAGACCGAGATCACGCAAACATTCATTGAACACACCAACGACACGCACTATATCCTCAATATGCACGCGCTGCACAATGCCAGGCTCATTCGGAAGGTCTTACCGCGCCACCTGACAAAGCCGACCCCATATCTGAACAATCGGAATGATGAACATAAGAAGATGGCTGCCTCGTTGCGGGCTGCCCAAGATGTCCAGCGAGCCAAAGAGGCGGCCGCGCGCAAGGAACGCGCGAATGCTCGTCTCGGCAAAGCGCCTGCTGGCCAAAATTCCGGCGCCAGCATCCCTGCAGAGATGATGTCGACTAGCCACGACGGCACTAGCAGCGAACATCAAATCGCATCAATGGACTCGCCGACTGCGGCGTCAACTGTTCGCAGTACGACGCAAACAGTGGGCTGAACTCGTCTCGAGCCATCTGACGACACAGGCCTCGTGCGTATATCTTATGCACGCACCAATATTAGATGCTGGTATTAATCATTACTCTCAGTATCACACACGAAAATCCACTACAAGATTTCCACCTTTCAGGCCGTCGTCGTACTGATACACACGAGCCTTTTCCGACCACAAGTCGAACGCGCGAGTCGTCGACATCAACAATCCATGGCTGACGCAGTTCGAGTCATCTATTACCTTGTACCATTAATTCAAGCTTAATGCCAACACTGAGATTACATTTGGACGTGAACGAGAGATGTCTAAGAGCCATAGCCACTCATGATAGCCACCCCGACGACAGGCATTATGACCATAACATAGCCACCCCGACGGCAGATGGACGACGTCGGGGGACAACATGGCAGCCATCTGATAAGATACAGCTGGGCCCTCGATGGCAGAGACGTGTCGTCCACATGGGCGCTTCACGTGTCTACCACACCGCTCATGCCACCTGGCTGACAGGTGGTTTCGAACTGGCGGTGTATCCTCTCACGTCCTTGTGCAGTCTCCCAATCAAGAGCGGCGACTGTCGATTTTCACTCGGCTCACCTGTCAACATTTCAGTGCGCAGTGCCGAGCCTCAGTTTCTTATAGTGCTCTTACCTAGCGTTCCTCGCAGCTTTCATGGACCATTGGTCGCAGCGTTCGCCCGACCTCTTCACCTGAGGCCCATCAAGTTATGCCACCGGCATTCTGCGACAGATATGACAACTGTGATCAGGAGCACAGACTTCGCTCAAAAACTTGAAGGGACGGAGCTGGGCACATCGTTGTCACCGCTGTCTCCGTCTTCGGAGGACCTGCGAGCTTCGGAGCGTTCTTCGATCCACGAGAAGAGGACACGGAAACGAGACTAGAGAAACCACAAAGACAGGTGAATACGCTACATACAACACGCACAACTGAATGTATAAAATTACTGCTCGTAATAGCGGCAAGCGGACCAGGAGCGAAGGTGCTGGACTACCGCCCTTTCTTCTTTTTACCCATCTTCTCAGTACAATCTCGACAATACCACTTCGCTTTCGAGGAAGGTGGCTCTTGGAGACCGACGCAACCGAGGTGGAACTACAGTGCACAGTGAGAACATAGAGCGCTTTCGCATTCTGAAGCAACTCACCCATTCCCGTTCACAATTGGCGTTGTCGCATGCAACCATCTATGCAAATCACGTTGGTGAAATCACACAGACCCTGTACAAAGGTATACTCACAACTCCGAATGAGACTTGATTACAATAACAATAGCATGGTTCGTTGGGATCGATCGGCATGTCGCCCATTGCGCCCAATTCAGACATGTCGCCTGGTGCCCGCGGAGTGTTACCCACATGCGCGGTGATGGACGCCAGGGGCGGCACCGTCAGCTTCAAGCTCGCGGCGCCTTCAGGCGTAGGCGTTTCACCCTTGTCTGTTCCATCAACCGGGGTCGCCGAAAGTTTCTTTTTTCGTGACCATTTCGCACTGCGCCGCCTACGCGGTCGTACAGGGGTCGAGCGTTGTTCACCATGCTCTGGCGACTCGGTAGACTCGATCCCGAGCATAGGCTCATCCTCATCGGCATCCTCTTCTTCGGCTTGAACGCTCACGGATGTATGCTCCGGTCCTCCGAGTACCTGAACTTCGGCAATTGGGATCGGCTCTGACGGGGGCGGAGGTTGCTGTATTACGCGTGTGCGTGTAGGTGGGACAATTTCGGGGAGGATAATGGAGGCAGGGTGTGTACCTGGTCTGAGACCAAGTGAAAGCGAGGTTTCTTGTTCCTTGATAGCACGGTCAAGGTCGCGAATGTACCTGTCTGCCTGAACGACGGTACGTCAGCCCTTCGGGCAAGACGGAGATAGAGCCACACACACCAGGTCGTATACGAACCGAGCAACATTGACCTTCTCATTGGAAGCACGGACCACTTCTTCGGATAGGTTGGCCAACTTCGTGAGGAGCTGTCTGGACGACGCTAACGGCTCGGGCGAGCTGTCTTGAGGTGGCGCTGTCGACGCCGCGTCCTGCTGTGGTGCATTCTGGACAGGTATGTCTCCCGCATTCGCTTGATCATCCGGCAGGGATGTTCGCTCGTCCCCTGTCTGAACCGCTGTGGCGTCGCTCGGGGAGTCCTTGGTTGTACTTTGACTAGCCAGTTTCTTCCTGACAGAGATGTATTCGCGAACTGTGGGTACAAGTGTCTTCTCATCATCTACCAAGATCGGTCAGCCCGAGAGTATGGACTTTGAACGCATGCTCACACCTTGCGCCTGCTGGTCCAGTTCCAGCATCAACGCGAACGAGCGTTGCAATGAGAGCGGCAGCTGCTCGAGCACTGCAAACTGTTCAACTTCGTCGTAGATAGCGAACAACAGAGACTGCGCACCTTCATACTGCTCTTCCCTGAACGCGTCCCATACCTCTCGCTCCTTCTTCGCCCTCTCATCCGGCGCGTCGTCTTTCTCCGCTACCGACTCTTCGACGCCGTCCTGTGCTTCCACTTCTGACTGTTCTCCGGCAACCGGCTGCTCGCTATGGTGTGATTCTTCGTCTTCTTGGAACGCCTCCGATCGTCGTCGCTTGCGAGTGAGAATAGACATCCGTGGCTGAGAGCGAGTTGCAGCACAATGACTGCTTGCTAATAGACAGTACCCTATTGAAGATTTGAAGGTCCGAAAGACGAGTTGTTATCGACTCAGCTAGTGAGTACTAGTGAGTATTGACTTTCCTACACATTAGTAAGCAGGAACGCGTCGCGTCTGTGGCGCACAGATTAACGCGTAAACTGTCTGCTCGCGTCTTGTTCTTCACGCTCACTTCAGCTCAAATTTCAGCTGCGATGGTCTCTGCCTACCGTGTGGACAGTCTCAAAAATCCTACTCTTGCTTTGCAAGACTTCCACAAGGAATGCTCATCCGAACAAATCGACAGCTTCCCTCGCCTGGTCTCAGAACACTACTCACAAGTCTTTGGCGCGCCTGACGCCTTCAACGAAGTGCGTTCATTCTCCTTTAACTCTCTCGAATCACCAGTGCTGATGCACATTGTGCAGATACCTACTTTGGATATCCACAACCCACCCGACACGTTCCCGGATCGCGCGCTCGTCCGCTTCCGAGCGATGGTCCAGGACACGTCTACCTCTTCAGAGATGTATCTATCAAAGTCTAGAAGCGGTGCATGCGGAGGGTGGGCGATTGAGTTTACAGACGAGGAGGACGGTCATGTCGACTTCGCTGATCTGCGTGAGTGCACTGTCCTATGGGCTGTCAGTATTCCAGCGGAGTCGGCGTGGTGCGCAAAGGAACTAGATGGTCCAGTTGACCGTACGTGTTCCGTTGATGCACAGTCTCACTTCCGCGTCTTAGCTCGTATGTTCTAGATCAAGAAAGAGTGATTCCATCTAGCTCGCGGATACCCTATAAGCCACAGCACTCGCACAAGTATCCGCATCCTTCTGTCTCCCATCTCGGAGTGCAAGTAAAGGTCTGAGAGCCTGCCTGTGGTATACCTAGTCTCTCGTCTCATTGTCGCTACAGATATATGATGCGGAAAGCTTCGAGAAACTGAAAACAACTGACTTAGTTACATTTGTTGGAATCTTGACTAATGATCTGTCAGTGTCCGAGTTTTGTCTCCGTCGTCAACTACTAACACCGGATTCATGACATACAGGCTCAGTTCTGGTCTTGACGCGGCAGTGGATGTTCCAACTCTTCATGTGCTCTTTGTCCAGCAACACCCGCACAATCTGCTATCTCGTCCTTACCCGTCGTTCGAAAAAGCAGAATCCTCCCACCCCGACGTATCTGTTGACAGAAGAATTGAACGCGCGACCGCAGGTCCCAACCTCTCTGAGGTCAGGTCGCAACTGATCGACTGGATAGCGGAGGAAGCACTAGACGGAGACCGTGACGCAGCCGAATGGGTGTTGCTAGCATGTATAGCTCGTGTGTGAGTATCATTCCGGTGCCCAGCCATGACAATCGATGCTCACACCATGGTCAGGCAATCTCGCAATCCGCCGCTTCTTCCTCCATCACTGAATCTCGCGCATTTCCCTTCATCTCCGCCTGTTCCGTCAACGAACGCGGGGCCTGTCGTGCCCATTCCAACACTTTCTGTGGTTCTCGCGGAGCTTCTTACGCTCACACATACGTTGCCACTTTCACTGCCGCTACTCAACAAAGACCCCTTTGCGCCTGAGAGCAAAGATGAGGATCTGCATTCGGGCGCATTGCAGTTGCCGCAGGGTACGGTTCTTCTCGTTACGGAGGACGGTATACAAGAGGGAAGGCTTGTCGACCGAGGTCTGTGATGGTGAAATCTTACTCGGTCAATACTGATGATCGTGTTAGGTGTCTTGAACGTACGGGCGCTGCAAGAAGTGATGACTACGCAAACATTGTCATACGCATTCCCGTTTTCAGCATTCTCCTTTCCGACCGACATCGCTTGTATCATTCTGAGTGAGGGAAGCAAAAGCGCATTCTTCAAGGCAAGTTTCCATTCATGTGTCTGTAATCCATACGTGCTTACCGGCCCATCAACAGACCGACATTAACATCCCATTGCGGGCAGCGAAGTCCCCTCAAGCAGTGGCCAAGCTGTATAAGCCCGCAGAGAGTATCACGATGCCAGATCCCGAGCGGCTCGCAGCGTTCCGCGACCTTATTGCCGGCGCCCGCTCAGGGAGGGTGCAAGTTAACGAAGAAACGTCGGAGGTGAGTGCATGTAAGGCTCTAGAAGGGACTTGTACTCAGTCTCTCGTGGTCATAGCACATCCAACAAGACTTCGTACGAGAACGGCAGCAGAATCAGTCCGTCACGTCCGACGACCTCATTCGCCGCATGACAGTCGCCAAGTAAGTCGCCGATGTAGGGGCTGAGGAGGGTCTATCTCATATTGACGGTGCTTCATAGACTGTATGCACTGTCGATGCATGAGACAACATTGTCTATCGATGTCTGGGAGCTCACGAAGGCGTTCGACGAACGCCGGCGAGGGGCGTGTGCCTCAAACACCGCGGAGGCAAAGTCGTAGGACTCTGACGCTCAGCATTCGAGAGAAGGCTTGCATCCTTCGTAACATGGGACACATTGTGTACATCCCAACGGACGCATAAGATTATCGATGCGCGTAATACACTCGCATGGTCTGCCTTTAATCTCGTATACCGACGTTCAAGCAGAAGTCGAAGATTCGATTTGGTCGCTATTGACAGCAGCAGACTCGAGTTCGACTTCACAGGAATCGTCATACTCTGTCGTAGTGACCATGTGGGTTCCGGCGTCCTCCATAGGTTTCAGTGAAAAGGCGACCGTAGACAGGACAAACGTGTCCATGGAGGTGTCAGTGCCGTCTTCGCCCGACTTGTGCAGGTCCAAAAGTAGACGAGAAAGCAGTGCTGATGTCAATCTATGATGCAGCGAAGGGTTGTCAGAGAGCATTCAAGAGCACAGGCGTAGAAGGGCTTCACATTTCCACGAATGTCGACAGGCAAATTATGAGCTAGAGCGAGCGTAAGACGTTCAATATGTGTCTTTCCTTCCTCTCACAGAAACTCAGTGACTCACGTCAAAATAATGGCCCGTGCCTATACCGATAATGTTGATAATGCAGAGGAGCCTGTGCCAACAAGTTCGAGAGACAACTGAGTACTTGACTGGCATACCGACTCACAGAAAATACACGCCAGCTATGGCAAACCAAGGTCAATATGATGGTTCCGGCTTTGAGTATCTAAGGAATGACATACTGTCTGTAATGAGAACAGAGACGAGGGACGTTGAGCAGGCATTGGCCGCCTCCGATCGTACTCGGAAAAGCTTATACCAAGTTAGCACGAGGACAAGTCCATCGGCAAGCAATGACGACACTCGGGCTCCGATGATCCCTGAGAACAGCAATATGAGCAGATGCATGAGATGCACCATTGTAGACGTACAGCTGAAAACAATAGTGTCAGTGTTCACCCTCAAGAACATCATGGAACTCTGCTCACTTCATGTAGCTAAGTCTGTCGGCGGAATTACTGAAGCTTGCGCAAAACACTATGTGTCCGTCGGTAAAGAGGCCTGGCCTCAATGCGACTAAAGAATACTGCAAAAAGTAATGTTACGCTTTAGTGAAGGTTCCGTGTACATTACTGTCTGGGATACGCACAATCATGTAGATGGCTGGATTGATTATCCCCAATAGGAAGACTATCAAGAAGATCGAAAGTTTTAAACCATATATGGCGTAAATTCGCAACGCCGTGAATACTGCGCGACAGTCCGAATCAGTGCGCTGCGCGGTGTTCATGAGGGTCTTAGGCACCTGCCGCGCTTATCAACAACACAATATTGAGTACCATTTCTGTTCGGATGAGAACCAGGCAGCTGATTCATTTCCTACATATGAGTCCGGGGCACTCGGTTCATGACAGTTTTTTGATCTGACCTCTGACATGGGCCAAACGAAGGTTGAGACTCTGCCGAGGCCAGGAGCACATATGCGCACTCACATAGTTAGATTGCCAACCGGGCCAGGCACGTGAGCCAAGGATCACAAAGATGGTGTTCAGGACCGCCGGATATCTGAAGCCGCAGAACAAGAGTAGAGATAGGGGGCGTTTTCTTGTCCACACGTATTGTATTTCATCGCCGAGCGTTAGGCAATAGTCATAGCAGCATAGAGCTCGAAGGAAATGAGCTATCACCGGACACAAGAGTTATTGCACAAGGAATCACCTGTAGCGGAGAAGTAGATCGCGGATTCCAGGTATCTGTGTACGCAACAACCAGCGATCGTTGAGTTCAGGCTGAGCATAGTCAACGCATAAGTGACTTACGCGCTCGCAAGAACAGAACTGTCTGATACTGTCATAATGGTGGTGGTGTAAGGCGGGATCTAGTAGTACGGCGAGGGTGTAAAGCAAGACGTACATCATAAATGCATTGGCCTGGAGGCTGTACCTTGTATCGCGATTTTCACACGTCGACTGGCCTGCAAATCGTTGGAAGATTAATCAGAATTTAGAAGCTCTTTCGCCTGTTACGACCATCTGTCACTGTCACTGTCAGAACTGCCTATTCAACGGGGATCGCCGAGAACAGCAAGCCACGCGTCTCCTATGAGAATACCGCAATCAATATACAGCCAGCTACAATAGAAAGTTGGACCCACTAAATGGGTCACATTCTCGATCCGGAGGAGTTATCCCTCCACCAACATGGGAGGTTTGCGTAAATCTCGTCCCGACGCTCGGTGGTGTTCGCCCCACAAATCTGTGTTCTCAGGCAAGTGACCCGTTGCCATTATAATGTTTCCGTGTATGACTGTATACACCTGAGCGCGAGGAGGAACGGGGGATAAGACGCTTGACTAGGCGGCGCACGCGTCGTGAAGTAGAGGAGACACCCAAGCACTCACACATGGAGCAGAATGTGTTCGACTTACCAAGAATCTGCCAGCCGTAGTCCGCTCAGGACAAGCATAGATCTTGATGCATTGTTCGCTCATAATACATATGAGCACCTACTTCTGAGGAATACGTTCAGCGAGTTCTGATTGCTGTCGATTAACTGACCTAACTTACTTCAGACAGGGAGTGTGGGCACATTTTGAGTGTCTTGAATCGTAACGACTTCCGTCTCGACATCACCAACGCAAAAGCGGGTGACCTCCACAACGGTATGGAGGCCCATGCCGACTTCTTCTACAGGGTAAAAGGCGACAATAGACACATCCATCATCGATCACGCGTTCATGTTGATGGTGCTGTGGTTTCCATTCGCATTATGCAGCTCGAGGAGATGGGAGAGGAACATCATGATCGGCTCCAGTCTGTACGGGTAATCAGTGAGTTTCGGCGGCCGCAAAACAGGGGCTTCATACTGATGCAACTCACTTCGACTATAGTACACGGCCGCTGCCGATCCCAATCACATTGATGATACAGAGGAAGCTGTACGAAGCGAACGACAAGACCGTGCTCCTGACTAACACGACGTAGTACTCACAGGAAGTATATGCCTGCTGTTGCAAACTTGACGGTTTGCCTGTTAAAACCAACTACCAGGAGAGGCTCGTCTGCTGTCTGTGATTAGAACGGAGGCAAGAGACGTCAAGGCAGTCACTACCTTCGATATTGCATCGAAGAGCTTGCACTAAGTCAGCATGAGAACGAGGCCATTAGCGAACAGTGACGACGCCCGTGCGCTAAATGATCCCTGTGAGCGACGCAATCAGCTGGAGAGAATGAGTTGAGTTCTAAAGTACCTATACAACTCCGAAAATGGCGTCAATACGGGCGTTGGCAGGGGACTCGAATCGCACGAACTTTATGTAGCTGAGCGTCGCATTGTCGTTTATGAAGTCAGCACAAGGGTTGAAGCTGAAGTTTGAAGGGTACAGAGTCAGACAGAACAAGTTACACAAGGACAAAAGAGCACTGCGGAGAAACATAGCATACTCAGTAGAGGATTCAACCTTCATTCGACTCTGGAAGACGCACGACGGAGACGACGGGATGGATCATTCCTAGTAACTTAGGAGCACGACCAACGAAAGGCAGACTTCCGCTTGCACGTGGTCTCGATCCGCGAGTGAATCCCCGCTCCCGACAAGTATTCGATAAATAGTGATGATGACGCACTGACTACAACAAATGATGAGTATAAGTTACGACTCGATCCATACCTCCCCGAGCACGTCCCACTCCTTCAACACTCTAAGCTGCGGATGATCCTGCACACCGCCCCAAACAGCCTCCCCCTCATCCACAATCCTATCCTCAATCAGCAACACGCGCAGGCCGCCGAACGCAGCAAACCCTCCCCGCAAGGGCAGATACGAGAGCTCAAAGTCCTCCGAGCCCACCACCCGCACCGACGTACTCCTCGCCATGTCTTGCAGCTCGCTGTCCGCGCTGTCCACCGTGCTCGTGCTGACGTTCCGTTCATGTGACGGGGCAGACTCGCCGCTGTCGCTTATAACCGACGCACTCGCAGGCGCCGCAAGTCTGAGCTGCGGCAGGAAAAGCGCGGACGAGCCTTGGTAAACGATATGCGAGGTGCGAGACGATCGCTTGCCGTCCGCAGGGCCCTCCGTGAACGGTGGGGGTAAAATGACCTTCGTGATATGTGACGGCGCGCCGGGAGGTGCAGGCGTCCCGGCCATACCAGTCTCGGTCTGCGTATCATCGTCGTCGGTGTTGGTCCCGCGCGGGGACGCAACCAGGAGTTTCTGCGCTAAGAAGTCCTGGAAATCCGCTCTCTGCGGTGTTCCAAATGGCGACGGCGTCGACATGCCGGATGCTAAACGTGGACTTTGGGGCTCCGTCCTGTTCTGTAGTGCAGGGGCCGCAGCGATAAGTGGGACGGGCACGGAGCGCAAAGGCTGCGTGTGCTGCACAGCAAGGGACAAGAACCGTGACTGTCGAGGTTCCCCTGGACGAGCGACGGGTACGGGGCTCGCGACGTTCACAGTGAGACTGACCGTGAACGGCTTGTCCACTCTGATAGAGCTGCGCGGAATATTGCGGACGACAAGATCTACTTCGACGTCCTCTGGACGACGCGCTGGAGCAGAGACTGACGTACTCGGTGGTGCGGACGCCGGTAGAGCTGGCGAAGGCACCGTGCGGCTGCGAAACGGAGAGTTCGACCGATACGGCACGTTGGCAGGAGGACTGGTGGGCCGTTGATTGAGTTGGGGTGAGCGAGGGCGTGACGGGACAGGCTGGGCGACGGATGTAGAGCGCTGGAGGTGGAGAGGGATCGCTGATACGGGCTGCTTGGGTGGTGGTGGCGGGGCCGGTTGTACTGGGGCTTGTATGAGGGGTATTCGGCGAGACAGCATCTATTCGAGTCGAATCAATATACCGATGCCGAGACCTTGTTGCAAGCACGTACCGACGTCAGGAGGCGCCCAGGCTCCCCGAATGATGACCTCCAGGATATGTCCAGTCGCCCAAGAGGTAGAATACTTCCTGGCTGATGCGACACAGGAAATATGGCAAGTTGCGCTGGCGACAGAATGTATATGTACTGCCGCATGTCCTGCGGCTGCATCAGCGCCATCGAGCCGGAGAATATGCTCTCGCTGCCTAAATCATCTTCACCGTCCACCATGTTTGCATCTTGGACCTGCCAGCCCTCGGCGCACTCTAGATGCATACGTTCTAGCCACATCGCGTCTTGTGTGAGATTTTGAATATGGATCTCAAGGAAGACCTTCTCTCGTTCCGTTCGGGAGAGCATGGCAGACGGTCCCCGCGGTACGTGCACCTTCGTCTTGACAGACAAGGGATTTGTTACCTACTCCGCGTACACCGTATCAGTAACGGCATGAACTTGATGATGATACACGCACAGCGAATTTGTAGAACTTCCGGAAGACGAGCGCGTCCGAGTCGCTACCATCCGCACTCGTGGAGGCGCGTGCGCTTGGAGGTAGACGGTACGAGACCGTGCATGCCAACGCGTGCTGACCCAGTTCCTTGATCTCATGGCTCACCACTTTCTCTAGTGACTCTCCCGGCCCCATCTGTTGCCCCTCGCCACCGAACTCAGCCAATACAGTCTTTGTCGACGTCGTCTGCACCTCCACAGTGAGAGTAACGGCATCCACCGGTATGTTCGCTTCGTTGTTGACCGAGATGCAACTGGTGAAAGTTTCTCCGAGCTGGATAGCCCCAAACGAGGAAGGAAGCATGAGCATCTCAGTGACATGGCTGAGGTCGCGGAGCGTCTTCGGATGACCTGGAAGAGCTGTCTTCCCCTGCAGCGAAACGATTGATGTCGTTGAGTGTGCGGAGAATGAGGGAGAACTGGAGTAGAAGGGTTCCCATGCACTGGATACTGAGGGCCGCTGCAGACATGAGCAACGCCCTAAACGACTCATCCAGGATTGACATACCGAGACCCGCATCACCTTTAGGGACAACAGATGTGCTCCTGTGCTAGACATGGCTGGCGACGCCCGGACTTCAAGACAGTCTGAACAGCACAGGGGAGTGTCCGTCGGTCCTTGATGTTAAGATGTTCTAGCCAAGTTCTAGCACGCGGAAGTAGAGGCGTACGGAGGATGAGGCCTGAGGTCGGAGAACGGCGGCGCGACCGCCACACTGGCAGCTACTGAGCGCTGAGCACGTGATTCAATGGTCTAATATGCCGTATTTGACTCTGTTTGAGGATGTGGGTCCATGGTCTCCTCCACTTCCTCCTCCAGGTCAAATCATAGTAAGAAGATTTGGTGTACATTCTCCCGGGAGAGAAATGTTCGGCGATGGGCAGTAATCGTGAATAAGTATAGTAGCGCAGTATGTACCATCACGATACTACCTATGTGTTATAGTGTATCGGTGTACAGCCTCGAATGGTGATTGCTTTCAATCGGGAACGCGTTCACCCCTTGCCCCGCTAGGGATGCCGTCGCGCCGCTCAGGGGAAACCGCTGATCTCGAAAATCCGTCTGCTTGACAACGAAACGATGTACCGTGGCACCCAGGCAGGCCTTGACCCGCTTGAAATGCTCATACATTCTCCTCGTTTATTCGCCCGTTCGCAAATGATCGGTTCATTGTGTGTGCATAAGGCATCCAGTGGGAATGTTGACGTCGACATGGATGCACGCGACGCTACTGGTGCGCGCGGTCGGTGCGGTGTCGAGGGCAGCGCGGTATGAGTCCGAGCAAGTGAAGACCGAATGTCTAGAAGGAGTGTCTGACAAAGTATATGTACAGCGAATCAACCCGAAACCACTCTAGAGTCTGCCATGTCTCGAGGGGTGATGGTACATTCAAAGGGACACGGGTGACTGGAATGACGTACTGTCTGTTAGCCTTGACCAGTATACAGAATCTTTGCTTCTGGCGGTGTGAACGCACCTAATGATACCCCCACCCTCATATTTGACCTCCGCGCCGTCCAGAGAGACCGCATCGCTGACATCGTACAGTGCGAGGATAGTCGCCGCTGCAATGAACAACGTGTCCTCCGCGAGCATCTGCCCGGGGCACACCCTAACATACGGATGTCTGAATTAGCCAACACGTATGCCTGGGCTTAATTGCGCAACACTCTCACCGTCGTCCGTAGCCGAAGGCGAACAATCGAGGGTCGGGGTTGACTTTCTCCCCGCATTGGGGGAGGTATCGCTCTGGGTTTACGATGAATGGGTCCGGATATAATGCAGGGTCGTGCAGAATGGCCCTAGATGCGTTATGGATGCGATTGGAATCTTTTGAGCGCAATTTCTGAGCTAGGGAAGACATCATACCACGTGTTGGCCAATACCGTGGCACCTCCTGGGATGCAGAACCCCCGGTAACAATCGTCTTGTCTCACTTTGTGCGGCAGTGCTGCAAAATATCGGAGTCACGGTGACTCGATCAGTCGTTATGGATTAGAAAAACAGGGAAAGCAGATGAGAACCTAAGGGGCCAACTGGATTCACACGGTGAACCTCCTTCAGGACGGCGTCAAGGTAGGGTAAGTCCTTGCGGTCGCTAAGCTTTGTCAACCTCGCATGCCCGACACACCGGTCGACCTCTGCTTGAGCTCTGCGTTGTATTCCAGGATGCTGAGCCATCATGATCAAGAAGGAGTCGATTACGGAGACAGTCTGGAACCGAGTGAGTGGACGTGCAGCGAGCTCTGAGAAGCCTCACCGTATCTGCGCCGGCTACGGGCAGGATAGAGTCGTAATTCATGATGCTTCAGTTACTGTGTGGTGCGTCCGAGTCGCGTCCCGTCACATACCCGCATAAAAGCTTATTGCATTCCTCGAATACAACTCCTTCTCTTCAGGTGTTGGGTCAGGGTTGTTCTGGATGAGCTCTGCGGTGAACGATGGCATGGCGGTTCCTTTAGCCTATGCGGCAGAGGTCGTAAAGGCGCCAATGGAGCGAGTATCAATATATGGCCCTTACCACTTGTTCTTTCACGGTATCGTACAACTCGTCCTTAATCCTTACACCCAACTCAAGATGTTTTCTGGCTTTCCTCTTAAAATCCGCGCCCGGGAACCACTCGGGAATGTACATCACTGGGTCGGCAGACTGATTCAGTGACGATAAACAAGGACACTTTGAACTCACAGAAAGGAAAGCTGTCGACCAGGTAGGCGCCAGGAGCAGCCATCTTCGAGAAGTCATCCATGGCTTGCTGCACGACGCAGACAAGAGGGTCTTCGTAGCTGTCTACAACCAGTCCATACGTAATCTCAAGTACGATGCTCGCGACAAGCCTAGCACACTGTCACTGAAGTCTCGTCAAGTAAGCCTGGCTAGCTGACGCACCAGCGAATGTGCTGTCGGAAGTTCCGGGGATCGTCTGAGAGCCGAGAGACAAGTTGAGCGGCCTTCGCTTCCTGCACGGCGTGCAAGGTCGGCGCATTGCGGGCATTCAGTGTGCCCAATATGAGTTTACGCCCTTCCTTGTGGAGAGGCCCGTACGGTAACATTCCGATATATTTAGAGTTTCCGGCACTGTTCATCGTGATAGGTAGACATGGCGTTGAGTAGTCAACGAAACACATACAGTTCTCCTGCCATAGGGATGATCGGGCGATCGGAGTATATAGCGCCTCTCTTCTCAAGCAGCTCGGAGATCGCCTCGCGAGAGCTCAGGACGATAAACGAGCGGCCAAGCACGGAAACGTGTATCACGTCGCCTGAGAACGTCGTCAGAATTCCATCGATGATCGACGCGTGGCCACGTACCATATATCTTCGCCCATTCGGTAAACTTCAACCAAGTGTATCTGGTGGGAACTTGCAGCGCGTTGCCGAGAAGTGGTAACCCACGAGGACCAGGGGGCAACGGTGTACTGCGCCGACTCCATACGACCTTGTATACGACAAAGATACAGAAGCACCAGACGATGAGGCCAGTCATCTGAACACGCAATGGACTTGGTCAACTCTAAGGACGACTCAAGCGTCAACGTGTCCCGTCGGCGCCATAAGCACGAGCACCCGAGCCGGAAGGGAAACGAATAGCCCAACCGAGGCGATGGGGTTGAAATAAGCTCTCGGGCGGTACCGCATCACAATGTGCGGCGTTCAAGGGGCATGAAATCGTGGGCGCTCATCCTACTTGCATGTTACTACTGTGAAGCAGAGTCGGCGCGCTCTTGAATGTTCGAATTAGGTGGTATTCCCTGTACATGTGTATCAAGTCCGACCGGATAGCGGTTTACAATATATATGCAGACGCACCAGCCTGAGTTTACAATCCGCAGGTGTCGGTAAGTGCATAGTTACTCAGTCGCGCACAGAGGCTTAGCGTTAACACAGGTCAGAACTCCCCAGCCGAAGTATTGTCGGACATACCAATGCAGTGAGAAAGGCCTGAGATGGGACCCACCTACCATGAGATGTAAAGCTACTCAAAAATGTCATCTGCCAAAACCTCCACTCCGGGCACAAACTCGGCAGACCAGCAGCAGCGGCATGTGAACGCAATCGTCATTGGGTTCCTGACTGGAACACCACTTGCGCTACAGCAGGTGCTTATATGATTGCTGCTCGATGCCGATGTGAGCAACTGCTAACATATTCGGATGCACAGACTCGGACAAGTTGAGCCTGCAGAGACCGTCACGTCAGTAAGCGTGCCCCTTTTCTGAACGGCCAACATATTGAACGTCTCCATACCTTATAATGCCTTGGCCAGAGATCAAAGTGCTGCCCATGGGCGTAACGCGTAAAGGGACGCGAGTTCGCAAACTCGGAACCAGAAATGTCGGGTCGTGGGAATGATAATAAATGTATCATAGAGACGATCTAGGGTGAGCGCTTCTTCATTTCCTCCTCGACCCGCAGGTGCCCTAGCGCCCCTCAATTCACCCCCGGTGATGCTTAAGAACTGATAATACACTAGACCATGAGGAGGCGTCTTAAGCTACGCCAAACGTTCACGACTCTCGCTCGCATCGCCTCCATCCTGGAAATCTAGACATGTTGCAATGGCCCAAATCCGCTCGGTCGACTTTTATCTCGGTCGCTAGCCAGTATTTCGAGCGACGACCGCTGGCTCGCCTGCTTTCAACATTTCTGTGTTGTCTGGCGATTGTTGTGCGGCCGGTTTCTCGCCTCGGTGGTAACTATGCCTTCCTGGTTCTTCCCTTCCAAGCGCTCGTCTTCGGCGTGCAAGAGAGTCTAGCGCAACAACTGGAGCTCACCGCGTTGAATATCGCTGGAGCGTTATGTGGGATCGGGTTCTCCACGCTGGGGAAGTACGTGGCCTCCTTGACGGGCGAAGACTCCAACCGTGCAAGGGTTATATGCGCCGTCTTCCTGGTGGTGCTCAGTTTCTTTGGTGAGTCGCCGGAATTCGACCGAGACGACTCAGAATATCGCGATCAGACTCGCTGTGAAGTCGCTTCGTGACACTCGTTGCCTGTCCATGTGCCGATCATTGTGCTAACCTCCCCCTCGGCAGCCGGGCTCACGAAGAGTCGATTGGTTCGTCTAACGCTTTCCATGCGAATATCACTCTTCGCTTCGATCTGGCTGTTGACGCTTGACATTGGAGTAAAATCGGTAAGCGCGTTCGTCGTTCGCCAGTCCGAAGAGATGCTCATATTTCGTAGAAAGTCCTCGAGGACTCGGGACATTTCCTCTATGCAGCCATTACGCCTGCGTGCCTGAGTCTTGTTTCCCTGCTCGTTGTCATGACCTTGCTGCGCTGGTCATCGTCCAGTTTCGAGAAGGACATGACAGAGACGTTTGCGCTGCTGCAGAAATGTCTGTCGGTCAGCCTTGAGCACATAGGGAAGGAGTTGACGGATGAACCGGAGGAGTACGTGAAGCTGCGCGACCAGCTGTTCCAGCGCACGGTACGCCTCAACGAGACGTACTCACAGGCTGCGTTTGAACTGCGTGTCGGACGCCTGAGCTGTGAGACCGATGTTGTCCTGTGCCATCCGATGCTCTCTGACACCCCCTCGCAGTGAAGTCGATTCGCCCGCTGATTGGGATCGTGGAACACCTCCGGCGCGAACTCGCATGGGGCATGTCCACCGCACAGATCTCCAAGCGAACCCCCAAATCGACCCCGATGATGACGATGACCCGCGCCTCGTCTCGTATGAACTCGCCCATGGCGTCGCGGCGCAACTCCATCCGACACAGTCCCGCAGTGACCTTACAGGCGCTCGCGTCGGACGAGCGGATCACTGCCGCGATCGAGGCGCCGGCGTTCTCGCTCGGACACGCGATCGTCGGCGCGATGCGTGCGGTGCAGCTTGTGATCATCGTCGCGTTCGACCAGGACACGAGCACGTACAGCGCGCCCGCGGGCAGGCCGACCTCGAATTCGGTGAAGTACTCCTTGCACGTGGCGGAGAAGGAGCTCATCAAGGCCAGGGACGAAGCTCGCGAGATGCTCGGGCACATACACGACGAGATGGACTTGGAGGCGCGCGAGATGGACAAGAATGTTCGGTACCCGAAAAGGGTCCTCGATGGGAGCCTTATCATGATCGCTCTTCTGCAGGTAGGCCTTACGCCTGGTCGCAAAATATACCCGAGTTACTCATTGTTGACCCAACAGATGGCGCAGGAGATGCGTACGGCGCTGCAGGTTGCCGACCGCATGTACACGCAGTACGAAGAGTCCCACGTTCGCCTGTGGTACCCGCGTATTTCCCTGGCCTGGCTCGGGGTAGCCCAAGGACACCTAATCTCCGACTCCGGGGATGCAACCGTGCAGGTCCAGGCTGTAGCGCCAAATGCAACGGGCTGGGAGACGTCAAATGACGCGGAAGCCAGTTTGACGTTGGCCGAAACTGCGGAAGGATTGCTTGAGAAAGGCTACAGCCTCAATAACAGCCGCCTGCCTGGTGGGCTGTCCTTCTCGATTTTGGGCGCGAAGGAGCGCGCGGCGCGTTCTAGGAAGAGAATACTGTTTTTCTCAATCCCGGACCTCGTGGGGTGGCTGTGGTCGCACTCGTGTATGATCCGGCTGAGGTTGCGGATGGCGCGGGGGTACAGAAGCGTCTCGCATTCACCCCATCTCCGACATGCGACGAAGAACGCTATCGGGGTCGCTGTCCTGAGTCTGCCCGCCTTCCTCCCGGGCAATTCTGCAGGTAGCTCGTCGGTTTACTTCTGATAGCGAATTCGCCAGTCTTACAGGCTGCCCGTGTAGCCCGTGTGTGGTTCACCTCTTGGCACGGCGAATGGATGGTCATCAGGTATGTCCTTTGCCACAGCTGCACTCCTTTCGCTCATGTAGCATGCAGTTATGTATGGGTCCTGGAGACGAGTACCGGAGCCACCTGGCGAATGGGCTATCTACGCCTGGTCAGCACCAGCGCATCTTCGCCCAAGTACTCGACTACGTACTGAATTACAATATTGATTCCATAGGTCGGTGCAGCGGCAGCGGCCCTTTATGCTTACATAGTAAGTCTTCACCCAAGCGAGAACAGCTCGCAGCTGCTCACTGGGCCGTAGGTTTGGCTCATCTGTCGCACCAATCCGTACGGATTGACTATCATGGTTACTGTAAGTCCCTGTGGAGCTGCCAGTCGTTCCTACACTGATTCGCCCTTCGCAGGCGGCAGAGATACCTTTCACATGGCTCAGCACCAAGGCCAATCTTGGTCCCCTGGCGGTTCCCGCGTACGTCGCCGTTGCTGTTCAGTGCATCGTACCGGCTGATGTTTCACTAACAGGGCAGTCACCTTACCGATTATTGCGTTCGCGGATTACGTGAACCCTACAACACAGTCGATTATCGGTCAGTCATATTCGAGCATTGTCTTGGTCTCGAGGTGCTTGACATACTGTGTACAGCGCTTGCGGGAATTCGTGCACTCATGATCGCTATCGGCATTGTTGCGGCATTGCTCATGAACGGTCTGGTCTTCCCGAGGCACTGCCGAGTAAGTGGCTCCATGGTCAGCGTGTTGGACAATGGCTCAAGGCAGGTCATACAGGTTCTCTTCCTTTCCGACACCGCTCGAACGCTCGGTTTGCTAAGTCAGCTTTATATGACTCTGGGACAGTACGTATTATCACGATTACTCTCCGTCCTGAGCGCTGAGAGTTGGCGCAGCCATATGTTCCGAGCACAACCTGCACTCGCGTACGACGATAAGCGCAAAACACTGAAGATGGAACTTCAGATCCGGTACAGCTTGTACCTCCTTAACGCCTTGATTACGACTATGCACGATGAGATCAGTCTCGTACCGGTCAGTGGCTTTCTTCCTGCATGTAAAGGCGATGCTTGACACTGTCCACAGAAACCACTCGCTCACTATCGGAGGACAGTTGCGACGGTGCAGAAACTGCTCGATGCAATGACCGGCCTCCGCAAAATTAGGGAGAATATCCCTCGTAAAGAAACTGTGTCCAACGTATTTGGTGAACGACGTGAATTCGTGAGTTTGTATGCTGTATTTTCATAGCATTTTTAGACGAATGCTCCCTATAGATGTCTTGTGTGTGTATTACGCTATACGCATGTCAACATGCATTCCGCGCTCGGGAACCATTGCCTCAATTTCTCCCTTCACCAAAACATGCTCTCGAGACCCTGGAGTCGCACGTCCAGGACAGTATCAGGCGAGCACGCGAGGAAGACCCTCATTGCATGGGATTATCTCTCATCTATGCTTTTGCCGAACTGGAGGTATTGAAGCACATGGTGTGCACGCTGGAGGAGCTGCTCGAGCTGACAGGGCGACTGTTCGGGACGACAGCATGGCTGACGCATCCCCAGCATGTGTCGATGGCTAGCCTGCACGAGGAAGTAGGAGATCATGGATGGTACAGCCCATTCAAGTGGGAAGAAACATAATTCCGCTTTCTCGTGTGTTCGTATGCATGCATCGGACAGGTACACCCGCTGTCTCGCATGAGGTGGTCGGATCGTTTATTTATTATTATCAACGTAGCTATACTTCTACTTATATCACGTACCGCTGAGACAGGTATGCACCCTCTGCAAGTAGTACCACAAGCTTTAGGCTCATGTATAATGATACCAGACCGACGGAGGAGTGCATAATTTTAAATTTGCTTGGCATCTCTAGATGCTGGGACAACTGCTCAAGCTGATCGTGGTGGATTGTTCATGTACCTCAGATCCAGACCTCGTATCTTGTGGGCACATGGTGGCCGAACAGAGGAGTGAAAAGCACGACTACAATACGAACATACAGTACTTATATACATGCAACCGACGTATTCTATTTAAGACTGAAGCAAACACTAGTGTATCAAGAGAGCGGGACCATGACACAAGAGAGAAACAGCACTGACGCACACCATAGCAAAGAAGTAGAAAAGATAAAGCAACATGACTGTACCCATATCCACGACCAACATAATAATAATCGCTGCTATCCGCCCTGGTACGTATATTGATGGAGGTTGGATATGGACCTAACATTTGACGACTTGGACCTGTATGGGCCTCGTCATATACCGGCTACAGAGCAGTGATTCGGATCTCACTTAGCCTTGGAACCCGACGCCTGCTTACAGCAGGCTAGGAAATCCTTCGCGTATTCCCAGAATATCTCGGAGACATCCGCGTCAGCGAGTGCATCGTCAAGGGTTTCCTTGTCTGCGATGGTGAAATTGGTTAGATGTTGGGCACCGAGGTACATGGTTCTGAGACGGACCGGTTGGTTGCACAGTCGCTATCATGAATAAGTCATCATCGCCGATGACATGCACTGGGTCGACTACATCCCGCTCCTCTGCTACCTGGTTAGACGTCAGTTTAGGAGTACTCTGTGCGCAACAGCGAATGCCACTGACTCGTGCTCTAACATCCTTCAATGCATCCAACAGCTTGTAGGGACGTTCCGGATCATCGTCTTGGTCCGCGTCCTCTATTTCGTCCTCGACGTCCACAGCAGCTGCGGCTCGTGTCTGTACCCTTGTTGTAGACTTCTTCGGGCTTCCGAAATCGAAAACATCATCATCCTGATACAAATCCATGACGTCTTCAGACGCAGACGCAATCTGATTTGACGAGGTCCCTGCTTGCTCATTGACGGGTAGAGCCTCTCCTCCCGCTGTAGAAGGACGCTTGCGGCGTCTAGACGGCCCAGCAGCTGCCTTGATTCCTTTGGGCAGAGCCGCTCGAAACCTCATCTGCAGTCTCTGGCCCCTGTTGATGAAATCGCGAGCCTTCGGTGTGACCTGCGATGGCTTAGCTCAAGGTGAATAGGTCGCAAAGGTAACGTACCTCCAGATAGGCAGCGCTCCATTCGCCATTTTGTTTCGAGAAGATCCGGAAGATGCCCATACTCTCAAGGCGGTCTGCTATCCGCTCGGTTCGATCGCGAGGCATATTCTTACCACTGCCGAACAACTCGTGAGACTGCATTTGTATAGCCCTCGTCGAGGCGCCAGATTTGCCCCATAAGAACTCGAGTAGCTGGTTGCGCGTAATGGTGAATTTGCCGCCGTCAACGAGAACCTCTGCAAGTTGGATGATCTTGACGGCCATGTCCGTGACGTCTTCTTCCTCGATTCCGGACGGGTTGCGACAATTATCGCAACCGTTTTCGCATAGATCAGGATCGAAAGTCTCATTGTAGTACGCAAGAACCTGTGTACGTCGACAGTCGACGTTGTTCTGGCAAAACTGGGCTACGCGGAGAATCTCTTGTTCTTGATGCTCCTTCTCGCGACTATCGCACTCCGTGTTGTCGCGGATCATTCGCCGTCGAGTATTCACGTCGCCCCAGGAGTAGTCTTAAACCGACACATCAACAGACAAGCATCGCAGTCTCGACTGAAGTCACGTACATAAAATACAATCTGCGGGCTTGCCGTCGCGGCCCGCCCTGCCAGTTTCCTGATAGTATCTAGACAGCCTGTAAGTCAGATAACCGCATACGGCGCGGATGTCTCACCCATCCAAATCGTTCGGGAGGTCGTGATGTATCACGTATCGCACTATAGACATTCATAAGCCATCTGAGTTGGAGTAGACAGCGACTGCCTGCGACTCTCACCGTCTGGCTTGTCAATACCCATCCCAAACGCAATCTACGTGTCAACAGCTCGTAAGGAGTCTCTGCACGGGATCAAGCTGTCGCCGCACCGTAGCAACAATGATCTTGCACTGGCCACTCTGCCACTTGGCAAGTGCGTCCTTCTTGTCCACGTTCTGCATCTTCGCGTGGAAGTGCCGAGCTTTGAGCCCATAACTCTCGCGCAGCTTCTTGGCGACGTTCTCACAAGTCTGCCGACTTCGTGCGTAGATAATCCCCGTCTCCTCCGCGTGATGGGCTCGGATGAACTGGACAATCTCTCGGTCGACTCCCTTCTTCGGACGCACCTCGTAGTTGAGGTTAGGTCGGTTCATCGACTGCCAGTAAACCTTGCATCCGCGAATCTTGAGGATACGGATGAGGTCCTCTTTCACTTGCTGTGTCGCGGTTGCAGTGAGTGCCATGATCGGTATACCTGGGAAGTCCGTACGCAGACATTCAAGGTACTTGTACTGCGCAGCCAATTACAGTGAGTATGTATGACACGCAGATGGAAGGAGTAACATACCGCCTCACGGAAGTCCCGGCCCCACTTGATGACTAGATGGCCCTCGTCAATAACAAAGCGCGCAAGCTCCCGATCGTCCCTGATCTCGTTCAACAGCCGGCCAACGAGTGAACTATGCTTCAGCTTCTCGGGAGTGATATAAAAGATGCGCGGGCGATTGCCTTTCGAGCGAAGGCGGCGGGTGACCTGGTCCGACTCTTTAGCATCCTGCTCCGAGTTGTAGAAGGCGACGTCGACGCCCTTCTCCTTGAGTGCCTCGACCTGGTTGATCATGAGCGCGAGCAGCGGGCATATCACGACTGTCACGCCGCGAGTCTTGCCACTATCACAAATTGCGGGGAGCTGATAACAGAGACTCTTGCCTCCACCCGTGGGCATGAGCACAACTGCGTCCTCACCGGACAGTGTCGTGCTGATCACCTCCAGTTGGTGTGGGCGGAAGCTCGTCAGGTTGAAGATCTGTCGCAGCTTGCGCTTGACCTCGGGAAAGAATGCCATCTTGGTGAGCTCGATGGGCACTTGACCAGCCATGGAATGCGATGCGGCTACTTCAACTATGTGTCTGGATATCGCGGCCGATGAACTTTCCGCGGTCGAAGATGAGGCGATGGCGTTATCGAAGGGCGAGGAAGAAGATGGCTCAGCAGCCCGGCGCGAGATAGATGGCATAGCGACTGCCTCCTCGGCGTCTCTGTCCTCGACTGGAATCTCTTCAACGGAGTCCCAGATGTCATCGCTATCAGGTATATGCATTGGTACGTCCTTTGTGGAAGAGCTTGAGCGTACGACTGTCTTCTTCACCACGGAATAGCTCTCGCCGTCGACGCGCATGTCGTTGGCGTGGGTGGTGCGCACTGCCGCACTAGAGATAGAGATGTCTTTTGAAGGGGAGGACACCGTGGAGCGCGAATGAGCGCCTGCGGAGGTCGTCCGACTTTCAAGGGCTTGCTTCGTCGCCATGATCGCTTTGTTACGCCTCGCAAGTAGCTTCCTGCAATGTTGTCAAGTGAATAATACCGTCACCCTGTCGGGAGAAAGTGTATACGCACGAAATCTCCAGCATGCAGATCAGATCACATTCTGGGTCTTCGCCGGAATTATGTCTCAACATCTTGTCATTTACGATATTGCTGAGCTCGAAGTTACTGTTCAGCATGATCCCTAGCTCGTCCGCAGATTTCTAGAAGACAAAAAAGTGAGACGACGAGAGTCATAGCAAAGATGACGTGGGCGCAGCGGTGTCCCACGACGTGTGTTGCATATTCACGGTAGCCGCAAGCCAGGGAAACAATCCAGGTCGTTGCCTGGCGTTGCCACGAGCTATTCGAGACGTGAATCGGACAGTTTATAGTGAACTCCATCCTTTTCATCAGGACAATGGCATGCCCTCCTGGACTGATTCCCTTTGACATCATTGCCAAAGAAGGAGAAGGTACGCCGCTGATGCCATGAGATACCATCTATAACAGCGAGCTCCTGGCACACCCCTCTCGGACTGCCGTGGCACGGACTGCATGGAACGTAATCAAGTCATGCTCGCGTATATTGCGAATGCGTTGTCAAGATTAAGCGATGTTATGCGGTGCCATTTGCAAGCCGCAAACAGCGGAGCCCGCGGCCCATCTCTCGTGCAGCCATTACGTCCACCGCATCACATTGCACATCCCGTGCAGTCGACGCACCAGTCATCGGGCGGGAGTAATTCAGATATAGGACTCACCATTGTAAGGTCCGGCCACTCGTTCTCGCCTAGATCTAAGCGTGGTAGAGGTTTCGACGAAGACGCCACTCTAGGTGAGGGCGGTACGCGCTCCGTGACATTCACCACCCGTCTTCGCGGCGATAATGGGGATCGCGCACTGGTGGATCCATGAGGTGATCTGGCTGCGCCCTCCCTTTGCCCTTGCCACTCGCGCTGAGCAACCTGTTCTCTTTCTCAGTCCGTGAATCCACCTTGGGCCGCTTCGAAGGCGATGACGACTCGGGGTCGTAAGCCGAGCCAGACGACAAGCGTTTCGCGGGCAACCTCGACGGTTTCCTCGAATTACTATCATCGTCGGAAGAGATATCGACCACTGAGAGGTTCGGGTCCGCAGAAGGAGCAACCCTGCTTGATGATGCCTTGGCATCTTTGCGAAACCCTGATGTACGGAAAGCGGGCAGTGTGTTTGGCTGTTTCCGGACTGCGACCACGACTGAGTCTCGGGCGGTGGGAACACTTGTACAGTAGCTCACCAGTCACATTGTCTGGAGTTTGCAGGGACTTTGATGGCTTGAATTTGGTGGACTATCAGAGGTTTGTTGTGTCAGTCGGAGACGCGATGGGTTCCGTGTAGTGGGCTACCTTCGCGTTTAACGATGACGGCTCCGGGCTTTGAGCAGGGCTACCGAACCCCTGTTTGCGGCGGAGCTCTTCTAAGTTGTTCCTAGGAGCGGACATAAAAGACTAGCATAGATGCATAGAGCATAGACGATTTCGCGGATACGGAGAGATGGTCGATGTGGGAAGAAAGACAAAGGCATCTCCGACCAGTGGGGGAGGCGCGACGCGTCGGTCAGGTGACCGACGCGTCCTGGCGACCGTGACTGTCCCTCTTCTTGGCAAGTTCCTCAACAAGTTCCTGTGCGACTCCTCCACCTCCTCCCCCGGCAGGCTGTCTGGCCTTGCTGCGAGTGATTGTTTCTAATTTGTTGGACTGCAGAGTGATGGCGGGCCAGTTCTGGTTTCCGTCTATGTCCGTTCCCGAGATCGTCGACGCGTTCACTGGCTGGGGCTTCTCGGTCAGCAACGAGCAGGTCGCGCATCCAACCACAGACTTCGTGATCAGCATCTACAGCGCTTGCTTGGAGCAGGTTACTGGTATTGCGCTCTCCACATTGCAGACGCCGCTTGACACGGTTCTGGACGAGGTAGAGAATAAGGTACGACTGTTTCGCTGCGCCTGAGTCTGGTTCTTACGGTGTCGTAGGACCTGTACACTCAAGCATTGTCACACAACATGCTTCTCCACCACCTGTGAGTATTCATCAAGTTTCTGTCTGTGATAATAAAGGGACACGCCTCAGGCAGCGTTTTGCCAACGCCGCTCGGTTTCACGACTTCACCGCAAAGGACATCTACTTCCCGGACCCCGAGCGCTCGCGTTCCATCTTCTCTGCATTCATCAATTTCGTCAAATTTGCCGAACAGTGCGAGACATTTGTATCTGGGCTGAGGGAGCGCTCGGCGTCGGTCATCGAGGAGCGCGACAGGATTGCGGAGCAGCTGGTAGAAACGAAGCAAAAGATCGAGGCTATCAAGTGCGTCTGCCTCTCCAATGTTAAGTCAGACTCACTGACATCTTCCAGAGCGAAACGCGCGGAAGACGAACCCAAGTGCGATGCATTGCGGCAGGAAAACACGTCCATGACGGAGCAGCTCATCAAGTACAAAGAGACCCAGCTGACTCTTCTCAAAGACCTGGAGACTCTTAAGCAGGAGATCGAAGTTCTGCTACAGCGCAAGGTGCACCTAGCGTTCACAATTATGTATCGCATCTGAAATTTGTCACCACGCAGGAAGGCATCAACAACGAGACCGCTATTGTCACGGAGAAGGTCAACCGTACAAAGAGCCGCATCGTCCAGGACCCGGAGCGGATCAAGCGTAACATTGCCACGATGAGTGCGACCACGGCAGAGGACAAGAAAACCGTTGCAACGCATGAAGGCAAGATTCGTGACCTGCAGACGAAGATCACGGCGCTGCTCAACATCGAGAAAGTGATATGCTCGTTGACTTTCACTTCAGTCGTTGCCTGACAGCTCCCACACTAGGACGTACGCACATGCATCGAACAGCTGCAAGTAATCGAGAAGGAGACGAACGCGCTTGACACGTCCCAGAAGGCCCTTGTCGACCTGCGGGACCAACTCGACCAGAAGAAAGGCGAGCGCTTAGAGCTCGAGATGCGTCGCGAGGTTCGAGTGCATACCCATGCATTCACGGATGCACCTGACTTGATGTCTATTGTAGCGCGTACACAAACAACTCTCTAATGCACAAGTGAAGCTCGAACGCGCACAGCAAAATGCGGAGGAGAAGCGTGCGCAGAGCCAGCAGTCGCTCGAGCGCTTGCAGGAGGAGTACGAGAAGATGGTTGTGGACCGGCAACTCAATGACAAGAAGGTCGAGGAACTGAGAGCCGACGCGGACGAGATTGAGCGGCAGGTACGTGCATACGCGGGACCGAGTTACAAGTCGATGCTGAACTGCGACCAGATGGCAGAGCATCTGAAGAAGAGCCAAGCAGAGCTGACGGAGCTGCTGACCGAGTATTGGCGGTTGAGACACGAGACTGGTGAGTGGGGGACACTGTCTGGCCAACCACCACGCTCACCGCCTTGCAGAGGTGTACATGGAGACATTGGCCAACAAACTAGGCATGCAGGTCAGAAGTTCGTAGTGTTCGCTGGGATCATTGGTCGGTCTGCCGTATTATTTCTATATGCTGTATTGTTATTCGCTGTATCTTAGCACTGTTGTAGGTCTGTTGTACTTCGTCATCCTAGATCGTAGTAGCGAAGATAGGTGTAGTGCTGCTGCGTTCCCGACACTAATGCCATGGCGTCAGAACTGGCATGGCTTTCGACAACCCTCTGAGGGCGTCAAGCAGTTCCGCGTCTTTAGCAGATAAAGTGTTGTATTCTTTGTCGCCAACGAGCCCGATGAAAGGCAGCTCATCCACCTCGCACTCCGTCCCTTCCTCCGGCAAAGTGCCGTTCTCGAAGTACGCGCGAATATACCGCGCCGTGCACAACGATGGCGCGGACGCGGAGCAATGTCCGTACGAGTTCTGTACGAGGAGTCCAGCGCCGCCGTACCTCTTGTGCACCTTGCGCGCGTCCGAGAGGGGGCAGACCGCGTCGTACCGCGGCTCGACGATGAGGATCGGATGCGATGTGTTCGCCGCGGCAAAGGGGCCTGTGTACCGCCACTTCGGTCGAACGCGCCACTGGCTGCAGCGGACATGGTACATCGCCCAGAACGGACCGCCGAAACGCGACTGTGTCGTCATGTTCGCCAGGTACGCGTCGTAGTAGTCGCGATCGAACGTGAGCCCGTCGCCGTCGCCGCACCCAATTGTCATGAGCGCCTCGTTGGACTCGAGCCAGGGCTGTTTCCGCGCGCAGGTGCATTCGTAGTCCGGGAGGAACTTGTTGACGACGATGGAGATAGCGGTGCCGTTGTGCTGTTCTGCGCCGAGGAGCATGGTGACGAGATCGGGGAAGAATTGGATGGGCTTGTAGGTCATGATGAACGTGAGCTCGTAGAGTAGCTTCTTCGAGAATATCATCGGACCGTGCTCCGCGAAGGGGACTGGTATAGGTGTGTTCTCGACCTTGTCGATGATGGATTCTATGCGCGATTTAATGGCTGCGGGTGATGGCTCGTATAGGAGACACTTCTTCGGGCCTGCTTGGTAACAGAAGGTGAAGAAGGCCTCGATGATGGCATCGTTGTCCACCAGGTTTGTTGTGTAGGATGTCTTGACGTATTCATACGCATCAAAGACACCGTCGATGATCATCCGCTCGATCTTGTCTGGATACATCGCAGCGAAATACTGGCCTAGGACAGTCCCATAGCTCTGGACAAATGGTAAGCACCGTTCTGTTCCGAATTCCCTATCCCACTCACGAAGCCCCAGTACTTCAGCTTTTCTTCACCCAATTTCTCGGTAATTCTGAGCATGTCAGTGGCGACGCTGGCAGTGCTGACGAACCTGCCAGGACCCCACTCTTCAGCCGTGCCATTGGCATCTTCCCTTCCATTGCCACCAATCTTCTTTTCGCAGAGCTGGCCCACGGCGTCCTCGCGCGCGACCATCAGTGGGATAGCGCCCTCAGTGAGGTTCACCCATGTGTTCCTGATTGACTGCCACCATATCTGGTACTGAGCTTCTGAGTCGTAGCAGTGCAGCCCAGGAAGACTTGCCCCCGTCCCTCGGGGATCGAAGCCCAGGATATCGTACGACCCGCCGACGATACGGGAGATGTTCTTGCCAGATTCCATCACAGCGTATGTACCCGAACCGCCGGGTCCACCAGGGTTGATCAAGATGGTTCCCCTGTAGTTCTCCTTGTCTGTCGCGGGGAGCATTTGCAGGGCAATCGTCGCCTTCGGCCCAAAACCAGGAGGGGATTGGTAATCCAACGGAAGCAGCAGCCGGGCGCATTTGTACTCCGAGTGGCATGACTGCCATTCGATATGATCTGAGGGAGATAACTGGAAAGTTCAGCGCGGAGTCGCAGACATCAGCATATTATACCTACAGAGAACCAATCGAACTCAGGGCTTCCAGGTCTGTACGCGGTGATAGCATCCTCCACCGCTTCAGACTGTCTTTCCTTGAATAGAGCATCCCGGACGTAGGGGATGATCAAACAAAAGAAAGCCCCAAGTATGATCGTGGACTTGACCAGTTGTCTCCATGACGAACCTCGTCTATTCTCCACGACATGCAGTGTTGCGTCAAAGTGGTCGTGTCCACCTTTCTCCATCTTGCAGGGGACTCGCACTCGGATGCGGAACTGATGCTCGGCCAATGTCTGCATGCAAAAAGATGTAGCGGGTTCTATTCAACATAAGTTTAACCAGCAACGATGAACTTACAGATACCAGAGTTCACCCGCAGTAATCGCTTGTAGTAATTGGACAGTTCAATTACGACAAGTACTTTTCCCAAGATGCGGAGAGATTACTGTCAGCGGATCACACACGTCGCCTATTGTAAGTGGGCAGCTGCGAAAGTACTGTAACGGACACGAAAGTGACTACACTAAGTGAGTAAAAGAGCAACGTGGGGGTAACAGAATACCACTCACCTCAGTCTCGACGATGTGTTCGAGTACAAGGAGCAATTAAGCGAATCAGAAAATGGGCGCGAGCGCTTACGTGAGGAGGCGCCGGAGCGATCGTACACTAAGACTCAGAGTCCTTGAGGTATCTTACTGATACCCTACGAATGTCCGTCCATTCTCCAACACCGCCGAGTAGCTGCAGGTCCTATGGGAATATTCAGGATATTTTGCGTGTTGATACTTATTGGCGACTGATGAGAAAGGAGGTTGTGTGGTGATGTTTGGCAAAGGCTTCGTACCTGATTTTTTATTTGGGATTGTTGTGGACGTACACTCGAATTTGACGCATACCATGGTACGTCGGTATCGAGCATCTCAGTGTGCATCATACTCTTTTACTCGCTCGCTCACAACCTAACATTAATCAGTGCCACGCTTCACAATGAAGCCGAAGATACAGACACTTCTACAATGGTCCTCAGATAATGGTCTACGACTGAACTCATCCCTGCAAATACGGACGAACGACGCCAACGATTCCGAGATCGCTGTGTTTTCTAATGCGCCCATCAATAAGAATGAAATAGGTCAATATGGATGCGGGCTGCGACCAATCGAATGCGCTCGGCTGACCGTTGGCTTGTTCTAGTCGCCTCAATACCGAAGGCTGCCATTCTCTCCGTCCGGTCCTGCGCGCTTGTATACAAGATCCCATCTGTGCCATATGGCCTTGGTGCACAGCTTGCGCTCTCGCTTGCTCTGTGCTATGAACTGTGAGTGTATGTGCTCTCCCTGCCCGTTTCTGACAGGAGATACGACTGACTGTGCTCAAGTGCGCAGGGCACTGTGTCGCGCTGGCACGGTTACTTGCAATCCTTGCCGTCAAGCATGGTGCCCATAGCACTCCTTTGGGATGCCCATGATGCATTTGATGCAGACGCCGATGGTGAAGAGGCGAATTGCTGGATCGTTGGTACAGAAGTGGAAAGGGCATTGCGCAGCGAAGAGAACCAGAATCCGCTGGTGAGTCATCACCACTAGAGTTGATTTTGGACCAGCCCTCATCGGACCCAAGGACGAAATACGCCAGTACTACTACTCCGTTGCTCGACCTTTGCTGCCTGAAGCGTGCACAATCTCGCATTTCCTCTACGCGTACTCTCTCGTCAGCTCACGCGCGTTCATGGTCGATGCTTACCATGGGCTCTCCATGGTTCCAATTGCCGACGCGTAAGCGTAAATCTCCGTCTCGCAACTGCATGCTCTGACCTTGTGACCTACAGATTCAATCACATCACGGAGAATCATGTCCATTTGGAGGTAGGTAAGAATCCGAATGGTTGTCTTACGCCAGCGTTCAACGTACCTCACCACACATTCTTCTCAGTGTGACTACGATGTCTGCCCCGTTTGTGGCTCCGTCGCTGAATGTCCTCACGATCGCGACGACGTACCGCCATCTTCCAGCGAAGCCATGGACTGGCAGTCCTCATCCGTTCTCTCCGTACCGGATACATGCGACATGGTCGCAAACAGGCCCATTCCACCTCTAAGTGAGGTATTCAACACCTATGGCGCGCGCAGGAGCAATGCGTCCTTGCTGGCATGGTACGGCTTCGCGCTTGACGGGAACGAGAACGACACCGTGGGCTGGGACTTCGTAGAGGTCGCTCAGACGCTCCAAGACGGCGGGTCACCATCGGCACAACTCTCGGAACAGTCATACAAGAAGGTACTACATGCCTGGTTGTCCACGCTTGGGTCGATGGTCGCCGACGACAGCAGGCTGGTGTTCAGACCCGATTTAGACGACACAGACCAGAGGAATTTCGCAGGACCGTCAACGGTGCTGTGTATCAATAGTGACGCGCAAATGAGCGAGTATCTATGGGTGTATCTCGCCGTACGCGCTGCTTTTGAGACAGCTGACAGTCGAAACGCGTCGGATCTCTTGCAAGAAACTCTAGGCTCTGAGGACACCGAGAGACTTGTCGCACTGCTCGGATCGGTCATGGACGAACAAGTCCATCTGGAGAAGGCGCTAGAAGCTGAGAATGGGGAGGACATCGACGTTGACACGGATGACCGCCTGGATAACGAGAGCAAGAATAGGGTAGGTCGATTCCCCCAATACTCGAGCGTGACTATGTCGTGCTGACCTGACCATCTGTTAGTCTCATCGTATCCTATCGCGAATCGCGGACTTGGCTATCAAATTATGCCAGCACAGGATATCCAGCATCGGGAAGCATCCGGATCTCAGTACGGCACAACTTGGGGATGCACTCGACGTATGTTATCACCTCAGTCACCGTCTGTATTCCTCTCTGAGGCGAGGTAATACAGGGCATTCCTGAAGGCAAGCCCAAAACACGCTTGGCACTCGCGCAAGTTCTTGCCGAGAGGTCCATATTGGAGGGTTGTCAGACGGGCTGGCAGGAGCTACGTGATACCTTGCCTGAGGCTTGATGTTGTCGTAGCAGTCATTGGAGCTATTGACGCAGGATCAAACGAGACTGACAATTGTGTCCGACGTGGCGCAGAATGGTACGTTCTCTCTGCGCTGTCATGACTGTGATCGTCAGCGATAGACTGCTGAGTACACTCACCTTAACAGCGCCATTCAGTTGCTCCCGTTAGCTAGTCGCCCGGAGTGATGCTACTCCATCACGACAAGCCACTGAATGTTGTGCTGCATAACAGAAGATAATCCAACTACCTGTCCTTGTCGATGTCCTTTGACATCTATGATGTCCACGCCTGTCAAATTGACGGTGTCAGAGGAAGCGCGCACTGTTGCGGCGGCTGTGCGAGCCTATTCATCTGATAAGTTAACTAACACATAAGCTCGCCCGTTACTCCGCCCCAGATCGTCTCCCTCGTGCGTTGTCCCGAGGTCGCTACTGGCTCTACATTGTTCACTGACCCTCGTTATTGATGGCCTGCTTGAAGTACGCACTCCGTCGTTCTGTATTCTGCTGGTTCAAATACTGATTATCCAAGCATATCGATAGCCTCAGCAATGTGCAATCAGTCAGCCGTACTCAAACGTCTCTGGCTGCGAAGCAGCGCCTGCCACTAGAGGTTCAGGAACGCGTCCTAGACTTTGTTGCTGGGTCGATGGACAGTCGCGAGACGATGAAAGCATGTATAACAACATGCAAAGCTTGGACTCCACGCTGTCGCTTCCACCTTCTGTACGAAGTGCACCTACGCAGCCGGCAGGAGGTGTTTTCGTTTGCCAGGCTCCTGGATTCGAATCCTCATTTCCGCAACGAGGTTGTCTATGCTCATATCGGGTCGCGGGAAGGAACACCACAGCCTATCGAGTACGTGGAGTCCTTCGCGGCTCGATTTGCGGGAAAGCTGCCTGCGGTACATCATCTGATGATACGCAATGCGGAAATGAAGCCGACCAACCTTCGCCTGGATAGCCACCTCCACTTCTCCAGCTTCGTCTCGCTCAGAGAGCTCTCGTTGATGGGAATCCTGTTCCGGACGCCGACGATGTTTCTTCGCACCGTGTGCTGTTTTCCTGGGGTAACCCTACTCCAGTGCACGGATGTAGACATACAGGAGGAACACCGGCCTGGCCTTCATCCAGTCACTGTTCCTAGCATCCGGCATCTAGGCGTGGATGGGAGCTCACCATCAATTGAAAAAGTCATTCATACCTTCGTCAGCGGATCGCTCTCGGTCGCCCTCCGTACTATCGTCCTTGGATATCGCACCGCAGTTCCTCTCCAAGAGCTCACAGGTGTGGTCCAGCGCCTATTGGATGCTGCTGGCCCATCTCTCCGCACGTTCAGTTCCGTCGTCGACGAGACCAAGCTCAAGCTCGACGAACGCATTGGTATGCGTTTGCAATGATTGAATTGTCTCTCGACTGAAATTCTAGCACTCGCAGAGCAGTATATCAACTTTACACCAAACACGCGCCTGGAGCGCATCATCATCCGCATTCCTGTCAAAGACCAACCTATCCTCTCGTGGATCTCTCACGTACTCTCTTCCATCACCTTTGACAGTGACGGGGAAGTATGCCTGATATTTAACGTCGATGCTGGAGACAACACTCCTCTAGTCTTACAAAGTTTGCTCATTCGGCTTCAAGACTCGGTCTGCTCTGAGATCGAAGCTGTCATGTTTCTGCCCGGATTCACGAAGCTCAAAAGGCTTTCCGTCGAGCTCTATATCGTGCCGTGGAACATAGCGCTTTCCCAGACCGCCTGGTCAGAAACCATCATGACGGCAATGCCTCGACTCCATGCACGGGGAATATTGTAGTGAGTCAGAGTAATGCTTTCGAAAAGAGCACTCATGTTAATGACACTGTGTCTGCATATAGCCCGTGCATGCGGGTGTTTAATACCTATTCGATGACGGATCAACGTTCATTGCTACGCAGCGGGGTATCAATCATACCAGGTTCCAGCGCGGCTGAGACCCTTGGCCGGATCTCCCGCCTCAATGACGGGCACACGGAAAGCTAAGGGTTTAGCGGCGAGATCTTACTAGTAGAACCTCTTCCGATACTATGCGGGGCAAGCTAGGTACGGGCTGTCCAAGGTTGGCAAATATCACGTTGCTAATGCGCCGTGACGATTGTCAGGAGTGCACACCACATCGCAACCGTTTCCGGCTCTTCAGCCTCTCGATTCTCCTGTGTTACCAGCCGAAGGCTTACGTTGGGCAGCATCAGCTTGGGTATCTGTATCAGTAATCAACGTCATTATGGGTACATTATAACATTGGGAAAAGATTGGTCTCACCAACTTCCGATTCATCCCATAGAGAGGTTTGACGCTTGACAGGGTTTTCTGCCTCGACATATACGACGGGGAGAATTGTTAATTTGGTCAACCAGGAATGGACCACACTCACTGTCTGGTGTCAGTCTCGACGTTACAACCGACCCCATCTTTCCTCAGTCTGGGTTCAAATTGCCTGTATTACCTTACTAAGCTCTTCGCGAGACCAGCGAACGTTGCGGTGCTCTTCTCTGTGTGCCGCGAGAGGGTCCGGGAAGCTGATATGGCGAACCCAACAAGGAAGAACATCTGAGTCGCATCGTGATGTTGCAGTTTCCACTGCGACGAACAATCAACCAGCGACCGACTGAGACAAGCGCAGTTAGCTGGTCTGAGTCTGCCTTGAACTTGAGTACGCACATCATGCTCCAAGAAATCATGATCGCTCTCCGGCCCCGGGGAGCTACTGAAGTAAGGTGGTCACATCAGTGCGATAGTTCGGACTTGAGCTTGAGATTGCGGGCGGGGAACCGGGCCATTCACAGACAGGATAAAATAAATATTGAGACCCGTAGGTCTACCACTCCGGGAAAGCGTGTCATCCTTGTGCAGGGGCCATGCTAATCTTCTCTGTATCGTTCCAATTTTTTCGTATGTCACCCCGAAGGGGACATTTCAGATAGTCCGAACCGAAGGACATGCAACGGGTCCCTGCCTTGCCTGCAGTCCACGGAGCATCATGTGACTTCAAGAAGCGACTCGTAACTGAGTAACCGGTATGTATCCAGCGGCGGTATGGCACTCTTCGAGGAGACCTTGGGATTTCGTGACATTGTTAGACTAGTAGTTTTGGGTACCAATTCATCGCGGACTCAATCATCAGAGCTGACGACCGATGGCAAGAACTGAGGTCAATCGCCCGGACTAGGTGACCAAATGTATGCGAGTTCAGAATCGCTGCCAGTGCGTCGTCAGACGCCACGCGTCGGTGGCGGCTATTTGTACATGTGATGCAAGAGCCCCGTCCCTGATCGCATTTGGCAATTGCGACACCTCCTACGTTATTTTACCACGAATTGCTCATCTCGCCGCCTTCCTTCCCAAGGCTCAGTCCCAATGAACGTACGTGTAGTTTCCGCTAGTAGATATTGGCTTGGTGGAGCGCCATGCTCCCTTCATGAAGAGACCTTGTCGCGGGTTACGAAGAGTGGCAACTACTATTCGATATGCTCCTCATCCGCCATTGCGCCTGTGCGTGTCGCTTCTTAGAATATACGTGATGATGGTGCGGCCGAGACCCTTCACAGTGCGGTATCGTTGATGCTGTTGCCACGCCCATTCTTTGCCGCTGTCAGGGACATCATGCAATAGTGCATGTCCGAGCTGCACGTCAGCGTTGTCGCCGACATTTCCGTAGTCTTCAATTGAGGTCAACGCGCTATGTAGATTTTCTTCTGTCTGATCTTACGCCGCAGAGGCCCTCACCGAACTTTTGTTCGATAGGGTGGCGTACGCCGCCGCATAGGACTTGTGATCGTGGCTCCGGTGGGGCCGCTGCTCGCGAGGCTGAACACTGCATCAGTTTGGTGTTTATGCCCCGTTGACGTCTCAGTCACAGCGACCGAGTTTGTCTAGATGGGCGGTCCTCTGAACGGCTTATAACCGTATTGGCAACTGACATACTTGTCACGCTCCCTTGCTTTTCGAACCGCACTCTCGCTGCTGCCACTAGTCACCGCAATGTACAACCTCGTTATCCTGTGTCTCGTCTCCCTTCTTGCATACGTCTACAGCGTTAGAAACAGAAGACAACTTTCAGTACCTCCGGGCCCGAGGGGCATCCCCCTCCTGGGCAATGCGCTCCAGCTTCCCAAACAATGTTATTGGCTCACGTTCGCAGAATGGGCCAAAACATACGGTGAGCATCCACTTGTCCGACCTACAGCATGTTTGACACGGAGGTATCTAGGCCCTGTCATGCACATCTCTATTGTTTCGAGTCCAATCATCGTATTGAGCTCCCGCGAGGCCATCTCCGACCTTCTTGAGAAGAGGAGCCTCATGTATTCTGATCGTCCGGTGGTCCCCATGGCGGGCGAATTGTACGATAACGCATGACTGACGCCTAAGATAATTAATTCATTCGCAATACACAGGGCCGGTATGGAGCAATTCACCGCGTTGGCGCCGTACGGACAGCGTCATCGGGAAGGACGAAAGCTGATTCTCAGCGCGGTTAGCACTCGCAAAACGCCAGGACTACATATCATTGAAGAATCGAAGACAGCTGATTTCATCTCAAGGCTAGCCCGTAGCCCATCCGAGCTCCGGTCCCATATTCGATGGTACGTTCACGTTGCAGTGAACGACCAGTGTGACAATAGCGTGATCTTTATAACACAGGGTCGTGGCAAGCATCGTACTCCAGATCACTTACGGAATCAATGCGCTCGATTGTGATGACCCTTTCATACGCAGAATGGAGAGGGGGTTGAAAGATTTCGACAAAATCTCGGCCCCGGGTGCGTATCTTGTTGATGTGTTCCCCTTTTGTGAGTGCTTCGCGTTTTGAGAAGCATCTTAGCTAAAGCGGCACAGTGAAGCACATACCAGAGTGGTTTCCAGGAGCGTCTTTCAAGAGGGTAGCGAGAGAATTCAGGAGTCAGGGTCTCCAGTTGGAGAACAAACTATACCAGACAGCTCGAGACCAACTGGTACGTCCTCTCGGATTAGATCGCTGCTCGTGAGATTGGATGATGGACATGTGATGTTCATCACATCCTCAGGACCACGGAACAGCCACGCATTCGTTCGTGGCCGATTTGCTTGCAAAAAATCATAGTCCTACTCCTGAGGAGCATGAACTGTACCGACAAGTATCTACTCAGTTCCTCGCTGGTAAGTGCACAAGAGTGTATCCAAGCTCTAATGACGAGTATAAATGTTCTTTCATTGGCAGCCGGCTGGGATACAGTGAGTCATCTAGAGTTTCTTGCTTTCGGTGGCTTACGCCCCCTCAGACAGTCTCGTCGCTTCTCTCGTTCTTCCTCATCATGGCCCAACATCCTGAAATCCAACGGAAGGCGCAAGCCGAAGTGGACGCCTCCGTCAGCGGTCGACTACCTAAAATAAGCGACCGTAAAGAGATGCCTTACCTCGAAGCTGTGCTCAAAGAGGTCCATCGATGGAACCCTGCAGTGCCCTTAGGTGCGTCGAGGCATTGCTCATCTACTCAGATGTCGACAACACATGCTTATACTCACGGCTCCGAAGCCTTGCCGCATAACGTACGCCGTGAAGACGTCTATGCAGGCTTTCGTATTCCCGCTGGTTCCACAGTGTTTGCGAATACTTGGTAAGGCATAATCCCTCCACCGCAGGGTGTTGCTAACTGACGTTGCGAACAAGGGCTGTGCTCCATGACCCAGCCTTGTATCCTCGTCCCGACGAAGTCATCCCGGAGCGATATCTCGACAAGTCTGGCGAGCAATCCGACTTGAACCCTGATCCTCGAGACTTTGCCTTTGGCTACGGAAGACGGTATGTACGCGACGCGTGGAGCCACTCAACCCAGGCTCACTTGTACCACCTTTCATTGCAGGGTTTGTCCCGGACGGATGCTTGCGGAAGACACCCTGTTCATAGTTGCGGCGTCCGTGCTCGCATCATTCAACATCGGTGATGCTATTCCTCGGGAAGGCGAGACGGTCAAATATGGTGGTGGTATTGTTGTAAGGTTTGTCTGTCAATTCTATATGTGTACTAGTTTCTCATCTCGCTATCGTTGCAGTCACCCGGATGACTTCACATGCACCATTATCCCTCGCCGGTTTGTGTAAAGGAACGGTGAAGCAGATGTACGGTCCCACTTCTTGAGCTCAATATTCCGTTCGGCGCTGTAATCTACGCGAGATTCCTCGAGTCTTGACCTGTAAGTTCTCACTGCATGATAAATTCCGAGCTGCCACCGTCGGCAAGCATGTCTTTGCAGACCGACTCGGTGTCTTCGCCCTGTGTTACATTTTTATTCTGCTGCCACTTGTGGAGCACGGACCTCCTTGCCAGTGTCGGTGTGCACCTACCTGCTTAGCTGATATGTATATTCTTTCCTTCCTCCAGACGAGTGAGGCGCCGAGTGCGAGTCGGGTTGGCCCTCTGCGAGTAGTCGGCCATCTGTGATGAGTCGATTTCGGCTGCAGTCCACGTGCAGAACGTGCCCTCGCGCTTCTTCGTGCTGTTGGAGGTCGGGACTCAGCGGGAGCGAGTCTGCATCCTCCGCGCTGAAGAGTTTGCCATCGGGGCTTATCAGCACGGGGAGGTACGCAAGGTTCGAGCGTGCGAGCGTGACGAGCAGCGCACACTCTGTCAGTCTTCGGGAGCAGGAGGTACTCAACTGAGTCGCGTAGAGCGAGGAGCTGTGCCTGGTCATACAGCATCTTCTCAAAGTGCGGCACATGCCACCGCTCGGCAACTGAATACCTCGACACCGCTCCGCCGACGTGCTAGTCATGCGCGCCGCACGCATGTATCGTGAACACCGCCATCTCAGCCTGGCCCAGTGAGCCTCGGAGCGCGCGAGAGCGACGCGCGCCTAATCTCTTCCTGCATGCATAGACTAATTCTACGCAGCCCGAGGCACGAGCACTGCTTAAAATGACAGTCTTGTCAGTCCAAAGCTTTCCACGCCCCCGCATCGCAGGCGTACACTCCATTGTAACAGTCGCTCCAAGAACTGGCATGCTGGTACATGCATGATTTGTGATGGGAGACGCAATGGTGAGTGGCACTAGTGCTGTCCATAAGTATGAGTTACCGTAGAGAACAGAAAGCTTTCCCACTAGATGCGATTGTCTCCGATCAGCGGCGCGCCCGCGATGGGCGTAAGTTCCCATTAAGTAGAGTCGTGATAGAGTCTGATAGAGTATATGATGTTACGCGCCGGTGGCGGTTGTTTGTCTTTGTATTGCAAGAGCCCCGTCCTGATCGCATTTGGCAATCGCGCCACATCCTGTTGGTTGGTTGCTAGGTGTTCCACCACGAGCTGCTCATGTCGCCCTCCTTCCTCCGAATTCACAATGATACTTACGTCCAAATGGATGTGTAGTTCTCGCTTCTAGCTATTGGCTCGGTACGTCGGCGCCTGTCCAAGAGACCTCGTCACGGCTTACGAAGGGCGGCAAAGTGTATCCGACTCATCCTCCGCATTGCCACCGGCGCGCCTGTACGTGTCGCTTATGCACATTGATCTGCCACCGGCGCTGTGCGCTCAGGGGACATCAGGTAATGATGCATGTGCGAGCTGCAAGTCGCTGGTGTTTCCATGTACTCCAAATCCCAGACGACGTGAACGACTGAGACTTTCTTCTTGCTTTCTTCTGTCTTATCTTACGCTGCAGAGGTCCTCACGGAATTGCTGTTCGACAGGGTAGCGTACGCCGCCGTACAGTACATGTGATTGTGGCCTCCGAGGGCCTCGGTGGGGCCGCGGTTCGCGAGACTGAACTCTGCGTCAGTCCGGTCTTCAACCGTTCAGCGCTCAGCGCTCATATCCCATTGACAGCTCAATCAATGCCGCCGAGTTTGCGGTCCTCCGATGAGCGACCTATAAGTATAATATGAACCGTGCTGGCGTCCGACGTACTACACATGCTCCCTTGCTTTTCGAGCCGCACTTTCACTGTTGCTAGTCACTGCAATGTTCAACCTCGTTATCCTGTGTCTCGTCTCCCTTCTTGCATACGTCTATAGCGTTAGGAACAGAAGACAACTTTCAGTACCTCCGGGCCCAAGGGGCATCCCCCTCTTAGGCAATGCACTCCAGCTTCCCAAGGAACGTAATTGGCTCACATTCGCAGAATGGGCCAAAACATACGGTGAGTATCCACTTGTCCGACCTACATCATGCTTAACACGGAGGTATCTAGGTCCTGTCATACACGTCTCTATCATTTCGAGTTCAATCATCGTATTGAGCTCCCGCGAGGCCATCTCCGACCTTCTTGAGAAGAGGAGCCTCATGTACTCGGATCGACCGGTGGTCCCCATGGCAGGCGAATTGTACGATAATGCATGTCTGACGTCGAGAATGATTGCTTCATTCACATCATACAGGGCCGGTATGGAGCAATTCACCGCGATGGCGCCGTACGGACAGCGTCATCGAGAAGGACGAAAGCTTATTCTTGGGGCGATCAACACTCTCAAAGCGCCAGAACTACATATCATTGAAGAATCGAAGACGGCTGATTTTATTTCAAGGCTAGCCCGTAGCCCATTCGAGCTCCGGTCCCATATCCGTTGGTACGTTCACGTTGCAATGAACAGTCAATGTGACAATAGCATGATTTCTATCACATAGGGTCGTAGCAAGTATCTTGCTCCAGATCACTTACGGAATCAATGCGGTCGATTATGATGACCCCTTCATTCGCGCAATGGAGAGGGCACTGAAAGACTTCAGCGACATTGCGGCACCGGGTGCGTATCTCGTCGATGGGTTTCCCTTCTGTGAGTGTTTTCCATTTTGAGAAGTACTGTAGCTTACGCGAAACAGTGAAGCATATACCGGAGTGCTTTCCGGGAGCGTCGTTCAAAAGAATCGCGAGAGAGGTCAGTGATCGGAGTCTTCAACTTGAACGCAAACTATACAGGACAGCACGAGACCAACTGGTACGTCCTCTCGGATTAAATCGCTCCACAGGACATGCGATGTTCATCCATATCTTCAGGACCACGGAACAGCCACGCATTCGTTCGTGACCGATTTGCTTGCAAACAATCGCAATCCTACACCTGAAGAGCATGAAATGTACCAACAAGTGTCCACTCAGTTCTTCGGTGGTAAGTGCACAGCAGTATGTCCAAAGTGCGAATGACGAGTATAGGTGTTTTTTTCGTCGACAGCCGGCTTGGATACAGTGAGTGATCTAGAGTTCCTCGTTTCCAGCGGCTTACGCCCTCACAGACAGTCTCATCGCTTCTCTCTTTCTTCCTCATCATGGCTCAACATCCTGAAATTCAACGGAAGGCTCAAGCCGAAGTGGACGCCTTCGTCGGTGATCGACTACCTAAATTCAGCGACCGTGAAGACATGCCTTACCTAGAAGCTGTGCTCAAAGAGGTCCATCGATGCAACCCTTCAGTGCCTCTAGGTATGTCCAGGCATTGCTTGTTCACTGATATGTCGTCGACAACACATGCTTATGCTCACGGCTCTGAAGCCTTGCCGCATTACGTACGCCGTGAAGACGTCTACGCAGGCTTTCGCATTCCCGCTGGTTCCACAGTGTTCGCGAATACTTGGTAAGGCATATTCCCTCCATCACAGGGAGTTGCTCAATGGTGTTGCGAACAAGGGCTGTTCTTCACGACCCAGCCTTGTATCCTCGTCCCGAAGAAGTCATCCCGGAGCGATATCTCGATAGGTCTGACGAACAATCCGACCTGAACCCTGAACCTCGAGACTTTGCCTTTGGCTATGGAAGACGGTATGTACGCTACGTGCGGAGCTACTTGTCCACTGCTCAGTTGTACTGCGTCTCATTGCAGGGTCTGTCCCGGACGGATGCTTGCGGAAGACACCCTATTCATTGTTGCGGCGTCCGTGCTCGCATCATTCAACATCAGCGACGTAATTCCCCGGGAAGGCGGGACGGTCAAGTATGGTGGCGGTATAATAAGGTCTGTCCGTTGTGTCTATAGGTGTCCTAGTTTCTCATCGCGTTATCGTCGTAGCCACCCGGATGACTTCACATGCACTATTACTCCTCGCCGGGCTGTGTGACGGAATGGTGGAGCGGGTGTAGAATTCTTGCACGTAATATGCCACTCTTTTGACACTATACCATGCATGAGATTCTACGAGTCCTGAAAGCTCGACCTGACGTTTCTCACTACACCCTTAAGATCAATTCCGAGTTGCTGTCAGGAAGAACACCTTTGCAAACCCACCACAATTTCCTCGGGCGTTTTTCGCTGTTGAGCTCCTGACGAGATCGGTTTGTGTGTCCTCTGTCCTTGAACTGGAAATGCCTGACAGGCCCGCGCGATGCAGCGTCAAGCGGTTCTTAGCACCCTGTAGACAGGCGGTATAATGGCTAGGTATGGTCTGTACATCGGTCGAAGCTTGCTGAGCACGCGCTGCACATATTTAAACTATTGTTCGTACGAAGTCTGGGACTACAAAGAGGCACTCACGGCGGCGCTGCCGGTGTAACTCGATCAGCTCTGGTCATGTGTACCAAGAATGGCAGCAATGAACTGCTCCATGTCTGCCGAGCGAGGTGTGATCGTACAAGTGAACGGAGGTGCATGGCTAACATCAAGTATTCGGTTAGTGTTGTTGCCTTGGCCCGAGCGTCTGTCATTGTGCACTCACGTAATTATCCCTCCCTCATAGTCGACATTCTTGTCAATGGCATGTCCGTCAAGAGTTCTGGCATTCGTGATGTTGAAAGTGGCAAGAATAGTCGCTGTGACTAGGAAGACCGTGTCATTTGCGAGGATCTGTCCAGGACATACCCTAGCGCACGCGCACTCAGAGGTTAGTATGTGGAAAGGATGAACGCAGCTCACCTTCTACCGTATCCAAAGGACCATGTTTCGGGGTCGGGATTGATATCCTCCCTCTTCCGATCAAGATACCGTTCTGGCTTCACCTCAAAAGGATCCGGGTAGATAGACGAGTCGTGCAGAATTGCCCTGTCCATGACATATCCTCAGCATTCGAAACATTCGTACTACAGTTGTCCGCCGGCGTACCATGAATTTGCAATGATCGTGGCGCCCTTGGGAATATGGTAGCCGTCGTAGGTGTCATCCTGCATGGCCATATGAGGAAGAGCTATGTGGGTCGTTGAGCGGTTGTTGGTGTGTAAGCCCACAAGCCGTGAAAATTACCTAGGGGCGCCACAGGCTTCCACCGGTGTATTTCCTTGACAAGCGCAGTTACATACGGAAGACTGTCGTTGTCGCTGAACTTCGGCAGCTGATGGGACCCTAATGATGCGTCGACCTCGGCCTGTGCCTTCCGCTGAACTTCCGGATAAAGCGCTAGCACTAGGAACATGGATTCGAGCGCGGACACAGTCTAGCAGGATGTGTCAGCGAGAATATCGATGCACATGAAATTTACGCACCGTGTCAGCGCCCGCTACATCACATTATATTAGCTGCAAGACATCTACGGTAAAACGGATGACACACCAAGATAGAATTGAGTCGACGCCATCTTGTTTATGAACAGCTCTTCCGGACTCGGATTAGGATTCTTCTCAATGATGTCTGAAGTGAAGGATGGCACCGCTGTGCCACGCGCCTGCCATTTACGAAGCCGGTTAGAGCACAGTCCACACCGTGATGCTCCGTCGCAAAGCGTACCAGTTGTTCCTTCACTTCATGATAAGGCTCATCAAGAATCCTCTCAAGAGTGTGACGGGCCTCCTTCGCCAAAGCCTTGAATCCGGTACCGGGAAGCCAGTCTGGTACATGTCGCACTGATGTCCCATGAGACAGAGTACAGGTACCCAGGGAACAGAGAACCCACGAAACGGAAAAACATCCACGAGGAATTTACCCGGAGTTGCGGTAGCCGAGAATTGCGCATTGACCAGCTCTGCAAGCTGGACTAGGGGATCACTCGAGTCGTTTATATCGCGACCATGCGTGATCTGCAAGACGATACTGGCGACTAGCCTGTATGCGATAGGCCGTAAGTCTGGTGCGGACTCGTGGCGGTGATGATGACCATACCATCGCAGATGAGGCCTAAAATCGCTCGGAGAGGCGAGAAGCCTCGAAAGGAGTTGCGGTATTTTCGTTTCGATGACACGCTGCAATTGAGGAGCATTCCGCGCATTGATGGTCCCACCGATGAGTTTGCGGCTTTCCTTGAGAATGGTCCCATAAGGGCACAACACGGTGAAGCGGGAGTATCCGATCCTGGCGTTTGGGATGAGTCCTGAAGGTGCGTAGCATGAGGGCGCCAGCTCACATCTCAGACGCCATAGGCATGATGGGGCGGTCAGAGTAAATGTGGCCTCTCTTCTCCAGCAGGTCCGAGATAGCTTGTCGAGACGTGAGAAGTATGATTGATTTTCCGAGAGCCGACAGATGCATAATGTCGCCTTTATCTCATCGTAAGCGACACCAAACATAATATGAGTAGTAGCAAAACTCGCCATGCTTCTTCGCCAAATCCGCGAATATGACCCATTCGTTCTTCGTCGGCATTTGTAGGGCATTTCCTATGATAGGCAGTCCAGATGGACCGGGAGGGAGATGACGGTTACGAGAAGCCACTCTTGAGATAAGGTAAACCACGGCCGAAACCAAGAGCACCACAATGGAAGCCGACATCTTCGAGGACGGCACGGTGTGAACACGGACCAGAGGGATGCGCTTATATACGGGGGGTCCCCGGCCCTGGAGGAATGGTCAGGGACACGAGGTTGGTACACCCTTTGACAGCGCCTTCCGGCTACGGTGTGGAACTGACATAGTCATCGAAGTCGAACGAGTTACGGTGTCAGTATGGGCATCTCAAAACAAGGTTTTCGGTAGCCCACCACAGCGGAGACCCGGTGCTAGTTCTCAGTCTGAGGCTAGATCAGAGACTCAGCATTCTATACGCAGTCAGCCCGACAGGCGACAACGAGTGCGGTGGCACGGACAGATCCAGCCAGCAGCCTGAGCCGGCTGTCGGTGAAAGGGACACGGCCTCGCTTGGTTGACTTGAGCCATACCGACGCACTGCACAATGAGTCAGCGTGAGCCGGAATTCGCAGACATGATTGAACGAGCAAAGGAGACCGCAGAAGCAAAGGCCCTTTGACTCCTACCAACCCGCACAAGTAGGGCCTACGCATGAATGAACCCGCACCGTCTCTGCGAGTGGTGCCTCGTGGGCACGCGCTGCCTCTGAGCAGCTCTTGTAAAACTTCGTCCGACAGATCAAATCTACACACTGTGCCCAATCAGCTGCCCACATTGCGGAGCCACGTAAGAACGCGAGTCTGAAGTACATACTACACGTTCAGATCCCTGGGAGTTGCCTTTGCCACTCAATTGTCAGGAATACAGCGACACGGCCGGCGGTTGCGGACTGTCATGCTTCCATGCCTTCCGCAACACGTGGAAATTGCGACTGCACTCATATCCGAGGCTCTTCCCCTCTATCGTGAGAATACGGTCCTCACTTCTGGGAATCGGGCCCGGGGTCAACACAGCCGAAAGGGGGGTGTGGGACTTGTCGGAAGTCCAAAACGCCGGAACTCAGTACGTCAAAGACGCGCACCATGTACTTGGAGGTTGATTGGGAACCTTCAGCTATAGCTCGTAGTAGCTGTTAGAGCCGAGCATGAATGCTACACTAGCCACTCACCATGAAACACAGCATCGGCCAACTTGCGATTCTCCATTATCGGCGGTTAGTGCGGGCGTACGGTCCAGGCATTCGGCAGGCAGCAGGTGGAATGGAGGCAGCCGGACGAGAAGGACAACTCAAGCGTCGGGAATCGACCCTTAAACATATGCACCTGTCGTCATCTCCGCGGCAGGGGGTTCATGGATAACGGTAGTAGTTCAAAGCGCCATTGGCCGTTTAACCAAGCCTCACTCGGTGTGCAGCTGTAGCCATCACCTCAGTTGAGTGATGCGCGAATATAGTCCAAAGCAGAAAGTACACTACTGGCACACCGATACACTCACACAACAGATAGAAATGCTAAAAGACACGCTTCAATACCCGCCTCTATCGTCGGATATCCGGTGGGAGGCCATCTGGCGCCTTTGAGTGTCCTCGAGTTTGGGACAGTTCGAGATACCATGTCCGAGACCTGGAAGCAAGGAACGATCAACAGGAAGAAGTACTGGGAGGCTGGACCGACTTACCTCCACACACTGGACAGCCTGTGAGCGAGGCACCCTGGCCGACCCGCGGATCTTCGATACTTTGCAGGAAGGGAGGAACTCTGTCGCAGTCGTGTAAGCATCGACATGCATAGATGGAACAAGGGTGACGACAAACTTTTGCCCCGCCTCCATGAGCAAGTACTTCAAATCGAGCAATGTTTGCTCCGGGGTGTTCATATTCACAAATGTGGTGGCAATACCCGTCTTTCCGCTACGGCCCGTACGTCCGATCTGGTGCACGTAGTCCTCGATCTCCTTCGGCATGGAGAAGATGATGACATGCTGAATGTCGTTGAAGTCAAGTCCCTTGGAGGCGACGCCCGACGCAACCATGACGTCCTTCTGGCCGGATTTGAAAGACTTGATCGCGTATTGTCGTTCCTCTTGCGCTGCAGTGACATGTGAGCATATGTATCGCGCATCGCTCTGACGAATCAACGTACACTTCGAACCATGGATAGCCACAGCTTCAATGCCTTTCAGTAGCAGGTACTCCTGAATGTCTACATCGTCTTGTCAGTCTCATGCAAGCCTACGTGAACCACAACGCCTACCGTCGACCTCGTTCTTATTCTCACTGAAGATGATGACCGGTGGAGGCGTCTTTTGCAAGCACTCCAAGAGATAGACCATCTTCGCCTCCTGTTTCACATATCCACGACTTGGAGCACGTCAAGATTCGCCGCACCCGCACGACCAACGTTCACAAGGATGGGCTTGACGAGCGATGATTGAGCAAAGTCTTGGATCTTCCGCGGCATCGTGGCCGAGAACAGGAGTGTCTGTCGTTGTCGCTGCAGGTACCCAGTCAGCTTCCATCGTCATACAGTACTTAGCCTGCGCCCAACCTTGAAGAAGCTCATGATGTTCCGCACATCATCCTCGAACCCAAGTCGATCATCCGATCAGCCTCGTCCATGCACAGATACCGACAGTTATCGAAGTAAAGCGCTTCTTCTCCAGCATGTCGATCAGACGCCCCGGCGTGGCCACGACGATGTGTATGCCCTTGCCAGTACATGGCTCTGGTCGCTCATCGAGATCCCGCCGATGCACAGCAGCGTGTTCAGCTGCGGGTACTTCCCACCGCCTTCGTGCGCCAACGCGTTGGTCCAGACAAGGACGTTTTCATATGTCTGTGTCGCGAGTTCGCGCGAAGGACAGAGGATGATGCCAACAGGACCTTCCCCGCGAACGAACGGTAGCTTCGTTTCTTCTTCGAGCGCGAACATGATCAGTGGCAGGCAGAAGGCGAGCGTCTTGCCGGAACCAGTGAAGGCGATGCCGATCATGTCGCGTCCTGCGAAGCTGTCAGAGAAGTCATTAACATGCGAACCTATGAGCGCGGTAGACGTACGCAGTGGGAATACCTTGCAGCTGGATCGGTGTGGGCGTGGTGATGCGTTTGGATTTGAGGAACTTCACGAGTGTTTCCGGCACCTTCATGTCCTGCGCAGTCACGATAAGTAGCGGAACGTACGTTGGATCGAGAGCCGTACAGTGAAGTTGTCGATGGGCGGGGGATATCCTCGCCGTCAACCAAATGTGGTGCTTTCACGCAGTCTCTGGTGCTCCTGCTCACTCCGCTCGCGAATGAACTTGGTGGGCGCCATCTGAAGCCTTGAGTTAATTGGTAGCGGTGAAAGGCGAGCTTACACGTACGATGTTGTCATCGGCTCCGTGTACAGGACACCTTTGGCCAACTCGAGGTCAGACGCAAGTTCTTTCGGCTTGCGATGGCCACCAAATCTCAGCATCTGCCTCTTTCACCTTCTCGCCTCGGTCTTCTTCGCGTCTGCATACGTGAGGTGAAAATCGGTAGGTCGTGAACTTACAACGGACGCACCTTCTACGGCCTTTTTCTCGTGCACCTCCTGCGCCTCCATCAGTAGTGTCCTCTCTTTCGCGCCAGTTCTCTCTCCTCTCCTCCTCACGTTCCTCATCCTCACGCTCGTCCAGCTCTTCCTGTCTGGCATTTGCTTTGCTCTTGTCCGTTCCCCATGAGGTAAGCTTTGCGAGCTTGGCCTGTCTCCGCTGAGCCACTGGCACGTAAGGCACGTAGCTGTCTTGGTCGTCTAGCTTGTACTCTGGCGAAGGCGAGCGTTGGCTACGGCGGCGCTTGGGAGCGGACTGTTCGGACATGGTGGATGGAGAGCAAGGATGGCGCGCGCGAAGCCCGAGTTTCTCGGAGACTTGGACCGCCGGGCCGTGCTGAGCCGGGCAGCCAGACCGTGTCTCCGGCCCCAGATTCAGGAGTCCTCAAAGTCCGGGATCATGATAAGTACGCTCCGGAGGACCGAATCTTCGACCATTCTTCGTTTGCTAGTCGACAACCATCATCTGCTCGCTGCTCGACACGACGACAACGACTAGTTCGCATCACCGAACATGGCTGAGACCGAGTTCGACCCGACTACTCATCCGCATCGTCGATGTACGTTTATTTTTCACCCTCTCTTTGCCCTCAGTTCAAGCAAATCGAACGCTGTCAGTGAACCCCCTCACGGGCGAGCACGTCCTTGTGTCGCCGCATCGCACCAAGCGACCCTGGCTGGGTCAAACGGAGCCGCCGCAGGCGCTGGATCTGCCTCAGTACGACCCGAAGTGCTACCTCTGTCCAGGCAACACCCGCGCGGGCGGGGCGAAGAATGAGGCTTACGAGCACACCACGGTCTTTGAGAACGACTACGCTGCGGTACTCCCACCGCCCGGACCGGCTGCGCCCCCTGCTCCGCACCCGCTGCTCACGACGGAGCCCGTCCAGGGCGGATGCGACGTCCTGTGCTTCCACCCGAGGCACGACCTGACCCTCGCACGCCTGCCTGTCCCCGATATCGAGCGCATCGTCGAGGAGTGGTGTGCGATCTACAGCAAGCGCGGTAGCCAAGAGGGCATCCAGTATGTCCAGATCTTCGAGGTACGTAGTTCCAGCCAAGTCCACATCCCTGGGCCCCGCACAAAAAGTGCGTGGTGTTCAGTGATCCAGACGCTGTGCCGCTCAGCCTGGGCCGCCGTAGCCAAGGGCGCGGCTGCCTGGCCCAGCCTGGCCGTCGATGACCGTTGCGTCCGGCGTGATATATACTCCGCCTATGTGGGGGCCTTACGATATGGACGCATTGTTTATCGTTCGCGCAGCTCATGGCTCCGGTCAATAACAGAACAAGGGGGCGATGATGGGATGCTCGAACCCGCATCCTCACGGACAGGTGTGGTCGCTCTCAGACGTGCCGTCGCTCCCCGGGACCGAGCTCGCGAGTCTCAAGCGCTACGCCCTCAGCAATGCCCCTTCGTCCTCGGCTCCCAAAGGCCCGGAAGGGAAGGCGTGTTTGTTATGCGAGTACGCACACTTCGAGGTCGGCGTGCGGAGAGCGAGGGCCGCGTCGTTGTCAAGAACGAGCACTGGGTCGCTCTCGTCCCGTGGTGGGCGGTCTGGCCATTCGAGATCATGCGTCAGTGCCTCCCACTCTCACCGGTACGAATCTGACTTATCAAAGTGCTCCCACACGCCCGTCACATACCGTCCATCACGGACCTCACGCCCGGGAGAAGACGGCCTTCGCGTCGATCCTCTCGCAGATCACGAAGCGCTACGACAACCTGTTCTCGTGCTCGTTCGCGTACTCGATGGGCATCCACCAGCGCCCCGTGCCTCGTAAGGCGGGCGACGGCGAGGATGTGGACGTCGCACATCTGCACCTGCACTTCAACCCGCCGCTCCTGCGTAGCGCGAGCGTGCGCAAGTTCCTCGTAGGGTAAGTCTGGCCTGCGTGTGAAGCCCTCCGCATGGATGATGACACGAGCTTCAGATTCGAGCTCATGGCGGAGCCGCAGCGCGACCTCACCCCGGAGCAGGCAGCTGGCCGTCTGCGTGGCTGCTCCGAAGTGCACTACCTGGATGTCGCGGAGAATGCCCCGAAGACTGCCGAGAACCCTACCTCGAAGGATGCGGACCCGACCAACAGCTGAGTGAGGTATAGACGAACGGAAGGATAGACGAATTGACGAAGTAGCAAGTGATGTACAAAGACAAATCGTAGAGTGTTCCGTTTGGTAACGCAGCCCGCAGAGCTAGGGTCTGAGCAGCCTTTTGTGCAAGGTGGGTAACTAAGGGTGTAGACGCATTCCGTCTCCTCGATTGGAATCCAGGAGACTGCACCTAACGGCTTCATTTAATGCCTCTTCACATAGGCCGGCGCGGAGAAATGTTGCACATGAAATCGGTGGGGTGGCTGATTTCGTCCTGCGTGAGCAGCACTGAACAAGGCAACTGAAGGGTGGACTGACCTAATTGCACCCCCATGATGCTCGATTGTCCTCCCTGTGCCATGGCAGGGACCGCGTCGCCAATGTCGAACGACGCAAGTACGGATGCGGCGACTATAAAGAGATGTCCTCCGCGAGTGTCTGTCCGGGGCAGACTCTAGCAGAGCGCATTTTACTCCTGCGAACACCACGCGAACTCGCTGATTGAACGTACCGTCTCCCGTACCCGAACGCAAATTCTCGAGGGTCGGGGTTGAGGGCTTCGTCGGTGTTATCGAGGTAACGTTCCGGGATGACTTTGTCGGGATTGGGGTAGAGCACGGGGTCATGGAGAACAGCCCTTGTACGGAGTGTTACTGATCGGACTTCATCTTTGTAAGAATCGCTTTACCAGCTATTCGCGAACACCATGGAACCGGCAGGGATGCGATAACCTGCATAGACGTCCTCCTGTCGAACCTTGTGTGGCAAGGCTAGCACAGAATCGAGTTCTATTAGGTATCGTTAACGCCAAACTAGCGCCGCAAATGCGCACCCAAGGGCAATACTGGGTTGCAGCGGTGCACCTCTTTCAGTACCGCTTCAAGGTACGGCAAGTCCTTGCGGTCGCTGCACTTCGGCAGCCTGTGGCTCACGACCGCATCCACTTCGGCTTGAGCCTTCCGTTGAATCTCGGGGTGCTGAGCCATCATGAGGAAGAAGGATAGCAGGGCAGAGGTTGTCTTCAATGGCGTGAGCTGGGGCTTTGACGAGGTGCTGTAAAAGGACTTACCGTGTCTGAGCCAGCTGTGAATTGACGCATATTCAGTCAGTTTGGAGGTCTGAATACCCGTTGGAACACTTGCCCGCATAGAACTGGGTTGACACTAGTCTGTAAAACTCATCGTCTTCAGGTGTACGCTTGCGATTGCTCGTCAGGTAGTCGACGATGAATGAGGGCCTAGCCTTTCCCTCTTGCTGGTCATGTCATGAATGATACAAATCTATGTCCCTGTCGAGACGGCTTACTACTTGCTCTTGGGCCACTTCGTACAACTTGTTCTGCAATCCGATGGTGGTTCGACGGACGTCCTCCGCAACATGCTTGAATGTTGCCCCTGGAAACCATTGCGGTACGTACTTCACTGCTCAATATCAACATCGCACGACATGCCACTTCATGGTATTGTGTACTCACAGAAGGGCAACACGTCCACCAGATATGCACCGGGCACGGTTATGTCACTGAATGCCCTCAGCGCTTTGTGGACCCACTGAACTAGAGGGTCTTCACAGCTGTCTACATTCAGTCCGTGAGTGATTCGAAGTACCGTACTGGCCATGAGCCTGAAGAGGATGTCATTGGACCAGGGCAGCTCGTTTATGTTATGGCCATACGTACCATTGGATATGAGTCTGAAGTTCAGACGGGGCGCGAGCCAGCCGTGATACGAACTCCACCGCTTTAGCCTCCTCAATCGCATGTAGATCCTCTGCTCTCCGGGTATTCAAGACACCCAGTATAAGTTTACGACCTTCTCTATGCTGCGGACCGTACGGCAGCAACGCGGTGTAATCTTGGAAGCCCGCCCTGTGTGGAACGTGAATCGGATGTGCGCATGACACAAAAAATACACAACGCATGCGTACAACTCTCCGGCCATGGGTATGACTGGGCGGTCAGAGTAGATGAGGTTCTTCTTGTTCAGAAGATCGAAGATGGCCTCACGGGAGCTCAGCACGATGAATGAGCTCCCGATGACTGAGAGGTGCATAACGGGGCCTGCAGGCATCTATGAGCACTGGCTTTAGGCTCCCGGAAGTGACTGCTCACCGTAGATTTTGGCCCACTCGGCAAACGCGAGCCAACTACGATCTGTGGGAATCTGCAATGCATTGCCTAGGAGAGGAATACCTCTAGGACCGGGAGGGAGTGGCAGCCGTCCGACGCCTCGACTGAATTTGTAGGCGATGAAGGCGGCGAGACAGAGTATGAGGGGCAGGAACATCGCGCCTTGACCAAGGGTATATGTTGGTAGCAAACCGTGGAGGTAAGTGCCAAATGTGCCAGCAGCATCAGCTCGCATAGACGGTGTCAATAGACAGGCAGCGCCTAACTTATGTATGTCAGGATGCCGGCCGTTCCGCCCCGTTGTTGTACGTACCATAGATAGCCGCCCTCCCACCTTCCGAGAAGTCCCTTGATGCTGTCCAAGTTTGCAACGGGTGATCCCTCCAGGCAACTTTAGGACAGGAAAGAATATACACAACCCGAGCTTGTTCGGAGAATCCCTTCAACGGAAGCTGTGGGCAGCAGGATGAAAAAAAATGCAACATGGGGCGAAGACACCGAGTCGGTCTGCAAAGACATGCTTGTCGACCGGCAACTCGTAATTTATCATGCAGTGAGCACTAGCAGGTCAAGACTCAAGGAATCCCACGTAAATTACAGCACCGAAAGGAATGATGAGCTCAAGAAGTGGAACTGTCCATCCGCCTCACCGTTCATTTACACAGACCGGCGAGGGATAATGGTGCATGTGAAGTCGTCCGGGTGACTGTGAAGATAACGCATGAGAGTCTATTATGCCCAGGTTCAGACTTGACAGACGGACCTTATCATACCACCGCCATATTTGATCGCCTCACCTTCCCGAGGGACGGCATCGCTGATGTTGAATGATGCGAGCACGGACGCCGCAACTATGAACAGGGTATCTTCAGCAAGCATCCGTCCGGGACAGACCCTGCAACGGGAGGAAGTGAGCGGGGAGTCGAGTTCAGTAGAACCACGCTTGGATTGCATACCGTCTCCCGTAGCCGAAGGCGAAGTCTCGAGGGTCTGGGTTCAAGTCGGGATGTTCGTCAGACTTGTCGAGATATCGCTCCGGGATGACTTCGTCGGGACGAGGATACAAGGTTGGATCGTGGAGCACAGCCCTTGTTTGCAACGTCATTGAGCAAGTCCTGATGGCAGAATGATAATGCTTAATTCCTTACCAAGTGTTTGCTATGACTGTGGAACCAGCGGGGATACGAAAGCCTGCATAGACGTCTTCACGGCGTACGTGATGCGGCAAGGCTTCAGAGCCGTGAGGATCAACACGTTGCCGACGACATCTGAATGAATGAGCAATGTCTGGACATACCTAAGGGTAGTACAGGGTTCCATCGATGGACCTCTTTGAGCACAGCTTCGAGGTAAGGCATGTCTTTACGGTCGCTGAATCTAGGTAGCGACCGCCAACGGAGGCGTCCACTTCGGCTTGCGCCCTTCGTTGGATTTCAGGATGTTGGGACATGATGAGGAAGAATGAGAGAAGCGACGAGACTGTCTGAGGGGGCGTACATAAGCCACCGGAAGCGAGAAACTCTAGATCACTCACTGTATCCGAGCCGGCTGCCGACGCAAGAACACCGACACTCAAATTAACGCTTGATTATCCTGTTGTGCACTTACCACCGAAGAACTGAGTGGACACTTGTTGGTACAGTTCATGCTCCTCAGGAGTAGGACTGTGATTATCTGCAAGTAAATCAGCCACGAACGAGTGCCTGGCTGTTCCGTAGTCCTGAAGATGTGATGAGTATCACATGTACATTTGTTTGATCTGTGGGGCGATCTAATCCGGCAGAACGTACCAGTTGGTCTCGTGCTGTCTTGTATAGCTTGCTTTCCAGCTTATGACCCCGATCACTGACTTCTCTCGCTATTCTCTTGAACGACGCTCCAGGAAACCACTCTGGTATGTGCCTCACTGCTCCCCGTAAATCAAAGTGCTTGTTAGAACGGGAAACACTCACAGAAGGGAAACCCGTCGACGAGATACGCGCCCGGTGCCGAGATTTCGCTGAAGTCATTCAGTGCCCTCTCAACTGCGCGAATGAATGGGTCATCGTAGCTGTCCGCGTTGATTCCGTAAGTAATCTGGAGTACAGTGCTTGCCACGAGCCTATGTTGTATGGATCAAGCTATCGTCACGCTGATCTTTCATTCAAACTTGAACGTACCAACGGATATGGGACCGGAGCTCGGATGGGCTACGGGCTAGCCTTGAGATAAAATCAGCCATCTGCGATTCTTCAATGATATGTAGTTCTGGTGCTTTGCGAGTGCTAATCGCCCCTAGAATCAGCTTTCGTCCTTCTCGATGACGCTGTCCGTACGGGGCCAACGCGGTGAATTGCTCCATACCGGCCCTGTATGATGTGAATGAATCAATTATCTTCAACGTCAGTCATGCGTTATCGTACAATACGCCCGCCATGGGGACCACCGGTCGATCCGAGTACATGAGCTCCTCTTCTCAAGAAGGTCGGAGATGGCCTCGCGGGAGCTCAACACGATGATTGAACTCGAGATAATGGAGACGTGCATGACAGGGCCTCGATACCTCCGTGAGCATGATATAGGTCGAAATAGTGGATATTCACCGTATATTTTGGCCCATTCCGCGAACGTGAGCCAACTACATTCTTTGGGAAGCTGGAGCGCATTGCCTAAGAGGGGATGCCTCTCGGGCCCGGAGGTACTGATAGTTGTCTTCTGTTTCTAATGCCGTAAATGCATGCAAGAAGGGAGACGAGGAATAGGATAACGAGATTGAACATTGCAGTGACTACTTGGCAGCAGCGAGAGTGTGGTTCGAAGAGCAAGGGTCTTGAAGGGAGCGTGAATAACGTCGGTTGCCAAGACATTTATAGCCGCTCAGAGAACCGCCCATTCAAATAAACTCGGCCGATTTCACTGAGCTGTCAACAGGACATGAGCGCCAGACTTCTGACTGATGCAAAATTCAGTCTCGCGAGCGGCGGCCCCACCGGGGCCACGACCAGTGATCACAAGTCCTGTACGGCGGCGTACGCCACCGTATCGAACAGCAATCCGGTGAGGGCCTCTGCGGCGTAAGATAAGACACAAGAAAGTCTACAAATCACCTCATTTGAAGACTACGGAGATTTCGGCGACGACAGTGACGGGCAGCTCGGACGTCTATCATTACATGATGTCCCTGAGACGCATGGGCGCGGCCGCAGCATCAACGTTACCGCGCTGCGGAGGGTCTCAGCCGTGAGCATCAAGTAAATGTCCTGAGGCGATACGCACAGGCGCAATGGCGATGGGAGGAAGAGCAGCCTACTATCGAATGGAAGTTGCCGCTGTTCCGAGTCGTAACCCTTGATGAAAGCCTACCAGACCAATAGCTAGCAGTGGAAACCACACGTCCATTTGGATTGGGCATTGGGAAGGAAGAGGGCGACATAGCTCATGGTAGTAATCAACCAACAGTCGGAGGTGTCGCAATTGCCAAATGCGTTCAGGGACGGGGCTCTTGCATCACAAGTACAAACAACCGCCACAGACGCGTAACCGTGACCGAGACGTTCAAGTTGTTTAAATAATCTACTTATGCTGCTACGCGTAGTACCAAAAGATCTTGTTGTTGCAAGCCTTAATCTCTCGTTTGCGTGCCTTGTGTGCGGGGAATACAATCAAGGGTCGCAGCCGCTCTGGAACTTGGTATAATTCAATCCTTGCCGGTTCGCTCAGTGACGCTCTCGCCGGCGGGCTGTGTGCGACCCTTCGCAGACATGTTTGTATTCAAGTTCTTGGGCAGCCCAGCTTTCGTAGTCCCGCAATCACGAAACTCTCGAACGCAGTGCGTGAGTACTTTGAAGATGTACTTGAACAAACAACACCGCCGTGGACATCGTAGGCACTTAGCCGCTTTCCTGTTTGCTTGCCTGGGATGTTCCGTGCTGTATGGACAGCTACTCTTCACTATTGGTCAACCCTGAGTATGCTCGCCTGCATATTCCTCGAGCTGATACTCTGACTGACAGCTACGGTTTCTTGTCTGGAGCATAGTAAGTCATATGCTCTTGCTCGTGCGCAGTACCAGAGCTAACCGGCACAACGATGAATCGAAGTCGTCTCACTCCACTCTATCTCCCAGCCGTCACGGCGCCCTGTCGCAGAAGAAACTCAGCTCGGGTGCAACTCGGGTGTGTCGGCGATCCATACCTCCTCCACCATTTGTCTTCAAAAGTTTCGTTCCTGACTAGAGCTCATTGATGAACAGGAGACGCCTCGGCATGTCACTACGACACATTTCGGTACGCTCATCGGCGGGCGCGCGTGGGAGGCAATGATGTCTGGGAGAAAGACCTCTTCTCTACGGTAACATGACTCATATATCGTGTCGCTCACCCTTGCGTCTTCCATCACATGTCATGCTCCTTGGAGCGATCGTAGCAGGTGTATGCTCGCGATGTGGGGGCGTGGGATGTCATTCACCCGAAAAACCAATGTTGGCATGGCCGGATTGGACGAATTCCGGGATACATACCACCTGACTCAAACCTGACTCGCAAGTACACGCATTGGTCGTGTGAGTTATGTTGGCCCACATCCCGCCGTCCGGCTGTACTAGTCACGAAGGTATGGAACCTTGACAATTTGCGAATAGCTTCTGACGTTGACTCCCGAATCACAAGGTGCCCCTCATGGAACCGAAGTACACGTATTAGCACGTACTCCTGGAATCCGCCATCTTACGTGAATATGCAACGTGGACAGCTTATTCGACAGTGTGTAAGCTTCGCTTCTCAGACGTCCGGGAGTACGAAGCACAATCGGAGGCAGGGGGTGCTAGGACTGCTGAAGATATCATTGCTTGAAGCTCCGGCTCTGCGAGACGGTGCGAGACTTTTTGATAGCCTCGTCCAAATGCGCGTGCCCTACTTGTGCCGTATAGATTTCTGATTCCAACCGCTGGCAGCTAGCAAATTCCCTAAAATTTTGCTCCCGCGAACCTTCTATTGAAACGCCGCGCTGACACCGTAACTTACTCGACTTGATGGACAATGTCAGTCGCAAACCTTAGGCAGTAGTCTCGTGTCCGAGTCACTGACCGATACCTTGGCTTCGAGGAACCTCTTATAACGTACGCATCGGTGCTCCCCGTTCTGTAATCGGACGCGGGTTCTCACTGTGCCCTTCTCAAATCAGCACGATGTATCTCTCAACCGTGGTGTGTTTGGCTTTGGCTGTAGTCTATTTACTGTGGAGAGTGGCTTCTCGCCACCGTCATCTCCCTCCCGGCCCATCTGGACTGCCCATCATCGGAAATGCCCTACAAATGCCGACGAGAAATGAATGGGTCGTCTTCGCGGATTTGGCGAAGAAACATGGTGAGTTTTGCTACCTACTCAACATGATGTTTGGTGTCGCTTACGATGAGACAAAGGCGACATTATGCATCTGTCGGCTCTCGGAAATTCAATCATACTTCTCACGTCTCGACAAGCTATCTCGGACCTGCTGGAGAAGAGAGGCCACATTTACTCTGACCGCCCCATCATGCCTATGGCGTCTGAGATGTGAGCTCGCGCGCTCATACTACACACCTTCAGGACTCATCCCAAGCGCCAGGATCGGATACTCTCGCTTCACCGTGTTGTGCCCCTATGGGACCATTCTCAAAGAAAGCCGCAAACTCATCGGCGGGACCATCAATGCCCGCAATGCCCCTCAATTGCAGCGTGTCATCGAAACGAAGATACCGCAACTCCTTTCGAGGCTTCTCGCCTCTCCGAGTGATTTTAGGCCTCATCTGCGATGGTATGGTCATCATCACCGCCACGAGTCCGCACCAGACTTACGGCCTATTGCATACAGTCTAGTTGCCAGTATCGTCTTGCAGATCACGCATGGTCGCGATATAAGCGACTCAAGCGACCCTCTGGTCCAGCTTGCAGAGCTAGTCAATGCGCAATTCTCAGCTACCGCAACTCCCGGCAAATTCCTCGTGGATGTTTTTCCGTTTCGTGAGTTCGCTATTCCCTGGGTAACTGTACTCAAACTCATGGGACATCAGTGCGATATGTACCAGAGTGGCTTCCCGGTACCGGTTTCAAGGTTTTGGCGAAGGAGGCCCGTCACAGTCTTGAGAGGCTTCTTGATGAGCCTTATCATGAAGTCAAGGAACAACTGGTAAGCTTTGCGATGGAGCATCACAGTGTGGATCGTACTAAAATTTATCTGGTTTGGTAAATGGCAGGCGCGTGGCACAGCGGTGCCATCCTTCACTTCAGACATCATTGAGAAGGATCCTAATCCGAGTCCGGAAGAGCTGTTCATAAACAAGATGACATCGACTCAATTCTATGTTGGTGCGTCATCCGTTTTACCGTAAATGTCTTGCAGCTGATATAATGTGATGTAGCGGGCGCTGACACGGTGCGTAAATTTCATGTGCATCGATGTTCTCGCTGACACATTCTGCTAGACTGTGTCCGCGCTCGAATCCATGTTCCTAGTTCTAGCGCTGTATCCGGAAGTTCAGCGGAAAGCACAGGCCGAGGTCGATGCGGCATTAGGGTCTAATCAGCTGCCGAAGTTCAGTGACCATGACAGCCTTCCGTATGTAACTGCGCTTGTCAAGGAAATACACCGGTGGAGGCCTGTGTTACCCCTAGGTAGAGTTCATGGCCTATGGGATTACAGACCAACAATTGCTCAACGACCCGTATAGCTCTTCCTCATATGGCCATGCAGGATGATACGTACGACGGCTACCATATCCCTAAGGCGCCACGATCATTGCAAATTCATGGTACGCCGGCGGACAACTGTAGTACGAATGCTGAGGATATGTCATGGACAGGGCAATTCTGCACGACTCGTCTATCTACCCGGATCCCTTCGAGGTGAAGCCAGAACGGTATCTTGATCGGAAGGAGGATATAAATCCCGACCCCGAAACATGGTCCTTTGGATACGGTAGAAGGTGGGCTGCGTTCATCATGTCCACATATGCTACCTCTGAATGCGCGTGCACTTGTTAGGGTATGCCCTGGACAGATCCTCGCAAATGACACGGTCTTCCTAGTCACAGCGTCTATTCTTGCCACGTTCAACATCACGAATGCCAGAACTCTTGACGGACATGCCATTGACAAGAATGTCGACTATGAGGGAGGGATAATTGCGTGAGTGCACAATGACAGACGCTCGGGCCAAGGCAGCAACACTAACCGAATACTTGATGTTAGCCATGCACCTCCATTCACCTGTACGATCACACCTCGCTCGGCAGACATGGATCAGTTCATCGCTACTAGTCTCAGTGAGCATGGCCAGAGTTGATGATCGAGTTACATTCGCATTGAATGCTGCCGTGAAAGTACCTTCTTGGACCCAGACCCGTACGGACGATAAGTCAGACATGTATGCAGTATCACGGGCTTTGCAAGCTTCGACCTATGTACATACCATAAATCGTAGCCGAAGCGTCGAACCCCAGAGCCCCAAGAACTGTCGGAAATTGTATCGGGCGGACCTTCCAGGCAACTTACGATCCGAGTATGGATACCAATATCAATCGACTACACTTATGGCAAGCGGTTGCGTCACAATAAGGACAATGGAGTAGCGCCGGATGCTCCGCTTGGCGCGTCGGAGGTTCTGGGCAGAGAAGTACACTGCAAAGTTGAGCGCGACCGGGTCGCACAGTGGCGTTCGTACATCCGCGACTCGTCGATTGAACTTGTGCAGGTCTCTCATTGAACTCGCTACATGAATTCGGTGGGCCGACCTCGTCAAGGGCACAATGATCATGATGACAAACGCCCATGGGAGAATCATGGACTGCTCGAGTGTGTGACATGAGCGGAAGCGACACGAGATCGGCCTGCAAATACAAGTCTTCTGTCGATGGTTCAAACCAGTCTTGCTTATGCAGTGAGGACTAGTAGGTCAAGATGACGTAGGACACAGCGTAAGACGACGTATTGAGCGCAGAAGGTATGTATGCGGTTCATCGTTCCTTTACACTACACGGCGAGGAGTAATGTTGCATGTGAATTCGTCGGGGTGACTGCGATGATAACGCATGAGAAACTGGCATGCCAGTAACTGAAACATGACCGACGGACCTTAGAACACCGCCGCGATACTCGATCGTTTCTCCCTCTAGAGGAACAGCGTCGCTGATGTTGAATGACGCGAGCACGGACGCCGCAACTATGAAAAGGGTGTCTTCGGCAAGCATCCGTCCGGGACAAACCCTACAACGGGAGGCGGTACAAGTGGGCGGGGAGTCGAGATTAGTAGAACCACGCCTGAATAACATACCGTCTTCCGTAGCCAAAGGCGAAATCTCGAGGGTCTGGGTTCAAGTCGGGGTGTTCGTCAGGTTTGCCGAGATATCGCTCTGGGATGACTTCGTCGGGACGAGGATACAAGGCTGGGTCGTGGAGCACAGCCCTTGTTTGCAACGTCATTGAGCAAGTCCTTACGGCGGAGTAACAATACATAATTCCTTACCATGTGTTTGCTATGACTGTGGAACCAGCGGGGATGCGAAAGCCCGCGTAAACGTCTTCACGGCGTACATGATGCGGCAAGGCTTCAGAGCCGCGAGTATCGACATGTTGTCAGCGACATCTGGATGAACCAGCGATGCCTGAACGTACCTAAGGGCACTACAGGGTTGCATCGATGGACCTCCTTGAGCACCGCTTCGAGGTAAGGCATGTCCTTACAGTCGCTACATTTGGGTAGTCGGTCGCCGACGATGGCATCCACTTCGGCTTGCGCCTTCCGTTGAATTTCAGGATGTTGAGCCATGATGAGGAAGAAAGAGAGAAGCGACGAGACTGTCTATAAAGGAGTGAGCCATCGGCAATGCAAGACCATTGACATGCCTACTGTGTCCGAGCCAGCTGCCGACGAAGCAACATCTTCAATCGGCATTCTTTCGTAGATTTACGCATCAAAGCTTACCACCGTAAAATTGAGCTGACACCTGCTGGTACAGATCCTCCTCTTCAGGTGTCGGGCTGGGATTGTATGCAAGTATATCTGCCACGAACGATGGCGTGGCTGCTCCATGGTCCTACGGTAATAGTGAACACCGTATGCGCAACCTTTTGTGCCCTTAGGCGGATGACATACCATTTGTTCTCGTGATACCTTGTATAAATTGACTACTAGCTGGGAAGCCCGTTCATTGGCCTCCCTTGCTATTCTTTTGAACGATGCCCCCGGAAACCACTCAGGTATATACTTCACTACTTCCCGTGAGCTAGAGGGCTTCAGATGAGCTAAAACACTTACAGAAAGGAAGTCCATCGACGAGGTATGCGCCGGGAGCCGTTACTTCACTGAAATCATTCAATACTATTTCGACTGCGCGAACATAGGCGTCATCATAGCTGTCCACGTTGATTCCGTAGGTGATCTGGAGTACGATGCTTGCAAGAAGCCTGTTGTGTCATCGTCAGGGCATTGCTGTGCGGAGCCTTTGTTTCAGCGTACCAACGGAGATGCGGTCGAAACTCGGATGGGTTCCGAGTTAGCCTTGACACAAAATCAGCCGCCTTCGCTTCTTGGATTGCATGTAGTTCTGGTGCTTTGCGGGCATTGACAGTACCGAGAATTAGCTTACGCCCTTCGCGATGCCGTTGTCCATACGGCAACATCGCGGTATATTTTCCGAAACCAGCCCTGTACGGTGCATGATCAGTTATAGTGTTCAAATGGCGGGCATGTACAGTCGCACAGTTCTCCAGCCATGGGAATAACGGGACGATCCGAATACATGGCGTTCTTCTTCTCAAGAAGGTCGGAGATGGCCTCACGGGAGCTCAATACGATGATTGAACTCGATATCACATGCACGTGCATGACAGGGCCTAAATGCATTCATGAGACAACAGTTTAAGTCGGAATAGCGCGTACTCACCGTATATTTTAGCCCATTCTGCGAACGCGAGCCAGCTACATTCTTTGGGAATCTGTAGTGCATTGCCTAAGAAGGGGAGACCTCTGGGGCCCGGAGGAGTTGAGGATTGCCTTCTGTTCCTACTGAATGTGTATACGAGAATGGAGATGAGACACAGGGCGATGAGGTCGAACATAGCAGTCAGCAGAGAATGTCCGGCTGGATCAGCAAGGGTGCACCAGGTCGTACGTCAGTTGCCAACACATTATAACCAGCTCGGAAGACCAGACACGTGGGCTAGGTCGGCTGCGCTGTCAACGCAGCGTGCATACCGCAACCGTCAACGTACGTCTCGCGAAGTTGGTGCAGGGTTCCGAAGTCTCATGAACGGCGGCTCCACTGAGCCCATGCCTTTGCGCCGGCGTTATCATTCTAATGACACATCCCCGAACTGTAAGTCGCTGTCATCGCCAGCAGTTCCACGAAAATTCAGATCATGTGAACGTACAAGAGATAAGATGCACGCACAAGGCAATGCGCTGCCTACACTTTGCGCCACAGCGCCTTCTTCAGGATGTTGTTCGCTAGTGCCCGCGGCGGCCGACCGTGGCGACCCACGGGCGCTGCTATCAATATCACCACTCTAAGTATTACGAAGGTTTCATTATTTGTCAGCATCGACTCTGATGATTGCAGACGCGATACGCACCAGGCACGATTGTGAGAGGAGGAAGAGGAACGTATCGAACGGAAGTCGGTCACGGTGTTCTCCGAAGCCAACAAGGCCTCTTGGGCAATGATGCCCCGCTAAAACAGTAATCACAGCCAGCGTACTTTCTAGATGTATTATTGCGGGAAAAAATAGGGCGACACGAGGAGCTCGTGGTAAAAACGTAAGTAGTAGTTCAACAAGTTGAACACTAAGTTAAGGTTGCTCGATATTGCCAAATATGGACAGGGACGGGGCTCTTGCCACACAGATGCAAACAACCGCCACCAGCGCGTAACGTCATGCTTGCCAGCCTGGGCTTGCATGTTCCGCCACCGGCAGCTGATCTCAGCCACCCGTCTCGGCTTTGCACATCAACCACCATCTCTACTCATCAAGAATACCAGACTATCATACTCTACCTTTCTATACTCGTCCCACCCACACATGCCTCAAAGTCCCAAGATATTGTCGAAGGAGGACTTGCCAACGTCCGAGGCGAAGTAAGCCATACCATTCACGGGCAATCATAGCACAGTACGATGCCTGTACTCGCAGATGGGTAGCCCTGAAGAAACTCTACTGGAGCGACCAGGAAGGCAAACAAGTAGGCCAAACCGAGATGCATTTCTGTGTACACGGCTTCACATAGTCGCATACTAGAGAACATGGGAATGCGCTGAGCGGACGACTAGAGGCTCGTCTGGAATTGATGGTAACGCCTCATCCGTCTCATCTATATGACACGTCTCAAACTATACATTCTCAGCGGTCGCCATCCTTGCGATACTGCGCTCGGAGAGCAATGCGTTCCAGCCGTCAACCGTGATCATAGAACAGTATCGTCCACCGGTAGACAAATACGTCATTGGCAAGTGTTTGTGACTCTCCCATGAGTACTTTTCTCACTGCCGCTCTGTCAAACTACAGAATTACCCGCAGGTGACCGACGTAGTTCGTAGATGTAGAGACGTTCTAATCGTACGCGTAGGTTTAATCGACGAGGGTGAGACAGCCGAAGAGGCTGCGATCCGTGAACTTCAAGAGGAGACAGGCTTCAAGGCGTCCAAGGTCCTCGACTCGTCGCCCTGCAAGTTTGGACCCTGGTGCGTCTCACGACATCACATGTTGTCAGGTTCGCGCATGATGGGAACGGTCTTACTGCAGGCATGACAACCGCCAACATGAAGCTCGTCGCAGTGGACGTTCCTTTCCCGGACAAGCTCGAGCAGTCGGCGCAGAAGCTAGAGCCGGGTGAGTACATCACAGCGAGGATCGTCGAGCTCGCAAAATTGGCGGATGAGCTGAAAGGTGCGTCTGACTTGTTGATCGGTGGTGCGAGCCCATGTAACTCGCTACTTCGCAGAGTACGAGAAGAAGGTTTGGATGTGCGTCACGGCTCACGCTCATTGTCGCTCACTTTCGCTTTACATCAAGGGCTTTGTCGTCGACGCGCGGCTGTCGCACTTCGCGATCGGTATCGAGATGGCGAGAGACTCAGGCAGTCGAAGCTGTGATACGGAGGTTTCTCGTTACAATTGAAAGCAGGACAAGATACACACATCGTCATAACGTACAATACACCGCAATAGCGCAAGCAGGAGTGCCCTTCCAAGATCTTGCAACACAAGGGAACACGCTCCGGACGTACTCCCTTGACTTACCCGCGTTCCGTGCTATCACAGCAAGGCTGCTGCCTCGTCCACAAGCTGATCGAAGGACACCGTGCTGCCTTGCAGTGCCTGCACGCGTACTCATACGCCTTCTCCCACAGACCTGCCCATATGTCCATCTGATCGGCCGCCTTCGTCTTCAGGTATGCAATTGCTATGGCTGTCGCCCAGATCTGTTCGCTCTGCGGTTGCGACTGAATCGAGACGGGCGCTGTGTCTACGACGGTCCCCGATATAACCTTGTCGCCAAACACTAGCTTCCGGAGTGCGTCATTCAGCTGGAAGGATCCGTCGAACGATTGTAGTCGGGCGATAGCCGTGGTGGGATCGTCCGGGAAAGTCGACTCGAGTGTGCTGCCCTTGGAGCTACGATGAGATGCACGAGCCAAAATATCCTACAAGTATCGCTGTGCGTCAGCACCCATGATCGCCTAACAGCCGGACAGCTTACAGCGTCCTTTTGGACTCGCTCTCTTTCCCGCTCCCTGGTTACGCCAAAGTCCACGGGCCGGGGTCTTGACGGCACACTCGCCATCATCTGCTGCATGCCGGTTGCGCCGCCATACACCGGCAGGCCCAGCGACGCCGCCTGCAAGCGTGGTTGTCTCCCTCCCATCCCCATACCTTCCATCCCTACCATCTGCATTGCCGTATTATGCGCAGTAGAGTTTTCCGTCCCCGTCACCTCCGCAAACCTCGTATGATGTTGAACAGGCGCTACCATCCCTATCATCTGTGGTGGTATTGTGCGCGTAAGACCTTCCTGCCACACAAGAATATACATGGCCATTCGAGGAGACTCACCGGAAATGGAGAACCTGCGAGCGACTGTATTGACAATGTTAGTGACAACGCTGCTATACGGGACGGCGCATTCTCACCCTTGTCGATCTCGCAGACTTACTTGCAAGCGCCCCGCGTCCATACCCAGGGCTACTTGGGAGTCCAAACGAGCCCTGCGAGTCCATATGTCCCTGCTCGACTGCGTGCTGGGCCCGAGAATATCCGACGTGACTTGGCCGATACGCACGTTCTGTAGGGCCTACAATATTTGCATAAGCGATGGCAATGTGAATGGCTAACGACGGACCTTGACCTTGATCACCTGGTTTCTCGCTCGTGTCAGGCGTATCGGCTCCAAAGTTGTCGACCCACTCGTCGAGGCCAATGTCCGATTCGCTGAGCACTTCCAAGTCGCTGTCGTCCTTGAAGCCAGTGTCCTCCGCCTTGTCCTTCTCAACCGCAACGAATGACGCGTATTTGCTCGCCAGTTGGTATTCTGTGGAATATCGCACGATCGCCTCCCGGGCGATCTCCTTGCTGCGCGCTGAGTCGACTTCTCCTGCAATACCCAGAGTGTCTACATAGCCATCTTCGAGTTCTTGGATGATCCTGTGGGCGGCGAGCGTGTGGATGAGGGGTGGCCAGGCCTTCTGGAAGTCTGCAGCAGTGACGGCGATATTGAGTTCCATCGCCTGGCCATCTGGGGTCTCTCCACGCAGCACAACAGACTTTGGGACTTGTGTAGTCTTAGAGAGTATAGCAGAGACAATGAACCGGCTTCCGGGGTAGAAGTCAGGAATGACGTGAGGAGCCTGCTGAACGTCGGGAGAGGCAGGAAGGTTGACTGGGAATCCAGTGTCGTCACTTGGTGCAAGAGGATCATGGTCCTCGTCGAACAAGTTCAGAACGGCTCCTGGCTCCGCCGGTTTAACGATCTGACTTTTCGGCTTTTCAGCCTCAACTTCCAGTGAAGGGTCCGGGCCAGCGTATCCCCAGTCAACACGGAGGTTCCGCAGATTGCCCGAAGGCGGCACACGACTCGCACGTAGGAGCCTGGCACATTTCCCTGCCAGCTCCTCGTTCTGCGTAGTCATGAGACAGAGTCCGTTGCCTACTCGGGCGAGGCCACTGCAGAGGGCGGTCGATGCGCTGTGGCCAACGCCGAGAGTGAAAAGGCGTAAGTACGTGCCAGATGCGCTGTCTCCTGCGGCTGAAACGCTGTTCCGCAGATTTGCAAGCAATATGTCAACGTTCCATACCTAATAATGTATTAGCTAAAATTTGGTGGGATCACTCAAAATCCGCACCTCGCCGTCTGTGAGAACGAACACGGAGGTTGGTCCGGCAGTGGTACGCGACTTCAGGACAGTGTCCAGTGCAGACCCAATCTCCGTGCCTCCCATATCCGCTTCCATCGAATCAGCGTGGAGAACCTGTGAAAATACCATACATTTACTTGCAGCATATGAGAAGCATATCAATAACCTACAGCTGTGTTCAGTGTAGCTGGCGAGTATGATTGACTGACTGGCCAAAGTGACGTATGCGAAGAGCCGAAGCTAACAATATTGAACGCAGTCCCGTTGGTCGGAAGCGACTTGAGCATGATGAGCAGAGCCTTCTTTGCGTAGTCCATCTTGCTTCCCCTCATGCTTCCACTTCTGTCGATCAAGAAAATGTACTCCTGGCTAGCAATCTGCTTCACTCCGAAGCGGGGCACGAGGGTCAGCGAGAGTGCGACGGAATGCTTGTTCGCCAGTGCTTCGGCGACGCAACGTGGGGCGTCAATCTTGCTCGCCCTGATCGAGAGGACGAAGTCCTTGTCTAGGAATGCAGCCGTTGATGGGTCGAGGATGACGCTGCAGCGCGAATTCGAGTCGCTGCTATTCTGCATAGTGATCTTCACCGCGTGAGATGGTGAAACGACTTGCTCGATGGCGGAGGCCATCTGTATTTCTGCAGATAGCACGAATCGCGCGTACTTTGCTGTCGAGCGTTGGATCGCTGGAGGAGACACTCCATATCTTTCACCGACGTAGGTCGGCAGCGAGAAACGAACTTGTTTGAGGAGTTCGTCATCGGCCAGTGTTGTAACATACTAACAGGCTACGTCAGAAAGGCGACAGAGGCAGATTCCCCCCACTTACATACCGTTATAGTAGTCTTGATCGCTTGTTGAGGTGGGATGGCACCCAACGATACCTCAAAGACTGGATAACAAATATGATATGAATCTCCCGTCAATGAATGTAAAAAAAAAACTATACATACCGTCTGGGGCAGCTTTCGCTAACAGTCCGGCCATCTTGTTCTGTGACACTGCTTGCGTGAACTCAGCTTCGGCTTGATGAGCTTCCTTAACTTCGCCTACGACCACTTTCCCGTCTGCGGTACGCATCTCGAAAGCACAAACTGCGCCGCCCACTGGTACAGGAAATACATATCGAGCTGTGGCTGCACGGTCTGTGCGATTGACATTCGCAAAGTGTTGCGTCAGGGTGACACGAGCCAGGACTGGATGGTGGTGCTTTCAGGACAACAACGGAAACGTAGATTCTCAGCGAGACTCACCATCAGCGATATGCACCTGTGCAGACACAGACTGGAGAGGAAGGTACGTTTCACGCCCCGAGGGCAGAATGAGGCAGCATCCGCATATGACTGAGGACGCCATGATGAACGGAAAGGTGAAGTGCCGCCAGACAGTTGGATCTGACACAATTATATACGCTGCCAGAGATTCGGAGTCATCACATGAATGACGCCGAATGCGCAGTTGTCTGCATAGACACCGGACATGACCTGCTTCGACTGTGCTTCGAAAGCACATACTTATAGTAGTAGGCGGGCTCATATCCGGACAGTGGCAGGGCTATGTTAGGTTCGACACAAACCCCGCACGTGAACCGCGTGGAGGGTCTTGAGCGAGACTAGGGCTATGTAGACAGCCTCGGTACCGATAGATGAGCTGACGGTTCCAGATGCCCTGGCACAACAAACGAATATCTCACGAATGCCAATCACACATGAGAATTTGCATCTCAAAGCCCGGAAACACTAGGTCATCCGCGAAAGCAACAACTTGAACAGCGACACAACCTAAGACCCACCAGTCATACCAGATTGATCTGACTCTGAGTCAGGATTGCCTCAGGCCTAGGCCCAGTGACAGGAAACCCTATGGAGACACATGAACAGCAGACGTGGGTATCGCGTACTAGTAACTTACCTAGTGCGTGGCTTCCAATGCCTGACTCAACGTTTGGATCATAGTTCCTATTCGACCGACGGAGCGCGCAGTGAGTCTGTCATATCCAGTTTTCAATCACCGGTACCAGTGACATCCAGTGACATCCAATGCTATGGCCTCAATGATCCATACGCACAACACATGAAGCAAACCTCCTTGGCGATTTCCCAGGTGCGGTTTACTGCACACAGAGCGTCCGCGTCGAAGGGCTGATACGATCTAGGATGAATGCCTCACCTTCGCGCTTCACAGGCCGATGAGAACGCTGGAGCGCTGACAAAATGGGAGACGATAAATCTTGCACACAGCACATCACGCGAGACGCGGTCTCTTCCCCGTCCTCCGAGTGCCCATGGTTCAAATGACGAACATGTATTGGATCCGAGGCGACAATCAGTGATGACCTTTCTTTGCCCGGTCGATGTGCGCTCTGAGCTTTTGCTGCTTCTCCCTGAGCGACGCTTTCTTCTTACTTCTGACCGCCCCGCTGGCAAGAATCATCATGATAGGCTTGTTCCTTGCCTTCTCCCTGTTCGTAGAACTGCTCGGCGCGGCCTTGTTCTTCTTGCCTTTGAGAGAACCGAACTTCTCCCTCCCCTCTCGGCCCTTCTCAATAGAGGCTATGCGCTCGGCGTAGTCGGCCTTTGCCTTCTTGCGGGGCCCAAGAATGTCGTCCTCGGAGATGAAGGTGTCCGCGCTGTTCCCTGTCTGCGACATAGCCTTCTTGTTGGCCTCCAGCGTGGCGAGCTTCCGTTTCGCTGAAGAACCACCGCCGTTCTCGGCAGCCTTAGTTGCTGCTTCTATGCGAAGATCATTCAGCAGTGCAAAATCAGCAGGCGTAAGGATCTACGCAGCGGGGGTTAGTTTCGAGTCAACTCCGGAGCAGACGCAGTCACTAACCTTAGTGGTGGCAAGTAATGATATTCTTGCCTCGGCGGTCTCTTCAGCTGGGATCGAGGCCTCATCGTTGTCTTTGACCTTGCTCTTGCCTTTTGCATCCTTCTTATCAGCTTCGTCCTCGCTATCGCTGATGTCAAGGTCATCAGCCCCTTCTGACTCCACGTCGATCCACCCGCCAGAGTCATCTGAATCTTCTGACGAGTCTGACTCAATGTCCCAACCATCCCAGCCAGCCCCGTCGTCTTCGTTCTCAGCATCTGACGCGGCGCCTTCCTCTTCACGCAGCTTCTTGAGATGATCCTCGAGGAGCTGTGGCACATGGGTCAATTCTGAGCAACGTGCCGGTAGCGCAGAGCAATACGCACCACAAGGCCCTCGATGTCCACCGCCGCATCCGTGCTATGACCAAAGGGTAATGGCTGACTGCCGCCGGCGATGTTCATGCTGGCTTCTTTGCCACGCTGCCGCCGTTTGAGCATTCCAGGGTTGACTTCCCGGAATAGCTGAAGCAGACCACGCGCGGCCGCAGTCACAGCCTTGTCCCGGCTCTTCCGGTATTCGACCAGGTCGCCCAGCAACTCTTCTTCCATGGCCCATGGCTGGCGTCTACACACCTCTCGAATCGCGTTCAAGCCTGCCGCGATTACCTCGCTGCCTACGCCGGGGTGTACGAATTCTTGTGCGAGTTTCCGGACCACTGGTGTGAGAGCGTCAGGCGGCGTGAGGTCGTGGACGGATTGCGCGAGTGCGACGAGGATCGACGGGATGCGTAGCTGGTGGTACGTGAGGTACTTCACGATGTACGTGTAGAAGCCGAGCACGCAGAGCTTGTGCGCACCCATAACGCGGGAGAGAAGTTGCATGATGAGGATTTTGTGGTCGAGGGAGAGCCGCTTGTCGTAGCGGTTAAGGCTGTCATAGAGCTTCTCGCCGAATGTCTGTGGGTCGTTGAGGAGCTGAAGAGCCGGGAAGTTGACTGTTATTGCGTCCGCCTTCTTCTTTTGTTTCTGTTACGGGTACGTTGAGCAACGATCAACCGCCGTAATGACTAGCTACTCACCGACTTCATGGACTTTATCGTCTTCCTAATTTTCTTATCTCCACTCCTGGTCTTCTTGTTGATTTCTCTGCGGTGTACTAAGCCTTTCACGCTAGGCTCCTACGAAGACAGGGGATGAGGTGCATTTCAACGAGAGGTTAACCGAGCCTACATCTTCCGACTCGTCGTCACTGTCCTCCCTCTCTTCGTCGCTACCAAGGAAGAAATGCAATGACGCGCTCTGCACCTTGACGACTGGATGGAAGCATCCAAGCGCGACGATAGAGACCGTCTTTGTGTCATTCCTAGCCGAGCTCAACATCCCAGTGATTCACGAGCGCAAAGGGAGGCGTACCATATGCCCTTCCTCCACAACTCCTTCGTGAGAACGATAGCCCACATAGCTTCTCCACCGTTCTGGGAGGCGTTCTGCGCAGAAGAACCGGCGGCAGCGCGGAGCTTTCCCTTGTCGCCGACGACCTCCTGGTCCATGCCGCGCTCTACCATGCCGAAGAGCATCGCCTGTACGGCTCGGTTGAGTTTGTGATTCTTCGTGCGAAGGTTCGCGGTTCGGATGTCAGAGAGGATGGTCCGTCTGATGAAGGCACGGAGGGTAGACGAGGTAGTGCGCGGGAGGAGAGGGAAGAGGGTTTTGAGGAGTCTGCGCTCCTTGCGTGAGTAGGAACGTCCCACATAAGCATGGTGCAGAACGCACTCAATGGAGGTTATGACATCCTTGTTTCTAAGCATGACCAGGTTTTGTACGAGAGACTTTCGAGTGTCGGGCGAAAGTGTCCCGTAGTTTTCAAGGAGCATCGTAGACAAGTGAGACGGAAACTCGGATGTCTCTTTAGGATAACATTGCGACACCTGCACAAGTTAGCGACAAAATTTTCCAAGATGTAGCATGCAACTTACCTGAGCAATGAAAACTACCAATTCCCTAAAGTGCTGAGCCTGCTCGTCCGGGTTTATGAGGAAGATCTGCCGTATACTGTTGTAGTGATTCCATTGCTGCAAGAACTCCTCTTTGTACGCGGATGGATCACGTTTAATCAGGTTTTGTAGCTGAGGGAGATTGGACGTGAGCAGGACTCCGCGACCCATGTCGAGCGGTGGTAAGCAGCAGGATGGTAGTAGATGGGCGCTTCCTTGCGGGGTAAATTTCAGTGTGCTGATTTCCTCTTTCGGTCAGGTACGAAGCTCTTGAACAACAAGGACAAATAAAGAAGCCATTCCTCGAACGAATACTTACAGCTGCCTTATAGAACAAATGTAAAACACGCACGCAATGCACTTATGGGATGAACAGGTATTTGACATACTCTACTCAACAGGTGGAACGACCGTCGCTATTGACGTTGCACATTAATGGTATACATCGAATGATATCCGGAGAACAGAGCATCTGCGGGAAACATCAGGTACTAACGAGGGTTTAGTGAGCCCGGATCGTGGATATGTGGCATGCCACTTACAACACAGCAGTCCTCGCACTTTGCGCACTTCTCGTCGCAATACATGCCATACAATACAATCAGCGTTCATTTCGCCATATCCTGCAGAGTCATAATCAACATAGCACCCAGGAAACAACTCGAAGTGCATACAAGAGTTCGCTATGCAGCGGCTGCTGGTGCTTCTACAGGAGTCGCCGGTGTCGCCGGTTCTTCAACAGCCTTCTCAGCCTTCTCAGTCTTCTCAGTTGTGGGAGTAGATGGTGCTCTTCCGCGCCCACGTCCTGCACCTCCACCACGCACCGCACCACGGATGCCGACGGAAGGTCGAGGAGCCTTGGCCGTTTCATCGCTGTCCTCAGGCTTGTTGGGCGACTTCCAGTCACGGGCCGGTTTCCCAGCATCCCATTCACGGTTCTGAATCTATTCCCTTGTGAGCCACGGTAGTCGGTGTATTGATGACAATTCACCTTCTCCAACTTCCGGCGAGCATTCTGCTCGCGAGTACGATCGATAGTCTCCTGGACCTTCTTGGTCTTTGCCGCCTTGATACGTTCAGCTTCCTGAGTTTTCTTAAAGGCGTCTTCGTCCGCTTGTACATCCTAAGTGGGGTAAGGGCGCATGATCCATGGTGGACTGCCTGAACACACCATTCGCCGTTGCTTAATCTTCTCGTTCTGCTCCCTGATGCGCGCCATGCGCACAGTGAGCTCCTCCTCGGACAGCTTGTCCTACGAAGTGTGAGCACGTCTGGCTATCTTCGGATGTACTGCCTAAGGTCGACATACCCGCTGTGCACCTCCAGTCTTGACGCGCTCCGGGTTGACATACGGTTTCTTTTTCTCTCTGGGCTCCGTACTCTTGTCTTCAGATGTCGGTGACTTTGCCTCCTCTTCTTCCGCCTCTTCGCCCGCACCCTCATCTGGCTTGGGCAACTCCGTCTTTTCGGAAGCTTCCGTTCTAGCCTCTTCGTCTTTGGGTACTGCGGGCGAGCCAGACGACTCGGGGTCGTCCTTGATCTTGAGGGCGTCCAAGTCGAGGCCGAGCGAGTTGGCTGCAGCGTCAGCTGGGTCGGTCATGACGGCAGTGGACAAGCTCAGATGAAGGCAGCCAAGTCCAGATGGATCGGTGTATCAGCAGAGTCGCGACGCGTTCGCGCCTCGGCGTGTCTGTGAGAGCCTCAGAGAGACGCCACCGGGACCACGGCGCCATCGATCGCTATATATTGCGGACCCGCACTCCTCTCCTCCCCATACCCTTGCCATCGCACACCATGTCCCTCTCTAACAAGCTCTCCATCACCGACCTCGACCTCAAGGGCAAGCGTGTCCTCATCCGCGTCGACTTCAATGTGCCGATGCAGGATGGCAAGGTCACCAACCCCGCGGTATGTCCGCATTCGATCGTACCATCGGGCGGCCGGAATTAACAGCTTGCAGCGTATCGTCGCGGCGTTGCCCACTATCAAATATGCGCTAGAGAACGGTGAGCCGCAGCCAGGTCCGAGCGAGGTGGGACGTGTCTAAACGCGAGTCCAGGAGCCTCCAAGGTTGTCTTGATGTCCCACCTCGGCCGTCCCGACGGCAAGGTAGTGGCCAAGTACTCTCTTGAGCCGGTCTCCAAGGAGCTCGAAAAGCAGATTAGCAAGCCCGTCATCTTCGTGCACGACTCCGTCGGCGCCGACGTTGAAAAGGCCGTCGCAGAGGCGCCTAACGGCTCGATCGTCCTCCTCGAGAACCTGCGGTTCCACATCGAGGAGGAAGGCTCCGTAAAGGATAAGGAGGGCAAGAAGACCAAAGCCGACCCCGCAAAGGTTGATGCTTTCCGCGTGGGCCTCACGAAGCTCGGGGATGTCTACGTGAACGACGCCTTCGGTACGGCGCACCGTGCGCACTCGAGTATGGTCGGCGTGAAGCTGCAGCAGCGCGCGGCGGGCTTCCTCATGAAGAAGGAGCTCGACTACTTCGCAAAGGCCCTTGAGCACCCTGAGCGCCCCTTCCTGGCCATCCTCGGTGGCGCGAAGGTCTCAGACAAGATTCAGCTCATCGAAAACATGCTGGACAAAGTCAACTCTCTCATCATCTGCGGTGGGATGGCCTTCACTTTCAAGAAGACGCTCGACAACGTTCCGGTACGCTGTGACCTTATTATGGAGCTCCGTCGGTGGCTTAACAGCGGACATAGATCGGCAACTCGCTCTTCGACCAGGCAGGCTCAGAAAAGGTCGCTGCCCTCATCGAGAAGGCGAAGCAGCGCGATATCAAGATCGTCTTCCCCGTCGACTTCGTCACCGCAGACAAGTTCGACAAGGACGCGGCGGTGAGTCTCTCATGTTGCAGACACTGAGCGATGCTCATTCGCACCAAAGACGGGTACCGCAGACGATGTGAGCGGAATTCCGGACGGGTGGATGGGTCTCGACTCGGGCCCGAAGAGCCGCGCACTCTTCAAGGCGACCGTGCTCGAGTCCAAGACGATCCTTTGGAACGGGTGGGTAGCGCCGATGACACCACTATTCAATTATTGCTGATCGGGCCGAACCCAGTCCCCCGGGCGTCTTCGAATTCCCCAAGTTCGCGGAAGGCTCGAAGGCGCTCCTTGACGCGACGGTCGAGGCAGCGCAGAACGGCGCGACTGTCATCGTCGGCGGCGGCGACACCGCAACGGTCGTTGCGCAACACGGTCTGGAGGACAAGCTCAGCCATGTCAGCACTGGTGGTGGTGCGAGTCTCGAGCTCCTTGAGGGCAAGGTGAGTGGTATCGCTGCACTCGTCTTGCGATACACGGGTTCTAACAGCTGGCTCTTGCAGACGCTGCCCGGTGTCGCGGAGCTCAGCGAGAAGTAGACCGACGACTGGGTGCTTTAAATGCAGAAGACAACGAATAGAACGCGGTGTACGTGTACGCAGAAGCAAATGACTTATACTACTGTTGCTGTAGCACCATAATGACGACTCCGTACCCGCATGCGCGCGGTCCCGCAGACCTATTTGGTATACTGTGTCAATGAAGACCGGAAGTATACGATGGCAGTGTCGACAAAGCTTGATGCACGTACTAATCCTAGCCATTCAACGTTCAACGTTCAGGCCTACGGATATCGCGACCAATTACGAAGCAATATTGGTCGACTCCTCCAACCGAACTCGGAGCTTCTACATATTCATACTGAATTTTGACTGAAGTATCATACGATTTGGCTCTGCGATGAGCCCAGTTTCACGCGCACGGGTGAGTTCTGTCAGCGGTGCCGGTGATTCTTGGGTGATTCACTGTGATCATGAGATCACTGAGCGTGCGAGACAACCATAGTGATCGAGGTAAGTAATTCAATAGTGGCGGATCAATACTCCATGTAACGAAATTGCAATACAAGTAAGTAAGTAAGTAAGTAAGTAGCATGAGCCATCTGGCGCGCATGGGAGCCTGCTTGCTAACGTCCGTCACGGTTGCGCACGACGTCGAGCCGACGACGCTCGTGCACACACACACCTTCTGAGTCTAAGCCATGGCCCGTGCTCGCCGCCGCAACGGTAAGAAAACACCCGAATCTGGGGCTGCAGAAGAGCCGGAGGAGGCTGCCGTTGAGGCGACCGAGGCGACCACTCAGGATAACAACGATTCGTGTCCTGCCTGCAACGGCAGCGACACGCAGCAGTGGGCGGCGGCGGACAAGGAGAACTGGGTCCGCTGCGACGCATGCAAAACATGGTACCACTGGCGCTGCGCGGGCGACGGCAGCGACCTCGATGCCATCGACAAATGGTCAGACCCATCGTCGTGTACCCGTGACGAGGCTTGGCCGCGCTGACCACGACTCCACCCGCTGGGTAAGACAGGTTCTGCAAGGCGTGCATGACCCAGGACCCAGCACGGACGATCACGATGAAGCCACCGGCGCGCAAGTCGGCGCGGAAGAAGACGCAGCGCGACTACGCCGGCCTGCACAATGTCGGCGCGGAAGCGGGGCCGGACAAGTGGTTGCGCATCCTCGAGGGCAAGAAGATCAGTGGCGACCCATTCCGGCGCATGAAGGGCTCGGAGGTCGGCGTAGAATGGCTGGAGAACGACGAGAGTGCGATGAAGGAGCCGATCGTGATCGAGGCTCCTGAGGGGCTGGGGATGAAGATGCCGCTGAAGAGCTTCACGGTGGAGGATGTTGCGACGGTCATAGGGGAGGATTCCCCAGTGGAGGTCATTGGTGCGTCTCTTTCCTTGAGAATGTCTGAACGACTGGGACATACATATCTGGGACGCGTCCCCGGGACTGGACGGCCTTCACACTTCCACTTACCGCAGTTCTTGCACTCGAACACTGGTACAGCCTTGCGTATTCGTGCTACACCTCGACTCCGTCCGTCTGCTGCTCTCGCATGTTTATGAAGCCATCCAAGGAGGCGCGAAGTCAAAGCGCAAGCAAAGTGGCGGAGGAGGCGCGAGGCGGCAGCAGCGCGGAGCGGTGTATAGTGTCTCACATCACGGACTCCTTATGTGACTGGATCTGACGTCCCGCGTCCCTCGTCCCGGGGATGGATGAGTCCTCGTGGTTTCGACTTTCTACTTGTCTTTGGCGGTGTTTCAGGACTGCTCACTCACGTGCATGTATTCTTCAAGACGTCGCTACACAGTCGAACGTCCCCGGATGGACACTGGGCAAGTGGGCAGAGTACTACAACCAAGAGCCTTCCGCCCGCGACAAAGTCCGAAACGTCATCTCGCTCGAGATATCTGGGACGGAGCTTGCGGACAAGGTGCTCCCGCCACGGGTGGTACGCGAGTTGGATTGGGTGGAGAAGTTCTGGCCCAGTACGAAGAGGGGCAGAGGGAACGCGTACCCGAAAGTGCAGCTGTATTGCTTAATGGGCGTTGCCGGTGCTTGGACTGTGAGTTCTATAAGTTGCTGTTCGCTATCTTATTGACTCGCGGCAGGACTGGCATGTCGACTTCGCTGGATCTTCCGTCTACTACCACATCCTGCATGGTACCAAAGTGTGGATAGTCTCATGTTCTCAGCCACGGCGCGACTAAATTTTGGCCCTAGGTGTTCTACTTCATCCGGCCGACTGCTGCGAACCTGCATGCGTACGAAAGATGGTCGGGGACGGAGATGCAGAATCACTCGTGGCTGGGCGATCTGTGCGACGAGGTCTTCAAGGTCGAGCTTCACGACGGAAACACTATGATCATCCCGACAGGATGGATTCACGCTGTGGTAAGTATCAGCATATCACGAGAGCCCATGACTAAAGATGGTTTAGTACACGCCGGAGGACACGCTCGTATTTGGCGGCAACTTCTTGCATTCGTACAATGTCCCGATCCGTGAGTGCTCTCTTCGATGTCAATGGGAACATACTGAGTGGTGAGTAGAGCTGAAAGTGCGCGAGATCGAAATCAACACGCATGTGCCGAAGAAGTTCAGGTTCCCTCACTTCGTCAAGTATGTCCATGATGTATCATGGCCTTTACACGTTCTGATCATGATGCAGGCTTTGCTGGTACGCTGCCGAGAAGTACCTCCGTGACCTGAAAGCCAAGGAAGAGTTCTCCGCGCGCGTACTCGAGTCCATCGAAGCACTGGCGGACTTTTTAGTCGGGGAGGCGCGTGCGATGGAGCGCGGCACGGACCATGCGAAGCGGGAGGCCAAAGAGCAAGTACCAGGCGACCGTGTGAAGGACGCGCCGGCGGTCGCACGAGAGCTGCGCTGGCGCGTGCGGCTTGCGCGAGGAGAGCCCAGCGACGACGAGGGGCGTGGACACAGAAAGCAGTTGAAGAGCAACGGCAGCGCCGACAGCCTGTCGAACGGCACGAGCGCGAAGCGAAAGCGCACACCTGTCACCGACGACACCGGGATGTTCAGGAATTTTACGCCCAGGCTGTGGGAGCGCGTCGTTACTGAGCCCGTCGAGCGGGAGAGCCGCATGATCAAGGCTCGGCGGCCAGCGCCGGACGGGGAAGACTGGAAGTCGCGTTGGGTGGAATGGAAGGAGGGTGTGGACTGGGAGAGCGAGGAAGGGGCAGGGGAGGTGCAGATAGAGCGGAGAAAAGACGTCATCGTGAAGGTGAGGAGGACAGAGAAGGGGGTCGAGAGGCAGCGGGTCGAGAGGGTGCTCGAGGAGTGGGTTTGGGGAGGTCAAGAAGCTCAAGATCAAGCAGACGTGAAGGCTCCAGTGGTGAAAGAGGACGGGGATGTGGACATGAGGGATCCATCGGCCGTCGCTATTGCAGATGGAGGAACGACGAAGGTGGAGGACCGTCCGGAGGCTTCGGATTTGAATGGACATGCGATGGACATCGTCACCTCCAACGAGACGGTGCCTCAAGCAGCAGCAGCCTAGGATTCGCTCTATCATTATTCACTTCGCTTTGTATAATCTTCTTGTCTTCGTCGGGAAATTAAGTCTTGCCATGGCTTGGATTCGGACGAGCTCCCCGCGGCCGCGTGCAACTAAGATTAGACTACTTATGTAAGACAGCGCTTGTCCGGCGATCGCCTTCACTAGCACTGATCACTACTATTAATAACCTGCTTATAAGTGTTTATATTGCGCGTGGTAACAAGGGTAAGTAATGCCCTGAAGCGTCCTGTAATCGCGGGAATAAGGAAGATCATCGGTGTTCCCAGAGCCGTTGAGACCTCGTGTGTCTGCTACCTCTACCTCCTCCCCTTTCGCCTTCATACAGCTTCATACCCTCGCCGACTGCAGGTGCGGCGATACCGACGGTCAGCAACATCATGGCCGACACCCAAGCGCAACCTGCGCAGGCGCAGGCTGACCCCAGGTTCGCTCAGTACCCCCCCATGCCTCCAGACGGTCAGCATCGGATGCCTGTCCATCATTATACCCTCGACGACGCCGCTGCTGCCCACCATTACCAACAATATCCCGATGGTGAGTCTTCTGCAGCTCACTCGCCGTTCCCATAAGAGTCTTAAGCGGCCGCGCTATGCGACTAACGCGTAGCGAACCCACTCATGCGGCATCAGAACCACTCCGTACCCTCGCTACCGACTCAGCAACACCACCATGAGCCAGCTCCGCCCATGCCGCCGCCGTACGAGGAGACCGACGTCCTTGGCAGTCTGAACAACCTGCGAATCAGCGACCCGTACGGGCGCGGGACCACGCCGTTCCAACCTGGCTACGACCCAATACAACGTGCGGGCACGTCCATGTCCGTGCACTCCGCCATGTCCGTGCAAACACACGCACGTATGGGACCTCATCATCACGCCAGTCTGCCGGCATCGCCCGATCAGGCAGTGCGACGGATGCCTCCTGGTCGCCCGCAGGATCCCAACAGGCAGAACGACGTGAATTCGGTGCATTCGGTACAATCTGTGGGTAGCGGGGGTAGCGGGAGTGCGTACAACAGTGTTTACAGCGATCACACGCAGGATTCGTTTGCGTACGACGGGTCGGCGGAGACGGATGGCACGAGTCTGTACTCGCACGACGACTCGTCGTACCAGCACCATCAAAACGGCGGTGCACTTTCGCCGCATGCGGGCGGGTATCCTGCGCGAAATTACTCGCTGCCACCAGAATGGCAAGGACAGGGCCATGGAAGCCAGGGATATGTTATGCAGGGACCGCCCCCCCAACAGAACTTCAACAGTCTGTACGCCGCTGCCTCCAATGTGCTCGGTATGGGACCGCCTCCCGGTGCTCCGGCGCCGCCACCGCCTGGAGGTTACATGCCACCGCCACAGCAGTACTACGGCGGCAACGGCCATTCCCCAGTGTCGACTCAGCCACCCCCGAACTTGCTCGGCGCTGCGCCATATCAGCCTGGCGCGCCCTCGATGTATACTGCCTCGCAAACATCCCTCTCACGCGGTCCGTCAAACGCCTCTTCCATGCATCCGCCTGCCATGCCGCCCGCGCCTCCTCCCGAACCAATTGAAGAGGAGGTTGAATTTCGGAACAGGCCACCCATTGCACGGTCCGGCACAGCCGCCTCCGTCGCCCTACGCACACAGAAGACGAAAGCCATCGATCTAAGCTCGCCACCCTTCACGAAGGCGTATATCGACGAGTACCGCACGCGCATCAAGGACGATCCGGACCCCGAGGCCCACTTCCTGTACGCCAAGTACCTCATCGAGGCGGCGAAGAAGTTCGGTGCGGATGCGAAGGACCAGCGGAACGTGAAGAAGTTCCGGGATACGCTGATCGGGGAGTCTCTCAAGGTCATGCGGAGGCTCGCGACGCAGGGTCAGGCGTACGATGAAGCGCAGTTCTTCCTGGCCAACTGCCACGGCACGGGCATGCTTGGTCTGCCCGTCGACCACGAGCGTGCATACCATCTGTATCTGCAGGCGGCGAAGCAGAATCATGCGGCGGCGTGTTACCGCGTGGCGGTGTGTAACGAGATCGGGGCGGGCACACGACGGGAACCCCAGCGCGCACTCGCGTTCTACCGCAAGTCCGCTTCTTTGGGCGACACTGCTGCGATGTACAAGCTTGGCTGCATACTGCTGCGGGGGTCGTTGGGAGAGCAGGCAAACCCGCGCGAGGCGATTGGCTGGCTCAAGCGTGCCGCCGAGCAGGCGGACGAGGAGAATCCGCACGCTCTGCACGAGCTCGCGCTGCTGTACGAGTCAACGAACAGCGGCGTGGTACCGTACGACCCAGCCTATGCCAAGGAACTTTACACTCGCGCTGGACACCTTGGGTACACCCATTCACAGTACAAGCTCGGGCAGTGCCACGAGTATGGCAGCTTGACATGTCCCGTCGACCCTAGGAGGTCGATTGCATGGTACACCAAAGCTGCGGAAAAGGGCCACGCGGAGGCGGAGCTTGCGTTGAGCGGATGGTACCTAACCGGCAGTGAGGGCGTGCTCAAGCAGAGCGATTCAGAGGCGTACCTGTGGGCTAGGCGGGCGGCCAACAAGGGCTTGAGCAAGGCGGAGTATGCGGTAGGCTACTACGCCGAGGTTGGCATTGGCGTGAAGCAGGACGTCGAGTTTTCCAAGCGGTGGTACATGCGTGCGGCAGGTGCGTAGAGAATTGGAAGTCTTGAATTGTTCCCTGACTATTCCGTGTATAGCGCAAGGCAACAAACGAGCCATGAATCGTTTAACGGAGATGAAGCGCTCTGGCAACAAACGAGCAAACATGGCACGGCCTACTCGCCAGGAGGCAAAAGACGAATGTGTGATTGTGTAGTGTCCGCGAGCGTGCTGGGTTCTCTGGGACGGTTTCTTGGGGGCGTGCATCCGGTCCTTGGTTATGAGACGTTTCGATCCGCGTGTTATCTGTCTTCGCATTCGCTCCACGCCGTAGTCGTTGATCTTATCTAATCTCCTTACTTGTACTACTCTTAATCCTGACCTTGTACGTACACCATGGAAGACAGTGATGTGAGCTGGACTCCCGTGCATCCCGCCCCTCGGAGTGTTTCTGACCAGGGCGAGCAGAAATCTGTGCTTGAGCATCTTGACCTGCAGCAGCTCACCTGCCTCAACGAATCCGAAGATGAGGAGCATACATTCAAGTCCATCGTCTCGAACAGGACGAAAAACACCGGCGACGCGTACCTGCTGAGCGATGTCGATGAGCAGCTGCTCCTGAATGTTACAGTGAGTCTCGACGTACTACACGCATGCATTCATGGCTACAGCTGGGCACAGTTCAATCAGACGGTACGGATACGCTCGATTGCCATCCAGTCGTCGAATGTGGCGCAGGCCCCTCGGAAAATCAAGCTCTTGATCAACCGCCCTACGATCGGCTTCGACGATTTCTCCGAGGGCGAGTTCACTCAAGAGTTCGAGCTCACTGAGGACCAGGTGAAGGAGGGGAAGCGGATCCCGCTGAGATTCGTCCGCTTCCAGGCCGTCAATGCGCTGCATGTGCGTACCGGCGACCTACCACTGAATGTAACTTGACCGCCGCATCGTGTAGATCTTCGTGGAGTCCAACCATGGCGACGAGGAGCAGACTCGGATCGATGCAATTGATGTTTACGGCACGGCTGTGATGACGTACGTGCACACCAATCGCGTTCATGTTACGATGACCCCTGACGTTTCTGTGCATACTAGTGGGACGAGGGACCTCAGCGGTCTCAAGAAAGTGGAGGACGAATAGACGGTGGACCTGCATGTGGGCACTCTGTACAGCGATGAATCCAACGGCAGTCGTCGAACAATCATTGGCATGGTTTACATTACTGTTGCGTCTCCGAATACTTTGTACACAACTTCATACGTCGATGGACATCGTTCCGTGATCGTGCAATGAATGATACTTCGCATCTACATTGTGCGTATGCGCTTCTGAGGGCCGGTCGGAGTCGAGGTGATGTCAGTCCCTGCAGGTACTCAGACAGCGTTGCGCTACTCAACTCAAGACGCGTGTCGTTATGATAGCAGATCATCGGATTGAATACGTGGTATAGATCCAGGTAGTACTATTAAATTGCTATGCTATACAACTATGTGTTCATAAACATCGGTCCGTTATACATAGCAAATCTGAAGTTCGACGCCGGGTCGAAATGAAAGTACTCTGAGGACCGCAACGTGGATTAAGCCATCAAAGCGATTATGCTGAGGACATTGAAGGGAATTTATGGTAGAAGATATTGCACAGCAGTTGCAGTGTCGATTATGCAAGCCGAAGAGAGATCATGCAAGCCATAGAGACCGAGGGTACGAGAGTAAATGTGATCCAGATCTCATATACGGACCGACGGAGCCGTGACAGACTCAGCGCCGAGGTGCTGGGTATAGATTGCAGCTGTGAAAGTTTACATCAGTGCCGGGGATGTATCCAAGGAGGGACGCCACGTACAGGAGAAGTCCCTGGGTGTGTAATTTCGGGAACAGAACAGCGAATAGCTCCCGGATCGACGCCTCGCTGGTGGGATGGTCGGTATAGTCGAAGACATGCCAAGCGACATACTTGAGTCTGCTCATGCGCGGATGCGTGAGGGTGTCGTCGATGACCGAGCATTGCTTAGAGCTGATGCCTGCGAGGAACGCACTAACGATATCGGTGGATGCGCCGATCTTCATGTGGATATTGACTTCGCGAAGCTGGTCCGAGAGCTTTGGGAGAGCAGCGGCGCCAGCCAGCCACAGTGGTACAAGTCCTTGTAGAACGCGTGGATCTTGAGGGTCAAGCTCTGAAGATTGTTGTTAGCACTAAGGCTGATGGACGTGGCTTCATGTTCTGTAAGTATTAGCTTGTTCGCATTCGACGTGAGAACTTACCCGTGACACTATCGGTGTTCTCCTCTGAGTCCACGACGACGCCAACGCTCAGCTGCAGGTGCCGAAGAGACGGCCGGCGGCATGCAGGAGTTGTCCAACCCGTAGGTGCTCTATGTTGCTCAGCTCGAGGCGTCCGATCTTCAACCGCTGGAGACCAGCCGCGCGATCCGAGCTGGCAAAGAACTCAAGGAGGGTGCGCGTGTTCTCAGGTGACATGAGTGACGTCTGTAGAGAAAGTCTGTTGAGCTTGATATCGGTCCTACGTGGTAGCTGAAGGATGGGTTGTCCGTGGTGGATCCACCGCAGGTCTGCACATGTAAACCACTCGAGGTGGGGCAATGAGTCGAGTAGCCTAGCGAAATGATTCGCGGAGGTGAAAGTGACGTCCCGCAGATAAAGCACAGTGACGGACGTGAAGCGTCGCAGTGCGTCGTAGAAATACGACTGGAGGTGGTAGAACCACAGTGGGTTCATGCAGCAGATGTGGAGCTTGTGCAGCCGCGGGAGCTTCTGCGCGAAGATGAGCGGAAAGGTCGCCAAGGCCCCACTCGCCCGAGGAGGTCTTAAGTCGTCTCGAGTAGCGCGGCCGGAGAGGTACACAGACTCCACCAAGCCGAGGAGGGCAGGCTTCCCCTTCAAGAGCTTCACGAAGCCCTGGAGTAGGTCCCATCTCATAATTGCGATATGTCTGCAGAAGACGGCCCTGCTCATGGTGTAGAACGCTTTGGAGACAAGCGCACAGGCGAGGAGTGCTTTGCGCGTCGGGATGTCCTCAACGTCTGGCTCTGTTGCGAGCTGTTCGATGATGCGCTCGCATACTTCCACGGGCAATGACGTGGATGCTTTAGCAACGATTCGAAGGGCCCCAGTCACCGTCCCACCCTATGTAACCACGGTCAGGTAGTCTGAGGTTGTTAGGACGTCACAGAGGACTCACGCTGGGTGTGTATACGGTAGTCAAGCCCATGCTCGAGTAGCATCCACAACGTCTTCGAGCAACTCAGTTGAGTATGCTGACAATGTACAACTTGGGAGGAGGAGGAGAAGGGAGACTCGCTGTGCGGAAGGCTGTGAAATACTTATGTAGTATATACCGCGCGCAGTTACATAGGCTCGGAGGGATTCGGACTTGGGCTGACGCGGCACCGAGGACGTATGTAGAGTAGACCCGCGTTACACGGGCGATGTGACGACGAATCGTATGGTCCTTGGACCTTACTGCACAGCAAGTTGACAGCGCTGTGACAGTGGTAGTGACTATCCGTGATCTGAGGGCGTTCAGGCTGGGTACGTCGGACTGCAAGATCATCCAGTGAGGCACATGCGAGAATACGACTCTGACGCACACGATCCGACAGCTTTGGCGGCTGCAGGGATGCACCCACAGGCCGCATCGCCAGTTCAAGTTGTGGCTGCGGGAGTCTGCTGGAGAAAGCTGCTCTGAAGGATACGTTAGATTGAAAGCCGAGCTCTTCCTTGCGCTGGGCAAGCTTACCAATATATTGCCATGAGTCGTCGTGCCTGCGATGTACGCATACGGTGTTGGTACGCGTGCAGGCAACGATGTAGTCGAGATAGACCGTAGTACTAAGTAAGTACAGCCGTCAAGTAATTGTGTAAACAAACTCCGCCGATATGCTGATCATCGGAGATTCAATCAGCCACACACGCGTCCGAGCCCGCGACGCGATCGACGCGAGAACCACCGCGACTGTCTCTCAACAACCATCCGCCATGTCATCGGGGGAGACTAGCGTTAGCATCAAACGTGAGCTCAGGAACTTTATCATCAGCGTGGTGAAATCGACCGCAAGTGACATGCTTTGCATAGCATCCGGATCCAAGAAGCGATCTATTGACAAGCTCGGGGACGCGGAAGGTAGTGAGCGAAAGAAGGCTCCGAAATGTATGTATCCATAGTTGAGTCCACAATTTTGGTGTAGCTGATGGCGGAGAACCCAGTATTTCCCATCTTCGAGAAGAAACCGAACGAACCGAATTCAACATTCCAGTGGATCAAACCAGCCCTTGGTCCGCAACGTACCTGTCTGCACGGCATGAACCTCAATCCCGAGAGCCGACTCAAAGTCGCCGCGTTTGATCTCGACGGATGCATCATTCAGTCTAGTTTCCCGAAGAAAACGAAGGGGAATGCTGTACCCGAATTCCAATGGTGGCGACCGAACATCCCCAAGAAGTTGAAAGAAGTCCACGACTCGGGGTACGCTGATTCATATTTGGGACGTCCCATCTCGCGCGGACTGCTGACATGGTCCAGTTACTCAGTTGTCATAATCACCAACCAAGCCCTCAAGAGCGGAGCCTTGGAAAGCTGGAAGAAGAAAGTCCCCGCTATAGCTGCCGCTGCAAGTGGTCCGTTGCAACGTGGCTTGAACCGCATTCTGACAGTTCGTCTGATGGCTAGCTCTCCGACGTACCGTTTCGGATACTCGCGGCTGTTGCCCGTGATGGCTACCGCAAACCCATGCCTGGCATGTGGTATGAACTAGAACGTATCTTCACCTCCGATGGCGTCGTGATAGGTCGGTAGGCACACATCGAATCCTGGAGGTTTCTCGTGACATATCTTGTTCAGATAAATCCTCCTCTGTGTTTGTGGGGGACGCTGCAGGACGGCAGGGCGATCACGCTTCAACAGACAGGAAATGGGCGCTGAATGTTGAGCTTCCATTCTACACCCCCGAGGTAAGTACTGACGGCTCACCCAGTCCACAATTTATACATGCCTCCCCTAGGAATATTTCCTCAATTTACCCGCTGCGCCGTATACACTGCCAGGCTTCCACGTTTCATCGTTGCCCGCCGACCGTCAGTGTTTCGAACCATGGGAAGTGATGCTTCTGATCATGACTGACTAGCAGTGCCCCGCATAACGCCGACGTCGACCCCACTCGTACCGCCTCAACCCAAACAGGAACTCGTTATATTTGTCGGATACCCCTCGATGGGCAAGTCTTCCTTCTACAGAAAACATTTCCAATCAGCGGACTATGTACATGTCAATCAAGACACGCTTCGTACGAGGGACAAGTGCGTGAAGGCTGTCCAGGAGGCCATTCAGGAAGGCAAGAGTTGCGTGGTGGGTATGGAGTCCGCTGTATGTGTGTGACTTGGCCGAGTACTGATTACTGCGCAGACAATACAAATCGTAACGCAGAGACAAGGAGGCATTATGTAGACCTCGCGAAGAAGTTTTCTGTGCCAATAAGGTTCAGTCCGCCTCTATCAGAGATGGACGGCGCTCCTACTGACGTGCTTGCGCAGATGCATCGTGTTCAACGGCTCGCTAGAGTTGGCTTGGCATAATAATCTCTATCGCGCCTTCAGCCTACCACCTTCGGCCGCTGAGAAAGAGGTCAGTCTCCCTTTCCTAGCCCGCACATGCAGCGCCAACTTCCATTTGTCGCAGCCTAAGAGGGAGCTCTTACCGTTCAACGCCTTCACAAGCTTTCGTGCTCAGTACGAAGAACCTGAGCTGGGCGAAGGCTTCGCAGAGGTGAAGAAAGTGAATTGGGTCTTCGAAGGTCATGAGGAGGAACGGAAACGGTGGAGCATGTGGCTCCAGATTGACGGAAAGTAGGCATTCGTGGTACCAGGAAATTATGCCTGTTTATGCGGTGTTGTTATTGCTCTCGACGTGGGTCTACTTCTGCAACTCGCAGGACTGTCTGAGCTTTGGCTGCTGCCGAGATGGCGGAAGATCTGCTTTCCTAGGATTTATTGCCATGCATTGACCTTGCTATTCGAGAACTGATGTATTCGCTGCTGCGTTGTGAGGACACTCAATCGAGGGCTACAGCAAGAGCGACGGGAATACGGCTGATGGTGACGAGGAGGTATGTACTGTAATTCTGCGATGGTGGGTACGCTTAATGATTGAGACTATCCAAATCGTAAACTTCAACGTGGGGTCTGTTCGGACACAGCTGCCTTACTGTACTGTACTGGGCGTGTTATTGCGAATACCGCCTTGCACAGGATTCAGGTCTGGAGAACTAGGCTGTGGACTCATGGCGTCCGCAGAAAGCACAGAACCGCTTGCGCATCGTGTGTCCGAGCCTGTGTGTTTGACCGTGCTTCTAAGTGCGCGCCGGCGAGCTAGCGCTACGTTGTAATGATGCATATAAACATCACTATCCTTCGCTGTCCCGCGCCTCCCCATCGTCCAGCTTCGAGTTTTGCAGCGCACACCAAGAGCCATTGAAAGTCCTCGCGAGTACGGCTCGCTTTGGCCGACAAATATGCTTACTGATCAGGTACTTTCCTTTCAGCGTCGCGACCACCAACGGTCGTCAGCACCTTGCGAACCGACGACCGACACCACACATCTTGGCTTGTCTGCCAGTGGCTAGTAGCCAGTATACACACCGGAAATCAGGTAGCGTGTTATCTCACTAGGTTCACTCTTGGAGAGCCGCCGTCTGAGACGATGTCACAGTAACGTCTCTTCATCGTCGTGGATCGCAAACGTGCACAAATCCTTGAGACTTTGATCGGTACGACAACGTGGTTCTCAGCGGAATGGACACAGTCGAGTCGATGTAAGTGCCACTGTCCGAACGCGGGTAACATGGTTTACACATGTGGGATACAGTACACCCGCAACGTCCGAGAGCTCCTCAGCTCACGGTCCTTCGGTCCCGCGGCTTCCTGTGGAGGTCTGTGGCCGGATCATCGACCACATAGCTATGAAATGGCATGACGGTAATATAACGGGCGATCCATATCTGACCACTCTCACATCTTGTGCGCTCGTATGCCAAGACTGGTACTTCTTGACGTGCTACCATCTCCACCAATACATCTATCTGCGAGACCGGAAGGATGTCCTCTCGCTCTCCAAATCCCTCCAAGCGCGACCGCGCTTCCGTGAGATCGTTCAAGTGGTCTTCATATCTGGCGCCTCAATCCGGCACCTGGGGACGGTTGCCGCTATGCTCGCGGGCAAGGCTCCGAAGTTGTGGAGGATCGGCATCAAGGATGCCGAGTGGACTATCCGCTCGGTTAGAATGGAGGACATCAGCTATCTAGCTGCGTCCAACTCCATTGAGGCTCTAGACCTCTCCAATGTCACCTTGTCGAGCGTCGCCCAGCTGTCCCGCCTCGTGTCGGCACTCCGGAGGCTTAGGCACATACAGTGCTTCAGAGTCGATTTCTTGCAGGAAGAGGAAGAGCGGGAAGAGCAAGTATCTCCGGCCTCACTCCCACCGAACTGTGCAAATCTGGAGATTCTCGATGTGCGATGGGTTGCACGAGCAGTCGAAGACCTCTTCGTGCAGATCCGGGCTTCTCGAGTACGCGATCTCGAGATTGGGGTGAACCACGACTTGGATCCACTGGCAATTTGGGCACCCAGCAGAAGCCAGACTTTGCTGAATGCGCATTCCACATCTGCACAAACGGTTGTGCTCCACATGCAACACAGCTATCCTGACTACTATCATACAATTGATGCTACAATGGGAAAGTCTTCTCAGTTCTCTCTCTCTCGTCAGTTGGCTGATCATTTCGTGCCTACAGAGCGAAACTACAACTTTTCACGTTACGACCACTTGTGGAGGTTGGAGTTGCGCCTGTACCACCCCTTTGTAGAATGGCCCTGGATCCCGTATATCCTGTCTCCCATCGTTTCGAAAAGCTTCCAGGCTCTGTCTGTTATGTTGGTGCTTCAGTCAGACCGCAAGCTCAAGGCCGATGACTTGGACGAGATGCTGACGACAATGGAGCACGATGGTGTTATGGCGCGATTAGACAGTGTCCTGCAGGAGAAGTACGTCTCCAGCACTGCTGTGTCGCCCGGTGTCTGTCTAGGCATCCTCGATAAGAACAGCGTTCGGAGATCGGACGGCGAGCTTTCTGGGGTGTGTTCGGCATTCGGAGAACGGTACGATCGGTGGGACGAGCTCGTTAAACAGGGGATGCCACGCTCACATGGACAAGGCATATTGAGGTACGTAGTACTGTGGACTTCATCAAATTGCGAAGGAAAGCTGAATGCCCCTTGAAGCACTGTGCATGACCTCCAGGCATACGAAAGCTGGAGGGAGGACACGCGCAGGATACATACTAGCATGCAAGCTGAACAGAAACAGGCTGCCGGAGAGGAGGTGTACCCTCGGGGCGAAGGTCAAGACAACAAGTGTCCTCGAGGCGGCACGGATTGACATCCTTGCAACTCTGCCTCCTCGCTCATGCCCTCGCGTGGAGTTCGTGAGTACAGAGCCATTGTCACTAGGTTGCTATGCTAACTTGTTGCGCGGTCTCAACGTACAGAATGATCCCGCGGCCGTAACGCGGATCGAAATATCGCTGGTGTCGTTCACATCCGCTCATGATCATGTGTAGCATTCTTTTTCGTTTTACCGGAGAATTGGAAGAACATTAGTATGAATGTCGTGCAGTCGATCGGAAGCTTCAGACATCATTACATACGACAGTACCTAAAACTAGTAAAAGAGTATTGGCTCCGGCATGCGGATTCTGCGCAGCTCTAAGGAGCGCTAGCGACGTCGAAGGTCTGTAGCACGCACAAGGATCATAGTAAGCTGCATCCATGAGATTTCCTTTGAGCAAATGTATTAGCCAACCTTGCTGATCGTGGTATGTCCGAATACTCACAACAGCGTCCGCCGGGCATGTGGGTCTCAGAACTCTTCCTCACCTATCTCTTTTCGAGTCATTGGATCCAAAGTGGGGCGCAGGATCCGAAGCCTGCCCTCCTTCCGCAGGTCTGTTAGATGTGTAAGCAGCGCGTCGCGCATGCCCTCCATGATCGGAGCAGAGAATCTCGTATTCCTTTCTGCCGCGCATATGAACGAGACGCGGGGGCGAGCGGACGCGAGCGGGCCTGTGGACAAGCACCTTGCGAGCGCTTCGAGGGTGCCTTTGTCGGACGCCTGGACCGTCGCCCGCACGGTCACATCGACCAGCTCGCGCGACTCCAGCTGACGCAGGATGGCCGGTATGTAGCGCAGGTCGTACATCTCGAGGTGGAGGCTCCGGAGGGAAGTCATACCCGAAAAAGCGTGTTCGGTGCAGAAGGGAACTGACAGGGTCGTTAGCACGAGGACTCAGACAGTCATCAGCGGGACTCGGCCGCTTCGGGTCTCGGGGGTGGATTCCGCAGACGACTCCATACCCAGAACACGTTGTAGAACCTGAGTGATAGGTGTTCCAACGTTCCTGCGCAAGAACGCAACAAAGAGATTACCGGGGTCACATCTTCGGATTTGATAATGCCAAGTGAGAGCTGTCTCAGCTGGGACACTGAAAACGCAGCGACGAGGATCGGGAGTAGAGGTGGACCCGCGAGATCAATGAGAGCTCGATGGTCCTCACAGTTGCCCTCTGCACATCCGGGGAAGTTGGACGATCGAGCGAAGCCGTCTCGGCGCCGGGCGGGTTGCGGGGGTATGACAGCGAGAAACATTTGAGTGACGTCGCTGTACTGAGGAGCTCAGCTAGTGTCGAGTACGGTACGCAGGTACCGCCGAAGGAGACCAGCTCCAGAGCATCCAACCGCTGGCAGAGGTTCACGAGGCTGCTGCGCGACCTCGCAGAGAGCTGCTCCCAGTCCAAATTCTTGAGACGAAGGCTCCTGAGCGCTGTCAGTCCGTCGACGCGTATCTTAGGCAAGACTGCTTCGAGCCACGGCTGCCTCTCCTGCGGTCGCGCATGCGCGAGGAACGCGCTCTCATTGGTGTCGCTTCTTGCCTGTTCCTCCACTGACAGTTTCAAGCCTTCCTCCAAGTGCAGTTCGCGGATATACGGGAGAACGGTCGATGCGGGTTCGCACAGGAGCTTGGCTGTCGTTGTGTAGACATACCGGGGTCGGATGTCAACCTTACGAAAGCGATGGCTACGGGCGATCGGGGACCAGCTTCGACATACGAGAGAGCAGCTCCCCTGCGTCTTCTTGTCGGTGTAGTCCATGATGATGTCCAGCAATTCAACAGGGATGCGGGAATAACCGCGACGAAGAGATAACATGGCGTACGGGGGTTTCTGTTGCGACTTGGGCTGAGATAAAGCAGAAGACGGTCGGGTCAGTCACATAGGAAGTTGTCGACTAGTCGCTCACCTACAGGACAGGTACTAGTAGTCAACGTCGGCTCTTGTCGTTGTTCAGTTCAACATAAGTGATAGACAGTGTAGCAATGCTGACCGAGTGAACGTAGTGATGCGTCCCAGAGATCGTGCTGTGGGTGTGCCAGTGGCGACCTGGTGGGTGCCACACTTCAAATTCAAACGCGTATGTACCAGAGCGGTTCACGTAGGAACGTTAGGAACGTGTAAGCGCCCGTCGGAACGCTCACTACCGACGGGCGCCTGAGCAGTATGTGAACGAACGTGCAGTGGCAGCCTGAGATCGCCTCCTTCCTCTCTCGTACCGGACCTGTTATCGCTATGGCCTCCACAGACTCACGCCCGCCGTCTCCCACCTCTTCCCATCCTGTCTCACAGCGACCTCGCCCAGGTTGACACCGCACTCGAGATGCACACCGACGGCGCCGTACCCGTGGTCAATGCACCCCCTGCGTTGTTCGGCGCAGGCGGTCCTATGTAAGTCGATCGTGGAGGCGTCTTAAGTGCGCACGGTCCGAGACTGTATGTCCAGGTTGAAGCGGTTCGACGAGTCGGCCGCATCGAGTAAGATGCCCTCGCAGTCCGCAACACCTCCCATTTCGGTCGTCGGCATCGGTAACAAAGGTCAGGTGGACTGGACACTGTGCCATGGGAGAATACTGAACGCCGGAAGTTGCGAAGCCGGACTATTCAGAAGCCAAGATCGTGCTGGCTACCGTACGTACCGCGCGAGAAATACAGCATTTGTGTACTGAACATCGCTTCTCTCAGGTCGGGCTCCCCGCGCGGGGCAAGTCATACCTCAGCAACAAGCTCATGCGATACCTTAAAGTCTGATTCGTCCCCCCTGTTCGACCGTGCCCGAGCTCACCTATCGAAACATAGTGGCTAGAATACGATGTCAAGGTCTGCCCGCTGCTACCCTACAATTCACTAACACCATGCGCTGACATCCCCGCAGGTATCAACGTGGGCCAGCTTCGACGATCGCGAGCCCGCCAACGCGCCATCACGTACGTACCCTGTCTCTGATTTACCTCCCTGAACGGGAGAACATGGCGCGGCACCAAGGAGGCGCGAGGTAGCAGCAGCGCGGAGCGGTATATAGCGTCTCACATCATGGACTGTTTACATGACTGGATGTGACGTCTCGCGTCCCTCGTCCCGCGTCTCGGGGACGGATGTCCGTCCCCATGGCTCCGACTTCATGCTGAATGGGGCTCTTACTGTTCAGGAGCGGTCAGCGGGAGAACCACAATGCGGAGTATTCAGCCACTCGAACGAGGAGGCGACCCGCCTGCGAGACGACTGCAGAGGACAGCCTGGAGATGCTGATCCAGTGGCTCAAGGACGGCGGCAACGTCGGGATTCATGGTAGGTCTGCAGCGGCATCCTCATTCCACTGCTCATGCATACACAGACGCGACGAACAGCACCACAACCGAAGGTGCGCTCACTCTTTCCGCATTCCTCGTCTCGTTAGCCACCGTCCAGAGAGAAGATCAAGCAGCGCGTGGCGCGCGAGAAAGGCTTCACCGTGATCTTCCTGGAGTCGATCTGCGACGACCCGCGCTCATTGCCGCGAACGTCGCGCTGAAGGTCTCGTCGGGCGACCCGGACTACAAGGACATGTCACCCGAGGAGGCGAAGGCGGACTTCCTGCGGCGGATCCGCGCGTACGAGCAGGTATACGAGACGATCACGGAGCCGCACCTCTCGTACCTCAAGATCATCAACGTGGTAACCAGGTCGCGATGAACCACATCCGCGGGTACCTGCAGAGTCGGATCGCGTTCTACTGATGAACTTGCACTTGAAGCCGAGGAGCATATTCATGTCGAGGGTAAGAGGTGATCAGTATGCGTTTGAGCGAGTATCGCTGATCGGGGAGTGTAGCACGGGGAGAGCCAGTTCAACGTGGAGGGCAAGATCGGCGGCGATGCGCCACTGTCGGAGCGTGGTCGATCCTACGCGGAAGCGCTGCCCGGTCTCATCAAGGACAACATCGGCGATGCACCTTTGACCGTGCGTTCCCTCAAAGTCGTCCCTGTCGTTTATTGATGCGCGTTATAGGTCTGGACGTCAACCCTACAACGCACCATCCAAACGGCGCAATTCGTACCGTACACCAAGCTCACATGGAAGTCGTTGGACGAGCTCGATGCGGGTGTCTGCGACGGCATGACGTACGAGGAGATTGAGGTTTGCATCGCTATAACCTCTGGCTTGGACTGCGTGCTGACGGAGAGCGTTTCGTACCCAGCAAGCATACCCGGAAGACTTTGCGAATCGCGATGAAGACAAGTTCAACTATCGCTATCGAGGTGGGCGCAGGTGCTCCTTGTTGTGGCGACGCATCTTTAGTGCTTTGGCAGGTGGCGAATCTTACCGAGACGTCGTCGTGCGTCTGGAGCCTGTCATCATGGAATTGGAACGACAAGAGAACATCCTCATCATTGGCACCAGGTTTGAAACCCCTCCTCGCATTCTGCGCCATTCGTAGCTGATCATCTCGGTCTTTAGGCTATTCTTCGCTGCTTGTGCGTCCCGACCCTGGAACCGAAGCCTGTTGTTTATTGACCTCCAACTCCCCAGATACGCCTACTTCCAGAACTTCCCCCAGACCGAATTACCCTACATCAAGATCCCGTTACACACGGTCATCAAGCTCACACCGAAGGCCTACGGCTGTGACGAGGAGCGGTCCGCACCGACCCGATCGTTCCTAGCCTGCTGTACTGATGATGGATCCTGCCAGGTACACGCTCCCGATCGACGCGGTCGACACCCACCGACCGAAGCCCAAGGTGGCAGGCTTGAACCCACAGATGGGCGACGTGCCGGCGCCGACGTCGAAACGGCAATACTACGCGGAAGAGGGGGCGCATTATAATGATGTCTGGACGGTGAAGAAACTGGATCATCGTAAGCGTAGTGTACACTATTGTGCATATTACTCTCATCAAGACGACGTGAGTGGGTCACACTGATGAGGACAGCGTGAGGCTCTGTGAAGGCTACATTCGCGAGTACACGCTTGGAACGACCATTATACAAGCAGTTCCTGGTAGCTACAGTTCCCCGACATATCGGCCACGAGGTCATTCTACACGTTGAGTAGTTAGCAGAGCGGCCTAATGACTATGACCTGTACTCACGAGTCCCGCGCGAGGATGCAGGGCTGGTGTCAATCCGTGACGCCTTGAGGACCCTCGCCATCTCGACCCTCTGGCTGCACCTCTTCTTCGGTATTCGTCTGTTTCTTCAACATGCTGGTACGTATCCTTCGCATGTACTGGCCCATGTACTGGCCCCACTTATACTGTTCTTGTGAGTTATGCACAGTGCTTATAAAGAACACTCAACCTTTCTCCGCATTTTGACTCAGCCCATAGTACTACGTACCTCAATATGCCCCGTCCATGCGAGTGTGGCATCTTCCGTCCGATGAGCTCGTCCCAGCGATCATACCGTTCCCGGAGTGCTGAACCCGTCCCAATTAGCTCATCGCTAGGGTTTTGACTGATGACATCATGGTCAATGCCCATGCAGACACTGCGCGATGTAATATTGGAGAAGCGCGTCTCCTGTAGTATAGTGTCCAATCGAGCCAGGACATCATCCTGCTCCATTGTCGTCAGCATTCCGTCGAAGTCATCAGCCATGTGGTCTGTCGGACTCGGAAACATCAACATAACAGATATAGCCTGGAAGTGTTTCGAGGTGATGCGCGACAGGATACGTGGATCCAGGGCCATGTTCCTGCGAAGGGGTGGTACAAGTAAATCTGCAACATCCACAGGTGGTCGTAGTGCGAAAGGTTATAAAGTCGCTCTGTACAGACGAAGAGATTAGCCAAGTGACGAGAGAGAGAGCTAATAGGACTTTCCGACTGTGGCATCAAGTGTGCCATCACGAACAGGAGAGCTGGGAGAAATATGGAGCACAACCGTTTCTGCAGATGTGGAACTCGCATCCAGCACAGTTGGCTTCTGCTGGCTGCCGAGGGTGGATCGAACTCGCCTTCCACCCCAAACATCAGAGTGCGCACTCGAGAGGCCCGGCTGATCTGCACGAAGAGGTCTTCAACTGCTGGTGCAACCCACAGCACAGCGATCTCCTCCAGATTTGCACAACTCAGTGAGAGGGACGCCGGGGAGACTTGCTGTTTCTGCAAGCAGTCAACATCGTGACACCATAACTTTTTGAGTCGCGGTAGTGCTGAAATGAGGTGGGACAGCAGGGCGGCGCTCGACAAGGTGACATTTTGGACAAAAAGAGTGTCGATGCAGGTGAACGCAGCTAGGTAGCTGATGTCCTCCATTCGGATCAAGCCGGTCGTCCATTCGGCGGATTCAATGGTCATCCTCAACAACCTCGGAGCCTTGCCCGCCAGCATAGCGGCAAACACCCCCAGGTGCTGGATCGGTTTTCGTTTCCCTGGAGAGGCACCCGATATGACGAGCTGTTGAACAACCTCATGCAGGCGTGGTCTCCCGCGGAGCGTCTTGGAGAGCGACAGGACGCTTTGCCGGTCTCGCAGATAAATGCGTTGATGTAGATGGTACCACGTCAGGAAGTACCAGTCTTGGCATACGAGCGCGCAGGTTGTGAGAGTGGCCAGATGTAGCTGTCCCTTCATAGAAGGCCAACCGAAGTCCACCCCCATTGCGACGTGGTCGATGATCCGTTCACAGACCTCCACAGGAAGCCGCGGGGTCGAAGGGCTCTGAGAGCCTGAGGAGCCTGAGGACGTTGCGGCTGCACTGTACCCTTATGTGTGAACCATGTTACCCACGATCAAATCCCAACAGTGACACTAACGTTGACTCATCTCTGTCCATTCCGTTGAGAATATGCGCCACAACGATGGGGTCGTCGATTCGTGAGTCGCCGGGAGTCGCTTCCGACCGGCCAGGCTCACGACGCCGGAAGGAAAGCACGACGTCAATAAGGAGAATCGTTGGCGAACGGTGAGCCGTACCTCACGAGGATTGAAGCTGGACGAAGGGAGAGAGTACAGCCTGGACACTGAACAGGACAGCGGAGGTAACTTGATATTATGAGTGGCGTTTTCGTGAAAAATTACTTACTAGGTAGGTCGTACTCTTGTGTACTTAGTTATAGTGATGCGACTTACATTCGCGCGCGATGTGCGTCGCTGCTGGTCGCACTTTGCGTGTTCCACTGTACTCGTACACTGTGACGACTTACTCATGCACTACGACGACTTACTCGTGCGCATACCGACTTACTCGTGCACTGCGCCAACTTACTCGTGCGCTACACCGACTTACTCGTGCACTACACCAACTTACTCGTACGCTACGCCGACTTACTCGTACGCTACGCCGACTTACTTGTGCATTACGCCGACTTACTCATGCAGTATACCGACTTACTTGTGCATTACACCGACTTACTCATGCAGTATACCGACTTACTCGTGCATTACACCGACTTACTCATGCACTGTGTTGACTTACTCGTACACTACGCCGCCTTACTCGTACAGTATATACCCAGTTAACTCACTTTACCCGGCGTAGTCTGTACTCGGTAGCTGACTTACTCGTAGTGAGACTTATTCGTAGCAATCATACACTTACTGTAGCTGGCTTACTCGAGCCGCGGCGATCATACACTTAGCACTACTGACTTACTCCGAGTTGATACACTTACACCTTGCTGAATTACGCATTGATCGTACACTTACAGTCGACTTGCCAGCGGCTGCATCATAGGGTGCGTCCGACAGGTGCTTGCCCACTGTTAATCCGATCTCTGATGGTGCCGCAGCTTTCACTGGCAGACAACGAACCCCAGCATCCTCCGAGTCCTTCAGGCTTGCCCTTCCGTTTTGCCGACCAGTATGGATCGCAACACCCGCGGAATCGATTCTTCTCGGGACCAGCAGCTCTTGAACGAGTTTCGTCTGCGGTATCATCAGTATGTGCGGAATGTTGAAGATATCACGGTGACTTCGTCCGACCCTACTGTCATTGCTCGTCTTGGCGATGACATTATGCAATTCAGCCAGCTTGTTGAACAGGTAAGCCTTCTTATACCTAACATACTGCAAGCTGACGATTACCTTGATCTTTCTCCAGAATGCCAGTGTATTCGATGCTTCGGAGCTTACGATCATGCGGGATAGTCTTGGACTCCTTCGTCATGATGTCCACCTCCTCCACAGTGACAGCCTCGATCAATCTCATCATGGCAGGCCTGTCATCCTCACCCAGGTCCATGGTGGTGGGCGTGGCCGACCAAGGCTTGTCATCGACCCGACGTGGCTCCGCTGGGCATATGGCCACAAGTCTATCGCGGATATAGCGCGTTTTTTAAACATACACCGATCTACTGTACGAGCTGCTCTCATTGAGTATGGCATCAGCGAGTGCCGGTCTGATCCATTCGCTGGACGCGAAGGTGAACCGAGCTACGACGATGGCAGGAGCAGTATGGAAGAGGTGGAGAACAACCCAGGCGATGGCACACATGATGGATATGCTTCCGAATCTTCGGATGAGCATAACCAGGACTCCGAGACCAGGTATGCAAGTCTTTGCCGAGAGATACAGAGGAATCACGACTTCTTTCAGGGTTTCCGAGGCAGACAATCTGGCTGCAGATACTAGCTCCCGGGTCACCTCCTATACCCGACCTCTCACCGACATCAGTGACGACGACCTTGACACCGCTGTCCGGGAGCTCCGGGTACATTACCGCCGCGCCGGGGCTACCATGATGGTTGGCTTTTTGCGGGGGACTCTGGGCATCCATGTCTCGAAAGCGCGGGTGAGGCAATCCCTGCTTCGAATCGACCCTGTGCGGCGCGTGTTCGATCGCATCCGCATTGAACGCCGCAAGTACCAGGTAGCTGGTCCGAACGCTCTCTGGCACCATGACGGCCAACATGGTATGTCTGTTTCGGTGTAGGTCGCAGCGATTGCCTTCTGACGTACGCGGTGCAGGTCTTATTCGCTGGCGCATCGTCATACATGGATTCATTGATGGCTACTCAAGGCTTATTGTGGGTCTGCACGCGAGCAACAACAACCGAGGCTCAACTGTTCTTGATGTCTTTCTCAACGCCTGCCGAGTTTTTGGCACCAGATGCTGGCATGCTCATGTATGAATCCCTGTGGTTAGCACAAATGGATCATACATAAACTCCAGAGCTTACAGTGAGCCTTTATGTATAAAGGCACTGTAGTGACTGCAGCGAGCGCCCCGCTCGCTACCCAAATGGGCAGCTGCCCTTTAGGGACAGCCCAGGTCACCCGGCGCCGGGGTGAGCTCGCGCCGGCGGCCCCAACCCAAATATAGGTCCTATCGCGCGTCCCGGATCGGGCGAACGCGATCGTGAAATGTGATCTACAAGATCTCACGTGTTCTAGTTCTAGGCATGGTGCCATATATAGCAGTGTGTATGTCGTGCTCCATGACATACACACTACGTGTGTTGCGCTCCGCAACATACACTTCACTGAGACTTTGTTCTTTGCAATGTCATTCACTGTAATAGGTCTTGCTGCAATTTACACAAAGGGCATAAAGCAGCAGCCTTCCCAATTTGGTATGTTCGAGGCCCCGACAATTCGTCATACACTAACAAACGCTGCAGTCGTAGTGATTATATGTATTCATGCGAGTATTAATGATGTACAGTAATTTGGGATGCTAACAGCATCCCTCGCGAGCAACCCTACAAGCCCAGCCTCGACGTCCTCCATGCGCTTCGTCCCACGCTTGCGCTCCTTCACGCCCTGCGTGACGCACTCAGGAACCTGCGGTGGCCCGCAGCTGAGCATTCCCGTGGCTTGCGGCGCAAGGAGTGTGCATGGTAGCGAAGGGGTACAGCAGCCCCGGACTCGCAAAGAAGTAGCAGAGGTCGTGCTCACGGGTGCTCGCGACTCTGTGTGCAGGACGACGCGCGGCTGGAGGTAGTGGATGGCGGGCGTGGGCGTGCCGCAGCAGCGAGGATGTCGGGTAGGCCTCATCCGCCTGCACGAGGTCGACTCCATCGAGCCAGCGCGGCCACGCCGATGCAGGCCGTGTCTGACACGCTCCACGGCGCTGCGCTCGCCAAGCTCGGGCTCGCATGCGTGGACAACGGCTCGCGGACGTGGATGGCAACGGCTCGCGGGCGGGTGCAGCGCGCACGCATGCTCCCACGGAGGTCGACGCACTCGTCTTTGCTAAATCAGCATGTTAGTGGGCGATTTGGGAAGAGGAAGAGGGGGCGTACGAGCTACAGTCGATGTCGTCGATAATCGCGGCACGCATGACGCTGCCTGTGTAGTCCGAGGGGCCTCTGCTGGTCGACGCGCTGCTGTTCGTACCCGGTGACGCACCGTTTGTATTTTATCGACACACCGCCGTTCGTACTCACTGACGCGGCTCCATTCATATGTGCCGATGCGCCGTTCGTGCTGGTCCGAGGGTCGGTCTGAAGTGGGTATGTAGATGGTAGAGCTACAGTATGGTAGCACCTGGGCGAGCCGTGCGGGCGCCCGTAAACCGAACATTTGTCTCTATTTGTTGTCTCACCAAGTTGGGCAAGCCCAATGTGCTCGGCCTATTCCTGGCCAATCACAACGCGTTTAACGGTCCTACTTAGGACCGCAACATATCTGCAACTCACCTTCTGGGCATTTTCGCACTGTGTGTGCATATGTTAGGGATTAGTAGAGATTAGATACATGTGTAGTCGCATAAAATACAACAAATGAGGTGCAGTAGTAGAGCAGACAAGCCAAAGTTCTCGTGTACAATAGGAATGTCTACCTACACTACTGAACTGGTTCTCCCAGTCTCGGTCATAAGGGGTGTTGCAGCGTGATTTATACTGAACTCGTTTGTATTAGGGTATGTGCTTACTATCTTACAAGGTCTCTATTTACGATCCTTTACGAACACGTCGGCCGTGTCTGCATGCAGGAGCAGCAGAGCAGTCGGCCCTCGCCCTATGCGTTCGCGGTTGCCGTGTGTTGCGCGCGCCCCTACATAGGCCTGTTCTGCCCGCCGTCATGGTCACCCGCTTTTCGCTCACGCGCCTGCATTCCGTTCGTCGACTGTGCTTGCGTGCTGGGCATTCGCCCGGCACGCTGTGGGGCAGGCCCACATGGGAACAGCGGTACGAGCCCGGAACGACACACGCACTCAGGCCCGGGCAATGCGGAGCGAAGCGACATCCATTGGCGGAAGGACGACTCGGCGGAAGGACAACCAATATAAGAACACGCGGGAGGAAGACGGCTACAGTACATGGACAACGGGCTCCTCCCCCATGGCGTCCTCAACCTCTCCTTCCTCCAGATCATTGACATCCCTAACCGGCGCGAACCGCAGGCGGCGAGGTACCCCAGAGTAGCCGTCCGGGACGTAGACTCCCTCCGACAGGCGGGCGTGCAAGTCGCGAACACCGCCCTCCACCGTATTCAGGCCTCGGGCGATACGAACAGCTTCGGAACGAGCGTCGCGGTTAGCGGTGCGGCACTCGTCTAGGAGGCCCTGGAACCGAGTAAGGAGGCTGTCGAGGCTGTCGGACGAAGCGCGGTAGGACGAGAGCTGTAAGGGACGCTCCAAGTAGCGAACCGGAAGGAGGGGACGACCAATCTCTGCGTCGGCCTGCTCGGCGGTGACCCAATTCGGGGCCCAGGCAATCAAAGGGAAGGGTTCGCCCACGTAGCTATGCTGCGACGGAAGAGTGAGGAAGACTTGGTCGAGGTACTCGATCAGCTCCTGCACGTCGGGATAGCGGCGGACGAGCGGAAGGGAAGCATCGCCGTGGGCCACTGCACGGGAACGAGAGTCGAAGAGCATTCGCTGCGGGGAGGACGGCTTAGAGGGGGATCAGGAATCAGGATGAAGGGGAAGACGCACGATTAACCACCGAGCTCCGTGGGCCCAGGCAAGCCACTCGTGGTCGCTATCGGGGTTCAGACGAGGCTCGACTACACGTTCGTCACGGAGAAGATCGATGAGGCGGTAGAACCGGGTGGTGAAGACGATGGTGGACGGGTTCGGGGGAGCATCGGCGGGCATTGCAGACGGTGGGGAAACACTGAGAGCCAGGGGGAGGGAGCGGAAGGAGCTGGAGAAGGGTATGGCGAGGCGTCGGAAGGAGGCGGAGGGACCGGAAGGAGCTGGAGAAGGGCACGGCGAGGGGTCGGAAGGAGACGCGGCGGGTGCGGAAGGAACGGGAGAGGAGAGGAACGGGTGCCAGCGAGGGTAGGACGTGGGAAAACGGCGGCGGGAGGAGACTTAGGAGGGGAGAGGGAGGGAGGAGTTAGTTACCTACCACTACCTCTCAGGACTCCGTATCTAGGTTGCGACGGGCAATCTCAGGCTTCAGGTCTCGTATTAGGAGGAACTTCAGGCTAAGGAAGCTCGTCAAGGTTAGGCTCAGGCTTAGGAAGAAGGACGCGACAGGTTTAGGATCGTCGGAAGGAAAATCGTCGAGCGCAGCAGGCTTAGGAAGGCCGATATACGCCCACGGACAGGGCAGGGGAGGTGTTTATCGTATCATCTCGACCTCCCTCTCCTCCGCGAGGTACCAGAGACCTCGCTCCCTCCTTCCGCAGCTGTCAACTCGCACCAACGACCCCCGCCCATCGTTTTCACCGATACCTAGAATTCCCTTCCGCGTCGTCTACGCATCGGGGACTCGCAATCACCACAACTGGAGCCCACCGCGAGGGGGATTTCGTTGGTAAAAATCTTGTTGACCCAACCCCGGGTGCCACGTCATCCTGCCTATCACACGGTCCCGAGCGAAAACTCTCGCTACCGTCCCTTATCGTTCAGAGCCTCACACCCCTACGAGAAGTCTACTCGAGGAGCTCGCTATCGCACATCACTCTCCGGACTCGCCGTACGACCCATCGCTCAGGGTACCCGCGCTAGACGGCATTCCCCTTCCGCGCGCTGACGACAGTGACGGAGAGAACCCGTTCCTCGATCCGGCTGACAGCACCCTCACCTCCGCGCCTGCATCATCACCAACTCGAAGCTCAGCGTCGAGCGAGTCGATCCCGTTAGCAGACGTACCTCGGCGGCGAGCATACTCTACCCCGTCCGCGCTCTCCTCCTCGACCAAGTCAGTGGGCAGCCCTGTATCGGTGCCGGCCTCAGTTCCGCTTCCTCCCTCACCATATCCAATCAACGTTCCGCTTCCAGAATCACCCGTCTCGATATACGCATCACTCCCGTCGTCGCCTGTCAACGAAACCATACCCCTGCTCGTAGTCCCTTTATTCCCGTCTCTCGCCATTCCCTCCGATATATCGGAGACAATTTCCTCCGTCTCATCCGTTACTCCCTCCGACGAGTCTGAGCTCGTTCTCCTTTCCTCCGCACTCCTTCCGCCCAACCAGAAATTAAAATGGCCGCTATCCAGTCACGCAGTATGCCGGTCCGCGGGGATCGCATTGCTCCAAAGTTCGACGATCAGCCCCGGTCGCTCGCGCGTTACTTCGAGGACGTCTCCGATCTTCTGGGGCTCGCGAACATCACCGTCGACGAGGAGAAGATTCGGTACGCTCAGAGGTACCTGAACCCCGATCAGTATGAGCTGTGGGGCACTGTAACCGTCCCCGACAACCCGACGTTCGAGCAGTATAAGGAGGGGATCGTGAAGCTGTACCCTGGGTCGGACGGAGCATCCAAATATCTAGAAACCGATCTGGACGCAATTGCGGCGGCCGGGCTGAGTGCCGGGACGGACACGCGCAGTGGGGAGGCAGAGTTCTATCGAAAGTTCCTTCCGGTGGCCCGCTACCTAATGACGGAAGGGCTGGTGTCGAAGTCGCAGGTGCACCAGAAGTACCTCTCCGGATTCGACGCGAAGTCGGCGGACGCGATCCGTCGGAGGGTCGAGATTGTCAACTCTACGGTCGACCCCGCGAAAGGATACAGCCTTGAGCAGCTGCATGGGGCAGCGCAGCAGTGTCTCAGCGCGGTCAGCTACGGCGGCGGAGGCAACACTCAAGGTGGGGGTACTGGTGCGGGAGCCGGCGGAGGAGGGGGGTCATCTGGCGTTAAGCAGGAACCGATGACGGAGGAAGCCCTGAGCCGAGCCTTCGTGGCGGCGCTAGGGGCACTCCAGCAGACGCATGGAAGCGGAGGAGGCCGCGGAGGAGGGTACACTGCCGGAAACTACGGCGGAGGAGGGTACGGAGCGGGGAACTATGGCGGAGGAGCCTACACGAGCGCGAACTACAATAGCGGGGGGTACGGCGGAGGAACGGGTCGGGGAGGACCGGTCTTCGGATACCAGCCTCAAGGACCTGGGCGCGGAGGGTATGGCGGCGGAGGCGGAGGGTACAGCGGAGGTGGAGGGTTCGGGACCAGGACATGCAACTTCTGCGGGGAGATAGGACACTTCCTGCGCGAGTGTAGGAAAGTCGGGGAATACCTCCGTGCGGGGAAGATCAGGCTCGATGACGAACAGAAGATACGCTTCCCCGATGGGGGTTTTGTGTCGCGGTATGGAGGCGGATTCCTGATCGACGCTATCGAGGCCAGGATGGCTAACTTGGCCGGCGGAGGGAACGGAGGGCAGCCGCAGCAGCAAGGGAACGTCGGAGGGAACGACGGGCAGATTCGGGATGGGCCGCCGCATCTAGGAGCGAACATTGTAGAGATCGTCGAAGGATATACGGTCGAGGAGACGACCGAGGAAGAGGATTCACTCAGGCGCGCCGAGGACTTAGAGGAACGTGCACGCGTCTTAGCGGCGGAGGCGGCTCGAGTGCGCGGAGGAGGGAAGAAGGTATCGTTCAGGGATCCTCCAGCGGAAGAGGATGCGCGCGGAAGCAAGCCCAGCGGGGGAACTGTGCGCGGGGCGGTTGGGAAGCCGCCCGGCATCCCAGCAAAGGGGGTATCACCCGGAACGAGCGGAGGAGGGCCGGTGGCGAAGGATCAGGGGAAGGGGCGGACGGCCGAACCACAGTATCGGTTCCAGGCGAAGATCAACGAGGGAAAGGACCCTCGAGCGAAGGCCGAAGATCTGGCGAGGCGGATGATGTACGAGAGTGATCAGAAGGCGAGCTGGGGCGAGATTCTCGAGATCAGCCAGGAGTTTCGGAAGGTAGTTGACGAGCAGATCAAGACGCAGCGTGTGCAGGTCGCTGGCATGGCGGAGGAAGCGGTGTGGAACGTGGGGACCACCGAGTTGTCCAGCGGAGGGAACGTATTCGACAGCGGGTACTGGGACTCCTTGACGCTGCGGGAGCTGCGGCCCCTGATCAATGGCATCGGAAGGGCAGCCTGCATCCTGGATTCCGGGGCGCAGATGGTCCTGATGCGGAAGGACATTTGGGAGCGCGTCGGAGGGAGTCTTCGCCCTGACGAAGGATGCGTAATGGAAAGCGCGAACAAGACGACCACTCGGACGATAGGGAAGGCCATCGGGATGGAGTTCGTGTTCGATGACGAGGTGAAGATCGTCATGAATGTCCAAGTGGTAAGGGACGCTCCTTTCGAGGTGCTCCTGGGTCG